ATTATTAGGATAAACTTCTTTATCTAGATTATTAAGATTTATATACTCTATTATAGTCCTTATCTTATATATAAAAGCTAGTAAGCTACTATTTATTTATAATCTCTTTCTAGTTCTAGGAAATTCTATAAGAACTTAATAAATTCTATATAAATAAGTCCTTTAAAATTTACTCTATACTTAAAATATTATACCTACTTTATATTATTTTTTAAGTAACTTATAATATAATAAATCTTAATTATATTATTCTTATAAAGTTTCCCCTATAACCTAAAATAATTTTAGAAATTTTTTAGGAAGATATTAAGTTTCTTTAAGTTTTATATTTTAAAGAATTTAGGTTTAAGTATCTTCTTCCTACTTATTTATATAACTTATACTATATATTAGGTTATATACTATAGCTTATTATCTTCTATTAATTTAATAGGTTAGTATTAAAAAGTTACTAGTATTATTAAATCTTCCTTAATAATAATTTCTAGAATTATAATTATAAATTTTATAAAGTTTAGATTTATTATTTTTTAGAAGAAGGAGCAGGTAGTCCTTCTTATATTTACTATATTATTTTACTTAATTAAAGAAGTATTTTAAATTATAAGTATTTTACTAGTAAGGTACTTGGATATAAGTAGTATTAATAAAGAAAGTAAAGCTATATAAAATATAAGAATAATAGGAAAATATTAAAAGTAATAAAATAAAATACTTATCTCTTAGTACTTTAGGGGTTATTATATTACTATTTATATTATTTAGTTAAGTTACTAGCATGGTGCAGGCAATTTAAATGTTGCTGTTCTCCTGATTACCCTTAGTTACTGGGTATGTAGTTCGGCATGTGGTTCGGCATGTGGTTGCATGTCACGTGGTCGCCGTGACATAAAGTACCTTTAAGATATTAAAGTAGATATTCTCTAGATCTCTAGTATTATAGTATTTTAACCTAAAATAAGAAATACTTCTAGTAACTAATATATTAGGTTTTATAATTATAGAAATCTTAATATAATATAATAATATCTAATTTATAAAAATATAATATACTACTTAGTAACTTATAGTCTTTTATTTAAAAAAGTTAATTAAAGTAAAGAAAAGGTATAAAACTTATAATTAAGAATTATTAATTATAATAGAATATTTTAAAATATAGTATTATTACTTTAAAAATAATCTATATATAATATATATATAAATAAATTATATAAATCTAAAATATTTCTATATTATTAAGATTCTAAATTAATACTAGACTAGATAGGTTAAGTTTCTAGTAATATATAATTTCTAGATTAAATATTAATCTAGTAATCTTAATCTAGCTAATATATTTTTAAGGTAAAAGGATTATAAACCTACTTAATAAAATATAACTAAAGGACTCTTATCTATATTTTAGGTAAAGCTAGGAGGTTTATAGAATAATTAAGATAGGAATAGGATAATAGCTTCTTAAGAGATTCTAATTATATAATTAAAAGATTTAGAACTTTTAACTTAAAGAATACTAGTATAAAGGGTAGCTAGTAATAAGTAAGCTTATAAGATACTATTAACTACTTTATAAGATTTATTTTAGAAAATATAATATAAGAATATCTATATAAGTTATATTTAGAGTAAAGTTAATAAGAAATACCTAATATACTAGAAATATATTTAAATAGTAGAGAAACTACTTAAATAAAAAGTAATAAAGTAACTTAAGAATAATATTAAATAAAAATAAATTTATAAGAATAGATAATATATTAATAATAATAGACTAGTATAATATAATAAAATTATTTATATTCTTTTTAATTAAATAATATATTAAGAATTACTAAAGATATATTATAATAATTTATATATAAGTTATTTTAATTAAAAAAAATATTAGATTTTATTAAATAAAAATTTTATTAAAATATTTTATAATATAATATTAAGAAATATATAAAGAGTTATCTAATTTATTAAAAAATAAAAATATCTAGATAATTTTTACTAGACTAGCTTATAAAGTTCCTGGTACTAGAATATCTTTAGTAGAATCTGATTCTAGACTTTATTATAAGCTTATTACTATTAATATAAAAAGGGTATATATATAATATTATTTTAATAATTATAAATTAATATATTAAGAAAACTAAATATTTCCTAATAATAAGAAATATTAATATTAAGGAGCTAGCTAATATATTTATAGAAAAGATTATACTTAAAATAAGAGTATTAAGGAGCCTAGTAAGTAATTATAGCTTATTCTTTATTAGTAAATATTAGACCTAGCTATATTAAGAGCTTTAAATTAAAAAATAATTAAGTATTATATTCTACTTATAAATAGATAGCTAAATAAAATATTAGAACTAGATATTAAAAACTTATCTAAAAATCTATATTAATTACTAATAAATTAATTAAGTAAACTAGCTAAGTATAATAGAATTTATATATAATAATATAAAAAATATATTATTAAGAATATCTTCTTATAAGATATAATATAGCTACTAGCTAGTATTATTTAAGCTTGCTAATATTAGGGACTCTAGTATAGTTATAATAATAAGAGAATAATTTAACTAACTATAAGTAAAATATTATTAGCTAGAAGAAAGCTTATACTATACTATTAAATAATAAGTAAGGAGCTATAATAAGAGGTATTATTTAATTAAATATTATATAGGCTAATAAGTATTACTATCTATAAAGAATATCTATATATAGAGATCTAGTAAGAAGCTAGATACTAAATATAAAGAGCTATTTAAAATAATTAAGGTAATAAATTAATAAATATATTACTTATAATTATCTAGATTATATAAGAAAATTTACCTAGTTTTCTATATATTATTTCTTAAGAAATAAAATATAAGAAATAATAACTTACTAGTACTATTCTAGCTAGTTATTATTAATAATAAGAAAGAATAAAAGATAAAATAGATTATTATATAATAAAAGTTATATAGTAAAGATTAATATCTAGTTAAATAGAAAGAATAATTAATATATAAGAATATTTAGTAATTAATAAAAGACTTAAAAAATATATAAAATATTTTAAATAAGTTTTATTATATAAATAAAATATAAATAAGATACTAGTAAAATATTATAAAATAATAAAATATAAAAATAATAAGTTAATAGAATTAAAAAATTAAAAAAATTATAAAAATATATTAATAATATTATTTTTTTTCTTTTTCTTATTAAATTTTAAGATTTAATAGAAGTATATTATAGGTATTAAGAAATTTTAAGAAAATAACTTAATTTTATTATATAAAAATAAAAATAATAAAATATTTATATTATAATATTAATAAATTTTTAATTATTATAATTATTTTAAATCTTTTTATTATTATTCTTTAATTCTATTATATTATCTCTAATATATTATATATTAAGTAAGTAAAATATATTATAATTAATAGATTAAAATAACTTCTTTATCTAGTCCTTAGTCTTAAGATAATAAATAAAAATCTTAATAGTATAAGCTTATTAGGTATAAGCTACTATATCTATTATCTTACTAGATATTACCTAAATTTTCTTAAGACTAACTTATATAAGTAAGATAATAAGAAAGTACTTTTTATATAAGTAAGTATATTAAGTATATTACTATTCTAGATTTAGGTATATATAAGAATAGGCTTCTATAGGATTATTATTTTTATATTATTAAGATTTAATATAATATAGGTAATATAGTATCTATATAATAGTAGCTAGGCTAGTAAAGGTAACTAGAATAGTTAGAGTAGCTAGGATTATAGTAATAATAGAAATAATAGGAGCTAGTATAATAATAAGAGCTAGTATAATAATAGGAGCTAGCATAATAATAGGAGCTAGTATAATAATAATAGTAGGAATAGCTAGAGTTATTATAGTAGAAGAAATAAAGAAAGAGATAATAAGAATTATTATAATATTAGAAATAATTATAAAAAATAAGAGAGATATAATCCTATTAAATAATAAAGTAATAATAATAAGAATTATAAGAGATATATTAATAATAATAAGAATTATAAATATTATAATTAATATAAATATAGAAAGATTTATTATAGGAGCTTATAAATAATTAGTATAATAGATTTATATTACTAGAATAAAGGTACCTATAAAAAAAGAAATAATAATAGTTAAATAGGCTCTCTTTTATAGGGACATAACTAGTATAATATTTAATAAAGAATACTTAGAAAAAGCTATAAGATTTATAATATAGTTAATTATTATTATAATATTTAAGTAATAATAACCTATCTAGAATAATATATTAATTTATTAGAAGGGATTTTTTAAAATATAGATTAAATTAAAAAATATATATATAAAGAAGTATTCCCCTATAATATTTATATTATAATAATATCTTTACTTATTATTAATATATCTAGTAAATTACTTACTTTTATTTATTATTTTATTTAAAATAAAATATAATATTATTTATATTCTATTTAATAAAATATAATTAATAAAAATAATATTATATATATTATTATTATTTCTAATATTAAATAAAAAAGTAAGTTATATTATACTAACTAGGACTAGCTCTTCCTTAGTAGAATATTAAGCTAGATTAGGTATAGTATATATAGCGTATGGATATACTACTAAGAGAAAAGAAGATAATTATTATAATAATTATATAATATATAATTATATATTAAACTATATATTAAATTATATACCTAATAACTAAGAATAATTAAAAAAATAATAATATTTAAGTTATCTATACTATATTAGTAACTTAACTAGATAATATAAATAATAATATAATAACCCCTAAAGTACTAAGAGGCAAGTACTTTATTTTATTACTTCTAATACCTTCCTACTACCCTCATACTCCGTGTAGCTTTGCTTCCTTTACCAACACTACCCATACCCAAGCGCCTCGCCAGCGAGACGCTTACACTACTTAATCCTGACCTGAAGCTCTTCCTGCTCCCAGTAAGTATATGTATCAGGTTAATCAGGCTTCCCATTTAGCTAGGACAAGAAGGGCTGAGATAGTTCTAATAGCTGTGGGTCAATATCAACTACACTGAAAGTTGAACACACTGTAGAAGGACTTGAACATGTGCCGCTATCATCTATAAGATCTGGAGTATCAAGTATGACCGACGGGACAACCACGCTATTCCGACCTTCACCCAACGCAATTGTGCTTTGGCAGTTCTCAATCTGCCATGCCAATACTTGTGGTCTCTCCTGCATAATGTCATGCATCTCAGTTTCAACTGGAAACATGGGCTCTGTGGGCATTGTGGAAGGCTGCCAGAATTTGATTTTCAACATCTTCGGTCCACATGGTGGTGAATCGGGAGCGTTCTTGCGACGCTTGTGTGGGTGTTTGTGTTGCATTGACTAAGTACAGTCTGAGACTATCTTCTTGTCTAGCATAGCAGATAATCATTTCTTGTGAGCCTCCTTGGATGCCACACATATTACTTTGTGATAATGGTGCATGTCATGAAGGTATCGGCGATAATCTTGCTCTTTCTTAGAAATGTGGTTACAGGAAGGATCGGGGCATTCCGAAGGCCATGATTTCTGAACTAGATACTCTTCCATGTGGCTTTAAAGCTCCGTGCTTCAGGTAAAGGCTCTTATTCTGCATATAGCAGAGAGCCCATTATTCCACATGCATTCAATGCAATAGCCAGCATGGATCGTGCTGCCCTCATAAAAGCGGCGGCACCCCAATTGGGTAAGCAAACGGGAATTGCAGCAAAACAGTTCACTTATACACTAGTCCCATTGGCCCGTCCCCCCTAAAGCTCCCAGCCGGTTGCTTGCATGCTTGTTCAACAACGCGGTGATGTTGGATCCCCGGTTGCGATGCTGCGTGCGCAATTGCCTTTCGCGCTCTGCTTCACGCGCCGCAGTGTAGTAGTTGACGGAACCCTTCTTAGCTAGGGAGGCACCTGGGGCCTTCGAGACGCCTCGGGATGAATCCGCGGTAGATGTGGCGGAGCTGGAGGAAGAGCTGGTCGTTGTAGTCCTGCGCAACATTGGTGGCCGGAACCCAACCGCTGCGGCCCTGTCGCTACCGGAGCCGGTATGGAAAGCAAATCGAGTATTCGCAGACGCCGACGTAGCGGAATTTGAGGATGCTTGTCGTAGCAAAGCAAGACGGTCCACCACCGGTCCCCGGGTGCGACGAGGATGGATCGGGGCAGCGGACCCCTCGCGGTGTCGACTCGTCACGGACGGTTCCTGTGTGCCGTCTTCACCTTCATCATTACCACCATCATCATCATCATCGGCGTATTCCTCCTCTCCTTCGCCGTCGACCATAGATACGTCCTCCTGGAAGGAGTCATATTCGGGTCGCTCAGTCAGGAAGGACACCGTTTCACGGATCTCCGCGAGGGTTGCGGGTCTTTTGGACATCGCGCTGGCAGGCTTTCGGCGGAGATGCGGTGGAGGTCGCTTATTGACGTCGTCCTCGGCAGCGGGTTCCAGAGGTCGCTTTCTCTTATTTTCCCCTGGGGCACTGGCCTCCGCCTCTGGCCCCGGACCAGCATCCTGCGATGAAGAATCATCCTGGGCAGTAGCTGCTTGATCATAGCCTAGGAAATCGAGACCGACATCATCGTTGTCATCGTGGTCTTCGATGGCCTTGAAGAATGCTGCTTTCTTAGGGTTTTCGGCGATCTCGCCAATCTTTCCATCAGCGAGGAGCGCGTTTCGCATCCGAGCAAACTCTCTCTGTTTCTCTCGTCGGCGTGCGAGCAGCTCATCGTCCGAATCATCCAGGTCAAATTCGTCCTCGGCTCCTCGACGTCTGCGGAGTGCTCCGGTAGTGATATCCTTCAGCAGTTTGGCTACTTCCTTCTCATCTGCATTCCTCTGATGAAGTCTATACGTAAAAAAGTCAGCATGAATATAGATACGTTAAAAAAAATTCCATGTACGTACGCATTCAGGGCAGCGAGTTGCTTCGCGTCAACCTTTTCCCCGCTGTTGTCATTGATCATTTCTCGGTCAAATGCATCTTCCTCATCACTGCCTTCATCGTCACTGACGCCTCCAAGACCGGCATATTCGTCGTCCGATTCTTCGGCAGCTTCCTCGACAACATCCTTTGCCTTGCTCGTCTTTCGATCAAAGGCCTCTGCGGTGTTCTTTGCTTTCTTAACTGCCTTTCTCATCACATCGAACGCGCTGGCGTCAATCTCGAACCCGCTCTCTTCTTGTTCTTCAATGACCGAAAGGTCAGTGGTCTTCCCGCGTCTCAGATTCTTCAGTTTCCTCGACGCGATGGGGGAATTTTCCTGGTCTATAAGCACCGTCTCAATGGTTGAGGTTGGCGGGGTGCCCAGAAATCTCTTGTTAGGGTCGAAAGGTGACAGTACAAAGCCTGCATCCTGGGTTGGATCCGGAATCTGAGACATTCGAGGGGCAGGAGACTCCGAAATTCGATGTTCTGGCTGAGAGTATCCCACGAATAGATCGGTGGAGCCCCTGCGCTGTTCCTGGCTATCCTTAATGATAGTCTGAGCATCAGAATCCTCATGCGTGCCCATTGGTACCGGATCAGGAAGCGATTGGGGAATGGTGCCAGTGGCTTCCTGTGTCATATCCTGGCTGCCAGCCAAGGTGCCTGCAAAGGCCTGGGTTAGGCTCATCATGCCATCGTTGGAGGGGTGAACGGGTATAACAGGCCGCTCAACTGAGTTTAGGAACGGGTTAATGGGCTTTGCAGGGGTCCTGGGCGCTGCGTCTTCATCTTCGTCGTCGCTGATGACTCGCGTGGGTCGTTTTCGCCTTTGGGTGGGATGAATCGTCTCCTCTACCAACGGCTCCAGCATCTGCTCGTCTTGAGATCCGTCCGATTCGTCACCTTCATCGGCTTCAGAGTCAATCAAACCCTTGCGGCCTTCTTCAGCCTCGGCAGTTTCCTCATTATCTACATCCTCGCCTTCTTCTTCGTCGTCGTCGTCGTCGTCGTCCTCATCTTCATCTCCTTCCCCGTCAACGTCACCATCCTCCTCTTCGGAGCCAGAGAAGTAATCATAATCACTATCATCGTCATCGTCATCGTGATCCACATTCTCACCGTTTTCTCTCTTTGATGCTTCCCGCTCTCTCCGGGCAATTTCTTCGCCTTCCTGTCGTGCGTTTTCCACGAGATTTTCAATCTCATCTTCCAGAGCCGCGCGTTCTGCAGAGGTTTCCACAACGATACCTCTCGCTCTGAGCTCTTCGATCCTTTCCTTCCTTTCCTGGGCCGCTTGCTGTTTCGCTTGATACAGTAGATGTGCGGATAGTTCCGCCGAGTTCATCGTAGACTTGCGAGTAGGAGACCTCAGTTGTGCCAAGGCCTTCAGCTTAAACATGGATGGCGGTTCCTGGACATTTCTGACGGGGAGGTTTTCGAAGGCTGCAATACGTCGGCACTTGGCAGGAGATGTGACGATCTCTAAATCGCTGTCGGAGTCGTCTTGCTGGTGCTGAGCCACCTGTTGTCGGGAAAGCCGAACACGCACGGGAGCAGATCGCAAGGGCATCTGGACTTTTTTCACCAGAGAAACTTCTGTGCTAACTACCTGTTCTTCCATGATCCCCAAAATCGATTCATCCACCAGTCCCTGACCATTCATCATCTGGTCCAGGGAAGGGAATTCCACCTCGGCTTCCTGGGTAGAGTTGTCTGCAACGTCGGTCGTGGGCTTCAAGGCTGGCCCCATGATCGGCGATGTATGCGGTGTTTCCTTGCCTTTCCGTGCCTCGATATCCGAAGAATTTTGCGAATCTGCCGTTGTGGACGAGTTCTCCTCGGGCTGCTCCGCGGGCTGCATGAAATTAAAGCGAGCAAAGAAGCTCTCCTTCGTAATCTTCTTCTTGGTCTCCATCTTGTGCGTCAGCTCCATGTTTCGACTCATCCGCTGCGTCTCGCGGTTCATTTCCTCCAGGGCCTTTTTGCTAGCCTTGCGTGCAGGCCGCGACTCCTGTGTGAGTCGTCGACCCTCGCTACGCTCATCTGCACTCTCGCCATCGGGAATGATATCCGAGCTAAGCTTCTCGCGTTCCTTTGCCCTTGCAGCTCTCTTTTCCGCCTCGATCTTTTCCTTCTCTTCACGTTGCTTGCGCTTCTGAGCGACCAGGGCAAGAAAGCGACTATTACGCTTGGGCTGCACGTCTTCATTTCCCGAACCAGCCCCTTCATCATCTTCTTCTTCTTCATCGTCGTCGTCATTATTCTCGTTACTCTGCTGTTTCGTAGGCGAAGACATGAACAGGGGTGAAAAGGAACGAGAGCGAGAACGCGCTTCGTCCGCAGCAGGCGACGCCCTTTTCCCACTCTTTATCCTCCTCCTGGGACCAGCCGCAGGAAGATCACCATCATCATCATCATCATCATCATCGCCATCGCCATCTACACTTTTCTCAGCCCGGAGCGTCTTCGACACGCGCTCGAACGCAGTTTCCACCAGATTATCCACCGCAGACGTATCTGTGTCCTTGGTTCGAGCAAGACCCTGCATCAACCGAGCAGCCATACGCCCTCGCGGCATAACAACCTGCTCGTCTTCATCATCCTCAGCGGGGTCCCAATCCACAGCGAAGGGACGCGTAGGGTTCGCGTTCGAATTGGAAGCAGAATTGCTCGTCAACGCATTCACCAAGCCCGCGCTAGATCGTTGCGGATGCGATACGGCATTATCTGAGTCTGAGTCGCTGTCGAAGGCTGCTAGCATTGCCTTGATTTTTCGTCCTGGTGTGAGGATTTCTGGGGAACTGGCGGCGGAGCGTGTCGTCCGCCGGGATGGGGTGGAGGGGGACGACATGGTGAAGGGTGCAAGTTGGTAAAGGGATAGGTATATCAAAGCATTAAATAAATTAAGTGTTTAAACCATTTTCTTCAAGGTTAATTTTATGGGGTTGGACATAGAGACTCTCTCTCTCTCTCTCCACTTCGATGAATCCAGGGCGGAGAATTCGCGACTTACGAAGACACGCGCCGCGACCGCGTCTCTATCACACGTGATTGGCGCGAAAGCTCTTATCGGAAATTGAGTCCTGAGGCAAATATTCAAGAGTAAATATTCATGTAGCATAGCACAGCCAAAAAATAATGATAATAATAATAGTATAATTGTTCCATAATACAGATCACATGCAACTAAGCTAGAACGCCCAAGAGAGATACCATCCCGATGAAGAATTACAGAGAGCCATAAGTTGCGCCAGATGGATGATGCTTGACGGCTGCGAGGGCGACACGGCCGTCACCGCAAAGCCCCGAAAGAATAAAGATAACAGGTCGGAATTGCGCTTTTTTTTGATGATAATCAGATTGTGCGAAATACATCCCATCCATGTCTCCGAAAAAAGAAAAAGAAAAAAGAAAAAGAAAAAGATAAAAAACTAGATTTCAATGTCGATGTCCAAATCCAAAGCGGCGATGTTCTCGTCGTCCAGGTTCCGATGACGAATAGTCGTGATGCCGCCTTTGAGCTGCTTCTTCTGTGAATTGGATGGAGTATTGGTTCGATCCGGCGTATTCGCGTTGGACGGTGTGGCCGAAACAGAGGTTGCATCACGGCTTGCGGTGTCGTCCTTTCCATTGACGTCGTAGTGTGTTCTTGCTTGTGTGCGGACGCGCATGAAAGGATTCATCGTAGCTTCTCCCCGAGCAACAGCGGCCGCGGCCTTGCGACTGGCTTTCCGTTCCTCCAACTGAGCGCGACGGACGTTTTCGGTATTGAGTTTCTGGTTACGCAAATTCAGTTGCGCTAGACGCTCGTGCTCGGAGACCTTCTCGGCACGGGGTTTGGACGTGCTAGTACCAAAGGCAAGCTTCTGAGTTGCTTGGGTCGCAAGCTCTCCCTGCAGTCTCTCAACCTCAGCATCATCACCGATTTCCCGAGCATACTTCAATTGCTTCTCGAGCTCAACACGTTTGAAAAACACCGCCTTGGTGTCTAGAGAACCTTGCTTGCGCAGTTTTTCGTTCAGCTCCTCAGTGGTGAACTTATGGTTGAGTAGACGGTTGATATCCTTTACTTTCCTGGCTACTTGGGACTTGGTAGCCATCTTGCAGTCGTCAACGGCCATGGTCTGGCGATATCGGTTAAATTCCGCCTAGATGTCGTTAGCCGTTGGAGGGGGGTTTCTTTTTTTTTCTTTCTTTTTTTTTGACGTAGATAAGGGTCACCAACCTCTGTAAATGGGGAATCGGAGCAAGCAATAAAGGGAAATTCACGTTCTGATTTGCCGTGGGCGAGAACAGCGTACTGGTTTGTCACGAAAGATCGGCCGTTGGCACCCTCTAAGGCATACGGTTTTCCCACAGCGAATCCTAGGAAAGTTAGTGCCCTGACGTTTAAATGGTTCGGGTTACACTCACGCTTAATCAAGCAAAGCCGATACTCATTGACCCCCGTATCCCTGCTGGGACCAATATTGACCCGGGCATAACACCCCGAAATAGAATCATCGAACCCAGGGTAGAAGCAGACCTGAGCAAAGTTGGTGCGACCGACACGAGTCCTCTGGATGTCACGCAGTTCTGCAGGGGGGTCGTCCTTTGGAGGCGACGGCGACCGTTCGCGATCATCCCACTCAACTTCGCTCTCCCCTTCAGCATCTTCATCGGAGATGCGAGAGCGAGACTTGTTGTCCTTGGCCGAGGGCTCACGACGCCGGAGCTCATCCCGCTTGCCTTTCTGTTCTCGCTGTCGCTTATATGCCTCAATAGCCTCGGAGGTCTCGCCTACTTTGCGGCCACCCAGCGTTGTCTTCTGTCGGGAGCTCTTGCGGTTTCCCTCGTCGAGATTTGCGGCACTAGCCTTGCGCTTATTCTTCTTTGCCTTGCGGGCTTCCTCCCGTTCCCGGGATGCCAAAAGACGACGAAGAGCGAGGTCCTGATTGTGACGATCGACCTCCTGCGCACGTTCGGACAGAATTTGTTCCCTCTGGATCTCTGGAAGGGCCATGATCTCTTCCTTGTCTTTGGCGGAATGGTAGAGCTTCTCGTAGGCAAACATAGGGCCATCATCCTCGGCCTCAGCAGCGGAGCCCTCCGAATCCGAGGCTGCTTCTGATTCAGACATGCTGGCGGAGTCAAGGGAATCGGCTGCAGATCTGGAAATATGCAAAGAGAAATGTCAGTGGATCGTTAGGCCAACACCAGAATACCAAATGGGAAAGCGACCAAACGTACACCTCGCCATCCTCCTCCTCCTCCTCATCGTCATCCCTCCTCGACTTTCGACCGCGACGGACTGGCTTCGCAATCCCCTTTCGAGCCATGGTTGATGGTTCAGGTGAACGAGGTGAAGCTGAGGGGGCAGGGGATGCAGAGGTCTGCTTGCGGGGGGTGGAGGAAGTCTCCTCATCGGAGGAGGCATCGTCACCCGCCAATGCGAGCAACTCAGCATCGAGGTCATCGGCCATGGTGAATACGAGCCAATCGAGGCCTGAAAAATCAGGTGTTCTGGGACTGAACCGGGGTCGGAAAAGGGCGCAGGGCCGGCCTCAAGCGAGTGGTAACCGCCTAGTGAAGGGCAGAAAGGAGGCCCTGGGAAAAGAGAGAGCGAAGGAACCCCCTGAGCAGCTGTCGCAATGAATGAGAAAGGGTCGTAGGCGGCCAAACTGCAGCCAAACACGACTCAAATGAGGTATAGATATATAGGCAGTATAGACGACTCGAACAGGGAGCGTGAGATAAATCGCGCAATACACATATAGAGGAAAACAAAACGGGTGCTGCTGGAGGGAGGAGAAGCAGGACAGAAAAGTGAAGTCGAGGTGGTAAGTGGCGGGTTGAGAGTCGGAACCGTTTAGAAAGTGACTGTCAGATTTCGATTTCGATTGGCCGCTGGCCTCCCGACTTTCCAACTTCTGGAATGACGTCCGGCCGGCAATTGTCTATGAGGCTCAGATCTCTCTTTTTTGTTTAAGAAAAAAACAATAATTTTGCTCCGGATTCTCGAGATGAGTTCCTTTACCGCACTTCGAGCTCATCGCTCAGCTTATTCTCGACCACTTTTGCTAGATTTTCTCGCCCCGTCCACTCTACACCACCGCCAGTACCACGCCACCCCGTCCAGCTCGAAACCCAAATACATTCTGAACCAGAAACAACGCGAATTCCTGGATAGCGCTCTTCGCGTCAATCAGGCCGGGGAACTGGCAGCAACGCTGATCTACACGGCGCAAACCCCCCAGGTGGTGCGCTCCCACCCTCACCTACGACCGTTGATGAAGCACATGTACGACCAGGAAGCGGGTCACCTGTCGACCTTCAACCAGATGATTGCCAAACACCGCGTACGGCCCACGGCGATGTATCCAGTCTGGGAGGTGGCCGCAACGTTTCTGGGCTGGTCGACCGGAGTCATGGGACGGGAGGCGGCGATGGCCTGCACGGAAGCTGTAGAAACGGAGATTGGGACCCATTACAACGATCAGGTTCGGGAGATTCTGTCCTGGGAAGCCGATGCGGAGAGCCGAGGAGAGGAGCTAGATGAGGAGCTCCAGGATATGTTGGCGACATTTCGAAGGATTCGAGACGAAGAACTGGAACATTTGGACCATGCGGTAGAGAACGACGCCAAAGAGGCCCGGCCTTATGACCCGTTGGTCAATGTCATCCGTCTGGGATGTCGAACGGCCATCAAAATCAGCGAAAGAGTATGAAATACCACCCGGCCCCTTTCTTCCTTCCTTCCTACCTTGGGGTCGGAGAGCTTGTCACTATAAACATTCCTGACTGATACATGTAATACTATATCCTTTTTTTTTTTTAATTCTAGATCCTATAAGGTTTGAAGGAGAAGTTTTTATCTATGGTCTAATCAACCCCTTTTGGGAAGGGGGGGGAATCTAGTTCTTTTGCTTCTTCTCCAAATATTCCAAAAAGCTCTCGGAGAATCGGACGGCTTGCTGGTAAACCTCTTCGAATCCATTGGCACCCCCATAGTACGGATCCTGAACCACCTCCCCACCACCCACGCGAGAATGTAGAGCGCCTCCGGGTCCAAAATCGCCAAACAGCCGGACCTCTGCCACCTTCGCCGCGGGTGTGCCAGACGCAGCCAGGGAGGCGCGCAGTTCTAGGAGATCCTCGAGATTATGCCTGTCCATGGCGAGCAGGTAGTCGAAGTGGAGGAAGTCCTCCTGGGTGACTTTGCGGGCGGCATGTTTGTAGTCTCGGATCCCATGTCGGCGGAGCGTGGCCATGGTACGAGAGTCGGGCGGTTCGAGGGAATGGTAGGCGGCAGTTCCGGCGGAGTCAATGTTGTTGATCAAGGGATGGGTGGCGGCGAGGTTACGGAAGACTCCTTCAGCCATGGGGGAGCGGCCTAGGGATTTGGTTAGAGAGAGACTCGTAGTGAGGAATAGCACGTACAGATATTGCCAAGGCAGATAAAGAGGACATTTACTTGGTCATTGGCAGACATTTTCGACAATGATTATTATGATTATTATGATTCTTTTAGGTATTTGGTAGGAAGTGAGGGGGTAAATGAAGATTTGATAATTTCCTTTATCGATAGAGAGAGAGAGAGAAATGGTCTGTGCAGGTTACTCACAGTAACTACTCCATACCTAGGACTTTATAACTAGTTGACTGATTATTAAATCATTTCATAAACTACTTCTTATAACAATGAAATAGTTAGCAACGCAATAATATATATTAAAGAAATCGTGGAGTTGTAGGGTTTTTAGCCCTCTGGCACCTATTCACGGCGTAAGTAGAATTGGTTCGAAAGCAGAGGTCGTTACAAAATATATATATATAACTATATATATAGCTGGCGGCTAGAGCAAGAACGGATGTTCAAGCAGCTGTTTGGCTGTCTTGCGTTCCTCTGGCATCCACTTCAACATCGACATAATGAATGCCAAAAAGAACTCTTTCTCCTCGCCACTAAGCCGCTTTTCCAGGGCCTCAAGTGAAACAGAGGGTATAGGCGCTTCATGGTGAGCAATCCACCCGCCTGCAGCTATGTCAGCCTCAGTCAATGGGGGAAAAGGTGTGCAATGAGGAACAGGCACCAACCACTCGAGTCAAAGCACTGCTCTGTTGTCTCACTACGCTGCACGAATTCGGCCGGCGGTGGTCCAATCAAGGCTACCATGAGGGCCAGGTGCTTAAACGGGTCATGGCCTCCTCTGGAATGAAATATATCTCCAAACAGATGCTGCCCTTCGAACATGTCCCAAATCTAATCGATTATCAGCAAGACAGTACAGCAACAAGCAACTCTGGTAGCACCGGACTCACCAGGCCTGCAAGGTTCCAGATATCAATAGCACTTCCCCAAGGCATTTCAAAAATAACCTCTGGCGCTCTGTAGATATGTGGTTGGATGAAAGGTCCTGACTCCTGTGTTTTACCAATCCTTGCCTCGCCAAAGTCACATAGGACTGGGAGACCATAGTTTCTGCCTCTAGTTGGCCTGCGAAATTTCCGACTGCTATAAATAATACGTGACTGGCTGATCAACTTCCGGGGGCTTGGAGTTTTGGATTCCGCCGTTGCAAAATCTGCCAGCATGGAGTTATCCTCTAGGCTGAGCATCAGATTGTCGGTCTTTAGATCTAGTGGACATTAGTTCAGAATCCAATGTTCACAGAGCGTGGGTCTCTACCAGTATGGATAACCTCGGCCTCAGCGTGCAAGAAATCAAGCGCTAAGAGAAGTCGCCTGACAGTCATTTTGAGCAGAGGTAGATCAAATGGCCTGGGATTCATTCTCATCATTTCGAGGAGCGTCATATTCATCGGCTGCAAGACAAGGCACCGATGCGTGCCACCAGGACCCTGGAGGTCAAATGCATCATATAGTTCGCGGATCAATGACTGACCCGGATGCAAAGAATCAAGTTTTGCCAGGTGTTCATAGACTCTCAATTCGTGATCTGTTGCAGTAGGATAATCCGGTAAACAGGTAGACACCTTTAATACTGTATAGTTATTGACTCTTTGATTCATCACTCGTCAGAGTTCTTCTAGGATTGATTGGACTTGGAGAGGGGTACTGGAGATCCCGGCATAGCCAACTTGTTGAATATGCCCCATACCCCAGCTTTCCCGCAACTTCGTATCTGGTGTGATACACATCGCCAATTGTCACTGGATAATAATGCGCCGGCTTGTAATGTGGTAAGGTCTCTTCCTCAATCGGGGTTCCCGTGGGGAGAATCTGCGCAATGCTAGAGCATTCTCTAGAAGACGGTCGTGCTCGTCGAATGTTATTTGTTAGAGCTCTCAATATAGACGCCATTTGAATCAGGTTGAGGTATGAGGAGGAACAACACAACACGAAACGACAACCGGAGGAGTCCTCTTACTAATCCACGTCTGCTCGTCGATGTCTGTACTTCACTCGACAGTATCACAAAATAGATGATTGTGGTCCACAGAAGATTAGGCTCCAGGAAACTGCAGTTATAAAAAGAAACAGGTACCGCCACACTGCTGTGGCTGTGGAAGGAGTTGTGGTTGGCCCAGTGACCATCGTGGGGAATCATTTTCGAGGTTCCATGGATATCCTGTTTTATATTTTATATTATAAGGATCTTGTCTGGATATTATATTGTACAGAGTCTGTACGGAGTAGATATAAGAGTATGGGATGGGATGGGATGTATTGTATAGGTGCTTCATCTTCAGCAAAGTCGACCTGGAAACCATCACACTAAACAAGTCCCACCTCTCTCTCCAATAAATCAATAAATCTCCTCGAATCATTCTCATCAATACAAAGAAAAACCCATCAATGAATTAGTTAGTTAACTATAGAGGCTTGTCAATTGTGGCGCTGCTCCAACTTGACGCTATTTTTCTCATCTTCTCATTTATCATTTATTTTTCCCTTCATCTTCCTGCTTCCTGCAATCTCTCTTCCTCCCCGCTTCATACATACATACACTTACATATTCTCCAATAATCTGTCTTTGCATCTGATAAATCTCTTTTATTATTATTCTTATTATTATATCTCCCCTCTTCCGTACCATACACAGCCTACCTATTGATCTATCACTCACTCTGAAACCGCGCCCAGAAACCAGAGGCCCCAAGCTTCACTAACACTAACGAACTTGACCGCTACGGCGTCGCATTCCATCATCGAATCCCTTCCTGGTCCCGGCAAAGAATCTTACAAGGAGTCTGGTCTGCCGCACAGATGTCCTATAATCGCTTAGGTGAGTCCTCAGGCATCTGTTCCGTCTCCCCGATCCCGCTGCGTTGTTGCCTGTCTCCCTTCATTCTTCGCATCAACTTCCCTCCTGAAACTCTTCTGCTGTCCTATTCTTGCATCAGTCCCCGCAGCCAGCGTGCAGACCAGATTATCTGCTGGTCCTTTTCCCCCTCCCCTGTCCGGCGAGAATCAGCTCCTCTGGCGCATCCAGAAGTCAATCCCGCTGCCCGACTTCACCCGTGCTGACTTTCGAGCTTAGAAGATCCCTACGGGGACGAGCCTCGTTCGCCCACCATGAATCCCAGTCACAGTCATCTCGATCATCGTTCCCCGTCCCCTAGTCGCCCGCTCCATGATTACCAGCTCTCAGAAGATCCCTATGGGCGCATCGAAATGCCGTCCAGTGACCAACTGGCCGAACAACCTACAGTATGATACTCCAGCTTGACAAGACAGCATACAATAGACTTTCTCTCTCTCTCTCTAACGAAGCTTGATAGTTCTCCGTCGAAAGACTTCCCGCATACGGTCACGGCAATGCCTATGATACCCAGCAGCACCAGCAAAACTACCCCGAATATGAATACTCTGTAGACCCTGAGGCACACCACGATGCCTACTACACGCAACCTTACCAACCAACAGCAACCCCACAAGATGATTACGATCTAGGACAGTACTCGGGATCCCAGCAAGCTTACCACGATGACGCCCCGATCCTACAAGCAGATAACCCATTCGAGGCGGCAGACCCATATAGCGACGACTACCAAGCGGATCCAACGCTGGTTCCAACCCCGAGTCCAGCTCCAATTCGACGGTGGAAAACGGTGAAAGAAGTGCCCCTGTTCGACGGTAACCTCGTCCTTGACTGTCCGATTGCCCCGAAGCTGCTGAATCAAGTACCCCATGCCGAACCCCCCCAGCGCGACGAGTTCACGCACATGCGCTACTCGGCCGCCACGTGCGATCCGTCGGACTTTTACGAAGAGCGCTTCACGCTTCGCCAGAAGCTTTTCGCCAAGCCTCGACATACGGAGCTCTTTATCGTGGTCACCATGTACAATGAGGATGACTTCCTCTTTGCGCGAACCATGATTGGGGTGTTTAAGAACATCGAGTACATGTGCTCGCGCACCCGAAGTAAGACCTGGGGCAAGGACGCCTGGAAGAAGATTGTCGTCTGTGTCATCAGTGATGGTCGTGCCAAGATTAACCCGCGGACTCGTGCGGTGCTGGCCGGGTTGGGATGTTACCAGGACGGCATTGCCAAGCAGCAGGTGAATGGCAAAGATGTGACGGCGCATATCTACGAGTACACCACGCAGGTGGGCTTGGAGCTCAAGGGAACCCAGGTCCATCTCAAGCCGCGCTCGGGCGTTCCCGTCCAGATGATCTTCTGTCTCAAGGAAAAGAACCAGAAGAAGATCAACTCCCACCGCTGGTTTTTCCAGGCGTTTGGTCGGGTTCTGGATCCGAATATCTGCGTCCTGCTCGACGCCGGTACCCAGCCCGGCAAGGACTCGATCTACCGCTTGTGGAAGGCCTTTGATGTCGAACCGATGTGTGGAGGCGCCTGCGGTGAAATCAAGGTCATGTTGGACCACGGAAAGAAGCTGTTCAACCCCCTGGTCGCGGGTCAGAACTTTGAGTATAAATTGAGTAACATTCTCGACAAGCCGTTGGAATCCGCCTTTGGTTTCATTTCGGTGCTTCCCGGTGCCTTTTCTGCCTACCGATATATCGCCCTCCAGAACGACAAGAACGGCCAAGGTCCCTTGGAGCGATACTTCCTGGGTGAGAAGATGCACGGTGCTAACGCCGGCATTTTCACCGCCAATATGTACCTGGCCGAAGATCGAATTCTGTGCTTCGAAATCGTGACGAAACGGAACTGTCGCTGGCTCCTCCAGTACGTCAAATCCTCCACTGGTGAAACCGATGTGCCAGATCGGATGGCGGAATTTATTCTTCAGCGTCGTCGTTGGCTCAATGGAAGTTTTTTCGCCGCCGTCTATGCGATCGCCCATTTCTATCAGGTCTGGAGAAGTGACCATAGCTTCTTGCGGAAGTCCATGCTGTTGATTGAATTCATTTACCAGACCCTCAATATGCTTTTTGCTTGGTTTGGCATTGTAAGTAGTGAAACTATCCACCAACTCTCCCGCCAATACTGACCTAGAGAACAGGGTAATTTCTTCTTAGTATTCCATATCCTGACGACCTATCTGGGTGACGCCTCGCTCCTGGGCACTGCTGGTAAGGTGCTCGGCGTGGTGTTTGAATGGCTCTATCTCGCGACTTTGGTAACCTGCTTCGTCTTGTCCCTGGGTAACCGTCCTGGTGGCTCCAATAAGCTCTACATGACCATGGTATACTTCTGGGTGTTTATTATGATCTACCTTGCGTTTGCTGCGGTGTTTGTGACCGTAAAATCGATCCAAACGGAAGTTGAAGATCACACATTCTCCTTCTCGCAGTTGTTCACCAACAGCACTTTCTTCTCGATCATCGTCTCGCTCGGATCGACTTATGTCATGTGGTTTCTTGCTTCGGTCATCTTCATGGATCCTTGGCACATGTTCACCTGCGTAAGTCTTCTTCCTGGAAGGGGCACGGGAACACACCCCATACTAATCGTGCGCAGTTTATTCAATACATCCTCCTCACGCCCACCTACATTAACGTGCTCAATATCTATGCCTTCTGTAATACGCACGACATCACGTGGGGCACCAAAGGAGACGACAAAGCCGAGAAACTGCCGTCCGCTAATCTCAAGCCTGGCGGAAAGGTGGATGTCGAGATTCCCTCCGACGACGGGGACCTAAATGCGCAATACGAAAAGGAGCTGGCTGCATTCGCCCAAAAACCACCCAAGGAGGTCAAGACCGTCCCAGAGGAAGATCGACAGGCCGATTATTACAAGGGATTCCGAAGTGCTGTCGTCCTTGTCTGGGTGTTTTGCAACTTTGCCCTGGGCGCCGTTGTGTTGAGCGCAGCGGGGCTGGGCCGATTCGACGACGATGCAGAAAAGGCGGAGGCGGATCAGAACAAACGCTCTATGATCTATATGGCGGTAGTGCTGTGGAGCGTGGCCGGTCTTTCAATTTTCAAGTTCGTTGGCGCCATGTGGTTCTTGGTGGTACGAATGGTGAGCTTTCCCCAGCCTACTTTTTTTTTTTTAACCCTGACTCCACTTGCTAACCCGTCTATGATTAGTTCCGAGGTGTTTGATTATCAGGTTGCTTCAGCCATGTCTTCCTGTACTTTTTTTGTCTTTTTTCTCCCACAATGCATGGATGACGGATGACTTTGCTTTCCACCACTGCCGGCCAGCATGGTATGTGCGATGACTATAAAGAAGGGAAATGTTTGTTTACGATATGGATGGTTTGATTGATTGGATTTTGTCCTAACCGGTATATACCCGGGCACCTGGATATTATGTTTATGTCTGTACCTAGATGACGCTGATACCTCCATGTACATTGATCTGTTTCGTTTTGTTAATTGATTTCTTCATCATTGATGCCACTTTGGAATTTCCAACGCTTCACTGGTACCTCCTACTATATTCCACCTTCTGAAAACAGACGTTTGCCAGCACTTGGTAGCCTTGTAGTTGGGGTAGGTCCCTACGTATATAAAGGCCTCTAGGTATTTTTCCAAGCCTCAGAATAACATTCGCCTTCTCATCGGTCAATTGCCCAATCTACCGGAACTGCTCTAACCCAGTCTACTTATTCTCATGTCCTTCCGCATGGATATTACATTACCATGCTAGCTCGCTTATGAACAAGTGAATCAAATAACTATCTGAGCAGTAGGTACCTGTGTCTAATCAATCAATCATGCAGCCACCTCCAGGTATAGAGAGGGATGGATCGAGAGATCCAGGCTGGGTTTTGGGGGTTGGTCGTCTAGACATGTGTACCCCGTAGTATATATATGTATGTATATTATATATATAAATCTAATGTCAAGATAATCGATGATCTATACATGAATTGTACCGCGAGATAGCAACCCTGTTCTAGATGCGACATACATGGTCATGAGGGAAATAGACTATTGATAACTGCTCCTGTTTAATAGTAGATAGAGAAAAGAGAATTATCACTGGGGATTAACTACGGAGTAAGTAATTAATTCGGGTCTTTCTTGTATAGAATCAAGTCTGGGTTATATAGTCAAATTTCCACCGACTTTACATCAAGAAGCATCATTGGTCTAGTGGTAGAATTCATCGTTGCCATCGATGAGGCCCGCGTTCGATTCGCGGATGATGCATTCAATTCTTCTTCTTTTTTTCAAAATTTTTTTTTCATTGTTTATTTCTAGTATGTATGTACGTAATCCAACTACCGTTAACTAAGAAAAATATATAAAATAAAATAAAATAAGCCTAGTATATCTATACTCTATATACTTCGTACACCAAGCAATCAAGCCTTTGATCTAACACAGATCGCAACTCCTCCAAGAACCAGCGCCATCCCTAACCACGTCTCCTTTGCAATCACCTTTCGTTCCACATACCATTCACCCAGAACCGTGAACAGGAACGCACTCGAATTCGCCAAGGGCACTGTCAGGGAAAGCTCTATTGAGTGGTATTATTTGTTAAATCCCATCACATAACTCAGGCATTCGGTCCGAGGATGGATGGTACGCACCGTGCTGCCCAACCAAGAGAAAAAACCAAACACTCCCCGTAAGGTTAATCACCAGCGGTATCAAATAAGCGGGGGTCCGCAACAAGTTCACCACCGTCCAGAAAACCGATACTATCTTTGTTTTCAGCCACGACGAAGATGGCCGGGTGTGCATCCAGGCTGGGCGAGGGGTTGTAGCTGATGCTCCTGGTGGTGGAGGAGGAGGAGGAGGAGGTAGGGGTTGATCTTCATCGCTCTCGCTCTCGCTCTCGCTCTCGCTGTCAGCAGCGGGGTCACTGCTGTTGCGATCGGGTTCGCCATCGTTGCTGGTTGATTGTGCAGGCTGGAGCTCTGTTTGGAGTAATCGCAGCTGTTCCTGTCGCGCGTTGAAGTCCGCCGCCGCGCGGCGGATGAATGGCGTGGTGAAGCCCCATGCGACACCAACGAGCAGGAAGGAGAGAATATAGTTGAATACCGGGGGTTGGTCGGAGGGACTGCTGTCGGGATCCATGGTTGTTAGTTGCTTCTATCCTGGAAGTTGAAATCCGGGGGGGGGGTTCAACATCATTTGGATTTTGGAGTGATTCAAAATCAAGCTATCCCAATTGGGAAATGGATGCGAGTCGCCTGGGCATCTCGATGGCAGCAAAGATAGGTGCAATTGATGAATCAGGTCGAGTGGCCCCTAAGTCGAAGGGTCAAAAGGATGCGAGATATCTGCTTAATTACCCCGTACTTTCCCTAAGACCCAACATACGCACATTCTCTGGATATATGAAGACTGGAGTAGGAATAACCCCAAAGAGGATAAGAAACGCCCTAATCTGTCTTGGGATTAGTTGGTAATTACCCCGTACACTCCACTCCACATAGTACTAACTAGTTAGTTAGTTCTCTACTCCTTAGTAAGTAATTGTCTACGGAATAACTAGCATACAAGAGATGTACAATGAAAGATCTTAAATTAAATGTATACACTTCTGACCACCATCATAACACGCTCAAATAGCTGTCAGTAGAGCTTTTCCGCGGAAGTTGACGTAATGACAATACAGTACCAGGCCGAGATCAGATATACCCTATACGGACTAGTGTTTGATTAGATGCCTTGCCCCTCTATAAATGTATGCACCTCAATTCTAACTCCAACCTCCCAGTATTCATTTGCCCTTTGCCTGTCTAGCTGTGGTTGATGAAACAGCCTGGAAACCTTTTGTTTTACGGGGAAAATATAAAGTATAAGCACAGTGTATCTGCCCAAGGTTTGTGCTCAACTTTCCAACTTATCGGAGCTGACCAATGGGCGTATAGTATAAACAGATGAATCTCCAATCCATCCGACCCATTACCCAGTATAATGTCTCGACCTTTCGACGCCATTATATGGCGGAGATTGCGGGCTCACTTGGGGATCTGGGGACCTTCCTTCCCATCGCCCTGGTTCTCGCTGCTAACCACACAGTCTCCCTCGCCAGCACCCTCATTTTTTCTGGCCTCTTCAACATCCTGACCGGGTTATTCTTCGGGATTCCTCTTCCAGTCCAGCCCATGAAGGCCATTGCTGCCGTGGCTATTGCCAGGTCCTTCTCTCCTGGATCGATTGCCGCAGCGGGAATCTTTGTTGCTGCCGTTATCTTCGTCGGGAGTGCCACCGGCCTCCTCCGATGGTTCACTCGAGTTATTCCCATTCCGGTGGTAAAGGGTATCCAAGTTGGAGCTGGCCTGTCTCTTATCATGACTGCTTGTCAGAGCCTTCGTGACCTGGGATGGATTCATCCGTCGTGGGCCGATAATCGTCTTTGGGCCATTGGCATCTTTCTCGCACTTCTCTTGACCCATTCTACAGCTAAACGGCTACCGTATGCTCTGGTTGTTTTTATTATAGGCTTAGTTATTGCCATTATTCGCAGTGCCCTTGCTGCGGAACTGCCAGTTATTTCGGTGTGGCATCCGAGTCTTGTGGTGCCTGTCGGCTCTGAGTGGTCTGAAGGTGCCATTGATGCTGGTCTCGGCCAGCTCCCCCTGACCACGCTAAACTCCATTGTCGCGGTCGTTCATTTGGCCGCTGATATACTTCCTTCCGTTCCAACTCCGTCTGTTACAGCCATCGGCCTGAGCGTTGCCGGCATGAACTTGGTCGGGTGCTGGTGGGGTGCTATGCCCGTTTGCCACGGCTCTGGGGGTCTAGCTGCGCAATATCGATTTGGCGCGCGGTCCGGAGCGAGCGTCATCTTCTTGGGACTGTGCAAATTAATCATAGGTCTGCTCTGGGGTGAGAGCCTGGTCGGACTGCTACACCGTTTCCCTGTAGCTCTTCTCGCCGTCATGGTGATTGCGGCCGGATTAGAGCTAGTCCGTGTTGGTGAGAGCCTGAATACCCCTGGCGCACGAGATTTGTCGAGACACCACGAAGAAGCAGAGGGGGGTTCCTCTCGAGTCCACCTCAGCGAGGAGGAGCGAACTCGACGGTGGATGGTCATGCTGGTTACGGTGGGACTGCTCGTCGGATTCAAGAACGATGCGGTGGGATTTGCTGCTGGCATGCTATGCCACTGGGCCTATGAATTGCCCAGATGGGTCGAAAAGTCGCGACGACGTTGGTCAGAAGGAAGAGTACGTCTACCGTGACGTTACGCTGTTGTAGAAAACCGGACACATGAAAATTTGCATATCATTCTAGACTAGAGAAGACAATATTCAAAAAGCATACTCCCCCAATCATCAACGTGAATCCCGGATCGCCTCCGAAGCCTCCATATCCGACTTTGCCCTCATTCTTTCATCCGCTTCAGAACCTCCAAACAGCTGGAACGGATCCTCCCCGTGCGATTGTGACTTGTTTCCGAGCGTATGATATCTTAAGGAGGCAGGTTCCTCGTCCTGATTCCGCGTATGAGTCTGACTCCGACGTGGGGGATGCTCCTCGTCTAGGTCTGTGATCCGGCGCACCCCTCCTGCAAGCGTATCACCGGGAATCGTGGCCAATTCCTGGCCTGAACTGTCGTAACGATGCTCCTCAACAATGACGGGACTGCCTAGATCCTGACGAGCTGTGCGAACGGTGGTCACTCCATCGGGGTTGGTCTGTGAGGAGGTGGTATAACGATGGCCGGTGGTAGTTGAACCCCCAGAGGAACTCGTAGTGGAACTGTAGCAGTATGAACTAGAAGAGGACATTTTCATATATTATCTCCTCCTCCTTCTGGATTCTGTTGCAATTGAGAGTTTGTGGAGAGGAATAAGTTGATGACGAGGGACACAAAATATATACAGATGTGGCGAGACCGATCGATCAGTTTTGATGTCATACTTGCCTCTTGTTTAGGCAGTCAAGAATGTTCAGATCTATATGAAGTTAACTGGAGAAAAATATCCCGTCAAGAATATAAAGTAATGTAAAGTAATATAAAGTAATATAATTATGATTTTGCACCCATTGATAGGACTCAGTATTCTTCGCGGGAATTGTATAAACCCCGCCATTCTTCCTGTTCTCTTTCTCAACCACACACCACCACCCACTCACCCATATACATACCACCCCTACCTTTGAGAGCAAAAGAAAGAAAGAAAGAAAGAAATGCCCGGCCTCACCCCCTCCCAACTCTCCTTCTTCCAGGAAAACGGCTACCTCGTGATCCCCAACTATCTCTCCCCCACCGAAATCACCTCCCTGACCACCGAAACCAACACCCTCCTAACAAACTTCGACCTAACCACGCACCCACTGACCCAATTCACCACAGGCGACGACGAAGCCAAACACTCCAAGCCCCACGTCGGCGACGACTACTTCCTAACCTCGGGCGACCAGGTGCGGTTTTTCTTCGAACCGGACGCGTTCACACCCGACCCCACCGCCAGCACCAGCACCAGCACCAGCCAACGCCAGCGCCAGCAGCTATCCCGACCGAAGGAACTCGCCGTGAACAAGATCGGACACGCGCTGCACGAGCTCTCGCCGCCGTTCAGGGCCGTCTCGCTCTCCGCGCGGAATGCCGAGATCGCGCGGTCCCTGGGGTTCCGCGACCCGAGGGTGTTGCAGAGCATGGTGATTTGCAAGCAGCCCGGGATTGGCGGGGCCGTGCCGCCGCACCAGGACTCGGAGTTTCTGTATACGGATCCGCCGTCGGCTGTCGGGTGGTGGGTTGCCCTGCAGGATGCGGGGCCCGGGAATGCCACGCTGGGGATGTATCCTGGTTCGCATCGGCGGAGGGCGGTGCGGCGGAGGTTTGTGAGGAGGTATAATGCGGAGGGGGAGGCCTGTGGGACGGAGTTTGTGGGGAATGATGGGCCGGGATTTCCTAGGGGATCTGCGGAGGAGGAGGAGGAGGAGGAGGAAGGGGAGATGGAGGCTGGGGCTGATTTTTTGGATATCAAGGCTGGTTCGCTGGTTTTGATCCATGGGAATGTCCTACATAAGAGCGACAAGAATACAAGTCCTCGGAGTCGGTTTGCGTATACCTTCCATGTTATTGAGGGCGCGGACGGCTGGGTTTACGATAAGCGGAATTGGTTGCAGCCTCCTGCGGATGGACGGGGATTCTCCAAGCTGTATCAATCATGAGAGAGGAGGTTACGAATGATTTTGTGTCTCATTGCATTAGTATCGTCAAGTGTGCGCTATACAGGTCCCCGTTCTTTTTTTTTTTGGACAACCCAACCCATAACTCCTATCCATGGAATAGATAATAATGTAAAATATCTGCTCACAATGCAACAACAACAACAACAACAACAACAACAACCTCTATGCCCGTAGCATGTCTAGCATCCCCTTGGTCGCGTATGCTTGATGCGCGAGGTCGACCTCGTCTCGTACCCGCCAGTGTAATCGCTCCACAAGCTTGTCGATCTGCGCCGACTGTCCCAGGTTGCCAGAGTAGATGTCCAGCACGTGCATCGCGACCTCGACGCTCAGCTTCACCAGCCGTGGCTCTGCAATATGCTTGTGCACCCACCGGAGCACGGGCTGCAGTGTCACTTCATCCCGTCCCTGCAGTGATGCGCGCAGCGCCGACCGATGTCGCAGCTCCGTCAGAAGAGTAAGCTGTACCATCTTATCGGTTGACGTCAGAGCTTGATCCAAGGCAGCGGCATAACGTCCCTTGCGGAGATCTAGCTCCCAGCCCTTTTCCTTCCTCCGCTTTTTCTTATCGCTACTATCAATGACGATGTCCACGCCCTCGCCGGAGAAATCGAGACCGCGCCAGCGTCGCTCCCAGGCCGAGGATTGGCGCTTCTTCTTTAGCTTCGCCAGCTTCTTATCGTGCTCTTCGATCTTGCCTTCAAGCAGAGCCTCCATCTCCTTCTTGCGTTCCCGCTCCCGCACTTTTTGCTGGCCCGACAGCCGGGTTTTGATCGAGAGAAGCCCAGACTGCATACCGACTGCGATGTGCTTGTCTTCTCGCACAGCTCCAGAGGTGATTGCACACAGCGACAAGATGGGGGACGGGTACTTGAATCCGGCAACTACATTCCAACCTGTCGTCTCGTGGATCTTCAAATGGCCGTCCAAAGCACCGCTGAGTAGGCGTTGGCCATCCGAGGCCAAAGACAGAGATGTGACCGTCTTTTGATGGCTCTGGATCATATGCAGTGGTTTTCCGGCCACAATATCGAGCACGGCGATTTTGTTGTCGGCGGCCGCCAGCACCGTGGTGCCCGTGGGCAACGGAAGAACCGACTCAATCGGGGCACCCATCTTGAATGTCATGGCGGACCGACCTTCCACACGAGGATCCCACAAACGCACAGTGCGATCATAACTACCAGAGAGCAGAGACCCAGACGAGGCCAGCGACCCGGGCATGAACGCAGCAGTACGCACATAATCGGAGTGGCCCACGAAGGTCTTGATACTGCTCTCACTGGGAAGATCCCACAACCTGACAGTGCGGTCATCACTAGCGGAGAGAACAGAGGTTGGATCACTTGGAGAAAACTTTGTCACCCAAACGGATTGCTTGTGGTCCTTCCATGTCTTCAGGATCGCTCGCGAACCCACATCAAACACCTGGATCGTGCCCGTATCATCACCTGTCACGAGAATTCGGCCATCGGGACGCACATCTGTGCCTCGCACGGTGTCGTCGAATCGTGTGATGGTTCGGAGAAGTTTTCGTGTGCGGATGGAGTAGATCTGGACGCGGGCGCCGGTCGTTACGGTGAAGACGTCGGGGGGCTGTGTGAGGGATGGGAAGGCAGAAGCTGATGCAGGCGCAGATGGTTGGGTAATGAGATTGACCGGTCCATTTGCAGGCGAAGGAATGAGCAGAGGATTCTTGAATGCCTTCCAGTGGACCTGCTCGGGGGTCAATCCTGAGGAGGGCAGCTCAGGCAGCTTGACCTGCGTTGGAGGGAGGACGGGGGCGGCCATGGTTTTGTTGTGAAGAGTTACGGGGGATAGTCGCAACACAACTGTAGCGCAGGCAGTCTTAGGGAGAATTCACCGAGAACCACTCATGCGCCCTGTGTTGGCGATTCTCCTTGACGGTGTGAGCAAAGTGAGGTTTTTTTTTTTTTTTTCCCCCGTGATTCTTAATCGGGTAAATATTACCGTTAGCGCAGTAATTTTGGTATGGCAATTACTTACATACTCTATCACCTGGATTTCTATGCATCACTACTAGATAGTCAGTCGCACAAATCAATGATCTCTCTCTATGTAGCAGTCAGTCATGCTGCTTTCTTTCCTTTCATTGCTTCGTTGTGGCTAGAGAAACATAAAGGTAAGTAAATAAGTTCCCAGTATCATCTTATTTTCATATTTGTTAATGTTACTTGGAAGAAACATCATGTTTTAAATCCTATCTTGCGAGGACCGTCTACCACACCTGCAGTAAGAATCATGTCGCTGAGCAGTCTTCCAAACGAGCTTATTGCAATTATTGCGGAGAATCTGGACTCTGAAACGGAGATAAATGCCCTGGTCTGCAGCCACAAACGATTTTATCTATTTTTGAACCGGTTTCTATACCGGTATCATGTTCGAAACAACTCATCTTCTGCTCTTCTTTGGGCCACGAGACATAGGCAACCATCCACCTTGCAGAAATTGCTCGAGGCTGGGGCAGAAGTCCCGCTGAAAAACTTTCCGAGCGAGTTAACGGGAGAGCTTGAAGGGTTTTTAGGCATCATCCAATCGATAGGAGCCCCGGCCTGGTTTCATCCCCTGACAGCAGCGGCGAGAAGCGGTTCAATAGCTTGTGTTCAAATCCTCCTCGATCATGGCGTTGACCCGGACTATTGTGACCAGAATGGTAACACGGCTTTGATGCAAGCTGCAGTGAGCGGCCATGTGGCGGTGGTGAAGCTGTTGCTTGCACGTGGCGCCGATATTCTTCTTCCCGATCGATTTCACAGATCTGCTTTGAGCGCTGCCATTGAAATTAAGAATATGAATCTTATTAAGGTTTTGTTCGCCCATCTTGAGTCTGGAGATTATCCTGCCACTCTTCTCCAAGAGAGAGCACAGATCATACTTCGAACTGGGATACAGAGCGGACGCTCGGAGATGATAGAATTCGCACTTGGGAAGGGAGGAGACGTGAATTACCAACCACCGACTGACAACCTGGAAAATCCACGGGATATATATTCGTCAGAGTGGGAACGTCTCCTGCAAGCGATAATGCAGCACGGCCCGCCCATTCCTCTCGGACCGCAGAACCCAAACGTTCTATACTCCTCGACGGTATTTGGTAATGAAGCCGCAGTCAAGCGAGCCTTAGATCTGGGGGCAGACGTTCATCGCTTTGGCTGGGATGCTTTGATCCAGGCGGTTTGGGACAAACACCATGGGATTATCCGTCTCCTGGTCGAGAAAGGAATGAATTTAAACAATAGTGAAGCGCGGTGGAACATTCTGGACTATGCACTGCAAACGGAGGATGAGTGGATTGTGAAGTATCTCCAGGATCATGGGGGTGTACAAAAGGAACACCAGAAGCAGCAGCGACCAAACGTCCTAGATTAGCTAGCTATTCTTCATGTTAAATACCTGAGATGAGAACATCGTTCTTTGGCTTGAGTCTGGAGCCAGTATCATTCTCTGTCCTTCCAGTCAGTAATTTGTGGCTGGAGCTAAAATACGGTAGCTATAGCTCCTAACAGTTACGCCCTTATACTTAAGATAACGAACTGATATATATATATATATATATATATATATATGATGAGAGCTCAAGGAGAAAAGGACAAGACATTAGGTTCCCCTCGAATCTATAGAGTACCTAAGATATCTTCAGAACCCTCAGAGATGAGTTTGTCTTTGATCTATGCAGATCCGGATGCAGAGATATCGGGAATGGAGCACGAGGGTCTAGACCAAGGATACGAGCTGGAATGATGGATCAGGCCTCCGCATTTTCCTTTTGTTTTCTTTCACCTGTCCGTTTCTATTTTCGAAGCTGATGAAACAGGCAGCAGAATTAAGCACATTAGCCACAAGTCCTTTCTCTTATTATAATCTCTTCCAGTAGTACTCCGTACCTACAGGTACTGACGAGCATATGAAGGATATACGGTACGTATGGAGTACAGTACCAAAACAAATGGAAATTACAGGAAACCAATTAAAATACCAATAAACTTTCTGTATGTCATTCTGGTATTGAAAGCGGTATCGTATGGTATCGCAAGTGGGTCCGACCATCACCAGATAGTGGGGCATGACGATGCAGGAACATCCGATCATCCAATGAAAGTCTCTGGATTTCTTCCCCCCAGCCTCCCCCCAGCCACCTAAAGGAAAATCCCAACCAATCACAGCTCGACTGTCGATTATCGGCCTTTCCTTATCGGCTGGATTGTTTTCCCCTCCCTTTCCAGGCTGGACTGAATGTCTCGACTTGACTTGACTTGACTTGTCTGGTCTTTGTCTTGTCTCTCATCTCTCTTTTCCTTTTTCTTCTCCTTCTCCTTCTCCTTTCAATTCTCCCTGAGCGTTCATCCAGTCGTTCACTCCTTCGACTTCTTTCTACTCGAGCCTTTTTTTCAACTCTCATGAACCCTTGCACGTTGCAGATGTGCTAGTCTGACCCTGGTGGCTCTTTGCTCTCAATTCTCCCTTCTCGTCGTTTTTGCTCTGCCAGTTGCATCGTCGGCCTATCGCTATGGCTGCTAAGCCAGTTAGACTGTCCAACCTTAACCATGCAGCCGGCATTTTCGCCGACATGTCCGTCGACGGCCCGGCCATTGGGACTCTGGTCGCCATCGTCGACCGTGCAAAGAATCTTCCCAACCGCAAGACTATGGGGAAACAAAACCCATACTGCGCAGCACGTCTCGGAAAGGAAGCGAAGAAGACCGATACGGATTTGCGTGGTGGCCAAACCCCGAAATGGTATGTAGCCTTTGGATCCTTATTGGGATCTGCTAACCTGGAACAGGGATCAAGAGCTCCGATTTACTGTGCACGAATCCCCCGACTACTTCAAAATGAAAGTCTCTGTTTTCAATGATGACAAGCGAACCGACCTTATTGGCGAAACCTGGGTTGACCTGAAAGACTTGATCATCCCCGGAGGCAGTCAGAGTGACCAGTGGCACCCACTGCAGTTTCGAGGAAAGTATGCCGGCGAAATTCGACTTGAAATGACGTACTACGACACGAGACCTGAGGATGAGGCGGTCATTGAACGGAGGACGCACGTTGTGGACAAGGTAGTCACCAAAAATAGCAGTAGCCCCGCCCCAGTTGGTTCGTCATCTCTTGCAGGGCCACGCCAACTGAAGGAGGTCAAACGGCGGCCGCTGCCCGTCGATCCTGCAGGGAGCACTGCATCCCGCCCTGCGCATCCAGAGAAATCCCAACCCGCACCAGCTCCTGTTCCCGTCCAGCCCCATCCGCCCCGGCCCGCTCAATATGACAACATCCCCACCCCCCCTTCGAGCTCTGGAGCAGACTATGTCCGCCACTCCCCTCGACACCAAGACCCTGGGTACGATACACCGCTACATGCAGTGCCACCTCAGGGTGTGCGCCCGACAAGGAATTATGAAACCCCAGACGACTTCCAAAGGGAATGGAACCCTCCAGCTCAGGCGCAAGCTCAAGGTCCCCCCAGGCGTCACCCACAGGAGCATCACTACTCTTACCCAGAGAGACCGGCGGAACCCCAGGAGACACGTTCTTATCACTCAAGGCCGCAGTCTGGATACGACAACGCCCCATCTGCTGACTACCGAACTATGAGACAAGACTTACCTGCTGGTCGACAGGAATCCTACCACTCTGAGCCCGCGGATATGTATGCCCCCGTTCAGCATGACCTTCCGCGGCCAAGCAGTCATCACCACAACCAACCATACCCTGCGCAGGACCAATATGGGTACGATCCCGACGAGATTCAGCAACCCCAGGCTGTTCGTTACCAATCTCATGCCTCAGGCAGTATGTCCAGTCGTCATAAGATCGAGTACCCTCAAGATGATCCGGGAATGGCATCAGGAGAGCCCGAGCGTCATTACCGTCCCCACAGCAACTCGCTTCCCATGAGAGGTCGCAGTCCGGCCCGTCATCCCGTCAGCCGTGAGAGCTACCATGCAGAATACGCCGCGATGCAACCCCGAGTGGAAGATGAAGAAGAGGAAGGGCCTCCTCCCCCTCCTCCCGTCCACCGGTCAGGATTGGTTCAGAGTAGCCAGCAGTTAGTACCGTCACCAACTCCTTCGTACAAAGCTTACTCCCCAGAGTACTGCCAGTCCCCGCGAACATCCCACGAGGTGAATTTGTCCCAGCCCTCACAGCTGATGCTCGAGGAGGACCGATTCCAAGACCTGCCTCTCCCCACGGACGGACCGGCTATGCCGCCAAGCCTAGTCGCTGGGCTGGATCCATCGATTGCGGACGCCGAGTCTGACCGGACCGCTCATGAAATCCAAGCACGAAGACGCAGCGGAATTTTCGAAGAGAAGGCGCTTGTCAGAGCGAACCGCGGCTCGTCGCCTATGTTGCCCCCTTATCCCACAGACATCACAACACCACCCCTGGAAGAACGTCGCCGGTCATTTGTGGGCAGAGGGTCGATAAACGCAGACAACTCTCCGGCACAGCATGTGGAAGAACGCCGCCGCTCGTTTGTAAGTAGAGGGCCGATGTACGTAGAGAATACCCACCACCAGCTTGTCTCTCGAAAGTCAGTCAGTCCCCGACCGCCGCCGTCTAGAGGACAGGAAAGTTCTCTAGTCCCTTTCTCCCCGGACTCGTTCGATGCGTTCAACCCAAATGCAGCGCGTTCAGCAGTTACACGAGACCCTGCACCAGCGTACGAGAGCCCAGCAGAAGCGATGGAGGCTGCTAGGCGGACAGAAGCGGAGGCCTCCCGAAAACCCGGACCAATTATCGGCGATGATGGCCGCGAGATTGATCCTTCTGACCACCTTCCTACCGACACATGGGCACCGGAGCCAGATCGGAAATCACGAAAGCCGGGGGTGATTGTCCGCTTCCGCAATGCGCCTGCCAGGACAAGTCGAATAGGCCCTCCAGCCCCTCAAGAATACTCCCCAGGCCGTACGACGACCACGACGACGACGACGGCGGCAGCAGCAGCAGCAACAACAACAACAGCGGACTGGAATAGACGTCCTATGTCTTCTTACATGCCTGGCGCAGATCCAATGGATCGCACGTCTCCTCGAGCAGACTTCAATCGCGGGCGAGAAGGGTACAGAGGCAACCCTAGTCACGCACGGACATATAGCACGCCGAACGGTACACCTTCACCCCGAGCACCGCGTCGAAACTCGGTGTCTCCATCGCCATCGCCATCGAGCCTTTACGCCCCTCCTAATATTGGCCCGCCGATTCCAGCCAAGGTGCCTATAGGGGCACCGACGGGGAATGTCCCAGGACCAGTGGGACGCAGACGACCGATGGACGCGCTGAGTCGGGAACTGAACGCGATTGACATTGGATCGGTCGGGTGTAGTTCGGGGCGAGCGATGCGAAAGTACGTCCCCAAGACAGTGACGGGGTATGCACTGTAGAGGCAATTTAAAGGTGGGGATCAAGGCACATAAGTGGACACATAGGTATGGGCAAAAAAGCATTGCAGGGCAAATTGATTGAATAGGAATTGCATAACGATAGAGGGCGTTGTTGAGGTTCTTTGTTGTACTATATATGATTCATGCTTTATGACAATGAATTGTTTGCTCTAGCTTTGAGTGAAGACATATAAAGCCCTCTCTCATACTCTCTCTCTCTTCTATCTCTCAATCCTACTCCTAGTCCACTACACTACACTACACTACACTACACTGCTACTACATATATGCCCTCTAGATCGAAACCCAAAGCTCTCCCAAAGCTCTACCAACGCCCAACATCTTCATCCACCAACCCCAACCACCAAACTCCAAATGACCCTCCCCGTTCTTCCCTCCAAGAAGAAAAAGAAAAAGAAAACGAAAAAGAAGAGAACTCACCCAACTCCATCATCATCCCCTGCGAATTCACCACCCCCTGTCTAACCAACCCCCCCAACCACCCCACACACCCACGCAAAGTGATCTCGCACATCTTCGGCCGCAACAAAACCGCCACCAAGCTGTTCCCGGCGCACGTGTGGATCCACTACTGTCGCAAACACTACCAGCGCGCACGGTACCGGTCGTCGCAGTGGCCGTTTACGCAGTGCGAGCTGCTGGGGGATTCGTTGGCGCGCATGCAGGCGTGGGGCGGCGTGGATTGGTTCGAGGTTTGTTTGCGGAGGAGGGAGGTGATGAGGGTTTTTGGGTCTGCTGCTACGAGTATGAAGGGTAGAGAGGATGCTGATGATGCTGATGATGATGATGATGAAGAAAAGAAAAGAAGAAAGAAACCGCTTATTGTGCCGGCTCCGGTTCCGGGTTGGTTACGGCTTGAGATCGCGGGTGGGGAGCCCAAGTCGTTTGATCAGGTTCGGGAGTTGGTGCGGTTGATCAGGCAGGATATGGAGAGGGTGCGGGATGCCGGCGGGCAGGTGAGGTTTCCTGATATTGAGATTTTGCCGGTGTTCAAGGGGTGGGTTACTTCTCTTTCTTCTCCTGCTTCGTCAGGTTCAGGTTCAGGTGCAAGGTCTGGCAACAGCAGGGTTAGCAAGAAAGGGGCTATTCAGAAACTGAAACCATAAGAGAGAGAAATGATCATTACATTATCGTGTTCTTATCATGCCCCTATATACACCGATTTAGCATCCTCATGTTATCAATGATATAAAAGCCGCGCATAATAATAACAACTATATATATATAGAACATTAAAAAAAAACAACAACATGGTATAGTAAGTAAACACGCCAATTTCAGGCAAAGCCAATTTGAATTTTTTAGAAATGGTCCGGAATCAACTCGTATCCTCCCTCAGAGGGTAGGCTGTAGGCAGCGAGGATGAGTGCCCCCGCGCAAAACACACTGACACACCAACTAACAGTGCAGTAAATCCAGGACTCGTCGAGCCGCCATCCGACGAAGAAGCGTTCCTCGTTGTCGAACAGATACGCCTAGTATATTGTTAAAAAGTGTCCATTGTATAGGTTGAAAACAGAGGTGCATACCACAATTGACATGCTAGCTGCCTGGACAGCAGCTGACAAGAGAATCATAACGCTGAGGATCTTCCACCCCGACTCCCGAAGACGCTTCCCACCCGACAGGACAATTAGATATGCCACCACACTCATACCTTCTAGCACGAGGGCAAACGACATCAAGAACCCGACAGAGCGCCACATGGAGCAGAAGTATCGGTCCTCGCCATGACAATCTTCACGCTGGGGGAAGGTCTCGCAGGTATCAGTAAGGGAGGAGCAGCGACGGTGGAGGCCATAGGAATAATGCAAGCTCGGCTGGAGCGGTCAGCATAGCAAAAAAAAAAAAAAAAAAAAAAAAAAAAAGGGAATATACATTTTCACTATGATAACTGACCCAGTTGGGTACTGCGATGGAGGCTATTGACAGACCAAATGCTAGAGAGCTGGGTTAGCTTGCCGGGACCAGGAATGCGACAGGAAGGGACGGGAAGAGCTACCAGCTAGAAAGACAAGGAGGGAGGCAGTATAGACAATGGTTTTGGTCAGGAAACCAGTATAATTTCGGTCTTCCCCATGGGGTACCAGATGGAAATCCATCTTGGCTGGGGGGTATTCAACAAGGAGAAAGAAGTATAGAAGTATCCGGAGTCGAGAGGAGAAGTTAGCGATGACGCCAAGTAGCCAGAACGCAGATATGGAATGACGGAGACGGCCAGGAGGCTGGAGCTAGCAGGGATGCGACAGGGACAGGTTTTATTATGACGCGGAGAGATGGAAGAACAAAGGGAAAAGAAAGCCAAAGGATGAAAGAATGGATTAGAGATGGGAGAAGAAAGAAGATGAAAAGAAGAGAGATCGAGGAGGAGGAGATAGAAGCACGTTAAAGTTTCACACGATCAGGTGGATGGTTAGTGAGATATGTGACAGGATAGCAGTTAATAGGCAGAGGGATTTTGCACCGCCACTAGAGGAGGAATGACTCTTGTAGTTGCTCATTTATTAGCAGTAACTTTATCTCGATATCCATATCTACATCTTCTAGGCATCAAGAGAAATGTGGTAGAGCCTTCTCAGTACCCCCTCGTAACGGTTATGAGGAAAAACAAACGCATAACATAATCTACACTGAATAATACATCCATGCTAGATGCCCGTCAAATAGAAAAAGAAAAATTAAGAGGTTAAAAGGACGAGAAAAAGGCGAGGAACCGCCAGTTCTGCCATGCAATTCAAATGCGCCTCCCCCATCTCCTCATGATTTTGATCCCCCCTGACTCCGCTGGATCATCGCACGGAAGTCATCATTGCTCTTTGGATTTTTACTACCCTCCCCGCGGGAGGGACTCTCTGTCGTGGCTTTCATCGTCGTTATACTCGTGCTATTCGTCTGCCCGCCCATCCCGGACACTGGAGCGATCCCGCGCTTCACTCCCAATCCGCCGCGTTTCCCTCCTCGCGACCCCGGCTGCGGCGGCCGTTTGATCGGCACCGTCGCCGGAAGCGATACTGGATTCTTCTCCTTGGGCTTCGCATGCTGGCTGACTCCCGGTTTCCGTTCCGCTGATTGCTTCAGCATTTCCCGAACAGTCCCAACCTGAAGTCTACGGCCGGGCGTGATCTCCTGGCCCTCCAGTTCAAGCGAAGCTTTGCCCGCGTGTTTGATATCTGCAAATTCTACAATCGCTCCTTGATGGTCGGGGCGCAAAATGATTTTCACCAGCTTCCCGAATGGCTCAACCAAGGCGCGGATCCGGGCGTCGTTCACTGTGTCGGGAATGTTCATTAAGCCAAGCGTGCGGGCGGCGCGCTCACCACTTGATTCATCCACCTCAACGGAGGCACCCCTGGCACCGTTCATCTCCGGGCCGGGGGACTGCGACTTTCCAACACGAGACACGATAGCCACAGCAGTACGCTTTGCGCCCTGAGGAGTTGAAATCCTCACATGCAGTACGCGTGATCGGAACTCTTGTTCGTCCATTGCAAGAGAGGCCGTTGCTTCCTCCTATAAGACTAGTTAGGATTTCAACGCGCACGGGCTTACCCAGAAAAAAAAAAAAAAAAAAAAAAAAAAGAAAGAAAGAAAACCTACCTTGGAACTGAAAATAATATACCCAAAACCTTTGCTACCACCATCGACCTTCTTTGGAATGCGAACCAGCTCGATCGTACCATATTTAGAAAACAACTCCTTCAAGTCATCCTCTGTCGCCTTCCAATCGATATTCGAAACGTGGACTTCGCGTCCTTCGTACATCGGGCCATGACGATCCTGTTTTCGCGAGGGATTGGAGATCTTGACGACGAGATGGAGGCCATTACCGACAGTAGACCCGTCGAGTTTGGTAGCACTGTGGGCAGCTGCGGACGTTTTAAATTGAACATAACAGAATCGCCGATGTGTGTTATACTTCAAGGATGGGAATCGAATGTCCACTATCTCACCATGCTGCTATCAAGTTAGAGGAAGCGCAAGAGAGCATTCGGGGAAAGGCGGACTTACGGTACTGAGCATATCACGAATGTACTTCTCGTCAGCTGTGGGCGGAAAGTTCGTGACAAAGACAGTGCTTTCGGATCCAAAATGGACCTCAATAATGTTACCATCGATGATTTTCTGATCCCGAGTTTGAGCAGCAACTGCATCGTCTCGCGAGTTGAACTCAATCATGGCTACCTCCGAGTTTCCATCTTCGCCAGCCATCATTTTGACCCCGTTAATCGCACCGCACTAGATAGGGCCAAAATCAGTATCTATCAAGATAAGAGAGAAGGGAGAAAAGAAAATGCATCCTTACGTCACGGAAAAACTGTCGCACTTTGTGTTCGGTTATGCTGCGAGGCAGGTTCTTGACCACAATAGTCGAATGTTCACGATCCCGGCGAAGAGCCACTGTCTCATCTGAAGCCACTGACTCTGCGCGAGCTTTCTTGGTAGGCAAGCCATTTACGCTCATTTCATCCTCTCGTTTCCTCTTTTCCGCCTGCGGAGCCTCCTCCAATGGCGCGGCCTGTTGAGCCGCGGCTTCTCGGGCCTCACGTTCGCGGCGATTGTTGACCATTCTCATGGCCTTTCGGGTTTCCAGGATCGCAAGCTGCAATTCTTCAGAGTCTTCATAGTCCTCGCAGTGAGCAATATAGGTTTGCATGACTTTTTCCGGCCAATCTAGGTCTGCCCTTTTGACAGCTTGCTTTAGCACCGCTGTCGCATAGCTGGGGTTAGGAGTCCGGCGAGCAGCGTCAACAGTTGCCTCCCCCTGAACAAATTTGCTCCATGAAACCAATTCCCAATGGTAGTAGGTGAGCCAGAACTCGTAGCTGTTACCACGACGTCCAACAAGACCCTTGAATGTTTCACGTGCACTGTCCCAGCTTCCGCTCTCACTTAAGTAGCGGATGTAGATACGTTCGAGGCGGAAAAGGGGATCACCCTGGTAGGATCGACCGTACTTCTTTTCGCCCAACTCTTGGACGCTCTCAATCGCAGAGCGGATTCCCACCTCTGCAACATCAAGGTCCTCGTCTGTGGCATCGGAGAGGAAAGCGCGTCGACGAAGGTAGCTGCACCAGGAAGTATGCACCTTGAGAACCTCTTCCATTCCCCCGACATCGAGTAGACCTGTGCTCGTTGCTTTGTGCTTAATGTCGGCAATTTTAGAAAAGGGCTGGCCTTCTCTCTCCGAACTGAGTAAATACTGGGACCACAGGGTACCAGAGCCAGGACAGTGTCGAGTCGCACGGTCTAGCGTTGATATCGTCGTGGTATTTGCATTTCCATGCAGAGATTCATCGATGAGGAACATAATGAAGTCCTCCCATATGCTGGAATCGGTTTGAAATCGCAAGGCAGCGCGTTGATAAACGGAATTGGCAAGATCGAAATTAGAATGGTGTTTCCGACGATTACGGCTGAGTTCCCATTCGATGTATTCGGAGAACAGAGCCCATTCCTGGGCGCGGTCACCAGATTCAGCCACATTTCGGAGCTTAATCTCAAAGTCTTCGCGGGCTGAATACTGGTCCTTCACCAAGCTAGCATATCGTCCAGCGGTCTCTGCCATGATATTTTCATAAGTCGAATTATAGTAGGTCGAAACAAACCCGGAAAACGCCTGGAAGGTCTGGTCCCAAGTGGCGTGAGGCGTCTGCAGTCGGATATCGAAAAGATCCCTCACGCGCTCGATCCTATCCTGGGATGGATTGCGGGAAATGTCTTGCATTTGGAAGTCGAGCAGCCGGTCCCAGACCAAGTGGCTGTCGTGTATTCTCCATCTTGTTGCCTCAGCACCTCTGTGCCAAGTATCCAACACGGACTGCCAGGAGAAAACTTCACGGCCTACCAGCCTATCCTCCTCTGTCCATTGACTTTGGCTTGCATCTCCGTGGGCGGAGTTGTACAGATACAGAACCCATTCTCCATAAATGGCCCAGAGCTTAGTACTTCCATATTCTTCCTCGATTGATCGCTGGCAGAGTTCCATCACTGCGATACGTTCTTCTACCGATGACGCCAGCATACTTTCATCTTGAATCCATTCTGCCCAGAGGTCCTCACCCATGGCAAACAATTTGTCCATCTCCTCACGGGCGGTCCTCATATCTTTGAGAAGATCGTATTTCCGGGGTTCCCCATGTATATCCGGATTGTTTGGTGGGTACACATGGTTAACGAAACCAGCGTGCAGCAACTGAACGAAGTTGACATGCGCCTCGTATGATTGGGGATTATCCTGGATCCGCGAAAACAAATCCGTCGCTACCCGTTGAGCGTCGGGAAGTAAAGATGTATCCACATAGTTTCTTCGGGCGCTCTCCCGCGGACCGTCCGACATGGCGATATCAAAAGAAGATCGTGGAGTGGGGGTATTGTGCGAAATCGAGTTCACATTCGGGTACATTGTGGAGGGGGAGAGTTGGCTCTCGTAAGATTCAGTGCTCCGTAGGATTGTAGGATTGGGCCGCTGCGGTTGATGGTGTTGCATAGAAGCGAGGTCAGCAAGTGCGTCCATTCCGGGCGTGGAAGGCTGTCGGGAGGGCGGCAAATCCGTCGCTGGAGGCGTTCCGCTTCCACTGCCCATATTAGGACCAACAACAGGACTCATCGCCGTCGGAGGGGGGGGTTCAGACATGCGGGAGGGAGCGAAAACATGTTGCGCGAGAGGCGACGAGGTCATTACGGCTCTGTTCGCAGCACGGCGACCCTTCGTTACAGGCTTGGAAGTCGGAACTGTAGGAGGGACGGACGTATTACCGAGCGAGGAGGACCCAGTAACCTGCGTGGTGCGACCGGATTGTGAGTTCGCATCCTGCGGTGAAAGGAGAGAATTGATGTCCATCATCAAATCTGTTAATGGAAGATGGCGATGGACCAGGAAAAACAAGGTGCGAAAGGATACGATCCAGCCAGGTGCTGACGTAAGGGAGAGTTAAAGAGGAAATGAAGAAAGAGAAAAAAAAAAACCCTTAAAGAACTGCTACCAATCGCCTCGTCAACGAGTCCATTCCTGCTCAGCCTACAGCCTATCCCGACCTTGGAATTGTTCAAGTGTTGTCTTTCGTTTGAAGGAACGAGCTTGAGTCCCAGGACGGGATGCGCAGCTCGCGAAAGAGGATCTGGGAGGGGAGAGAGAAAGAAGAGCAATAGAGAGGGAAAAAAGTATTAGGAAACAAGAAAAAAAAACCCCCGAATGATCTTTTTTTCAACAAGAAAAATCGAATTTTCTTTTTCTTTTCTCTACTTTTCGCTTTGTTTTTCTTCCCTTGATAATAATTGAGGTAGTTGGGAAGAGGAAACTCGACGGTTCGGGCTCTCGCGAAGAACAAGTGAGGCACCGAAGACAAGACGGTCGATATCGATTCCCGTGACAAAGACGGAGGGTAAAATGGAAGCAATGAGCTTCTAGGATGAGGAGGGGAGCTGCTGAGGGAAGAAGAGAGGCAGTTAGTGGGCAGGGAACTTCCGCAGGAACGAGAGGGGAGTAAATAGTATGGATAATGGACATACAGAAAACGTGGGCACAACCTTTGATGCGCGGGTCTCTGAACGGGGGTTTCGGGAGGAATAAGAGGAAAAGGGAGAGGGAGAGGGAAGGAGAGAGAGAGAAAACAAGCAGTGAGCCGTCAGAACCAAAAAGCGATGAAGGAAGAAGAAGAGGAGGAAAGAGAACCAGTGGATCGACGCGGTGGAGATGATGAATTCAAGTCGAGGACAAGAAGCTCGGCATGACTGATGACCTTTAACTATTATATTAGTTAACTATCATATCATGGCTATGATGACTAGCATTACTACTCCTATTATTTTGAAGGTTAAAAAAATAGGTATGATGCTAGAAGATTATTTCTTACTACTACTTCTTGATTCCAACAGTCTCATTATTATGATTTGGATTATGCCTAGGTACCTGAAATCCCTCCCAATAATCAAATACTGACTCGAAGCTCCATTATAAAGAAGGTACAGGCTACCAAAGGCCGAACTTGAAGGTTCTGACTGACGGATCTGTTCTCCTAAGGAATCACAATCTGCAGATGGGGATGGTCCCTACGTCATCCAGCCACAGGAAAGGGAGGAAGGAGAAGGAAAAAAAAAAAAGGGAAAATCCTAATAGTATCCGCACATTTAGCCTGCATATTACCTACTGCTTTCTCCTCCGTACACTAGTGCTTTGACCTGGGGTGAGGGCCGAGAAAAAGCCAGACGCACAGACGAGCCCTGTCTTGCCGTTTACAGGGTACTGTACGGAGTACTGCCGAATCCAAGCGATCCACAATAATAGGTAATGGGAGGAATGGATCCTTCCAGGTGCTCCTGGGTTCCTGAGCTCGAGGGGAGACTTGAGTATGTCAATATATATCTCAGCTGTACCTAGGTCGACTCGCACGCTGAATGACCGAATATCGCAATCAGGCTCAGGAGTCAGTCTGCGAGAAGCTCAGACGCTTTGACAGAGTAGGAGAAGCATAATTCCCAATCGGGTTAATCGTCTGGTGTTTGGCGAGCAACATTATCCAGGTGGTCAGCCCATGAAGGAACTAATCAGATTGTCGAACACTCACTTGCCTTTAGTTTTGGGAGTCGGGAGGAAGGACAGGCCGTGATGTCATGGGATTTGGTCAAAATTGAGATGTACAAGTACTCCTAAAGATAGAATGAATAATATTCAGCGGGTTGACATGGTGTGGAGATACAAACAGTGTACTCCGTAGTGATCGATGATTGTACGGAGCAACGTGGATGGAAGCCTCAGGCACCAAGGCACTCATACGGCAACCGGTAGCCACCTAACACGCACTGCCGGAGACACCAACTTTTTTCCTTCTGGACTCCGAAGCAAATCGCCAGCTCTGGAAGTTGTTCATCCCAATGGCTACAATGGGTGCGTTATATCCCTATGGGCATCTCATCCGGTCAGGTAAGTTTCCTTATTGGGTTTCAATCCATTTTTGTGCTATCCTTACCTCGAATTCCCCCTAATCTACTTCTCAATTCATAGCCCGACCCGGAATCGCCTACGTGCCTCGCCGCTCCTTTGTCTACACACCCTGCCGCCGTGTCCAGGAAGGGGACAATAATACTTCCAGTGAGAAGCCGGGTCCCGAGTCCAAGCCATCCGCCCTTTCTTCCATCAAGAACTTCTTCTTTGGTGGCAAGTCTGATGTCGCTAAGCCTAAGATCACTCGCCGAGCCAACGCTCCTCTAAAGCGAGAAGGTTCCCTCAGCGCAGACTCAATTTTCGCGGAAGATGAGGCAACCCCCAAACTTATTGCATCTGGTCGAACGCCAGCGGCACGCAAGCAAGCCGCCCCCTCTGCCGAAGGAGAGGGCGAAGCAATCCTCGCAGTGGAGCAACGCAATAGATCGAACATGCAGACCGTCCTGGATCCCCGTCCCCAGGCTCGAATCCGCTGGGAGCGTAAGATGGTCGTGCGGGAGATCCGGCGTCGTGGACGTCTGACAAAAGTGGAGAAGATCATGCGTACAGAGCGTGAGTCGGTCTCTAAATCGCACTGGTTCAAGACCTCGGTCAAGAAGCTGGGTCCGCTGGCTCGCCAGATTGCTGGAAAGAACATTGATGAAGCCATCCTGCAAATGCGATTCAGCAAGAAGAAGGCTGCCAAGGACATCCTGGAGCATCTTAAGCATGCGAAGAATGTTGCCATTGTGCGCTCTGGTATGGGCCTAGGCGCTGCGGAGGCTGCAACACAGAAACCACTTACTGTAACCCTCAAGTCCGGCGAGCGCAAAACCATTACCGACCCTACCTCCATCTACGTGGAACAGGCGTGGGTCAACCGAGGGCCTTACGGAGTTGACTACGACCACCGTGCAAGGGGACAGATCAACCGCCTGCGTCCCCCATACACTTCGCTGTCTGTTGTGCTGAAGGAAGAGAAGACACGAATCCGCGAATGGCAGGAGCGGGAGGCTGAAGCCCTGCGCAAGCGCAAGGCCCAGCTCTGGACCCAACTTCCGGACCGGAAGATTTCTGCACAGAACCAGTACTACAGCTGGTGATTCCTCCCGCACTATTAGTCCCAGTCTTCTCCGGGCCAAGCGATGGTTTTATTTGGCGTTTTGTATTATTTAGACCTTTGGGAAGCACTCCATTTGGCCGGATATCACTCCTACTACCTCTTTTTCTTTTTTTTTTTCCCTTTGCATACTCATACTCACGCGCCTCTAGTTGTGGTTTGATGGACAACTCGAAAATTTCCTTCATCGAGCTCTGGTTCTAAAAACCACGCTCGAATATGTACAATATTGAATATACATGACATTACCACAATTCATCTAGACTTGAGAACCACCACACCATATCATCCATCTCTATGTTTTACGTTTCGTCCCACCTTCCACTACCCCCAGAATATATTCTCAACTATCTACCCAAACATCATATCTGTTTTTTTCCAGACTTAGAACCCAACCCGACACTCCGGCGCAGGAAACCACGGCTCACCAGGCATCTCCGGCGCCGGTCCCAGTCGCCTCACCCCCCTCACCAAAACCGGAATCACCGCCCCAGTGGCCAACGGAAACTCGCGATGCCCAACGACATTCAAAATACTAGTGATCGCGCCCGAATGCGCCGTCAGCGAGAGAAAAGTGTTTCCGTCCCGCGCAACGATATCCAGCAGCAGGTCTCGGAGACGCGCGTCTCGAGCGGAGTTGGACTCCCGGAGTTTCGCATCGTAGAGCGGGTCTTCTTCGCTGAAGCCGGATTCGAATTGGAAGTCGGGGTATTCGGCTGAGATGGCGGATTTGGGGGAGCGGCTGTCGCAGGTGTGTAGGCCTAGGGTTTCGCGGAGGAGCTGTTTTGTTTGTTTGTTTTTTTTTTTAATTATTATTATTTTTTGTTTTAGAACAGAGTAAGTGGGTTGTTTAGTGTGTGTCATTTCCGTGGCTGTGGGAGGAATGGTAAGGTGCATACTTCTTTGATAATAGGGCGAAACGGCTCAGTGTGAGGAAGACCCAGCAGTCCCTTGAACGTGACACTGGCCGTCGCGAGACAGCGATTTAACGGACTAACGTAGTAAGACTGTGGCGCGGGGATTTTATGCCGGGCTTGCTTTTCCCAGGCATCGTGGGCGATTTGGGCCTGGGCGATACCTAGCTCGGTGAGACGGGCATCTACCCAATTTCCATGTTCATCGCCGTCTTGGAGGGACCAGTAGCACTAGAAATTGTTAGTTTGCTTCATTCATGTGGTTTGGGTTTCTGTTATGTGTAGTTCTAGTAGTTCAGAAAGGGGTACAGGGCGTTGTCCGTACATCCCAAAGCTCTGTTCCGTATCGGCTCTCAGCGACATTATGAACGCCCTCTCCGTGGCGTCCGAGGAAGAGCAGTTTAAAGCATACGTCGGGATTACTTTCGCGGTTCATCTTGTCAATCGTATATGCGAGTCGCTCCCACTGTGTCTTTTGGCCATCTGGGTCGAATTCCGCATCAGAGTCATACGTGCGAGAAATGAGGCCGAAGTTGGACGCAACCTGATCTATGCATCAGGGACCATTCAAAATATATGGAACATATGGGGTACTCACATAATCGAACGTAGCTGGGTCGGTGGAATCCTCGTCCTGGAGGAAGTACCCTGTTACTGTAGAGAATTCGAAATGAGACTCGGATGGCGCCATGGCTTGCTTCCAGGGAAAGTTCGTGCTGCGAGCGTTAGCTAGGCTTTTCTACTGGGAAAATAAGTTGTCTGTACCTCTAAAGTTGGATGCGCTGAAAGGATGTTTGTTCAGAAAAGTCATGGGTCGTGGGTGCGCGGGCGGAGGGAGCCCAATCCTTGCTGGCCTCAACTGGCGCATTAGTCTTAATACTGTACGATCCTTCTGAGCTTCCGTGTACGTACAAAGATTCATGAGAAACTATCCAAGTCGGGGGGGACTTTAAGAAAAAAAGAGACGCAGATATCTCATATTCTACAGGGAATAAAAACACGATTTTATAATATCATGCCTCTTCAAGGCTCATTAGGGCTCAACAACAGAAGTACATAGAAAATCGCTGAAAGACCTGACACGTAAACAGCTACCCGATCAGAAACCTATTAACTAAAAAAATAATAGCAACCCGGCACACCCAATGGGCGGAGGACTCAAAAAAAGAGCCCAATTCCCTTCCGAGAACGCATGTAAAGTCCAGAAGAGAACATGAAAAGTCTACCGAAGATACTGCCCGCAAGAGAAGATAAGGCCGACGAGCCTTGCCAAAATGAAAGCAGTCCAATCGTGGTCTTGTGAACGACTGTTCCCGCTTGTTTCGCACGAGAAATGCCTGCAATTTTGGGGAGTTGTACGGTTGAAGCGTCGCGGTTGACAGACGAAGGTCGAGAATCTGCCAATTCGCATAGCGGTTGGAGAGACCTCCGTTCGAGAGGCCGGATCTTGAACTGGTGCTTGCCTGAGCTGGCTGTATATCCGGAAACTGCGAAACTGGCGGGAGTATTTGACAAGCTGCTTTCTCCAGGTGGAAATGGGTGAGGGCTCTGTGATATCACTGAACACTGAACACCCGCTGGTACAAGCGGCCTGACAGAGCGAGTAGGGGATAGATCCGGCCTGGGCACCCTGGCTGGCTGCATTTCTGGTGAAGATGGTTGGATCACGTTTGCAGATTTCGCGGCGTTCATGACATGACGTTGTAGAGGTGGATTGGTGTGTAGTTGTTGGCTGTTGAAGTTCAGCCCAAGTGCCCTGTCGGGACCAACACTTGAAGATCCATTTCCGCTGAGATGGGATACTGCTGCCTTCTCAAGACAGTCACACTAAGCATAATTAGCATAAGATACTCTTTTTTATCTCTCAAAACCAGCAACTTACCCTCTTGTGCTGCTTTCTGTGTTTCTCGCAAACCCCGTATTTACGGGCTTTGATGTAGTTTTCTTTCTGAGCCCGCGACCTTGGCTTTTGCTTCCTTGGCACATTTGTGGTCATGTTCATGTTGAGATCTAAGACCAATTGCATCCCCGTAGCCGCAGATTCTGATGCAGAGCTGGGGGTGGATGACTTCTGGGTGGTATCCGAAAGGGGAGGGGACGCCGGGCTGAGACAGGAACGATTATGAGGCGGTATTCCAGGCGGCGTGTCAGGCCAATATGGAGACGGAAAACTCTTGTTTGAATAAGACTGCGAATCTGAATCCGAGGCAGAAGCATTTTGAAGACGTTGCATGTGTAGAGCAATGGACGCCTCTCTTCGCTTCTCTTTCTGGGAGGAGCAACGTGGATCCAAGGCAGCGGTGGACTCAACTATTTGTCGAACAGAAGAGTAGAAGGGGTCGTTAAGATTTGGCGTATCGGAAAACCACATGCTATCGAGCCCTGACCCCATATGCCCTTCCTGAGGTGGAGGAGTGGGCTGGAAGACATCGTTAGGGTTGATGAAGGACTGGGAAATGTCTGATGCAGGCTGCGTGACCTCTTCCAGTGTAGGCTCATAGCTCACGAATTCAGAGAACAACTGCTGGGATGGCATTATAGGACTGGAGTCCCAGTTAAATACTTCAGCATCGGTGAGGGAAAGATCGTAATCTCGAGGAGAAATAGAGTTGACAGAGGTAGGGTTGCTGTCGAAATAATCTAACGGGAATGCAAACAGGTCGTCAAGGTCGAGCCATTCTTCTTGGCGGATAGAATATTCCATTGGATAAAGCAATGGGTCTGCAGACATTTTGAAAGAGCGATTCAAGTTCAACAGAAGGCGATACTGTCTAACGTTGTGGGACGGGTATAGTCCGTGAGCCTCAGGCTGAGAATCGGGAGCGCGACGAGATGCTCGACTATGTCGAAGGGCCACAAGGCTATGCTTTGGCAGGATAAAAAAAAGAGAGATGCCGGTTTTTGTCGAGAAGGTTGTCTCCTGACTAAGAAGCGATGGAGAAAGACTTCTGTTGTCTCTGTGGAAAAAGGAACAGATGAATCCAAAGGTCAACAGCGCATTGAGGGATGTTCTTGATCCTGCGTCTTAACCGCTATTCCTCTTCTGGGACCCCGACCAGATCTCCCTAAGCCTCTTTGGGACCCCGACGGCGGGGAGAATGTGGCTGTGCTCAGGCAACAAGGTATCTATCTTCAGCAGAGCAGCGAATTGATTCTTTCTCTTGGGTATAAACTATGTTTTCTTTCTGATGCTATTGGTTCATATGTGATGCCTATGCACCAATCATAATATTCTTTGGAATTCGCAAATGATGTCTGGACACGGCCCGCACCTCCATAGACCTCTCACCTGGGCATCTAGATTAGGCCCGAAAATCATACGATATCATTGTTAAATTGCTGCAGAAGCACCATTCGTTCCTTTCCTTCTACTTCATCATTAAATATGGGCTAGCTAGCAACTCTTACGTCATTTGTATCTGATAAGATATTGAAAGCTTACTTGGGATATGCATAACATAGCCTGAGAACCGGTCTACTCAAAGCCATTAAATTCTGAACCTGCACACACCTATTACTATCACTCCAGAGAAGGGATCTAAATTGGCCAGAGAGTTTGCTTGGAAATGATAATCAGGCTATCAGAGACGTTTTCTTTGGATCCCTTCTTTCTACCACTCTATAATTTTGATCTCCTACAAAAAGTAAGTGTAACATGCTGAAATTGCATATTTACTGCGCTTGGGAATCTAATATCATGAACACCATCAAAAACAAAAAAAAAAATGCAGGAAAAAAAAAACCACACGACTAGAGTACAGCTATTCAGAAGTTCACCAAAAAAAACCCCCCTCCTAACAATTTATGATCCGGGACACAAACACTTTTGGGAGATATATGGACGGTTCCAATTTGCACCAGCTGGTATGTTATAATAACCTTCAAGCCTGAGCACTCTCCTTGGGGAGCTCCTTCTCTGTTCCTGCGAGATTTGTGGCAGTAGCGGCAAGCCTCTTCGATTTATAATTCTTGATAGCGGCTCCGACGGCATCTTCGGCAAGGAGAGAGCAATGCACTATAAACCATTCAATTAGTTACCGAGCACCAGATAAATCGAACACCAATATACTAACACTTCACAGGTGGCAGGCAGAGTTCAGAGGCAATTTGGGTATTCGAAATCTTAGCCGCTTCATCCACTATTGTCCATTTATCAGTTTCCTCAATCCATATAGTATCCATTTGGAACCAGAAGGCTTACAGCTCTTTCCCTTCAATAGCGTTGTCAGATAACTGGAGCTAGCGATAGCGGAGCCACAGCCAAAGGTCTTGAACCGAGTCTCAACAATTTTTCCGGTGGCCTCGTCGACCTGGATGTCAAGTCGGATAACGTCACCACAGGCTGGGGCACCGACAAGGCCAGTACCAACGTCCAAGGATTTACGATTCAGGGAGCCGACATTGCGAGGGTTCGTGTAATGGTCGATCAGTTTAAGGAAGTTAGCTATACAAACAAAGGCCGAGGTAATGACGAGGGGGGTACATATCTTTTTCGTGGTAGGCCCGGACCATTGATAGGGATGGCGACACGACACTGCGGCCGGACACACCGGGTCGAAGCGCATTCGACGCACGGAGGGCAGTTCTGATGGACAACATTGTTTTGGATGTGAAAATCTGATGATAGGCTGCTGCTGGAAGAGAGTCTGTGATGAGTCGGGAGCAGAGGAGCGGACGTGGGCTCTTATCAGATCCGCGTAAATTTGTGGCCACCCTGCTTAGGAAGCAGTCAGGTGAAGGGACTTTCCTCAAATAGGCTTAGCCTATGATATAATCTGCATCCAGCCAATCACACAGGACGAATTTCCCGAGCTCACGGCTTGGCTCTTCAGCTCCGAAGTCCGAACTCCGAAAACAGAAAAGTGCGAACGGACCCCCACCCGAGACGGGGTAAGCGCGCTCTTTCCCTAATTGGGGTTTAGCTTAGCATCGTCGGCTCGAAATCGCTCAGGCGTAGTAGGGAATTTTCGCAATGGACGGGTGAAGGAGATCTCAAAGAAAGATTTCAAAACAGAGTTAAAGAACTTGAGGTACCGTAGGGAAAATATAGTTAATGTGAAGGCGTGCTTCAAAGAGAATGAAACTGTCCAAACAAAGAGGCCATAAGCAAATAGCGACGGTTCCAACAAAGAAGTCATGGTTGATAGGAAACAACGGCTCAAGCCTCTCGAATCCTAGTACTATTCTTAGGTATGCTCTGAAGATAAAATTGAATATTTAATGATTGCATCTTATCCTCCCTTCGGTTCCCCAGTAAACTACGAGGCCCTCTCGGGAAAGGAAAGAATCCAGTTAACTTCATTTGAATTACTTTCGACATCCTATGGGTGATATTTTGATTAAAGATCCTTCCAATATGACTGAACTTTTGCCTCTGATTACGGCCTTCGATGATGATGGAATGCCAATCGATCTGAAACGAAAAGGCGATGACTCGTCCGGAGAAGAAAACCAACATCTGAGAAAGAAGAAGCAGAAGAAAAACACGACAGATGAAGACAACCCCTCATACCCTCCCGAGGCCGACGAGAAAGTCTCAAAGCTGGTCTCGAATATTCTTGTGTCCATCTACTTTGACGTTAATTATGTTTCTATTATCCACAACGTTATTAAATGGAGCCCCATGCCTTCAACTTTGACGTACTATCGGTTGCAGTACCGGGAAGGCACTACCCTCCTTGACAAGGCTGTTGCTAAGATCCTGCACTTAGTAGGTGACCAGTACGCGGAGCCCCGTGAGCCCACAAGGCTCCTTAGCCGTCTCGAGCGGTTCGTGAATGAATTGGGCTGGAAGATCTTTGCCATTTGTTTGCTTTCAGAGGGGTTCCGAAGGGCCTGTCGAGAAACAGTCTATGGAACCATTTGGAGCGCGCTCATCGCAAAAGTCAAAGAGAATTCCTGGAGCCTGGAGGTCTATGCTCGCTCGCGCAATCTTGACTGGCGTGGCCTCTTGCTTAAGTTCGCGCACATTGGTGTGCCAGGTCTTTCCAATGATCTTAAACCAGCCCGTAAGATGTGGGACAAGCACCCTCACCACACAGTCCAGGACTTCGGGAATAAAGTAAAGAGAGCGAGATATGAAGAGAAGGCTCAAGTCCACATCGACCAGAGTACGTTCGACCCCCATAAGTGGGACGAGATGAAGGAAGACCCGACTCTCCGCAAGGCACAAGATGGACAATGCTCTCTTTGCTTTTCCAAGAAGAATTGCAGGTGCACCCTGGATCCTTGGGCAGGAAGTCTAGTTGAGCTAGTTCAGCGGCCAATAACAGGAGTGGGAGTGCGCGCGTTGACCAATTTCAAGAAGGGAGATATCCTAGGGCAATTTGCCGGTGAGATTTGCCCTCCCGACTATGCGGAGGATAAGGTCTATTCGCTCGCTCAGACGGCCAAGGGTAACCCGACTATTATCGCTACTATCTCGCCCCGTCAATTTGGAAACTGGACTCGCTATATTGCTCATTCTTGCAAGGCGTCGACTTGGTTCTTCTCCAGGACGGTTGGGGATCGGACTATGGTGACGGTGGAGGCGATTCGGGATATTGCCGCCTTCGAGGATATTACCGTCGACTATGGGGAGGGCTATTGGATTGGTCGGGAATGTATGTGTGGAGAGGCTTGCTGTGTAAGTAAGGACAAAACTGAGGGGGGGAGCTCTACGGATTAGTCGATTGGATTTCATGTTGTATTTCAGTCTTCAACTAGGTAGTTTCGTTAATGCGGTAGAATACATATGTTCCATGGCTCCATCCGTGGCGTAATACTACTTACTTATTTAGAGAAGGTTAGCTGCAACCTCGGGTCACCAGAGGCCAGAACATCATTAAGGTATAAGCGTAATACATCAACTATTATTGTACGAATGAGAATGAAGCTTAACCCCGCATTTTGGCTACAGGTCAAATGAGGGGAAACAAATAATATATACACCACTACGGTCAGCTTCCCTTTCAGTTCTATTTCTCTCATTTTGATCTACCATCTGTTCTCTTGATATACTCGGTATTGACAACTTAATTCCTTGCCGTTGTGTTCTTCCAACCTCTGCGATAATACTGGCAGCCATTCCTTTCCATCTAACCCCCTCGCGTTCAGCCGACGATAACCGAATAGCGGTGTATACAGACATTCCTTGCAATATATGACACCGAAGGGAGAGCTCAAAGTGTTACTTTGGGGCTATCCTTTGTGATCCAGGGCTAGTGAACGATAATAGCTCTTATTCGTCGTCAAAAAGCATGGTTTCTCGGGTCCAATAATGTTACAAATGCGTCTACAATCAATGTCATACGGGGGTCTCATACTTCGCTGGAGACCCCTGCGGAAATCCGACTACCTTCAGTCTCATACACTCGCCGTTCAATCGGGAAAGCGAGGGGTTTTAACACAGAGCTATACCCGGGGTCCAACCGAGGTATGCCAATACTGAGGCTCCTAGAACCTAGCATACGCCCGACGCTTACATAGAGCTAGCCCCCTTTGCTCGAATGCACCATTGGAGAGCACTTTTCCAAAATTGTGAAAGCATATGGAGATAGAACAGCGTCGGTTGCTCTCTTTGCTTTTAGTCCTTTTTTTGGGGGGGGGGGGGGGTTCTTCTTCATAACCTACGCAATGCTAATACCAGTTCAGGGTTGTTTCCAGACATCAGAATGACAGAGCGACTTATACCAGTCTTGACGCTAAGAGCAATGCACTTGCTCGAGGGTTAGATTCCGTAGGGGTGCACAAAGGAGATCGTGTGGCAGTCATGCTGGGGAATTCTATGGAGCATGCTATTGTATCCTACCCCAGTCTGAGAGACATCATAAACAAAATGGAGGACGAGGCTTACCATATGTTACACAGGTGACTTACGCTTTGTTCAAACTTGGGGCCATCCTAGTATGTATATTAAACTTGGGCTTCTAAGATTCATCTGACACATACACCTAGGTACCGATTAACCCATCCTTCAATGCAACCCAAGTCGTCGCGGCCCTGAACCATCTAGGAACCAGCCACATGATAATTAGCTCTGAATCAAACCTTCCGCGGAAACAACCACGGAGTAATGTCCCTCTGCTTAAACATCTGGTCCAAGACCTTACCAGCACAAAGCTAGAGTCGGCTGTAGCCCCAACATTAAAGAATATAATTCTGGTGGATAACTCCTCGGGTCGCATCGAAAGTTCGTCATATCAAAGTCTAACCACATATTCATCAATCATGTCTGAAATCGCAGCGGACGGAACCGGTTTACCACCTCGAGACCTATCGCCCCAAGAGGTTGTGAACATCCAATTCACCTCCGGGACCACAGCTATGCCAAAAGCAGCATGCCTCAGCCACCGCTCTATCCTAAATAACGGGTCCCAGATTGGTGACAGAATGCGGCTCACCGCAGCGGACATCGTATGCTGTCCTCCACCCCTGTTCCATTGTTTTGGGTCTGTCCTAGGGTACATGGCTACTGCAACGCACGGGTCAGCCATCGTATTCCCAACAGAGGCTTTTGACGCACGCGCAGCCTTGAGAGCAGTCCAAGAAGAGAAATGTACCGCATTATATGGGGTCCCCACCATGTTTCTCGAAGAACTGGGCCTTCTTGAATCAGGTGAAATCCCTTATGAAGGATTCCAGTATCTCAGAACAGGCATTGCAGCCGGGAGCAGCATCCCCGCGGAACTAATGAAGAAACTGCACAAGATCTTGAATCTCACGGAATTAACTATCTGCTATGGAATGACCGAGACGAGCCCTGTGTCTGCCATGACGACAACAGATGACCCTCTCGACAAGCGAATTAACACAGTTGGCCGGCTTATGCCGCATGTTGAAGCGAAGATAGTAGATACCACTGATCATAACAAGATTCTTCCTATCAATACTCGCGGGGAATTGGCGGTCACTGGCTATCTCTTGATGAAGGAATATTGGAATGATCCTGAAAGAACCTCTCAGTTTATGCTCCGGGATAATGATGGGAAGGTCTGGATGCATGTGAGTTTCTTCCATTTGACTGCTTCTCGTACTCCATAACTACAGGCTCATAAAAATGACTAACCCTACGAAACGCTAGACCGGCGATGAAGCATCCATGTCACCAGATGGTTACATCAGTATAACCGGCCGTATAAAAGACCTCATCATTCGTGGTGGGGAGAACATCCACCCTCTCGAAATCGAGAACTGCCTCCTCACGTTTCCCGGGGTGGCTGACGTATCAGTCGTCGGTGTACCAGACGAACGATACGGCGAAGTCGTCGCCGCATTCATCATCTCCAAAGAGCATGAACAGGATGAGGCAGCTACAGGTGCAGCGATAAGGGAATTTGTCGGAGATAAATTGAGTAATCATCTCGGTACGCATTTGAATCTTCCCCGTGAAAAAAAAAAAAAAAATAGCGCACTGACCACGAGTGATGGCTGGGGCAGTACCGAAATACATCTTCTTTCTTAAACCATCCGACTCGTTTCCTAAGACTGCAAGTGGCAAGATTCAGAAGTTCACCCTTAGAGAAACGGCTGCTAAGCTTCTTGGCTGGAATTAGCCAGCTATCTTCTTGGAGTTGGATGGATGTCTCATGGATGAAGTCGTGATCGGGTTGCTTATGGGCATGTTTGGAATGTTTATACCGATTGATGTATCAGAAAAGCGTATATATCAAACAACGAACACCCAATACATATTATCCTTCCTGAGTATCCAATCGATGTGCACTACAGTTTAAAAAGAAGGGTATCTATTATACTAGGTATGATCTGGCGTCTCGATTCATATAAAACGTTCATACAAATTGACGTGAAACGGTTCAAGTTGTGTATAATAAGCATTAAACATCGTGATATGCACTATGTAGCATTAGTATAACCCAGTATTCAAGGTCTTCTTGTAGCTGGTTCCTTTGCGGGAACAAATACATATGGGGTGATATATTCCCATCATGCCGGCTAGAGGGTAGGTAAACTACACCCAAGTGATATTCCATGTTTGTGGAGAGGAGTTTTCGACCGAGCCTTGAGAGAAAACCTTGGGTCACACACATCCTGTGCCAAAAAAAAAAAAAAAAAAAAAAAGGGCATAGATCTGTTGGTCTCGGTCCACTGACCGAAGTTCCAAGCGCGGAGCTGGTAGTGGTATAGTAGCAATTCAGTGTCGCCCGAATCCAAGGTCAAGTCAGGAAGTCTGTACTGTACGTATCCCGGCCCACCGCAGCGTGTCACTGGCACCTGTTCACAATTTCCAAGGTAGAGAGAGAGAGAGAGAGAGAGCTCCATGATAGACTCAGAAATCTTGAATACCAGTCTCACCCTGTAGGTGCGATTTCGCATCTTCGCCCTCCGCCCCCTCAACGACCCACTCCGGCTCTTCGTCCTCAAAGTACTTTTCTTGTTCCTCGGACCAGTCGTCGTACTCATCGTTATCATCAACCGCTAAATAGTCAAAATCGGCATCCTCTCCTCTCAAAAACCGGAGAGTCATTTCCCATTTCCAAGCCTGTTCTCCGTCCTCCTTGTTCGTCGGGATCTCATCTCGCTCTTCCGCGAGAATCTCCCCGTTCGGTCCACGGGTGTAGCTGAACATCGCGTGAGGGTCGGGGTGAGAAAGGGCCTCCAGTTTCGCCTCCGATCGAAGGATATCTGCTTGTAATACACCCGAGAATCCTTTCGCGCGGCCCTCGGCTTCCCGTTCTGCGGGGGTTTGGAATCGTCGGATCAGGCGATCATAAAGTAGGGGGTCTGCGATTCCCGGGGGGGTATTATTAGCTCTAAGACACAGAACGGATTCCGGGCTCAAATGGCAAAGATATCTAGAGAGATAGGTGGATATATATGCCGCGATCAGCCAGAAAAAAAGAAAGACAGAGCAAGCGGACCGGCGAGCTCAAGGTCAGCAGAGAAATACTCTGGGTGCATGTCCAGGTAGCGTTTGCGACGGTTCTTGACCTGTGTGGCGGGTGAAGGAGGAGGATGCATCATGGAACTGAACGAAGCTGTGCTGTCTCTTCGAGAAGGGCCTGACTCATCTTGAACGCCAGTGCCCATTGGAAAGAAAGGCATAGTGGGGTGATGAGAGTAGAGCTGAAAAGGTTGAAGAATAGGTAGATACTATGATACTATGTATGTATTGGGAAGTAGTAAGTAGCAATCTGAGCTCGGAAACGGGCGGCAAATTCCACGCCGTCTTTTTGTCTCCGCCAACAAATTATTATGATTCTCGACCGCGCAAAGGGACCTAAAGACGACCAACCCACACTCTAGCTCGTCTCATTGGCCCAAAGCATGGTCGTTCGTCTCTTGATCTGAAGAAAAGGACATGTAAGAGCACCTCCTGTCTGTTTCATATCTATTGTAGCGGTTTCCTAGGGGGCTGCTGTCCTGGGCAGTTTCGCTTTTACTTAAAAGGACAAGACTTAACAACTGTCTTTACATGAAGATGAATTGACTAAAAATAACCCCTTAGGAAAGCTTCCCTGATCTAATCGGATCTTGAAAAGGGGAAAAAATCCCAGCTGCGTCGTTGCTAGATCTCTGGAACCATGTCTCCCTTCAGAAGCATTTACCAGCAGGACACTACCAGGCAGCTGGTGGTCGGTGCAGCCCTGCTGGTCCTGACTGCTTTCTACTCGCCAGTCTTTGTTCTGTCGCTGGCTCCTGTTTATGGGTCAACGCCGTCCCATATCTTCCATGGCTATGGCGTCGCTATTGCGGGTGCAGCTGGCTGGTTCGCAAAGGACCATATTCATCGCCTGTCTGGCCGTCGAGCTGTATATCTGCTTCCTGTAATTGCTTTCTGGATTCCCTCTTTCCAGTCCTTCTTACTTCACCAGAGCTCCTCATTTGGGAACCCAGTCGGCCCTGTTATTACGGAAGTACTTGCGTTGTACCCCCTGGTACTGCTCTCCGTCGCCTGCGCTGGCAAGCTGGTACAATCAGGTCTGGATCTGAGCAGGCACGGTGAGATTGCAGCAGAGCATGTCCCTCTGCTGACCTCTTATATTGTTTACTCGGGTGGCGAGTACATCGCCAAAGCAGTTATCGCCAAGTGCCTAGGAACCACCTTTCTGTTCTCGCGCACCGGCCTTCAGCTCCTCATTGCTGCTCTGTATTCTGCCGTTATCCCATCCAAGATCCTTCTCCTGGCCATCCCGTCTATCCTGTTCTCCTTTACCTCGAACGTGCATCTGCCGCTTGGACGCACGACAGCTGCGCTGAACTCTGTCATTGGCGAAGAGGGCTTCACTCTCGTGGCCCGTCAAGATTCCAACACGGGCTACATCTCCGTGCTGGATAATCTCGATGATGGCTTCCGGGTAATGAGATGTGACCATAGCCTTCTCGGAGGACAGTGGACCAAGGGACGCCCCAACTACACTCCCCCCACCGTCAAGGATCCTATCTACGCCGTGTTTACCATGCTCGAAGCTGTTCGCCTAATTGAGCCCGAGCACGTAGATGCAAACGCCAAAGCCCTCGTGATGTAAGCATTTCGAACACACTCCTTCTGTCATCCTCTTGAAGTTGAAAGGGAAAAAAAAAAAAAAAAAAAAAACTCATAATACCCTAGCGGACTTGGAATCGGCACAACCCCAGGCGCACTAATCAGCCACGGCATCGACACCACCATCGTCGAAATCGACCCCGTCGTGCACAAGTTCGCCGGGCAATACTTCGGCCTCCCATCCAACCACACCGCCGTCATCGAAGACGCCAGATCTTTCGTCCACCGCTCATCCGAGTCCACTCACCCGGCACAATACGACTACATCGTCCATGACGTATTCACTGGCGGCGTCGAACCCATTGAACTCTTCACCTACGAGTTCATCAACAGTCTATCTGCCCTCCTAAAAGACGACGGCATCATTGCCATTGTAAGCAATCCATTCCCCCTCTTCCTACCTACCTACCTACCCACCTACCCATCCACCCATCCATCCCAACCACCATCTCCAAATCAATCAACTAACCGAAAAATTACTATCCAGAACTACGCCGGTGACCTAGCTCTCTACCCGGCCGCCCTCGCAGTCCGCACCATCCAAGCCGTGTTCCCCTCATGCCGCCTCTTCCGCGAGGAAGCCGCCTCCGAAGTCGGCCCCGATTTCACAAACATGGTAATCTTCTGCAAGAAGACCCCCAACTCCCCGATCCAGTTCCGGGACGCAGTCCCCGCCGATTTCCTAGGCAGTAAGTTCCGCGCTACTTACCTTGTTCCCAAGCATGAGATGGATCCCGTTCGGTTCGAGAGCATCGAGAAAGGCGGGCGACATGTCCTGCATGAGAAAGAGGCCGGAAGACTTCATAAATACCAGGATCGGGGAGCGTTGGAACATTGGGCGATTATGAGGAAGGTGTTGCCGGATGCGGTTTGGGAGAATTGGTGATGTAATTTTATTTTCTTCAGTTCCTCCTTCTCCGCCTTGCTCTTCTCTCTCTCTCTCTCTCTCTCTCTCTCTCTCTCTCTCTCTCTCTCTCTCTCTCTCTCTCTCTCTCTTCCTAGGTTTGGTTGATGTTAATATATTTATTTGCATGTGGATATACTATGTAACTAACCATTTCGCGCATTTGATGGTTTTTGTAAATTTTTTTTTAACTATTTTGTATTAAAAACAATTTGCTATCATTTAACTATCAGAAACAAGAAAAAAATTAGGCTTGTAATGATGATGATATGATTATTTAAGTAGATAATGGTGCTAAGACAGTCTTTATATCACATAGCTATCAACAACCCCCCTCCCCATTGAAAATATACTAGAAAAAGGTATCTACGCTAACCATAATCAAAAGTGAAATAGGGGTATGTAGTATGTACTGAACGAATGGAGTGTACGAGTATCGCCATCGCATTGTTCCTTTGATGGTCCTCTTGAACAGATGGGCTGAATAGGATGGACAATAAGGTATCCAAAGCCAGATAGATGGATGTCAACGGTGGGTATTAAGGAAGCGATGGAAAGGAAAAGAAACAAAAAGGGAAAGAAATCAACGAGGCCTCCTTGTGCAATCCCAGACATAGGACAGGGGAGATAAAGCGATGCGTAGATAGAAGTGAAGAATTGCTCGGGTAGCATCACATCACATCACGCATTTACACCGACGGGCTGCCACGAGGGCTCCCTCCAGGTTTTTTGACTAAACCTGCAAAGAAGTTGGCCAGTGCCTGATTGTGTGCTTTCTCATCACCGGGTGAAGAAACAATCTCCTTTCTCTGGGACCGATTGGCCTCTCGTTCCTGTAGTATCAAAGGTAAGTATTCATTTTTATCGACAAGAAGATATTCATGTACTCACCTTTAGCTTCCGCAGCATGTCGTCGGCATCAACTTGGATTCCTCCCATGTTGAATTGCACAGGGCCAATGTGTTCATTAACCCGCCCATTATCTTCCAAAGGAGACATTTCCAGCTGAGGCATCTTCTTCACCGCACGGTCTTTCTCATCCTCGATCTTCAGTTGCTCCAGAACCTCCAGCTGCTTAGTTAGAAAACCTTGCATATCAGAAGTTTCGACTTCGACCTTATTTCCGCCTTGCTGGCTTCCTGGCTGTGCCGTTGAATTGTCTCTCTTAGGGTCTTTAATGGTTTGCTCATAAATCACAACTGCGCTTGTTCCATCTTCCGCTGCTGAAACACCCTCCTTGGGCGTTTCTTCGTTTACACCATTCGCAAGTGGCTCGGGAAGGTCCTGAATTTCAATAGACCAAGCTGTCGATATGCCTTCCATATCGAATCCTTCTCGAATAATCCGAATTTTACCCCACGAGTCCCAGTTCGTGGGGACAAGGATCTTGTCGCGGTCGATCACATTGTGTTTGAGTGACTGTCTTTTCAGTAGAGAGTGTATGCCAAGGGAAGAGTGTAGTAAACTTTGAAGAGAGTTGGCGAGAAATGGTGTGGTATAGATAAGAGAAGAACCGTCTTCAAGCTGTTAGGACGCCGCTTCGAAAAAAAAAAAATTAAGGGAGATAGCAGCCTTACGTTTAAGTAGAATTGTTCGCAAAAACTGGAGAATGAAGTCGAACTCTTCCTCATGCCAGCCGTGATCTTTCTCCAACTTTTCAATTTTATCGGCCTGTAGCCCCGAGGACTTGTTAGCAACCCTTCGTACGACACGTTTATTCGGAGAATGCGTACCCCTTGGCAGACGACACAGAGAGGAATTCCCAATCCTTCATCCCATTCACCAGGTCCGAGAGGTATCGTGACAGGGCCACCGGAGCTAGTTAGCGCTTGCGATCCCGTAGAAGCAGAGTCCACGCCCCTTTTCCGGTCCCTCCACTCGGTCATATTTTCTTCCATCACAATCTTCGTTTCGTCATCAAGCGAGATCAGGACGTGGCGTAGGAGGCGGACCCATTCTCTAAGCCGTCTGACCCACGTCCAGGGATCTGACCAGTCAAGAAGAACCACAACCAATGTTTCTGGGATGGACTGAGGTGTCAGGAGCGGTTTTAGGAGAGGCGCAAAAGATAGCGAAGGCTCGGAGAGTAAATATGCAGAGACGCGCGCCAATGTATCTGTTGATGAAGAAAGGTATCAGCATCAGATGAAAGCTTTCCCGAGCTCCTTCACTCGTAAACCAAACTCACCTTCCTGGTCCGCATCCAACACATCCTGATAAGTGTATCCTAAAGCAAACTGGTTGGCAATCGGCGGAAGCTTCCCCTTCCGCTTCTCATTCGATAAACTAGGATCTGATGTATCTGCAGAAAATGCTTCTAGAAATTCTCTCTGGCTCTCGGGTGTACCTCCTATAGCAAAAAAAAAAGAAGAAGAAGAAGCCTGGGAATCAGCAAACAACCCAACCAAAGCTATACCGAACAAACCCGCAAAACTCCAAGCAGAAAGACATTTATTTTTTCGCACCTAGGATTAAGAGGTTCTTTTCAGGCAACCGTTTCCCATTCGCGACACTATCCAGCATAGAAGACCAAATGTTCTTCTTCGGTCCATCTTTGCTGGATGGCCGGCTGTTGTTTCCTGTGCCGAATTTCGACCCCAGCTGGCTTGAGGTAGACATTGTCTGTCCAATCCCGACCATGCTCAGTCGACGCAGACCATTCCAGACAAACCCCGGGGCGATTTGTTCTAAAGTAGTCCAACAGCACCCGACGCGTTGACCACGGTGTCTGGAGAGAGGTGGATATTGGCACAGAAACCGGAGGCGGAGCAGGGTCAAGTCAGGGGACGTGTACGGGCAGCGGATACCACCAAGTGTCGGAGAGCCCTCTCGAAAATCGGAATCCTTATGAGGGTACTGCTCTAGCGTAATTCAGGGATCGCAACGTCATACAACTCATGATATTCAATAGGAGGAGGAAGAAGCATAGTCAGAGAAAGGTGTTCTCCATATACACTCCCCGTGGATCCACAACACTCCCACCCAAATAATCCCGTTTCGGACGGGTTGTATCACGTGATATGGTGTGTCCAGGTATAAAAGAAAGCAGGTTTTTATTTGATCCAAAAGCTGGCATTTCGATGGTTTAATATTACATCCAGACCTCCATCTGGTTGTGGACTTTACAGAACTTAGAATATGCAATTGCTTGCATTTTTCTACGCTATTGGAAATATATATATTAAGCTCAATATATCCCGCAAACCAAAATCAAGTCCACATCTGTAGGCACCACGTAAATTCTAGATCGGATGATGTCTACCCCAAGATAGTCGGTCTTCTATGATTTCTAATACAACCGGTCTGCCATCAGGTAGATTAGGTATTATTATTATGCCTGGGGTGGGGACCTATATAAAACGGAGGTGCAGCGGCGGTGCCGCAAGCTTTCCGTAGCTTAGCTCGTCCCAAGCAACTGACGACCTACATTCATCGGCAGTACTCTTGGCCTCACAGGCAGTTTCTCCTCCACTTTACCTGATAAAAGGTGTCAAGCATGAATAACATCCGCCAAATCCAGGCGCTCAACAAGCGGGAATTAGAGAATGCCATGTACGTCCTTACACCCCTCGAACTTGTTTAACCTGAACTGGAATTGTGCATGCTAACCGCGACGAAATTTTTTTTTTCTTTCTAGACCCCCTGAAGCTTCGTGGCACGCAGATTACCGCGATACAGCCTACGTATATATCGGCGGTCTTCCGTACGATCTCTCCGAGGGTGATATTATAACCATTTTTTCACAGTATGGAGAACCAGTGTACGTGAATTTGGTGCGCGACAAAGAAACCGGAAAGAGTCGCGGATTCGCCTTCCTCAAGTATGAAGATCAACGCAGTACGGATCTTGCGGTTGATAATCTGGGCGGGGCGACAGTGCTCGGGAGGATATTGCGTGTCGATCATGTGAGATACAAGAAACGTGACGACGACGAGGAGGACACCAATAATGTGGCCAAGTCAATGGGGGAAGCAGTTGGCAAGGAGGCTGATCGGGATACGGATGATGAGGGACAGAGACGGAAGAAGAGGAGGACGAGTGAAGATCGCGAGCCGCCGCAGAGACGGCTGCTCAAGGAGGAAATCGAGCTGGAGGAGTTGATCCGGAATCATGATGAGGAGGATCCAATGAAGGAGTTTCTCATTGAAGAGAAGAGGGAGGAGGTATCTAGGGCTTTGGAAAGAGAGGCGAGGCATGAGAAGTCGCGCAGGCGGGGATCTAGTCGGGACAGGAGCGGTCATCATTCTCGGCATCACCGGCGACACCGAAATGAGGAACGAACACGGTCTAGAGAAAGAAGCAGTCGCGACCATCAGGAACGGCCGAGAAGAGATAGGTCTTACAGAGACAGGACACCGGAGGGCTCTCGATCTCCAGAGCCTCGCAGGGACCGGAATCGGGAGAGACGTGATCGTCACCGATAAATATATCAATTATGGCACGACTAACGATTCCTACGCTATGCTAATTCAGATTGTTTTTTATATCAATTGCCAAGGTCCATTTTGAGCCGCATGCCCAAAAATCCGACCAAATCTGGGAACAGAAGGAAGGAGCCACAGCGGCCGAATGGGAGCAAAACCATGTCGCACTTGGCTGCGGACCATTCCCGGCCTATAATTCTTACTCACCTCTTGCTCTGATATTGTGGCTCTAAATGGGCCCTGCTGGATGAAGACTCGCTTGCCTTGGGAGAATTGCCTGTTTCAGGATGTGCTCATGCTGTCATGTATTTCCGTCACGGGACTCCGTGGGATATCTCATTTCAGCTTCCCCCTAGATATCTCTTCCAGCCTTCTCGCATACAGTGTCTCTTCCCGTCTTCTCCTTCACGAAGAACAAACTTTTCCCAACGTCCACCCCTTCCTGAACCGACCACGAGTATGGTTCGGTCATCAAACCATCCTATTATCCCCTTCAAAGGTCGCCCCAATGAATTCCCAAGGGGTGGGACAAATCCAGACCCGGGAACTGTCCCCTCCCCCAAGTCAAAGTGCGCACTTGCAAAAGAATAAACGTCAGAGAAAACCCTTGGTAGCAGAGGGATTTTGCCTAGAATGCCCCATTTTTGGTTGACACCCTCTTCGGATGATGACGCTGGCTGGTTACGGTATGGGACAGGATGCGGAAGATCGAAAATATGTAAAGTAGACTTGTCAGATGTCACAGCTAATAGGTTATTCGAAGGTGAAATGGCGAGTGAAAATATTAAGGCATGGTCAACACCGCGTCGCAGTTCGGCCATTTTAGTACAGTTGCTTGTAGAAAAAATTCGTATCAAAGTGCCCTAGGACGTAGAAGTTAGTTGCGGGAGTAGATTTTACTGGCGCGAAATCAAAATTTATACCGCTTCGCTTGCCGTTGCAAGTACCTCTCCATCGGGACTGAGAGCCATCGCGCGCAATGGCGTGCTATGGGCAGGTATAATGCTGACATTCCCCGTTTCTAGCTCTACGATCTGGACCTGGCCCGGAGACCGACCAGGGAAAGCAAGGACTTTCTGGCCCAAACAGGCCAGCCCTAGCGAATTATCTGTTGTCTCAAAGACCGACAGCTTTTGCGGGGGATTCGAAAATGCAAAAATATGGATGCTGTTTAGCAGAGCAACGACAACGCGCGATTTTGATAGTTGGACGCCAAGGACAGAGGTGCGGAACTCGAGGGTAATAACAGCTTTTTGCTTCGCATCGTCCCAGATCACTAGCTGCGAGAGGGTGAGTGGAGGAAGGCAGGGCAGGGCTGAATATTAGGCCGGCGCACCTTGTTCTGGGGAAACTTGGGCTGTCTGCCACCACCGACGATTGCTAGGTAGTTCGACTGCCCTAGCATGATCGCGACGCCTATGCCAGCATTGAAATCTAGAGGGACACTTTGAGATTAGCGCCTTTTTGGGGGGGGGGGGGGGTTAGGAGGTGAAGTCTAGAGGGGTAGGAATGGTAAATGGGTACCTCTTGAGACCTTGAGCTCGCATGGGTTGGCATTAAAAACTAGATTCCTTCAGCTTTATTACCCACGACGAGGAAAGCTTCTCGAACAAGTGAAATGGTACAGCATGTATACCAGGAACCCGACTTACCGCAAAACCCGGTGTCTAGGCCCACAGCAAAGCAGGAGTTGTCATTATTGAAAGTTGCTGAGAGAGAAAATGGCCCTACAGATTCATCAATAACCTGTCGGGTATTCATCCTGCTCAACAGGAAGATAGGCTATTGTAATTCGCGATTCGAGTTGGCGATGAAAGCAGGTAGGGAAAGCTGGATACCGGGCAGATCGACAGTTCCCGCTAACCTCACCCAAGAATTTGTTATCGCGCCTGTTATCAACGGATGAAAATCAGGCGAACAACTCATGGGCTCCACGATGGAAAAGTTTTAGACATTCTTAAACAATGGCGGTTAATACAGACAAGATCCAAGTTAAGAACCAAGGGAGGGATGATATTTATAGACGTTGATATAGTTATTGGCGTGGTATCCTTGGGAGGAATAGCCTTTGTCTCTTGAGTGGAGTTTGGTGTGATCACAAAAAGAAGGGGGAAAAAGAAGGGGAAAAAGAAAGAAAGGCATGAACCTGCCAGGCCTGTGATGCAGTAACAAGAATCAACTTTGCTACATGTGCCTGTATAATTATATTGAAGAAGAAGTGAAGAAGTGAAGAAAGTCAAGATACTCCATCACATGATGACCCCACCAGCGCGATACCATGGATTTAAGGTGTCTGTCTGTCAGTACTCCGTACACCCAAGGGAATATATTTTGATAATAGGTAACTATGGAATATATTTTGCATGTTATATGTTAACTAACCGCCCCTTCCGACCTAGTCTCCAGGGTCGCGCCTTGCGCGCCCCTGATAGCTTAACACTCAGGACAGCTTAATACTTAGTTTTTTAAAATTTTAACTATTCTACTTTAAATCTATTTTATTCAACCACTACTATGTCAGAAGACTATTATGAAGTTAAAAAATAAATTAAGGATGCTATAAATATCTTATACTTTTAAAAAAAATCTAATATCTCTAAAACTACACGAGATTTTAATGTGTTAAGGTACCGCCTTGGGGCATGCTAGAGGGGTTGTAGAACTTAATTTTAGTAGTAATTACTAACTATAAAATTATCTCTAGCTCAGGATTTTATTATTTATTAATATATTAATACTCTAGATAATTTAGGAGTCTACCCGCGGCCTTAAATAATTATAAATTATATAAATTCTATCCTATAATCCTCCTATAAAGACCTAGAGACCTAACTACCTAAAGTTAGTAAAAAATAGTTTAACTAATAGCTTTCATGAAATCCTGAATATATAAGAAAGCAGGTAAGAGTTATGGAATTAGATAGGAAGAAAGTAAAAGATAGAGATCTTATCTCTACCTAGTTTACTTGTTTAAAATATATTCTTTTTACTAGGGGTATCCTACCTAAAGATATATAGAATTTTAATAAAACTAGCTTTTAGATTAGAGTTAGAAAGAATTATTAAGTTATCTAGTATATAAAGAAATATTAAAGGGCCTATATTTTTTCTAATTCTAATTAAGAATATATAATTATGGTTAAAGTAGTTAATATTATTAGATATATTATAAAACTACTTATTTTATTAAGTAATAAGTGTATCCTAAAGGGCTAGTTTAATTAATTAGAACCTAGATATTATATTAAGATTAGTAATATAGGTTATCTAAATAATAAGCTTACTTATTAATAAATATAAATATTTAACTAGTATATAAAATCCTATATAAAAGGTAAATATTAATTTCTTATTTATAATAATTTTAGATCTTATATAATCTTTAAATTTATTAATTTTTATAAAAAGAATAATATTATTATTTTCTTCTTACTATCTTATACAAGTTATATTCTTTAATCTCTTAATATTAGGGTATTTCATGCCTATAAGTATTAATATACTAAAGTAGTTACTAATATAGAATATTCTAGAGGTAAAAAATTTACTAAGATTAAATTTCTTTATATTCTTTATATAATTTAAAAAAAAATCTTTAAAAGATATATAATTACCTATAACTTTTAAAATACTAGAATTATATCTTTTTAATCTTAAGAAGTTCTATAATTACTACCTAAAAGATCTTTTACTTAACTAATTATTTCTAGTAATTCTAGATTCTTTTATTCCTTTGGAAGTACTTCTAAGACTACTAAATATTTTAAATTCTATATATAATATCTTCCCTAAGTAGAGAAATATAGATATAGCCTTAAAGAGAAGTTAAATAGCTTTATTAAAGGTAGTATTACACAGGCCTATCTAGTAGAATTATTAAAGGATAAATTATAATATTATACCTAGGTAGAACAGGCCTACTATAAGCATGCAAAGGCTTCAAGATCTTATCTATAGTAAGAAGGCACTGTATCTAGTTAAAATTTAGCTAAAATAAAGTAGTTAGAAAAGAATTATAATATAGAGAAGGAATTATCCAAATTATAAAAGTAATAATTAAAAGTTATATAGGAACTTGTTACTTATACCTTAAATTAGGGAATTATTTTAAAGAGATATTAGAAGTCTAGAAAGATATAAGAGGTATAAAGGTTTATTTATATCTATTTTATATTAAAATATCTTTTAATTTAGGTATACTAGATTATTTTGAAATTAAAGCTATATAAAACTAAGCGTTGAGCTGTCCTGAGTATTAAGCTGTTGGGGGCGCGCAAGGCGCGACCCTGGAGACTAGGTCGGAAGGGGCGGTTATCCTACCTGGACTGTCTACTGAGCTTAACTGAGGTAGGCCAATATTGACGTATCAAAAGCTCAATTGGTGTCCCGCAACGACCCACAGCGTGGAGAGACTGACTGATTCCATCTTCTACCCCTGAGAAACCAGACCAGATCACATTCGAGAGGTCTCTTTCCAGCTCAATAATCACTACCACCATAGTCCCTTTCGGGTAATCAACTGCGCACAGCTTGTGATAAATTTCTCTGTGCAGTGTACAGCACTAGGACAATATATTGACAATCATCTCCATGGGATTTACCTAGTACTACCAGGTACCTAGGCGTTCCCAGGTAGATCGGATGAAGCTCAGGCAGTTTCTACGGTAGGTTTAGGACACCTATGTATCAACCAACCATTTATGGGGAAATACTCTCTCTCTATATCTATAATACACCTTCTAATTTGCTCCGGATGGTGCTCTGAGTGAAATTCTCAATTATCATTTGATGAGTTGTCCTCTGTTTGGCATCTCCTGAAGTACACACTTCTGCTTTGTATCACCATATTGTAATCGTGTTACCCATCAATCTTACAGAATACAAACTCTGTTGAGTCTGGAGAAAGATACAGCCGTTTGATTGGTTTAAAGGGAGGATTTCAGAGAAAGGGGGAAACAGGTTCTGTACAGAGGACGTATTGGACCTGGCGGTATTGAAATGTATACAGGCTCCAAACACGCTAAACGATTTTGGGACGTCTTTCCCCCCTAAACTGCCAAGTCAGTCCCTAACGGGCGACTCTCGCTCTCTCGCTCTCTCGCTCTCTACTCAACTCAACTCATCCCATCTCATCTCTCAACTCCTCGTCTTCAGGAGAGGCAGCATTCATCCATCTTCCTGTCCCTTCTTTAGTTGTGCTCTCTCCGTCACTCTTGTCTCTTCCCTTCGCTATCTTCCCCTCCCCTCCTTCAATTCCATCTCTTCCCCCCTTCTACTCTGCTCTTTCTTGCTTCCTCTCCTTTCTTAACCCATCATGTCGTCCGCCTATAACGCAGTATGTTACTTCCTTCCCCTTTCTGGCTTCACGACTTCAACAGGCGATCCACCTCCCCCCTCCCCCCTCTCTTCCCCCTTCCATCGACCCCTTCTCAATTCCTCCCTGTCTTGAAACAAGGCTTGCATCTGCAGACCCCTCATGGCTCCCTTCTACATTAGCTTCATGTCTGTTTCTAATCCATTCTGCGCCTCCTTTAGATCAAGCTCCGCCGCAAGAAGAATGTAAAGAAGGGTATCCAGTTCAGTTTGATGGTCTGTGGTGCCAGCGGAACTGGTACGTGTTCACTCCAATTTGCTGTACACTGTGTGCTGTTGTTCGAGAATTGACCGGATCTATCCTCCGACAGGACGTACGACTTTTGTCAACACCCTTTGCGGCAAGCCGGTGCTTCAGAGCAAGGACGCGGATGATGCTGCCAATGCTCATCTCGAGGAAGGTGTTCGCATCAAGCCAGTCACAGTTGGTATGACTGCCTTGAGCGTCCTGCTGGGACCCCTCGGTTGCTAATACAATCCTGCACAGAGCTCGAGTTGGACGACGAAGGCACCCGAATCTCCCTCACCATCGTTGATACCCCAGGATTCGGTGACCAGATTGACAACGAAGCCAGGCATGTGGTCACCGCCAATCTTGTGTACGCCATGTCGTACTGACCGTTTTACAGTTTTGGTGAAATCGTGGGATACCTAGAGCGCCAATACGATGACATTCTTGCCGAGGAATCACGAATTAAGCGAAACCCCCGTTTCAGGGATAACCGTGTCCACGTCCTCCTGTACTTTATTACACCAACCGGCCACGGTCTGCGTGAGCTGGACATTGAATTGATGAAGCGCCTTTCTCCCCGTGTCAATGTTATCCCCGTCATTGGAAAGGCCGACTCCCTCACCCCCGCAGAACTCGCTGAGTCGAAAAAATTGATCATGGAGGACATTGAACATTATCGCATTCCCGTTTACAACTTCCCTTACGATATCGAGGAGGATGACGAGGATACCGTGGAAGAGAACGCTGAGCTGCGGGGCCTGATGCCTTTTGCCATCGTCGGTTCCGAGGATATGGTTGAAATTGATGGACGTAAGGTACGAGCCCGGCAATACCCATGGGGCGTTGTCGAGGTCGAAAACCCACGACACTCTGATTTCTTGGCCATCCGAAGTGCTCTTCTTCACAGTCACCTTGCAGACCTGAAGGAAATCACTCACGACTTCCTCTATGAAAACTACCGTACTGAGAAACTCAGCAAGAGTGTTGACGGTGCTGCTGCGTACGTAGTTCCTGCCCTAATCAAATTTAATTCTACACAATATACTAATCAAAGAATAGTGGCGGCGATTCATCCATGAACCCTGAAGACCTTGCAACCCAGTCCGTCCGTCTGAAGGAAGAACAGCTCCGTCGTGAAGAGGAGAAGCTTCGTGAGATCGAGCTGAAGGTCCAGCGTGAGATTGCCGAGAAGCGCCAGGAACTGTTGGCTCGGGAGAGCCAATTGAGGGAGATCGAGGCCCGTATGGCTCGCGAAGCAAGCCAACTAGAGGCAGCCAACGGAGATCACTAATCTTGTCGAACCCTATCTTCCAGAGGGGACGTTTTGCCGTGTTCACACTGTCGCTGCCTATGTTATGGAATCCGTGGCACAACAGTTGTAACTGCTTATGGGGATAATATTCGTCGACTGTTTCTTCACGTTAATAGCTTTCTTTTTGAAAGAGAGGGAGGAGAAAATGCAACAACGTTCTGTTACTTTCAATGACTGGCACCACTTATCGACGGGGGAGGCATTCGGACAAGAATTGATGGACTCTGGCGTCGCCCTCCACTTTCCCCTGGCAGCTTTTCTTGCCTTCTTTCATGTCTTCTTTAATTCGGCTGAAGATTTTTCCCCTATTTCCCAATGTCCGTGTGGCGACGCTCGGGGTCAGAGATAGCATCTTTTTAATTGTTGACAGTTGTTGTTGTTGAAACACCTGCATAAATTCCCTGCCTTTTTTTTTTTTGCCCTATTTTTTTTTTACCCTGCTTTTATCAATGACACCTGTCTCCAATCTCAGCGGCGCAGCAAGATTCCCTCTTTTGTCATTTCATCCTTTTGTGTGCTCTTGTGACTTATGTCTTATTCTGTCTATTCTTCCGTTTTCTAGTTGAATAGTAGTATATTAGGAAGAAAAAGTATCTCCACCATGCTCCCCTAGTCTTAGGCAACAGTCTAAGCCCATGTTTGATTATTGCATAGGTAAACTCTCGGACGACCGTGGACTCAAATTTTGCTTATTTCCTCAACTACCGGAAATTAAAATTAGAGCTAAACCAGAGCAAAAAAAATGTTTTGAAGTACAGAGTATGCTTAAGGATATAACTACACATGTTCAGCAAATTAATTTCTGTTACCAAATTTCAACCACTTACCTCAGTATCCTCTCTCTCTCTCTCTCTTTTTTTTTTTTTACAATGGCATGAGAAAATAATATTAACCTAACGAGGAGAGACAAGAGCGGACTAAACCAGCCCAAAGAATATATAAAGTCAGTTTAGATTCAGGTTGAGGGTTGGGTTAGTGCCAGCTTCCTCTGCAGCTAATATGTGATTTGCTAGGGCGACAAGAGAGTAGAGCACCTCACATTGGGCACAGATACAGGTGTGATGTGATACACTGTAGGGTTGCGGATGGGACGGGACAACCTGGATTGCGAGAAATGCAGGATTATGGGAAGGAATTTGGGGGAGAATGATGAGTGACAGCTGAAGAGAATGAAAAAAAAAAAAAAAAAAATGAAAATGAAAATGAAACGGAGAAAAAAAGTGACGATAGGACAAAAAGGAGAAGAGGAAGAAAAAGAAAGCATATGGTATTGCGCTTCATTGTACAAGTAGAAAAATATATGGCCAACTGGGGATCAGAGTTGACCTGATACAGATCAAATCAACAACGTTGAGGTATTAAAAAGATCTTTCGAAACAGCTCAAAAAAGGGGGAAAGAAGATGGGATAAAATAATGAAAAGAGATGGCACAATGGTGGCGCAAAAAGAGCAGAAATCGAAAGGATTCTTGGTATGGAAAGGCAATGAGGAGGGAAAACCTGTTCTAAAACGTTGTCAAAAGCAGTTCAAAGAGTTAGGGCCTTTTTCTGTATATTCCCTGGTGCGGGTTTAGTGCTGTGGCTTGTTCCAGAAATCCAAGCTGGCCACAACATCTTCTCCTCCGTCGTCTTCGTAGGCATAGAGGATCTAGTTTTGTTAGCAACAGAGGGACAGGCAGATGAAGGAGGCTGTATCTGATGTGATTTACTAACCTCTCGTGTAGAAGAATGAAGCATGCGAATGTTTTTCCCGGTCATGATATGGATTAATTCGCTAGTCTCGATATGCCTGATCTCTATGAAGTTCGGCTCGAAGGCAAGGATGTAAGGATAGGAAAGGGCGAATGCGTTGGGATTACCTTCCCAAGAGATTTTCCAGTCGGGCCGTGCGCGCCAACCGTTGCGGTTTACGAAGAATGAAAAGTCGCTGTAATTAAGCAGGAACTCTCCATTCATTCGCTCAATGTGAATTGGCTTCACGTTTTCTTTACGTGCAACAAAGTCCAATGAAGTGTCGGCTTGGTCTAGTAGAGATTGAGTCTCCGTAGTCTCCAAACTGACAACTTCGAAACCACGTGCACAGCCGACACAAAGCGTGGATCGAAGGTAGTGAATCGATGATGATTCCGCAGGGATGTAGTATTCCTAAGCATAGTTAGTGATTGCCCTCTTCCCTTTTGATGGCTGAGCACATCTGGGTAAGTGTACGAACCTTGAATGGTTTCAAGGTGTCTTGTCCGCCTTGGAACATCTTGCTAACGGCAGACTTCTTCTTCCCCTTTGCTAGATTGTCCATCGGCTCGTACACCTTGATAGTGGTTGATAGCGCCGAAGTTTTGACAGAGCACACCAAATGACGACCAAGTCCTATACCAGCTTTGAAAAAGTTTGCATGGCCTTGAATCTTCTTCGGCCGTTTAGCCAATGAATTTTGACCTTCATTGACTTCCAGAGCCTCCATGGGATAAGAAGATAAGGTTTTATTTGCTAAAACCAAAAGTAGCTGGTACTCCTCCAGCGTGTCTATCTGGGTAACTTGACTAGCGTCAAGAACTCTCCTGGGCTTCGCCGACTTATCCTTTGGCCAACGGTCTGAAAGATATATACCGCTATCTGTACCATACACCAATTTCCTGCCCCCATCTACGAAAGAAATTAGCACGAAGATGAGATATGAGTTGAATGACACTTCTGGGGACTCATAGCATACCTATTGGGACAAGACAGTTCACTCTGTTGACTGCACTGAAGAAATTCTCGCAGAGAACAGTCCTGTTATAGAAATTACTGTTGCGCTCTCTGAGCTTCCTTTGTTGTTCATCCACCAATTCTATAAATTTTTTCCGTTGCTGTGGAGAGGTACCGTACAGCGTTTGTTCATATCCACCCTTGCCTAGATGCCGAAAAGTGATGGGAAGCGTACTGTCCTTGGCTGCAGGAGGGGCCGCGGCAGCCTTGTTGGAGAGTAAACTGGATGACGGTCGTTTAGGGATGCCGAGCCTGGGGATGACTTCGTCCATTTGGGCGATGACTAAGAGTTCCAGGGGAATTGGCTTTCTGTAAACTCGGTACTCTTCGCGCTTGTTCACGACTTTGATCCTCACAAGTAGAACTGCATGGTCAAAGAGGTATGCAGTCACCTCGGATGTGTCTGTGGGCGTTTTCTTAAATGCCATCTTTGATAGCATCTGCCGATTTTCTTCCGTCAGTTTGAGGTCCACGTAGTCACCAGGACCGAATTTCAAAGCCGAATTGAGCTGCACCAAGTTGAAGTGATTTTCTGCCCTTCCACTTTCAGCATTGACTCGGCTCAAGAAGTCCTTGATGATTTTAACAGCGTTAGGGATATCATCTTTATCGGGATTGCCATCTGCGGTATATTTGGCAACTTGTTCAAGCAAAAGAGGATACCTCGCAAGACGAGTAGTTGGTTTGGTCAAGTACCCATTCAACTCCAGCTTCCGGGACTCCTTCAAACGCTCTGTCTCTTCGACGAATCTCGCAAATGCCGGGTTGGATGACTTTTCCTTCTCAAATTCATATCGGCCGTACAACTGATTGGCACCGTATTTGATGAAGGGATCAAAACGTGGCACATGCTGAAGGAAGATGTCGCCAATCGTTCTTACAACATGACTTTCCTTTTGCCTTGCGTTGAGAGCCTCAGATAACGCACCGTTGACCTTGAGGACATCCAAACAATTTCCAAACACAGTTCGAATAAACTTCTCTCGGCGGTGTTCTGGAATCGGGGAAAGAGTTGTGTTGGTGGCGGAGCGCAGGGGCCTCATCCAAAAATCACGTAAATATTCCAAGTCCTTCACAAAGTCGCGCTCTGTGTACATGATCTCAAAGATGATTTCCTGGCGCTTCTTTTCTCGATCGTCAACGCTGTCAGAAACCTCTTTGGGTACCATGTTAATCCATAGTTTTTGGTTATCGTCGTTGTCATCATCACCATGCAGACTGCCCTTTGAAGAAGAGGTCCGCAGACCCGGGAGCGGCTTCATATTCAACCTTGCCTGCTGCTCTAGTCGCCTAGGACAAGCGATTGAATAACAGAGGCTTTCCCGGGTACAGGTCGGGGAGTAGCATTCGGTCAAAAGGGTGAACACGCCATTGACTTCGGAGCTAGGCGCCTCCTCTCCCATGGTTTCCTTGAATTGATAAATTTCTCCGGGAGCATCTCGAAGGCGATGGTCATAAGTCACATCATGAAAAAACTTTTGCGCATCCAATGCACGTCCTAGAAGAAGAGCAAGATTCCGATCGGTGGTTTTGATAATACCAGCGATTAGGTCAACTGCATCTGCGCCAGAAAAGGCATTCTGGTACGACAGCCCGTTCTTTTGCCGCTCGCTGAGCGCAATTCTTTCTCGGAAAATATCTGCTACACGCGATAGAAGCGCTGGATAAACTAGAGGTACTTTACTTCGGCGAGAGTTATTTGAGACAAGCGTTGTGGTTGTCTGGGTGCTTGGCCTGTGAGTCAAGTTGCTCTGCATGCTCATGGTGCGGTCTGGAATAACAGTTGAGGCCATGGAAAAGGATCGAGAGGCTGTTGAGCCATCGCTTGGTGGTCGGGGTCTGCCGTTGATGTTCTGCGAATTGGTATGGTCCATCTCATTCGGACCGACAGGCGGCTGACTGGCGTCCGATGGTTGTCTTCTATTCGGGATCACTCTTCCGGTGCTTGTCGTGTGAGTTGGCTCACGATCAGTAGAGTAGGAAGTTAAAGACATGGCGCGTTCGTTGCCATGTCTTTCCGGTACCACACGGCCCTGAGCAGTGATTGGATTGGTCGGGTTATAAGGTTGCTGGCGAAAAGCGCTTGCAGAGGTATGGTTGAAACTGCTCGGTGGAGGTTGGTATATCGGCGGACCTCCCATTCTTGCCATTGACCTCGATCTGTAGGCATCCGAATTCAATGCCGGGTGGGGCACTGGTCGGTTATACCCCTTGGGATCTGGGTATTGCGGCCCCGGGTTCGGTCTCGAATCCAAACGCTGAGGTTGAGGGTAGGCAAAGCGGCCCGGGTAGGGTCGATTGGGGTTCGGAGGAGGTTGCTGTTGCTGTTGTTGCTGTTGCTGCTGCTGCTGTTGAGAAGGCATGGAACCGTGCCCTGGGTATGCTTGGTAAAATCCATTTTGCTGCGAGGGAGCTGGCGCATATCCATTTGATATCTGGCGAGTCGGTGGCGGTGGTCCTCTCTGCATTTGAGGGTGTGGTACATGGGAGGACATTGTGTGGGCCCGATCCTGGGAGAACTGGGGGGTCTGAGAAGTCATGGTCTGGGAGCGACCCGGCGGCGGTGCTCCGCCAAAGATCTCTGAAAATGCAGCATCACGCTGGTGCGAAGAGGGGTGCCCGTAAGGCCGGTAATTCCGGCCTTGCTGGCCCCCTAAGTCAGCCATGGTGTATCAGATCCCCTCCTTTCTAGTGTCCGGTTTATTTCTTTATTTATTTTCCCGGATGGGACGGGAAGGTGACAAGGAAGAAGTAGAAACGTGTAGATTCGTAGGAAGAGAGTCCTCAAGGGGGGAATGGTATCGGATCCGGTCGTAAAGAGCATGCAGCGACGTTGCGGGATGTCGTTCGAAATCGTGGAGATAGGAGAAGGCGAAGAGGAGGGGGAGGGGGGAACGTCTAGTCGAATGGAAGATCGATGCAAGGAAAGGGAAAAGGGAGAAAAATGACAAAAAGAAGAAATTGAGAAGAAGGAGAATTTGCAATGTAGAACAGTCCTTCAGTATCTCATGCGTCAGTAAGATGTTGAATGTCGACACCGCGCGTGGTGTGGTAACGATCGAAGTGCGCTAGGAGCCTTTGAGCGCAATATGGCAGACCAGTGCCTTTCTTTGCAGTTCATAACCCCAGCATTCTTTCCCTCGAGAGATCAAGACGGGAGACGACAGCAGAGTCCAGACAGGATGAATATAATACTATTACTTAGGGGGAGAGGGGGGAAGGGGGGTGGGGAATAAGAAGAAAGAGAAAGCTCAAGTCAAAGTGCAGTCAGTCAAGTTCTCTTTCAAGTTGAAAGGTGTTGGGTGGAGGACCCGGACTGTGGCTTGAACTGGTCTACTGTGGCGGTGCAGACTCTCAAGTCACTGACCTGCGCAACTTGCTTCACCCTCTTTCTGTGATCCAGCTTCATTCTTATACCTCTTTTTCTTTTGTCTTCCCCCTCCTGTTCAAATACCCCTCATCATGGCCGACAGCGAGTTCACTCCCAAGTTCGCTCCGTTCTTCTCCTTTGTAAGTCATTCAACCCATCTCGACCTCCCTGTTTGATCACGACTAACTTACAATAGGCGGGAATCGCTGCAGCCGTGAGCGCTCCTCCCCCCCGTGATCCCTTCCCCAAATGACTAGCCATGCTAACAACCCCCCCCCCCCCCAAAGATGATCTTCGGATGTATGTTGAGATAGACAATGAGCCCCCAAATCGACGAATACTTACTTACTATAATCAGCAATGGGAGCGGCATATGGGACAGCGAAATCCGGGATTGGTATCTCCGGTGTTGGTACCTTTAGACCCGACTTGATTATGAAGGTATAGGATGCTTCCCCTTTTACACATCCATGCATGGGGCTTAGGCTAACTTTGACTGTTGATAGTCCTTGATTCCCGTCGTCATGTCCGGTATTATTGCCGTGTACGGTCTGGTCATCGCCGTTCTCATTGCGGGTGACCTGAACCCACCCCCAACACAGCACTTGAGTTTATACACGTACGATTTACCCGCAGCCACGTTGGACCAGGGTTAAACATGCCACTGACTAGGATAAAGGGGATTTATGCATCTTGCGTCTGGATTGTCGGTCGGTCTTGCAGGGGTTGCCGCAGGATATACTATTGGAATCGTCGGAGACGCGGTACGCTGTTACGGAGGAGTTGTCCCCTGCATCTTCACTCGGGATCTAACGGTTTATTTAGGGTGTGCGTGCGTATATGCAACAATCAAGGGTCTATGTTGGAATGATTCTCATCTTGATTTTCGGCGAAGTTCTTGGCCTTTACGGGTATGTCCCTGCAGCAGATTCTTTCCCTCTCTCTTACTCCTGCTAAACCGTGACAGATTGATTGTCGGCTTGATCCTTAACTCCAAGAGCTCCGGTTGAGCTCGACTTGCTGGGTGCATTTGAATTTCCATTGGCTGGCGACTCGATCTTCCTTGCTTCTTCAACTCCTTTTTGGCTCTCTCTCTCTCTCTCTCTCTCTTGTATAGAATTTACGACGAGGATGATGCAATCCCTCAGACTGCAATGAAGACACCGCAGTGATGGTGTCCTCCAATCACGTATTGGACCTATCTGCACAGTGCCCCGGAGTTTCGTTTTCTTTGTTTCGGAGACGGCTTCTTGTACTAGTACATGCTTTATATGCGTTTGGACCATGAACATCACCAGGTTAAACCTGCTATTTCCACCCATCTTCTCGAACTTAGCCTTAAACCTCAAGTCAAATATATCCCATAAATAAATTCCTTATATCCATAAAAACAATCCTCGAGAATCCCTTGTTCTGACAGCACGGGCTTTTTTCCCCCTAGGTCTGCCCCGCCAGCCGGTAAGCTCAGAGCGTCCCGTAGGTAGCGCCGCTTTGGCTCGAGAAGAAGTCTATGCTGTACCCTCCCCAAAAAGCTCTTTCATCCCGCCGCACATTGCCAGCTACCATTTCTTTGTTTGCTCCTCCACGGCCAGGACCATTTGCTATGTTCATGTTGAATCTCGTTTTTGTCGCCCCGACTTCTCACTTCTAAGGGGGTTGCCGTTCGCTCAATTGCCGTTCCATCCCCTACTCTACTTCTTTGTCCTCCCCCCCCCCGCTCCCCTTCCCCCGTTGTCCTCCGAGACATGATCTCAAGCCATCCCAATGGCTACAGGAACGCTCGACCCCTCGACCCCTAAGGAGGTACAGGGCTCGTCGGCTTCGAATAACAGGACTAGTCGGAGCTCCAGCAATATCCATGAGCGGGAAAAACAGATGGTGGCTTCTGTTCGATCGCCGACTCACCGGCACCTGAACCCTTTCGTCATCACCGAGCGGCCCGAGGAGAAACAGCTGGGGATTTCTGCTCGCCAGCTGAGTGTCAAGGATTTTGTCCTGTTGAAGACCCTCGGGACCGGTAAGTTTACTTCTACTGCCTGTGCACCTTGATCAGAACCTGACTTCGCGATACAGGTACTTTCGCCCGAGTATGGCTGGTGAGGCCGCAGGATGAGAAAGCAAAACGGGACAAAGTATACGCGCTGAAGATATTGCGCAAGGCGGACGGTCAGTATCCTACCTTCTTTTCTTTCGTTTAGTTTTACCGGCTAATACTTGTCTTTTTTTTTTTTTTTTTTTTTTTTTTTTTTCAACAGTGATCAAACTAAAGCAGGTCGAGCATGTTCGCAACGAACGAAGAACGCTCGCGGATGTGTCCGGGCACCCTTTCATCACGACCTTAATAGCCTCGTTTTCAGATAGCCAAAGTCTTTATATGCTGGTACGGATCTTCTGTTCTTTTGCTGTCAGATCGCATAGTCTCAGACCGAAGTCGCAGCGTTATTCTCCGTCGCTTGAATTTGATATCATCTGACAGCCATGTAGCTAGACTACTGCCCCGGAGGCGAAATCTTCAGCTATCTGCGCCGTGCGCGACGGTTCAACGAGAATACCTCGAGATTTTATGCGGCTGAGATAAGCATGACGATCGAGTTTCTTCATGATGTTGAGGGCGTTGTCTATCGTGATTTGAAGCCGGAGAATATCCTGCTAGACGCTGATGGGCATATCAAACTCGTTGATTTTGGGTTCGCAAAGCAGGTTGGAGACCGGGAAACATATACCCTCTGCGGTACTCCAGAGTACCTCGCCCCGGAGGTTATCCACAACAGCGGCCATGGTCTGGCGGTGGACTGGTGGGCCCTGGGAATTCTGATATACGAGTTCTTAGTCGGACAGCCACCTTTCTGGGATCAGAACCCAATGCGCATCTATGAACAAATCGTTGAAGGGCGCATACGATTCCCTCAGAACATGTCCCCGGCTGCCCAGAACATCATTTCCTTACTATGTAAAACTAACCCAAGCGAACGCCTCGGCCACATATCTGGAGGCTCGGCCAGGGTTAAGTCGCACCCATTCTTTTCAGACATCAACTGGGACGATCTCTTTTATCGTCGTGTCAAGGGCCCCATCATCCCGCGAGTCGACCACCCAGCAGATACTGGGAACTTTGAGGAGTATCCGGATCCTGATCTGAAGGGCCAAAATATTTACACCGATGACATGAGATCCAAATACGAAGCCTTGTTCAGTGATTTCTAGCACAACATACTCTTGACTCCTCTCATGCAAACAGCGCAAGTGAGCGCAACCTTATTTGCAACAACGTTGTAGCAGACAATCTAAAAAGGTTGCTAAGGTACCTGCAACGGTATGCCGGTTGGGAAGGATTCGAATTCTGCTCCAGGAATCGAGCTAGGCCTTTTATTCAACAGAATGGCCGCGTTCTCATATGTCTCCGGCTTTCGGTCTACCTCAACGGCTCTTCATATTTGCCTTGGATGGCACAGCCCATAACAGCATCCGTGGTGACGTACAATGATTATATACAGACATTATATACGCGGTGAATTTTGACGTGTAACGTCCTATAATGTTCAATTCTGTTCGATTCCATTTTGAAAACTTTTCATTATTTCTCCTGTTCATGACCCGCCTCCTTTTTGGACATATTTGTTGTCTTTGAATTGACTTTCTGGAACCCCGAACCGAAACCTCTGCCTCGTCCGATAATCTCTATGATGCAACAGATTTCGTGTGTTCAGCCACAGCTTTGCGAAAAGAATGAATGAAATGGCCCCCTTGTTTCGACAGCCACTTTATGTCAGGATACATTTCTTTTGTGCTCACAAGCGCTGGCATTTTTTTTTTTTTTCATCACTGCCCCAAGTGCCTTGTCCATACTTCCTATTTGACATCTGTTATACGGAGTAGACAATTTTTTTCCCCCCTCCCAGAGTTATCTTGAGTTGGTTACTCTGCAGTTCTCTGACATCCAAACCATCGATATTCTTGTGCATAATAATGATTCTGAATATTTCTCAGAGGATTATTAATTGATTCCATACGCCCACTGCGTTGAAAGACCAAGATGCACTTAGAATATATGTGCGACTTTGTAATCGCAACCCTTTGTGCCTTGAGCCACATCCTATTTTGCTCACATCAGACAGAACATAACACCTCGACCTCGATATATGAACATAAAATGCCACAAGACTTCATTCAATTCTAGATAAGCCGAAAACAGTATCGGTTTCGCCTTCTAGGACATCATCCTGCTTAAGTGGCCCCTAGAAAATGGAGCCGATCAACCTGAAGCATACTACATAACCAAAACAAAAAAACATTAAAGCATGATACAAAGGAGGGGTGGAAGATACGCAAAGATTGACTATGGACTGCTTCGTCCATTGTTACTCTGAAAGTCATTCCGCAAGGTCTGACCCATTCTCGAAAACACTCTGTCAAACAAACAGGACTCCCTCACGACATCCCGTACAATCACATACTTGGAAATACGAAAGGCGAGCTGAACAGCGCGACTATGATGGCCATTGAACCAATTCCACAGCTCGTTGACATTGTCGCGATCTTCCGGGTTGGTGAGAAAGTCTGCTGGGGAATCCATTAACTCGCCAGGTCGCGTTGAAGCAAGCCATGAAAGTCGCTCGATTCGCACTTCTTGTTGATGCGGTGACCCCCCCGATTTCAGAGCAAGTTCCCAAAATGGAAGAGGGAAAAAGTCAAAGAGCCACAGAATTGTGCTCATGATGACCTCTAGCATAGCCTGGGATCGCATCTCTTCCCGGTGCAGACTCTCCCTCCACTCCTCATTGAGTTCATCGTCGTGGGTGGTGATAATGTGATTCATGATGAAAACTGCTGGGCGCAGCTCCATCCCGGGACAGACGCGCGCGGATGCCCTTTCTATGGGCCTTGGATTCTTGGAAGTAGGGATTAGGCTTGTCAGGACTTCGCTTAGCTCCTTGCGATTGTTTAGTTTCGTTTTCTCCAGCAATGCCTTGAGCGCACTGAGCGGCCCCAGATCTTCCACCTCCATGCCATAGTTCTCCACGAACCAGTCCCATAGGAAGTTGCCCAGTTCGTAAACATTCTTGAAAGGGCCCGTGGCCTTTAGCTTCCGCTCATCCTGGATGATACTGAGCTGATAGAGAAAGCTCTCTCCAAGTGTCATCACCCGGCCCAAGCTCTCCAGAGTAGTCTCTTCCGCTTTCGACAGATGGCCCGAGAGTTGCTTGTAGGTAAGGTCATGTTGGATCTGGGCCCAGGAGCTCTGCAGCACCGACATAACCTGTACTTCGACAGGGTATGAGTGCAGATCCTGCAGATCTTCCGGATGCAGCGAAACAATATAGTGGATCGCTTCATACTTGGGTGTTGAAATCTTATTATGAACACGGTGATGGTGAAACTCCCCATTTACCGAGGCCTTACCCCCATTCTCCACCTCGTCCCCGAATGTTTTCGTATCGGGATCATGGAAAGTAAACCTGCAATCCTTTTCCAGGATCTGGCGGATGTCAGACTTCTGCTCCGGCCGGTAAAGCGCTATGCGCACACCCGCGAAATCAAAGACATTCTTCAAAATCTCCTCGGGAGTCCACTCCACGCGTCGCCTTTCCTGGATTTTTTCTAGTTTGGCTCTTAGTCGCTCTTTGTCCTTGACTCGGGACGATGTGAAATGCGGGATATCTGCTTTGTGAAGGGCTCGTTTACAGACTTCTTCCACCTTCTCGGCGAGGAGCTTGTAGTTGGACCTGATGGGTGGATATTCGCTTTCGACGAACGTATCGATCACAGAGGTACCTTTCTTGGCTCCCATCGTATGTTAGTTAAATGTGAAGCGACAAGTCAGCGTCACTGTTGACTGGCGATGCAGTCCAAGAGTCCAGTCGGGCGCTACTTTTCTCGCAGACAGTCGACAACAACCAAGAGGAGTCAGCCTGTTTTTAAAATCAAGAATTATATATATATATATATATATAAAAGACTCTCGAAAACTGGAGAAACGTGAATACAGGTGAGAAGAGAAGAGGTCTGCGCAAGATCTATTTGACTTCCCCTCTCGAAAGCCATCGGATGTCAAATTGGGAGGAGAAAGCCAAAGCCGCGCGCCGAAGAACGCCTACGGAAAGGCTAGGGTGACGAGAAGGGTAGATTGAATCGATTGCCCAGCATATGCCCTCTTGATCCCGATATAATCTTGTCTGCTCATGCCTGTGCCCGACTCCGCCTCATCGTCGTCAGCCTACATCTTATCTTGTCCTTGCTACAGCCTCGCTGTGAGGTTGTGAGGGGTCACGGTGCACGATCAGGCTGGCTGGCGTTTAGGAACCCGTTCACTTCCATCTTTTATGTACTAACTAACTATCCCTTCCTCGTTAACTACTTTCTTCTTGCTTTTTCGCTCGTCAGTGCAATTGTCCCAAATCCTCGAGTGCCTCGATGTGCTCCGAAAAGCCGGGGAAATCAATCCAAATCGCAACAACCATGAGTTACAGTCGATTCGTCGCAGCCCAAAGACACAATAATCCATGTCTAGCTGGCCTCGAGAATTTCCTCTCCGATCCCAACTCAGACCAGCGGCCCTGTCGAATCCTCAAACTCGATTTTCCGGTTGATACTAAAAGCCCCCACCTATCCTCCGCCCAACAAATCGATATCGAAGACATCGCGGAAACCATCTACGCTTCCAAACCCAAAGGACACGGACAAATCTTGTTCATCGAAGATCTATGTCCAGATATTATCGAGATCCTCGGTACAAGGTACCAGATCGACCCTCTTTTCTTTGCCTCGCATCTCCACGCTCCGTTTCGCCAGATTGACGCGCAAACCCCGAATCTTGCCATCTTGCCGTCCCGCACGCGGAAGCAGAACTTCATCAACTTGCATTACCATCGTGCTGTCGAGCTGAGGGGGAAGGTTGAGAACGAGAATATGCTCATCCGTGATATGAACGTGAACCGCAAGGTTGCTGTGCTTGTCCCGACGGAAGGGACCCAGATTGCTCTCGTGCAGCATGCATGCTCGGTGATTGTGTTTGGAGAAAAGGATGCAAGTCGGGGATGGCTATGTAGGGAATCCAGGAAACAATATCATCATTCTTTTCCTCTTCTCCTGATATTTCTCTCTTCTTCTTCTTCTTCTTCTTCTTCTTCTTCTTCTTCTGGTGAGCTCCAAGGTTAATAGAATGGTCTTACTAGGCATTATCCTTGTCGACGGTCCTATTTTCGCCGACCATACCCCAGTACAGTATAAAACCAAACCTCAAGAATTTTCCGACGACAAAGAGCTCCAGCTCCGACGATCATGTCGCGTGAAGTCCAAGCTATTTCTCAACGGCTACGAGGACTTCATGCCTCCAGAACCCGGGTCTCTAGATTTCAAGGACCCTTCCGCATTTCGCGGTCCGCCTCGAGAAAGCCTACTCGCCGATCTCATTTACTACTGGAAAAGACAGATCCCAGAGGACTTTAACGCCGAGCACCCCACCCTCTTCAGTCTCGCCTATTACCCACTCAAGATCATTGCGGCAGAGTGGAACAACTACCTGGCAGCCATGAGCTACCATATCAAGCGGCACGAGTACGCCGTGGAAACCATCGGCAAGCCCGTGTCGGAGCTGGACAAGCTAAACGTGGACCTGCGAAGTCTCCAAGTCTGGCGTCGACGCAGTCTTGCCTCGCAGCAGAAGATCACAGCAGTCAAGCGCTTTGTAGCACTCCACCGTCCCTGCTCGGACCGCACTAACGACGACGAAAGCAAAGACACAGACGTTGCATGTGAAACCCCGGCTACTGGCCTTCTAGAAGACTACGACCACCTCGCGGCAGCTCTGGACGATCTTTCCTTTCGGCTAGGAAACATGCTTCCCGTCGTCACCTCGCTCGTCCAGATCTCGGACAGCCGACGGTCTCTCGCGGAGTCGGCCAATGTCAGCCGGCTGACGTCGTTGGCGTTCATCTTTGTTCCGCTGACTTTTACGACAGGGCTGTTTAGCATGAACAACGAGAATGGGCCGGGAGGTGCCTATTTCTGGGTGTTCTTTGCCGTGTCGGTTCCTATTACTTTGCTTGTGTTTCTGGTTGCGAGACCGCCGTCGCGGCTTTTGCGCTGGCTTTCTGCGCGTGTCAGGCCTGCTTTGAGAGCCGCATATCCTCCCGTTTGATTTTGTCTGCGTGATTTATGATAATGATATTAACGTATTAGAGAAATGATCACATGTGTTTATATAAATACCCAAAACACGTCGTATATGTAGAAAGGGGTCGAAAACAACAATAACAATAACAACAACTGGAATTTCTCAGAAACCTAGCCTCCCTGTTCTAATCCCCCAACGAAGCCCAAAAAAAAAAAAAAAAAAGAAAGAAAAGAAAAGAAAAGAAAAGAAAAGAAAAGAAAAGAAAAGAAAAGAAAAGAAAAGAAAACGTATTGTCATGTCCCACTCCTATTCATATCAATCTGGTATCTCGAAAAAATGAACGGGGACGTGGACTGGGATTTGTTCTCCCCAAACAGATCGTACTTGGGTATTGCAGATCTAGCACATTACAGCGTCAGAAGACACTCTCCAGGGGTAAGCCAGGGTGGATCGATCGTAACTCACTTCCTTATCAACTCATCCGTATTCTCGTCGCCGTGCATCTTGGTTATATGGTTTCGAAGATTGTCTAGTCGAGTCCAGGTTTTGTCCGGGGTAGGGCAGTTCTTCGACGGACATAGGTAACCCTTGTCGATATCGCTTCCGGTTGGCAGGTTGTGGACCTCTCGTTTATGTCGTCGGAGGTCGGAGATGGTTTTAAATGCTTTCTTGTGTCGAGTGCAGTCTTTGAATTCGCAGAAGAAAAGGGTTGGGTGGCGTTTGAAAAGGCTATTTAGGAGATGCGAATTAGATATTTGTTTTTTATGTATAATATAATATACATCCTGAAGGTTATTCAAGGCATGTTGGTTTTATGAGAGAGAAAAAAAAGGGTATATAATGGGGGAGAACTAGAAAGAAGGAAAATAATAATAATGATAAATAAATAAATAAAACGTACGAGCTCTCAGGAACCGAAGATGATAGCCCTCCGTTGAAAATACTCGAGCTTGGGAGTGATGCTGTAACCTGTGGAGAACCCGAATTAAGGCTCGGGAGTGTCATGGACCTGGAGGGAATCATGGTTCCATGGTACCGCCGGAGATGTTCGATTAGATTGTCTTTTCGCTTAAAGGTCTGACTGCACGTGGGATAAAGACAAGCGTTTTTCACCGTGGCGTGGATTGTGCTCATGTGTCGTTTGAAGTTCTTCTGTTGCGCAAAGGTGATGTCGCATTCAGAACACCGGGAGGGTTTCCGCGAGTCGAATTGTCCTTCGCTGTGTTCACTTGAGAAATGCCATCAGCTTCCTCTGATCCGCGTTGAGCATAAAAAAAATAAAACGAATCAAATTGCGGGGAAGTATGAATACCTCGTGGAACTTGACGCAAGGGGGTGATGCGTTTGCCGCCGCTTTGAACTCGAATTCGAATACTCTCTTCCTTGCCCTACTTGTCGTCGAGGACTCACGCTGACATGGTCCGACGGCGGGCTGTACGGTAGGCTGAGGAAGGAAGCGGCATCCTCGACATCGCTCTATACAAATTAGTCTCTCTGAGGACATGATAAAGGAAGACCTGCCTTTGGTTTCCAATATAGAGACGATTCTGGGAATGAAAGACCCGCCAGGGATTCTGACATAAATGGGTGAGGATTCAAGAGTTCATAGTCAAAACCCAGCGGGCTCGGAATGAACTCTGGCGTGTCCCATGCTCCCCAGAAGCCCGAATCACTCGGGTTACTGGAAGCCCAGTGCGACTGGTAGCTGTAGTCGCCAATAGAGGATCCGACGATATTGTTGCTGCTGCTGCTGCTGTTGTTGTTGTTGAGAATGGATTCATTTTGAACAAATTGGTCTGAGAAACTGAAAGCTTCATCGTCCGTCGGGAGATGAGGCTCGACACTCTGACTAGAATAGCTCCAGGTGGGAAACTCCGACAAGTCTAGATTTTGAGGGACCGCATAAGATGAATATGGGTAAGGAGGGGTAAGAAAGAAGCCATGGTTGTCGTTTTCGAGGAACCCGGAGCTTTCATGTTCGAGGATATAAGATGAATCCGATAGCAGGTTATGATTCTCTTGCTCCATGAAGGCTGCTTCTGGTGCCCACACTGGAGGGATTTGCTGTTCTACTTGCTTCATGGAAAAGGTACGTATGCCGACCACTTCGTTCCCGGTGGTCACGAGGCTAAATCCTTGCACTTCGTTAGACAACTGCCTGATTGGCCTTGAGCTTCTTCTTTGCCCGATTGGGAACTACAGTACAGCCTGGATTTCTAGCGCCCAATGAATTCGTCTGGAGAGAAAAAAATTTTACCCTCTACTTTCAAACCGATACAGTAGGGGCTAGAATCGGATCTTTCAGGGCGATATTGTGGCAACCAGGGAGGGGGCTGATGCGCCGCCTGCATTGTATCCGATATCGTCGAAGGTCATATCCTGGTTCCCTAGCCAAGGGTTACAAATATTCCTTCTCCCAAACGGTGCTTAAGGAGACTGAAAGATGATATTACTGGTAGCTACGACGGAAGTGGTCTGTCATAGAAGTGCAACTTGGGGGGGCTGTGTGGAGAGGAAAAGGGCAAAAGTAACGGAAATACAAATTCTCCAAGAATCCATATTGAAGCAAGTGCTATACCAACTTACTCTCTCTCAACTTATTCGCTTTGAGTCAATAAACTCAACACTTCCAGAGTGACTCCAGGGAGGAATAGAACATTCACATCGATAGAGAAATACCTAAGTACCTACCTAGGTAAATAGAAGGCTTTGACACCATTGAGTGTTTCTATTGGAGGTCGACAGTCGGTCACTACTAACTAGCCATACTCCCGCGTCATCTCAGGACTCTTTCCACCATTCTTCTCTTATTCCCAACCCCGACCCTCACCTCATTTTGCTTCTTCTATCTCTCAAACCACTATCACCTTATTTCGTCCATTATCATCTCTCCTCCCTCACTATTTTCCAGAGCTGGTACCGGCAAATCTATTAAATTTATTATTCCCCCTTATCTCTCTGTGTACGAGCCGCAGCTCGAAAACCCTGTCTACGCCCATCATCTCCAGTTTACCCATCTAATCGGAAATTTTCGAGGGGGAAAAAAGCGAAGAATATAAAAGAAGTACTGGTATGTCATCCACTACAGAGAATAATCAAGGTTCTTTACTCCTAATAAGGAAGCCTGAAGAAGTGCTCTGGAAAAGATCCATACTGATTTACATCTGATCCAACAGATTCCTTCCCATAGCAGCCCAGTGGCAACTTGAGATTATCCCCTCTGCTCAGGAGGAATCATCCGCCTTATTACTGTTGCGTGGCAAGCGTTGTTGTAGAACCCATATTATCGACCTTGTTGCCCTCGATCGTGTCCTGAGGCAGCGAAGTTATCTATCCGGGGCTGGTACTCGCTACCTCCTGCGACCAGGCTTTTGCCACACCTAATATTTTGGCCCAGGAGAAGACCAACAAGGATAATCAGTGGCCATGGCTATTGAAAAAGGTTAGTTAGAACCAGCATCCACCTACCTGTCCCCTGGAATCACTGTTATCATGAGCTGCGAGGTCAATATTCAGTTGATACTGACTTCTTGACAGTAGGAAGACAGGTGGGCTCTTCCCAGCTCACCATTATTGGGGAGCAGCCGAGTGAAATCATCGGAATGGGCGATGAGTACCGCACGATACAGGCTCTGGTGTCTGCTTACTTTGACAGAGCCATCTCTGGGCCAGATGGCGCTGCCATGAAGGCCGTGATAAAGCGAGTGGTCAACATCCCTGACGAACCTAGGTGCTGGACAAAGAATAGCCTACTCGACCCGGCCACTCGTTTCCTCCTGGTGTATAAGAGCATCAACCCTACCTGCTTCGAGAACCTAGTCTCTGACAGAGAGTGGAAGAGCTTTCTCTGTAGCCGGAGAGGCCAGGCCCTGAGTAAGTTTTGACTTGTTATTCCCACGCTGATAAGGTGAAGTGATCGCGGCCACTGGTGCTTTCATACTAATCGAAACGTGACCCTAGAAAACGAGTTCTTTTCTGTACCTGGCCAGTTCACCCAGAGTACAACGGTCGGTACGGGTCCTGGTGGTACCATGGCGTCCTTAACCCGTGTTGATACCGTAAGGGGTAAGATAAGGTCCACCATATATCATCATAGTATCTTTTGTTCACGAGAAATAGGTATCTTCCACCCCTGGACCTTCTTCAAGAGGCGGCCCACCGACGGTTCAACGACCCAAGTCTGTTAGACGGTACCCATAATACTTCAACCTCTCACGGTGGCGACTAGGTGCGACGGGTCGACATGGCATCATTGTTTAGCTTTCTATCTGCTTTTGATTTCTTTGGAAGGAGTTGGTCATCTTGGTTTCTTTTTTTGTACATGGATAATACCAAAAGCGTTGCTTACATTGATCATCCTCACTGGGTGTCATGTGCATAACGCTCGTTCGACGACGCCAGCATGAGTTGCCTTCGCGGGTTGGGTTCCGACATGAACATCTCAAGGGTTGATTATACTCTTCACCGAACTTGAGGACACCATGCTCTACGGTTACCTTGGCATATAGATCCGATATACTCCCCCATACGTGAGACGTATAGGGTTGTATAGGGTTGTATATGTATGTATAGGTATGAGCATGATGGCATATCAAGACGTCAACAACAGAGGAGCGGGGAGGAGAAGAGTAAAGGTTGAGAGTATGATGCCCAGAAAAATTGAGATGAAGTTATTGTCGGAGCCCTATGGTCTGGATCTTGTTGTATCAGCGAGCTGGCGCAGGGAAGGCGAATAGGATCTGTTGGGTGATTGGCTGTTTGGTTGTCAAGTTGTCGTTTAGTTTTCACGTTGATTCAATCGCAAAGTATGCCATGTCCCCTCAATATGTTGAATGTCGCAACCCTTCTCCTGGAGGGAAGCATTCTTGAATCTGGGTATGCTCCAACTATATGAAAATTCAGCCTCCCGCGGCCATCACGTGAGCGGCACCCCAAAATGAGGTTGTAAAGTGGCACAAGGGAGCCGACGCCATCAAATACCGCATTAGGGAATTAGAAGGCAGGACTTGCTCCTGACCTGAGAATTTTAGCCTGTCGGGTTGGAGTAGCTGACCAGTGAAACCCCAACGTATAAGATTAGTCCCCCAGAAACAACGCCACTTCCCGGCCTACGCCTGCACAATCATCTTGAATGCGCGCACATCTGACCCATCATTCGTGGAGATGTACCCAGTTTCATGTTTGCACTTTTTCGCTGGCTGTAGGTCGCCAACGACTGGCATAGGTAATGGATAGAGACAGGATTTTTTTCTTTTTCTCCTTATTTCACAGAGTACGGAGTACAGAGTACAAAAGTTGTTTGGGCTGGTGGATCCCATGAAAACCTTGAGGATGCTCACCGATGCTGATCCCATAGGTAGAACGCCAGAGACATCCATCCAGGGAATGCCTCTACTATCCCACCCCACCCATTTGTTTGTCCAATGGCAGGTGTACTATATCTCAGGCGTGGTGTGGTGTGGTGGACGCATGTCAGCCAATTCTTCGATCGAAAAAGGCATAGTTACAAAGCGGCGAAGCGCTAGGATTCATCCACTATGATTACGCCAAAGATTAGGTCCCAATCCTAATATCTAGTACATAAAACTGCGTAGAGCAATACCTCCGGATAGAACCGCACGGAAGCAGAGCAGGGCAGAATCTTTACTTTTCTGCCCTCCGACGATACCCTCGTCATCATACTCTGTAGAAGCTCCTTCGAGAAGAGTCTTTTTGTCATCTCCAGTACTCCGTACTCCATGGGAAACTAGACAAAAAAAAAAAAAAAAAAAAACCGTCCAGCCTCTCCGGAATAAGAGTTGAAGTAGGCAGTGCTGAGTGAACCATACCTACCAGGTAACTAACTATCAATCATATTCTGCTTCTTATTACGGAGTACTTTCGGTACCTACGGAGTAGACTACTTATACTCCGTAGTTAGTTGTAAAAACAGTGACAGGTCAGTCTTATACTAGTACTAGGTACATTTGGAAAGGTGCCAGAACATCCTATATTTCTGACAAGTCTATACGGAGTACAGTGTACATGGTCGCCAGGCTACCTTACTGTTCAGCTAGAAAGATGCCTAGACAATCATTTTATCCGGATACAGTATTATTGCTTGGTGCTCAACATAACATAACTGGGAGCACTGGTAATATAAAACCCTCGCGTGTGCCTGCTGGCAAACATGAATGTGACCCCCCTCCAGATTAAAGCATGGCATGCCAGTCCCGAAGGTCTGATAATCCGGCTCAAACAGAATATATCTTCATGGAACTCATTCAGGGACAGAAATCTAGGCGATATTTGGTTTGATCTCTCTCTGAAAGACAGAGGACTAAAACTTATTACAAACTTAGTGCAGGTATACCGCTTCAGCCCGACCATTATAATAATAATGCCTTGGAATATGATTTTAGCATGCTAAGACAGCAACTCTTTTCACCACGCAAGTGATCCCTGGGAGGGCGATAATACCACACTAAAGTCAAATCTAATTACTTTATCACGAAAAGTGGGCAGATATTAATGGTGGTAATACATCCCCCTTGTCCACTCATATACTCAGATGCCGAGTCAGATGAATGCTTGAGAGATCTCGTTGGAGTCGGGCATGAGGGTTGGGTACCTATAGATCAGTACGAGGGAGCCACGACCCGCGAACAAATATTGAAGAAAAAAATACCCTCGACGCGGCTGAAACGGCAGAAGAGAGAATGAGGATCGAAGAGAATTGGATCTTTGATGATTTTGATTTCTGCGAGGATGATTATATGTGAGCGATAAGCAGTGAATGGTATTGTAAACCTTCTAGTACCCCTCTCTCTCCTTCTGTATCTTATGAATAACTACCATGACAGACTTGCGAAACGTCGTACTAGTAGTAGTCTATCTGAGTATGGCTTTTCTCCTGATATGTAAAGCCTGGCTTGGATACTAACTAGTGCAATCGACCATGAACACCAAAATTATATGAATTAAATAATATATGAAAGTCCCCCTCAAACACCCGGGGTATGACCCGTACACCGTGCTGAGTTCTAATATATATAGGGATTTTGTTTTTTTTTTTTTTTCGCGATCAGTCTTAAGTTTCTAAGATATCACTAGTTACGTTACTATTCTAACTCGTGCAGCACTATAACTTACAACTGTAGTATACGTTATACGTACTCGAGTGTTTCATTTTTGGGTCTAAGTGATGGTGAACAACAGGGTGGATTTGTATCCCCTGCACAATGGAGAGGCTCATCAATTTAGGGATTAATCGCCTCACCGGGTACAGATACCACCAGACTGCCCTCTAGCTTTGGTAAGTTGGAAAAAAAAAAAAAAAACATGTACATAGGTAGGGTTGAGTATATGTAACAGGAGAGGACATGATGCATGACCAGGAGGCAGCAATGGCTTTTGCAAGAACCAAGCTTCAGGTGCTATAAAGGAGCAGGAAAAGAAGCGGGGATTGGTTTTGTTAACGGGTGCATCTATAGCGGGCAAACGTCCTGCCCACTAATGAGGCGGACTTGGGGCGATTCCTGATGCCGTTTTGAAGTCTGGAATTCCATTGATTGCCCAAGTGTGAATGCTCACCCGTCAACAGCGACGCGGCATGGAATTGGGGGGCCCCGGTATTTAGCGATTGAAAAAAAAACCGGGTGAGTTGTGGTCTGCCGTGCGCGCCTAGTATTCTATGGTGATGCAGCTATTTGGCTTGGATGACCCACTGAATGCAAGTAAATGCGGATAACTTCTGTTGCTGGTAGTTTAGATTGGCGCCTGAATTTTACCATGGGTTGCAAATCTGTTTGTTATAGAGACGGGTCGGTTTTCCATGTTCCTTGAGAAATCGTCAGCTAGAGCCTTAAGGAAATTTGAGATCAGTAAATCCTTACCTCCAAAGCTGTGTTTGACAAACGCCATTGGGTCATCAACGTCTTTTGCTCCCATTTGATTAACACCGGGACTAAAGCTGGTAATAGGCAGAACCACAACGTCGCCAACTTTCTGGTAACCATCTTGATTTGTGAAGTCTTCGTAAGTAATGTTGCGCGTGGATTCAGGGTCGATATCGAAGTACTCGGGGTCATTGAAATATCGGAAGATAGTATCAGTCCACGCGGCTGGTCCCGTGAACTCAACAATAGTCCTATCCATTTTACCCTTTTTAAGAATATGCTCCTTCTTCATGCGCAGCGCTTCCTCTGTGATGAACGCCACGATGTCCACCAAGATTGGATGCCCGGGTTTGGATTGAATAGTCCACTGGCAGAACTGAATCCGACGGGAATACCAGTCATGCCAATCAGGGCGATCAGGATCGGCCTCAATCCCGACCACAAATCCCACGCTCGCCGGGTCGAGGCTTGACGGCAGCCAGTCGCTAGCTGGTTTCAATGCGGTTGTATCGATATCACTGTATATCCCGCCCCGCGCAAGTAGCACCAGATATCTGAAAAAGTCGGCCTTTAATACAGGAAGGGGTAGCGAGTCGAACGCTTCAAACACCTCGGGGATGGAGCCATAAAGATACTTTACCAAATGATATTGAGTATCATCTGGGACCACCTGGTGGACGAAACTAGGGTGAAGCTCAGACCAGCTTGCCTCTGGACCCCGCAGGTCTTCACTGAACCAAATGGAAGCCGGAGCATATTTCCATGTCTGCCAAATATACGCAGGAAACTTGCCCTCCAAGTTATAAGGGAAATGATAGTGCAAGCGTTCGCGTAAGGGCGCAGAGAGTGGTGGTTCCGGAGGCCTCAGTGGTTGTTGTGCAGCGTCCGTCTCTTGACCGGAGTGCTCGTTTATGATCTCATTCGGATTCGGGTCGTAGGCTGCTGCGTCCAGCGGCGAGGAAGGCTGGGAGGAAGCGGGATGGGTGGATCGTAGGAAGAGTATAAGGGATATTAAAATGGCGGCTACAATGAGCGCCTTTCGGAAAGTGAGCATTGCTGAGAAATAGCGATAGAAGTACTGCAAGACTGGCGAAGTGACACCTGGCAATGGGTCTTGATTCTAACCCACTCCGCGATCAATAGTCGGTTACGGTCCTAGTCTTGGGGACTGCGAGAAGCCGCAAAAGTGTTTCGGATTTCGTTCACCTGAGGGAGGTTTGAGCGTCGCACATGTCTGCCTTGGTATGAGAAGAAGAAGAAATAAGAATGAACAAAGTGAGGAAGCTAGGTAGCGGCGAGGCCTTCCAGACGTTGCGCGCAGAATGAGGTCAGACTGTCTTTGATGACAATCAGAAAAAAAAAACAGCAGAGACGTTCAATTGACCAGCAACAGAAGGGAAAGAATATGAACAGGAACGCTGTCTTGCAGCATGCAATTAAAAAAAAAAGTGAGCCTGGGAAGAAAGGGGAAATTGAGCGATTCAGAAGAAATTCGTCAGTCTTGTGTTTGGTGGCCCCAAAGTGGCCCGTGGTCGTCGTCAGATGCCGCGTGGATGGTTGATGATAATGACAACGCCCACCAGGAAATCAGTATAGCAAAGAAATAAAAAGAAAATTTGGAATACAAATTGGAGGCTCTTAGCTCTTATATAAAATGCCATCTCTTTTGTGTGGTGGTGTAACTTCTCACCTTCACAGGCTCCCCCGTCCATCCGCAATGGGTCAAGATTAACCCCGTTGGAAACATGGATTTCCCACCTTCTCTCCCTCTCCATTTCTTCAATACTAGCTAGGGCTTGATAACGACTGTCCATTGATGGTTCTACTGTCCCCGCCCAAGGTTGTATCTTGTGTCTTCTGTTGATCCGCGCAGCCGCCGTTTTCGGCCCATCTCCCTCGTTGTATCAACTGAGCGTTACAGTTCCCACCGGTGATCTCCCAAGTCTAGATTATGATTAGTTCCTACTTACTGACCTACTTCCATTGTGAACTATTAGCTCCCGCTTAGCTCATTATTCCCTGCCTCCGATTCATGCTGGATAAATTGTTTTGGTGTAAGCCGCGTCATGGTTTCGCCTGGGTTAGAAATCCACGGAACGTGCATACCTCTCCTGTCCAATCGTAACGACATTCCCTCCTCTGTGTCTCCTCTCTGGGATGCAGCCTGCAGTCGGGTTGTTCCCCAGGGACAACCGACGTCTAATCTCCACGCCCAGAAAAGATCGCCCGTTTCATTATAACCATACTAGCCTTAAATCCTCACTACGCTCGGCGGCTTGTTGGGGCATATGGCAAACTAATAGTATAGCCTTAATTATAGTATGATAGCTACTATATTAATGTAAGTATGGAAGTTAGAATTAAAATAGGCATTAAAGTAGATATTAAAGGAGGTATTAGCAGGCATCAAAGTAGGTATTAAAGGATGTATTAAAGCAGGCATTTAAGTAGGCATTCAAGTAGGCATTAAAGCAAGTATGAGCAGGCATTCAAGTAGTCATTCAAGTAGTTATTTAAGTAGGCATTCAAGTAGGCATTCAAGTAAGTATTAGCATGGTAATAGCTTATAAAAGTAGATATAGGAATGTCCATAGCTAACAGGTTAACTAACATCTCCAGGTTCTATAGCACGGAAAAGTAAGTAGGCATTCAAGTAGGCATTTAAGTAGGTATTCAAGCAGGTATTAAAGCAAGTATTAAAGTAGGTATTAGCAGGCATCAAAGCAGGCATCAAAGCAGGCATCAAAGCAGGCATCAAAGCAGGCATCAAAGCAGGCATTAAAGAAGGTATTAAAGCAGGTATTAGCAGGCATTTAAGTAGGTATTAGCATAGTAATAGCTTATAAAAGTAGATAATATAGGAATCTCTATAACTAACAGGTTAACCAACATCCCCAGGTTCTATAGTACGGAAAAGATGGCCCTGCGGGCCATAGTTCTTCCGAACCGCCGGCGCGCGTAGAACTCAGCACGGTGTACGGGTCATACCACGGGTGTTTGAGGGGGACTTTCATATATTATTTAATTCTGCATCAAGACGTTGATTTAGACCCTTCCATTTCGTCTGGAACTCGGGGTACGCGAGCAGCACACTAAGCGCGAGAGAGTGAAATCGAGCCACCTACAACCCCATCCTTGGGGGAAAATAAGTGGCAGCAGTATTTAGTATATGCACAATACTCATGAAAGACACAGCAGCACTTGGTCAGAAAATCGTTAGCTGTTTCTAATCGCGTGGAGTTCCCGCGAACGCTGCCTGTCCACCGGCCCTGTCCAGATCAAACCTCAGTGCAACGGTCTGTTACCTCTCTGCATGACTCAGGTCAACCAAGTCAACCTTGGATAACTCATTCTCTCAACCTTTCACTGTTATCTGAATACTACTGTAGGTTACCGTGGCTTGAAACTATCACTGTGCTCTTTAATGGCTAGTGGTACGATCAATTCCTTAGTCTAAGCTATCTAACACATATGCTGTAGATCATAAACTGCCCTCAGATTAGCTCTCAGGTTCTCACTGATTTCCAGGCAATAGTAAATCATGCGTAAACACACGTTGAGGCCGGATATCATACAACTTTGGCTTTTGGTACACACTCGTCACCGGGCAGCTCTGATCAACAGCTATGTAAGTGCAAATAAAACAAGTAGAATACAAAACGGTCACCAGAAAGATTATATAAGTCTTCATTTATTCCTGTCAAATAAGAAATGAGGGCTCGCATTTCGAGTGTTCGAGCATCATAATAATCTAGGGCCACAGTTAACATCAACAAACATGCGCAAAGGTATATATCTCAACCGAACCAAACCCCATTAGCAAAAAAACACTTAAATTATGACCAAATACCACATGATATTTCTGTATGCCTATCACGACCTTCCTGAAATTGTGCCTTGTGAGACGAGGGAAGCTGCACAGATTTTTGCACAGCCAGACCATAACCAAAATAGAACAAGAACTGAGCGATTTCGGCCAATCCCTTAGATCTCTGTTCAATCTCAATCACCCACTCTTGTGCAGAATGCCATCTTCCATTCGGTTGCCATATCGCTCGCGAAGGATGATGTCCATTGCCTGAATCATTCAATTCATCCAAGGTGTCATGAGAAGCTCAAGTGAGGGATATCGTCATTGGGATTAGGAGGGGGTTTGTTGCAAACCTAGATGTACCTTAATTAGCGGAAAGCTCAACAATCTCAGAGCTTCCTAGTTAAGACACTGCTCGTAGGAATAATTGTACTTACCACTCGGTGATTAAAGGGGTGAGTTGAAGATGTTCGCGGCCGGTGCACAAATTGACTTAAATACACGTGACCATCTATGGCGTAACTGGTTTTGTGGGAGCTGCGCAAAGAATCTCCGCACTCCAACTCACGGTTGATGGCTGCTTGAGACTTGTGTATATTTACTGTATGAAATGGTACGTCTTTGATTGAATGGAAATCCAGACCCATTTTTATTTTGCTCTTTTTTTCCGTCGCGATTGTATGATTCTAACCGTCCTTGGATATGTAGGAACTAAACTAAGTGATCAACGTCTACCCGTGCGATTAATTACTTTGAAAAGAAGAGTTCGAGGACGATATAGACAATACTTGCAAAGATGGCGTCTTGGATCCAGCGACCGGGTAATTCCCACCAGGCCCAGCTTGCTGCAACGGCTGTGCTTTCAGGCGCCGCAGTTGCGGGCGTGATACTGGGATACCAAAAATTTAAACGACGGGAGGCTGTGAAAGAACTGAAAGCTTCCATTCCAGACCTCAATCAACGACATCATGCGGAAATGGTACCAAAATGCTAATCCCACAGTCCCCAAGACCGGCTAGCTAATTCTGAATGAAGCTCACAGAATACGGCACCGCATCCTCAGGCCCGCACTGGACGAAGGAAGACGAGCGCAGCGCAGCCCTTGCACGCAGAGCACAAGAGGGAGATTACGATGACGAGCTTATCCTCGAGCAACTCGCCCGGAACCGCGTTTTCCTGACCGATGAGGGCCTTGCGAAACTCCGGGGATCGTTTATAATTGTAGTCGGGTGCGGAGGTGTTGGGTCGCACGCTGTCGCCTCCCTGGCTCGATCTGGCGTGGGCAAGATCCGCTTGATTGATTTCGACCAAGTTACATTGTCGTCCTTGAACCGACATGCTCTTGCTACACTAGCCGACGTGGGAACCCCCAAGGTGCATACTATTCGCAGGAGACTACAGCAGATCGCACCGTGGATTCAGTTTGATTGCCGGAACGAGCTCTTTGGCGGATCGGTGGCGGACGATTTGTTGGCACCATGGTCTTTAGACGGTTCGGATCAAGGGCGGAAGCCCGACTACGTGCTTGATTGCATCGATAACATCACTTCTAAAGTCGAGCTGCTCCACTACTGCCATACACACTCCATTCCCGTGATCTCTTCCATGGGCGCCGGCTGCAAATCGGATCCCACCCGGGTTATGATTGGGGATATTTCGGTCAGTACAGATGATCGACTCTCCCGGAGCACTCGACGTCGGCTGAAAGTCCTGGGCGTGCACTCTGGTATCCCGGTAGTGTTCTCGACCGAAAAGCCGGGGCCTGGAAAAGCCACTCTCCTTCCCTTAGCAGAAGAGGAGTTTTCGAAAGGCCAGGTGGACGAACTAGGAGTGCTGCCAGACTTCCGTGCGCGAATTCTCCCTGTTCTTGGAACCATGCCAGCTGTATTTGGCTATACCCTGGCCAATCACGTCATTTGTGACATCTCGGGTTATCCGATCGATTACAGCGTAGGCGTCAAGGGTAAAGATAAGATCTATGACTCCATTCAGGCAGCCCTTCTTGTGTCGTACGAACGCCTTGCTAAGGCCCAGGCTGGCAAGCATCTCATTGGGATCCGCATACCGATCACCAAGGACGATGTGAGCTATCTCGTGGACGAGATCTGGCGAGGCAAGAGTGTCGTGAGTGGTCTGCCTGGCCGGATTGCCCTTGTTCCTTGGGCACGCCCTCCGCAAGGGTTCATGCCCGATCCAGAGTGGGAGAAGCAGGGCCAAATCTTCATCCCACTCAAGCTTCAAGACCTTGTATTAATGACCAAAGAGGAGGCTACTCGTCATGAGAAGGAAGTCCTCATTGGAGGCAAGAACCCCGAAGAGCTCTACAGTGAGGAAGTTCTCCAGAAGGTGAAGGAGCGTAGGAAGGAGGTGGAATTTTATGAGCAATATAGATAATGGGTATTTCTTGTATGTACAGTAACATCAAAAGTTTCTATCCCAGCTTCTTAAAAATCAACGTTTTAGATTTCGGTCAAATTCCCCGAGGCCACGAAAAAGAGGCGATAAGATGACGTATATACCTCATGAGCCTCAATATCGCCTTCCCATCAAGTGCCAGATACAAGACTTACTGCTCGCAGTTATCCAGTGCAATTCCTAGACAGAGGATACAGTGGTTAAATTATTCTGGCAGGTGAAGAGCGCCAACGGAGGAGTCAAGTTCTCCTTTTTCAGACTCAGGCGGGTCAACAGAATCTTCTTTCTCGTATTATATTGCCCGCTCGACCCGGTCCCACATCCTTTTTCATCCTTCATCTCAACTCATGGGCACCGACCGACGCTGATCGAACGCACACTCTCTCCCCAATCTGTCTCCGGAAAACGTCGCTGGGGTCCCAAGTGGTGGTGGTGGTGAATCTCACCCCCGCCCGCACAAAAGTCATTCACACGACCGGTTCACAATGAGCCCCCCCAATCTGTACAGCAATCCAGATCGCCAGACCTTGGACTTTGCCGACGATATCTCCGACGATGGCCTATACTATTCCTCTTCCTCCTCCCGGATGACCAAGCACACTCATCCCCTCATCCACTTTGTGCGCAACGAATGGCAAACCAACCCGAAGTATTCACATCTCTCCCCTGCGTCGGATCGGACCGAGGCACCGCGATGGGTGCAAATCGTTGGATCGATCGTCACTGCTCCGCGATTTCGACGATACGCTGTTGTATATTTTGGGTTGCTGCTTTCATGCTGGATAGGATGGCATTTTGTGCTGTCTCCACGATTGGAGGAGCAAACGGCGCTCCTGAAGTCTCTAGACCCGCATGAGAAGGGCTGGGTGGGCTGGTTTGGTAGCAATTCTTTGCCTGAGTTGACGGATGTGATTCAGTTGGGGTCGTTGGACCCTAAGCTGTTACCGGCGGCGAAGACACCCCAAGCTGGCGAACCGAATCACCGAAGATTGGTTGTTGTGGGCGATGTTCATGGTTGTAAGATGGAGTGTGCGTATCCTCTACTCATATATCGCCCGCCCTACCACTGAACTGACAGCTAATATTACCTTTTTTTTTTTTTTTTTCGAGCGGTCGTTATACAGTGGAAAGATTACTGGAAGAAGTATCCTTTGATAAAGACCACGACCATCTGATCTTCACCGGCGACCTGATCAACAAAGGCCCCGATAGCCCCGGTGTTGTCGACCTTGCTCGAAAATACTCTGCTTCGTGTGTACGCGGCAACCACGAAGACCGAGTGCTTCTCCTGCGCCATGAGATGGACCCATCCAACCCACTTACCAATAATTCCAGGATCGAAACCGATCCACTACTAAACCAAAATCGCAAGGAGCGCGAGCTCGCGCGCCGGCTCACCGACGAGCAGGCAAAGTGGCTCGACGCTTGTCCTATTATTTTAAACGTTGGACAAATCACAGGCATGGGACAGGTCGTCGTCGTCCATGCGGGTCTTATACCCGGAGTTGATCTGGAAAAGCAAGATCCATACAGTGTGATGAACATGCGCACCATCGACTTGGACACGCATGTTCCTAGCGCATCGCACGATGGCATGAAATGGAGCAAAGTGAGTCTGGTTCCTTTTTTTTTTTTTTTTGGCTATTATTTAGTCGTCAATTCCCATGAAGCAAGCACCACTCAACGCTAACGTCCTATATGTGCTAGCTCTTTAATAAACACCAATCCCTTTTATCCTCAACCCTTAAAGATGGCGCATCAGACGCTGGATCAGGCGTGATGATGACTGTTCTCTACGGACACGACGCCAAAAACTCCCTCTCGCTGAAAACATATACCAAGGGCTTAGATTCCGGCTGCGTCAAGGGCGGAAAGCTGACTGCTCTTGTTATCCAGGACGGTGGACAGCAGAACATTGTGCAGGTACAGTGCTCTGACCACAACAAAAAATAAAGAGAAAAAGAGAAAAAGATCTTTCTCAACCCCCTCCTTCCTTTTTCAGTCTCGGCCTTTTTTTTTTTTTTTTTTTTTTGAATGGCATGGCGTTTGGAGCTTGGGTTTCTGCTACTGCTGCTACTTCTTCCTACCTACCTTGCTTCTCATCTACAGGCATGGACGGACATGTGAAATTGTGAATCTATCTACCTAAGGTATGGAGAGAAAGCCCACCAACCAACCCAACCCCTTGTAATTATCTCAAGCATACATACATACATACATACATACATACATAAGAAATGAGAAATCACCCGATTGATATCATCTGATGGAATATAGATACACCCGTTTAACCTTGTAATACGGAGTCCTGGAGTAATATAATGTATAATATGATATATAAGATAAGATATCCTCGTAGTATGTAACTAGCTAGCGAAATACTTGCTCGCCGACTCCGTACGATTCCACCCCCCATCGACCTCCCACGTAACAGGGTTCGTAAAATCCTCGTACCAAAACCCCCCCAGGGCATTCAGCTTCATGTACCCGAAGCGAAAATACTCCGGTTCCCCCCGGACCGCTCTGGACCAATTAAACACGCCGACTGACCCATCCGCGGCCGATTTGAAGGCATGGAACCGCTCCACGTCGTTCACGAGCACGCTCAATCCGTCCACTTCCGGGGGCAACGTGGGGAAAGCGAACGCAATGAGATTGGACGAGAGGATGTCGGGGACGCCGGGGGCGGTGTTGGTGAAGAAGTCCGGGAGGAGCGTGCTTCCTAGCTGGGCGTCGTTGAGGAGCGCCGCCGCGGTCTGGAGAATACTGTCGAACCCCCAGCGGGCGATGCCGTTGATGAATAAGCCTACCAGGAGGCCCTGATAGATGAGGCTCGGGCGGGTTTGGAGAGTGGTCCCTGGGAGGAAGAGGAGGCTGAAGATGTAATGGTGGATTCGGAGGTTCATGTGTGGGACGACGAGGAGGGCGAGGACGCCGCAGCCCAGGACGGCGTAGATGAGGAGGATTTGGGGGAGGCGGCCTTCGTTGCGGAAGGCGAAGACTTGGCCTGTGACTATGGCGAGGAGGAGGAGGACGATGGTGATTAGGGCGGGGATGGCGCCTGGTTGCTGTTGGATGTCGTGCGGGGTGAGGCGCGAGATGGGGATTTTGTCGAAGGTGTCTGTATTGAGAGCGCCGACCCAGCAGGGGCCGAGCCACAGACAGGTTTTGTCCCAGTGGGCGTCGAGGTCTGTGAGCGTGTGCCGGATGCAGAAGTAGTAGAGGGCGAAGCCGACAAAGGCGCAGGGCAGGAAGCGGCCCAGCGCGATAGAGACGATTTCATAGTAGTCTGGGGAGTAAGGGGGGTCGGAGGAGAGGGCGACTTGGAAGTAGACTATGAAGAAGACGGAGGCGAAGAATGCGGCTGGGGAGGTGATGACTAGAGAGAGCATGGCGGATACGATGAGCGAGAAGGTGAATAGTGGCCAGCGGGGGTCCTGGCATTGGAGGCCGTTGCCGTCTGCGGGGGAGTCTCCCGTGTCGAAGGTGAAGGAGAGAGGGAAGTAGGATGGGAAAGCGAGGCTGGCGATGCCGTTTCTCTCTACCGCTGGGAAATTCGCGTGCTCGCCGGTTCGACGAAGTACGCCACAGCCACCTTTCTGGTCCTGGAGAAGTCCGGCATGGATTGCGGCTTGACAGATGGTGGAATCGCCGCGATATACTCCAGGTTTCTTGCCATCGTCAGAAGCGCCTCCGATAACAAGGCTGTGATAATTGATCTCCTGCGGGCCTATGAAATATGGCTCAAGCACTGTGAAGGATGCGCAACCGGCTGGACAACGAAACGCAAATGTCTTCTCATCAAATGGTCGACAGTAATCGCCATTGATGCCACAGTCAGTCGCATTGTGCCTGGAAACAATGTGATAAGTTAGCCTCAAGATTTCGGACCTGAACTTTAAAGATCGTACCAGAGTCTGCTCCAGCAGGATAGTTTGACGGGGGTTCCATGACCCGGAATCTCCTGGCCAGTGACGCTGGCATGCAAAACCGAAATAAACACAAGACCCCAGACCCCAAGGACGCCTAGAAGAAGGCAGACTTTGGCTTGTGTGCTAGGAAAGTATCGCTCGATGAGACGACCAGGTGCAGTTTGCCCATGGGCCAGCCAGGGGTTGATACGATACTTCTGTGGCGACGATGGCTTACGGATCCAGTCTCGGACGCCGGAAACACTGCAGGAGAATCGCTTGGACACCTTGACATGAGGACGATCGAAATTCGATGTCGGGAGTAGCGGTTCACTTGTACTCTGATCGCCGTCGCCTGCCGCGGGGTCAAAACTGTCGCGCGCTGCTGCTGTGGCTATAATTTGGCTGGCGCTGGCGCTTGAATCGAATTCATCTCGAGCCTTGAGCAAATATTCCTCCGGTTGCCGCGGAACCTTTTCGAAGGAAGATGAGCTTGACCATTCTCCCGGTTCCTGCTGCGATCGCATTGTTGAAACCCCTTTGGATGGATGGAAGAAGAGTTCGCGTTATTTGTTGGTCTCTGAAGTCAAACAAACGCCCGAGTTAGTCATCGCGATACTACTTCTACAACCTCATTTTGTCTTCCTTCTCGGACTGAATAAACAGAAGGGAAGCAAGCAGCCAAATTAATTGATCTATTGTATTTGATCTTGATCTTGATAGCTGAGGGGTTGTATTATTATACTTCAAATATACTTCGATTTCAAGGAAAGACTATTATCAATCGCGACAACGATGGGTATCTGGGTGAGGTCAAGTAAATCATCAAGTCATTGTTCGTGTCAATTTCTTGGGAGTAGAGAGGGAATTCCAACCCGTGTCAAAACCACAGGAGTCGCGACCCAAAATACAGGCTGGCTTTCGGGTATATGCGAACGTGTAGGGGGGTAGGTAATTAGACACGAGATCGAGAATGACGGCCGCTATAACACAGGAATGTTAGCACCCGATAGCCATATATATATATATACATATGGTATCTAAGACTTACATTCTGTCGCTGGTGGTGCCCCGAACACGAATGGTGAACCAGATTCCCTAGAACCCCCCGTCAGTCGTCAAGCCCACAAGTCTCCCAAGATCCAAAAGGAACATACCAGAAGCGCCGAGACAAGCCAGACAATCGCAGACAGGAAGCTGAATGCCTCAGCGGCCTTCCATCGACCACAGTAGGTGTTGTCGGTGATAGACCCCCAATACCAAATGCTCCCGCAGTCAAGCTTATGGATGGCATCGACGAGGATTCCGAAACTGGCGAACCAAGCGAAGGAAATGATCACGTCCACTGGAGAGAAATCCATTAATAGGGATCGAAGCATGTTGGGGACGTGAGGACCCTACGTGGCCAGGAGAAGAACCCCGATGCAAAGGGGATCAACCAGATGAAACCCAGTAGGATAGATACTCCGGCGACTACTTCAGTATAGATCCATCGAGCCTGGGGCCAAGCATCGACCTTGTCATATTGGTGGAGGAAGTAACCGATAATACCAGCAACCACCTAGCCAAGTTAGTTTTTTTTTTCCCTCCATTGTTTAGGGGGGAAAGGAAGCGAAATGAGAGAGGGCCAGGTACCGCAGCAAAAGCGATCTCCGCGACGCGAAAGACAATGGAGAGTAAACGTGAGATGACAGGCATAATGAAGGAGGTGGATTTTCTTCTTTTTCAGAGAGGTTATTGAAGTAGTCCGTACCTGGGTCCTAAGCAGTATGGGGAGACCTGTCTGACATGCAACAAAAAAAGGAACTGGGAAACGAGAATGTGTGGCTCAAGCTGGTTTAAATACAGCATGCTGCCTGATGATCATCCGTGATATTTTTCTTGCTTTTGCATTCATACTTGGTTCCAGGGCCAATATGGTTTCTTTTTGCCTCCAGATAGTTCTGCCCAACGTCCTACAAGGGAAAGATATCCAAAGGCTACCAACCCTTACAGGGAAACCAAGAGAACAGATCCCTTCCCCGAGAACAGTGCGGTGAAGAATAAGATGATGATGTGTGGTGTCCAGCCGTCCCGAAGGCTAGAATACGTCAGTCTAGAGGCTGACCAGCTTGTTGTTTTTGTTTTTTTTCCAGCTTGTATCGCTTACTATTGGTGGTTTGGATTGCATTTTCCTATATTTAATTTATTATCCTTTTTTTTTTCGTCATTGTTCGCGATAGGGCAGATTTACCTACAGTATTGTCAACTACTCCGTACCTACAGGGAAACCCGTTCTGAAGCGTCTATTTAATCTAAAGAAATCATAAAACTGTATCTATCTGTCTATCTATGTTGTTAGCTCAAACAGGTCTATTTCGTAGCCAGGATCCTGTGGACAGCAGCTTCGGCAACAACCATGACTGTAGCCTGAATGTTGCCAGTAGGGAGATCCGGGTGGATACCACCATCAACAATAAACTAAATCCGCAAAACGTGAGATAATATTCGAGAAAGAAGAAGAAGAAGCAGAAGATTAAAACCCACCAGGTTATCCATGCCGTAAACTTTAGCATCAGTATCAACCACTGCGGTACCGTTGAACCGGCCGTCGTCAAGCCCCATCTTCGTAGTAGACGTATAGTGCACACCGCCGGTTAAGGAGCCGATGATAGCAGAGGTGTTGGTATACGTGTGAAGTTCAAGCCCAGTGCCAGGGGCGGTGATATCACTGATCATCTGGTTGATGAACATCTCTGCGGCTTCCTGGTCTCCCGCGGTCTGCAGGTAAGGCGATTGCTCCATAACGGTGTTCTGGTTCGCATCGAGGCCCAGAACTCCACTGGAGGTGAGACCGTGGGTCATGTAACTGGTGATTGTGACGACGCCGTCCGCGGTAGGGGCACACGATCCCTGATAGTATCGGGTTTGGTTGTCGCTGGCCACGTTGGATGTGAAGAAGATCATCCGGTGCTTGCCCTGAGTCAAGACTCCCGAGCTCTCGTCCTCGTAAGCCTGGATTTCATCCCCCGCGCTGCCGTTCAAGATCGCTGGTCCGTCTAAGGGAGCAAAAGTACCGTTGGTTTTCACGATGATGGAGAAGATGGGGTGGTCCTTCACGCCCACACCGACGGGGAGGTTAATCCACTCGTGTCTGGGCGGAACGGCAATGCCGCTCTTGTTCGCCGTTTCAATCTGAGATGCTGGGCCAATTCCAGAGTTGAAGAGGATGCGGGGAGTGGAGAGAGCACCGGCGGCCAGGATCACACGGCCCTTTGGCGCAAGACGGATCCTCTCGGTTTGACCTCCGCCAGTCTGGGCTTCGACGCCCACCACCCGACGGCCGTCACGCACAAGTCGGGTCACCTTGGTTCCCAAGCGAATCGAGAAATTGTCGTGCGCCTCTGCCAGTGGAAGATAAGTGCGGATGGGACCAGCACGTTTCTGATCCTTGATGTTCCACGCTGGGTGGCTGTAGACCTGATGCTTCTCGTTGGGTTGCGCACTCATGTCAACCGATGACCAGCCGAGTTTCGAGAAGAACCCGGACAGGAGAGTATACACGCCCTGGTCGTAGCGCTTTCCATCAGCAGAGGGCAACAGGCTGCCGGGGTTCCGGCTGTACAGGCGGTCCGCGGCGGACTCGACATCGCGCCATTTCCAGCCCTTGGGCCACCTGTCGTCGAAATCGTGCGCTGGCGGGTGTACAAACACCATGTAGTTAACGGTCACTCCGCCACCGAGCACACAGGCTGCCGTGCCCCCCGTGTCGGTGCACATATAGTCGTTCCATACATCCAGGTTGCCAATATCAAACGACAAGCCGGGAAGATCAATCTCGGTCAGGGTGTTATTCCATGAAAGTGTGTCGTTGGACCCCGTGGCCACTGTAGGGCCGGTACCTCGCTCAAGCAACAGGACGGACTTCTTGGCTTCAGCCAGCCTTTCGGCAGTGATGATACCGGATGGACCACCACCAACCACGATGTAATCGTATTCCTTGCCATGATCTTGGGTAGTATGAGCACCATGTGCCAGAGCAATTGAGGCCCAGCTGGAGGCCAGGAGGCCATGAGCAAAGGATGTTCGCATCATGAACAGAAGGAATGGAGGGAAGATAGAAGTGTATCGAGCATGTCCTGAGATAATTCCGGTTCCATGCTCAAGAGAGATGGGCCTTTTTAACAGGTCTGGTCAATACTTTTCATTCAATGCAACCCGGAATACTTCCAAACATGCAACCTGCAAAGCTTCAACATAGCTTACAAACCCATTGTAAATCAATTTCTAACAGAGAGGAGCCTTGATGGGGCAGCATATGTCATTAGCGGACAAGATCCGCTCTTCTTCCCACTCACTATAACTATACTATTCTTTTTCGATGTTTACCTACGCAAGTATGTATAGTGAGGGCCAAGTGGGATGAACGACTATACTACCAGATCAATTCACTGGTTTATACCTAGGACTTTCTTACACTTGCACCGTCTATAATTCCTTACTTTACATAGAGATATCCAGCATACTTCCGGGCACACAGGCCCAGTCTGGGAAATTACCGCAATGGACCGAAACCAGCCAATTAACCCTGAGTTGTTATTCTAGAATCTCCCTAACTATGTAGAGCAAGGATATCCGGACTCCCGGAATTACGTACCTAGGTCCTATGGTAGAAAGAATAGTCAGTGGCCATGAAAACTGATTTCTTCAGGACTGTGGGTTCCTCCAGGCTTCAAAAACATACCAATCTGCCGAAATCTTCCCAAAAAGTCCTGATTCTGGGCCCCAGTTTACTAAAAAGAAGTCCAAGAGCCCACTTCACAGCTGCTAAGTTGCTGACATTGTGCTGACAAAATCTGATAACCCAAACAGCCATGGTTTTACTACCTTCATTGTGTTAGGGTTGTGAAATTAAAGGATATACGGAGAGTATGCGCATTAAGCTAGATCTAGCAATGAGCCTCGTGCCCTACTATGATATGATGATCTTGATTTTTTTTTTGTCTTTCCAGAGTAGATCCTTGTACTTTTGAAACGCACTGTTTCGTGTATATAGGTACTGAAGTTTCCTTTTTTTTTTTTTGAAGTCGATAATATACAATATCCGAGCTGTGCCGTGAAAAGACTGACTGACTCAAATCATATATGGATAACTTAAACCTAACCTAATCTATCTTATCCCACCACCATTATAATAATAATAATAGCTCCTAGCAAATTCCAGCCTCACTTCTAGACCTATCTCTAGTGAGGATACTGGCTCAATTGTGATTGAGTTTATATATAGAGAGAGAGAGAGAGAGATCATTATGGCCTGGGTACACGCTCTGGATCTAAATTTAACCCCATTCAAAAGTACTATACACATTGGATTTTTAAATAACTAACCTGGTCCCTGATAAATGCAAATTGTACAAGAGAAGAAGAACAAGAAGTAGATTAATTTGTCAAAAACCACTCCATCACCGTCCTGAATACCCCCTGCGCACCACTCTCAATCACATCCCCATGGCACGGAATCAACCGATTAAACTCCCACTTATCAATCCGTCGCATCGACTCTGTAAAGGCCTTCCGGTCCCTCTTGGATAGAACATACCACACAAACCTCTTCTGCCACGTCGCCGGCGGAGTGGTCGTCATCAACGGCTTGAGAATCGTAGTCCAAATCCCCGAGGTCGCACTCTCCCCTGTTTTCGAGTATTGCTCGCGCGCAGGCAAATTAAACAACAAATCCCCCTCAATGAGCGTCCGAGACGGCTTATGCAAGAACACCAACTCCCGCGACTGGTGCCCATACACGTATTCCGTCTCAAACTCCGCGTCAAACTCCTCCGAGATCCGCTGCTGTCCGTAGTTCTCTTGCCGGAAGATATGCTTGAACGGGGTATCTTTGAACTCGGGGTTCGATTGGCGTTTCTCCCAGAGACCCTCGGGCGCGATGATTTCGGCCTCGGGGAAGGCGTTTTTCCACGGTGTGAGGTGCAGATGGTGTTCGAGGTCCAGGGCGGCAATGTACTTGACGTTTCCGCCGAGGCTGGTGATAGTCTCGCGCACGCTGGGAGTTAGGTTGACGGGGGAGAAGACGGCAATGGAGCCAGAGGACATGCGAACTATATCATTTTTTTTTTTTGGTACTGTAAATAGATACTCTCTACCTAACGACGCTTTTGTCCTTTGAGAGAGAAGAAGAAGAAGAAAGTGGGACATACCTAATGTTCCTCGTCCTCCAAACTTGACCCGGCCGAATCGCGCAAAGGGCAAGCTTAGGGTAACGACGTCAGAAGTAACATGGCGGATAACCATGACCTCGTCAGGATTGGGGGGAAAGAGTTGAGGGGCCATAATAGGGGTAATTTTTTTTTTTCTCAAGGATCAACCCTCTTCTGTACGCATATAACCCAAACCACTTCCCTCTTATTAACGCAGAGCGCAAACAGCCACCACGGAGCTCAGATGCAAATCGAAAGTGGCCCAGCAAGCCTCTGGCTCCAACGTGTTTAACAGCTCGATAGGTCAACGGGTAGGTAAGATGAGAAATGAAGATTGAAGACTAGATAGAATGAAAAATATTTTTCTTTTCTTTTTTTTTTGGATCGTAGTCGTAAGGCTATGCAGAAGCTTCAGCACGAGAGCGGATAGAAAAAGGAAGAAAAGTGACGTCAATGGCTGCATTAAGAAAGTTGTCACTTCGGAGAAAATGGGGGGAAATACCTTAATAATAATAAAGCTCGAGATGGGCCTGCTATATAATACAATACTACGGTTAGTATATGCCTATCATGGTACTTGGTCCGACCGGAATTGGAATCGTACTTACTAGTAGAACCCCTTTTTCGAGTACTACCCAGGTATCTTTTGATTATCTCCCTAATTTCTGCCGTCGACTTTGAGTGACGCTTTATATCCCACTATTTTTGACAGGATCAGAGAGACCTCTCAAGTTGTCTTGGTTGCGTGATTTCAGGCCACACTGCCCAGAAGGTGATACCATTTTACTAGGTTAGAGACTAGATAGTGCCAGGATGGCCAGTTCTAGAATAAATCTTTATATTCTATTTGTAACGGGAAAACTCCAAACATTCCAACTAATGGGGTATAACTAATCAATCAGTAACCACACAACGGCCAACTCCTGCGGCGTAAAATAGACTCTTCACTAAGAGGAAGTAATGAATCGAGGATGCCCGAGAATTAGCTATACCATCCCTGCGCAGTGTTGTCCTTTTCCTCCTCACGATGGGGGATTATAGAATCTTTAATATTGTACACCTCGATGAGTTCACGCCACGTATCAAAGTCGAGACTGAACACGGATTGGTGCTTCTGGACACCTCTTCTCTGGGCTTCTCTAGGTGCGAAAGGTTTCGAGGGATCTGTTGTTTCAAGAGTTAGCAGGTCTCTCCCTCAATCCGAAGAATCTTGGATGGAATTTGGGATCGTACGCAACGTTGGCAAGCCACGGCTGTCCACTGAAATCCCCACGGTACCGTCTCTGACTAGGAAGCTCAGATAAAACAGGTTTTCTACAGACTGCCCAAAGGATTTCGGGTTGATGCAGAAATTGAACAGGGGAACCCCTCCATCATCGGCAATATTATACTGGGCCATCACTTCCTGCGCTTGCTCGGGGGTCGGCAATTCCGGTTCATTATCCAACACCTGCTGAGCACTATCTTCACCGTGATTTCGGGTATCCACCAGTAGTTTGTTGATGCTGGTGCACATAACCGTGAGGTTAGCGGTCTCCTGTTTGTCCAGGTCCTCCTCTCTTAGCTCTTGCGGCCGGACAGCCTGGGACGGGTCGATTCGCTCTCTAGCCCTTCGCTGTGCTATCTGGCGCGTGCGTTTCTGCACAGACAGCGGGCCAAGGAGAAAGCCAGACACTGAAGGTCGGGAACTATGGCGGAAACAAGCAGCGCGTCCAAGCCAATCCCAGTTCATTCCATCACCCTGATCCTCGTCATCACTGATGTCTGGGTCTGGCTGGGTTCTTCTAGGAGCACGACGACGCTGGGTGCTACTAGCCACGGTACTTGGATCCTCTGGACCTGCACGCATAAAGGCTATACATTTCGACACAAACTCATCCACATCAATTCCGGCCCCCGAGTCACCTAGAACCAACTGGGCGGTTTTTTTATACGACAAGTCTGCTGCGTTGACGAGGAGACGGGAGTCGATGGTCGCATCAGAGGTTTGTTTGATATTTCGAAAGTACTGATTTGCCTTCAGGATAGTGTCTTGAATTCCACTATTCCCTGCCTGCAAATATTCGTTCCGGGAATCTGCAACATGATTAATCAGTGTTGGAAGCGCGGGAACAGGAGGAGGAGTAGTAGTAGTAGTTACCATTCAAGTCTCGGGTTAGGTCTCTAAGTCCCTTGCGGATTTGTCGTCTTTCCTTCTCGTCTTGATCAGGATCGTAAAACTCGGCTCTGTTATTGTGTGGTGGTTGCGCCTGGCTGCTAACCTGGACATTTGACGTGCTGTTGCCCAGGCGTTGGCGCTTTGCTTTCTTCCCTGCGGAAGGCATGGTTTGTATCTGGTTTCTCTTTCTAATATGGGTCGAGCTTTGCAGATTCTCTTTATCTGAGGAAGATACAGGCGATGAAGCCTGGAGTGAGAGTTGGGGGGAGCGCGCCATGCTCACAAGGCTGGATTTCTTTGATAAACGGTAATGCAGAAACAAAGCGCGCTTGCGATCAGCCAAAAATATAAACAGAGAGAATGAAGAGGGTAGGTATGCTCAATTAATAAGTCGTTGACCAGGAAGCCTCACAGTCAATTCCCATCAACAAGCTTCCTCATCCGGCGTGTCTGGGAAATTTCCTATTTCGCCTGGCAGTCTTGACGGTTCCGCGCCCAAACGCGTAACTGCAGGCCATCCACGTGATGTCACCTGTCCCGCACGTCATCTTGCGACCAGAACAGGCTGCAACCAATCAGCGACGGCATCATCGGTCCTGTTTGAACAGAGCTCCTCATCAGTTAGGTACTGTCACGACTCTAGCTGAGCCTCAGCCATGCGATAAGGAGGGCTGGGACTGTGATTCCCCTAGTTGAGGATGGAGGCCTTTACATTTGCGGTTTCCACCCAAGTGGATTTCCCACTTTACATCAAGATGTATGCCAAATGCCCTTGCCAGGAGAGGTGATTGTTGGAAGGTGACAAGTTAACCGGGTTACAGTGGCTCCCTAGAAGGAAAGCAGAAGCAGATACCATTTTCCGTCCTTTTAAAGCAACCGGAATTGCGACATATCGGGTCCGCACAGAATCCGCTTTCTGATTTGTTCGTCACCGTGCAACTATGGTCGGAATCCAAGCCCCTCGGAGTACCCTTACAAACCTCATACAAAGCATTCAAGACAAGTCGGTCCTGGAATGAATGGCTCCAACTGCCTATAGCTATCAAGGACGCGCCCTTTAAATGTCAGCTGGCAATTACAATTTGGGATTTGTCACCGTTTGGTGGCCCGGGAGCGGATGGCCATGATATCCCGTTTGGCGGAACAACTATATCACTGTTTGATGTAGATGGCAAGTTGAAGACGGGTAGGCAAAAATGCAAAGTGTATCGTCATAAAGCTGCAGATGGGTTTTCGTCGACGACAACGCCTTCCAGCCCACCCCAAAGACGTCGAAAAAGCAACATTCCCGACCCACTGGGTCCTTCCTTGGAAGAAATGGAACTAGAACGTGTTGAAGTTCTCATTAAAAAACATGAGATGGGTGAGATCCCTCGAATTGACTGGATGGATCAAATGGTTTTCCGTCAATTAGAAAAGTTGAAGCTTAATGCTGAGGAGGCCGCAAGGAAGCGCGCTATACTCTTGAAAGCTAACAAGGAGAAATACACCAATGGCGACGATACCGATCTCAAAGAGGAAGAAATTGACGATGAGAATTTCATCCTATACGTTGACTTCCCTCGATTTGACCATCCCATCGTATGGTCGGATCATGAATACCCAGCACCTCCAATCTCCTCATATCCCCAAAATACGCCTGGGAACCCAAACTCTGCACTCAAACCTCTTCCAGAGGTCCGCTTTGGTCCAGGGATTGAAGGGGTCGATGTTGAAGGCGTGATTAGAATTTACGACCCCGAGGTCGGTCAAGCGGGCAACCCTTGCGAAGATAAACATCGAAGGCTTATTCGTAGCCACCGGACGGGCATCATGGATCGGGATCTCAAACCAAACCCCAAGATTCGCGACGATCTCAACGTGATAATATCATATGAACCCACACAAGACCTCACCGCTGAAGAAAAAGATCTTGTCTGGCGGTTCAGGTACTATCTAACCCGAGAGAAGAGAGCGCTCACGAAGTTTGTCAAGTCAGTCAATTGGAGGGACGTGGGTGAAGCCCATCAAGCTGTCGAGATACTCCCAAAATGGACTGAAATCGATGTCGATGATGCTTTAGAGCTTCTTGGTCCAACCTTCGACAACGCCGCCGTTCGCTCATATGCTGTTGAACGCCTCCGCAAGGCCGATGATGATGAGCTGCTCCTGTATCTTTTGCAACTCGTGCAGGCGTTAAAATATGAAGATAACACAGATGGAAACGCAGATAGTGCTGCCCATGACTCCTCTCTTGCTAACTTTCTCATTGCCCGTGCAGCCAACAACTTCAAACTAGGTAGCTATCTGCATTGGTACTTGATGGTTGAGTGCGACGATGCGGGGCCCGGTACACTCTCCTCTCATCGCAGACTATTTGCGCGGGTGGAATACTACTTCATGACAGAGTTGGAGCAAATACACCCGGACTACAGGAAGACGCTGCTTCGCCAGGGTGAACTGATCGCGGTTCTTGCGAAGATCTCCAAGGACATTCGTTTCGCTCGAGAGAACCGCGTCCTAAAGATTGAAAAGCTGAAAAGGTACCTCAAAGATCCTAAAAATGAACTTCTGCAGATCGACCCTCCGCTCCCACTTCCTTTGGACCCTGATGTCTTAGTCACGGGGTGCTACCCTGAAGAATCCAACGTCTTCAAATCCTCACTGTCCCCCCTACTTATCACCTTCAAAACTTCTGAGGGACGCAAGTACCCAATCCTATTTAAAGTTGGCGATGACCTTCGCCAAGACCAGCTTGTTATCCAGATCATCATTTTGATGGATCGTCTCCTCCAGAAAGAGAATTTGGATCTCAAGCTCACCCCATATCGCATTCTAGCCACCAATGCTACTGCGGGTGCTGTTCAGTTCATTCCATCAACCTCGCTTTCGGCGGTTTCAGCTAAATATAAAACTGTCCTGGCATATCTCAAGGCCAATAACCCCGATGACAGTGAGCCACTTGGCATCCGGAAGGAGACAATGGATACCTATATCAAGTCTTGTGCTGGCTATTGCGTGATCACATACCTTCTTGGTGTAGGCGACAGGCATCTAGAGAACCTTCTCCTGGCCCCAGATGGCCACTTCTTCCATGCAGACTTTGGCTTCATTCTTGGTCGGGATCCGAAGCCGTTTGCTCCCATGATGAAACTGTGCAAGGAAATGGTCGAAGGCATGGGCGGAACCACCTCTCCGCTTTATTTACAATTCAAGCAATACTGCTTTACCGCTTACACCACTCTACGCAAATCCGCAAATCTCATCCTCAACCTGTTCAGTCTGATGGTCGATGCCAACATTCCTGATATTCGGGTAGAGCCGGACAAAGCAGTTCTAAAAGTCAAGGAAAGGTTCCATCTTGAAATGACCGAAGAGGAAGCCATACGACACTTCGAGCAGCTTATCGGTGACAGTGCCAACGCCATATTTGGCGTGGTCATTGACCGTCTCCACGACTTCGTACAAGGATGGAGAGCTTAAATTACGGAGTATGCTCGTCGTATGCCAGTCTGTCCTTTTTGCTTTTGTTTCCATATAGTAGGAAACGGACCAGGCCGCAATGAGCCATCTCAGCACGAATGGAACGATACCCTTTTCTGTATTAGTATAACAGATATATAGATCTATGAATAGAACGGTTTTTACACTTTCAAATACCAGAGATTCCCAAATTTCATTATGCCGCGTTTCGGCGCCCAGTACAAACACAATTGATATACACCGCTTTGCACTCCGCCCAACCACCCGTCGGCAGAATCGTAAGAAAGTGGTTGTAATTTTGGGTTTTCCGTCATCGAAGAGAAACCAGCTGGATAATGAATGAGGACAGAATTGCGATGCGATAGATGATGCGGACAAGGGGAGCCCATTCATTGTCCTCAGAGACACTCCTTTACAGAAATAATTGGATATCCTCCCATAATGGCTGCTAAATTTATACCGCGCCAGGCGTTCCCCAACTATGCCTCCATACCCCGGTCCTATTTCCTAGGTCACCATAGGGCTGGATTAAGGAAGATGCAGAACATGTTGTCTTCGATTGATTATGTTGTTGAATGTCGCGACTACAGGGTTCCTGTCACCTCCGTGAACCCTATGTTCGAGGAAGCCCTTGGGAAGACGAGACGCCTAGTTGTTTACACGAAGAGAGATCTGGGAGCGGCGGCGGATTTAAGCTTGCAAAAACAGGTAGGTTCGAACAAAAATTAGATCTCAGACTTTCGTTTCTTCATGGTCGGGTTGCTAATATCCTGCTTCCGTGTCCTCTAGACTGAAAAGACTATTCGCAACTTCGATCGCAATAGCGCCGTTTTCTTCGTTAGCTCGTCGTCCCGCCCAGATGTCAGCTCTATATTGAATCACCTGCGCGAAGATGCCGAGGGGCCGGACAGGCTTGTTGGTTGTCGTGTTATGGTTGTTGGAATGCCGAATGTTGGTAAATCGACGCTGATTAACAACCTCCGCAATCACGGTGTTCGGAAAGCGAAAGCAGTTCAAACAGGAGGACAACCGGGTATTACGAGGAAGATCGGAACACCTGTTAAAATCATTGAAAGAGAGAATGGCTCCCATGTTTATGTGCTGGACACTCCGGGAGTCTTTATGCCCTACGTTCCGGACGCAGAGAACATGCTGAAACTAGCTCTCTGCGGCTGCGTCAAGGATTCTGTGATCTCACCCGTCACATTAGCAGACTATCTGCTGTACCACATCAATTTACATGATGCGAATGCATATCAACGGTGGTCTCCAGCCACCAACGAAGTTCTTCCTCTTCTCGACAGATTTGCGCGTCAGACGGGTCTTCTCGCCAAAGGTGGGATACCAAATATCGATCTTGCCGCTCTCCACTTTATCCAGAAGTGGCGTGCTGGTGAACTAGGCAGGTTTATGATTGACGACATAAAAGCGGAAGAGCGCCGTCGCGAATCAGGAACAAAGGATGAGGCGAGCATGAGTCTCACTCAGGCTTTGAAAGCAGAGAAGCTGGCAAGGAAGCAGCAGCAAGTATTGGATTCTGTAAATAAGAGCAAATAATTCCCCGCGGAAGTGTATATTTATATCAAGACCTCTTCAAATTCTTCCCAGTTGAGCTTCAGTAAGCGTTACGGGAGAACCTTTTGACTAGCAATGCAATTGCAGTCATTCAGAAGACAAAATTAACAGACAAGACAATCATTATGTGTGTATTCGGGATGCAAAAAAAAGAAGGATATAGAATGAAAAGAAAAGGCAACCCCCCCACCCTTAGGAGATCTTGTCCAAGAGCCGCCTCCTCCGCCTATCGACAAGTTCCTCTTGCACCTCTTCCAACGACGGCAATCGCCATGCAATCCCATCTCCAGCATCCCCAGGCAATGGCTCCCATCCATCCTCGACATCATCATCATCCTTCTTCCGTAGTTTCTCCACCGCCTCCTTCTCCCGCTGCACCTCATACGCAAGCAGCGTCCCATCCTCCTCATCAAGCCCATACCCAAAATAATTCGCATCCACTTTCTTCGTCGCAATATCTCCCCCTCTCCCCGTACTCTCAGCTTCCTCCTCCTCTGCAGGTCTCCTCCCCCGCCTCGCCGCAGCTTCAATCAACTCCTTAACACCAGGTAACTCCCTCGCGCGCCCAAAATACCGATACCCCTTTCCACCACCGGGAATCTCCCTCCCTTCATCATCGTACACCCGTCCCGAGCCACGCATGTAATTCGGCCCGCCCAGGTTCCGGATCTGCATCTCCCACGTCCACTTCTCCCGCATCAACTTGTTAATCTCGTCATTCAAATCCCGGATCTGGTGGTCGCTCAGAATGGGTTCCTGGATCCGCGACACCTTGCGTGAAATCTCCTTGAGCACTTGGCCGCGCCACTTCTCGCACATCGGAATCGAGTCAACGGATGTAATGGCCTTCGGGCGCCGCGTGCGGCCCATATCGATGATGCCCAGGTCCGCGGCCTGTTGGGCCCGGAATCGGAACAGCATCGACTGTGCCTTTTCACTGTTACGTGCCTAGATTTCATTTTTGTTTTCCCCCCGGAGAAGGGAGGAGAAGTTGCAGTTAGCTATCTGGGGGGAGGGGGGATTCTCTTGGGTTTTCGGGGGGGGGGGGATTTTGGTGTATAACCCGGTCTCGTTTTTTTTTGGGGGGGGGGGGGCGAAGATGCGCGGTAATGCAAATGTGATCTTGCCCGGGGACGGGTGTTCTGGGGTACATTAGACTCACCATTTTGAAAAGATGCACGGGTAGACTCGGCTGAAGTCTAATGCCTTGCGTGGGAGTGGGGGAAGGTCGAGGAAGTCGTCGTCCCTATTTCAAGAATGAAGTGTACTTGATCCAAGCTCGGGTGGGTCGTCAATCGTCCCCGCAAGCGAGCGCCAGTAACAGCCGCGCGGCTATTGTATTTCACCCAACGCCAACCAGAAGATTATGATCCTTCGATGAAAAGATGTGAGATTTAATATCCAGTCGACGTTTTTGGAGTTGGGTGATCTATGTGAGTAATTCATTGAGATGCTCGTCTACAGAAAGATCTTCGTACTTGGATTGCATGGGCTGTCACCAGGAAAGTCAGGTAGGTATATAGTTACATATTTATATTTATATTACTCAGTATATTTCTGCGGGATGGCAACTAACAATTGAAAACAGCAAGAAAAGCAGATATGAAATTAAATAATTGTCATCGATATACGCCCTCATCCTTCACTATGAATATCAAAAGTCCCCCCCCACCAAAAAATTATCAACCTCAATGGCTCATTCAACTTACAAGCAAGGTCATCATAAAACATTTAAAATCCGTGTACACGTAAGAGCAAACTAGGTAAAATAAACCGCAAACGGGTCCATCTCGTTCAGCACTCCGTCGTCATGCAGGTTTGCCGTCGTATTATACTCGTAATCTGTCGTTCAGGCCCTAGTTAAGAGTTTAGCGCCTGTATTCAAAAATTTGTTGCGGTGTTGAGCAGAGTCGTCCGGCTGCGAGCTCCTCGTGATTCCTTACAAGAAGCCTTTAGTGTTGCTGGGCATCCGTTGTGGCACGTCCCCGGAACTATAAACCCCGCTTCCTCGTCGGCTACCAGTGTCGCTGAAAGCAGAGACATGACTCCTGCCGAGGGCGCTGCCTCCTCTTTCAACGCGAAGAGCCTTCCACCCATTCAACTCCCGTTCAAGCCTTAGAACCTTTTCGCGCTCTTCCCGGGACTCCCGCTCCGCTCGACGCGCCTGTAGCTGGGACTCGGATTCACTTTGTTGAAGCTCTTCAATATTCTTAAGAAGGCGCTCGATCTTTTCACGCCCCCTGTTTAGATCATCGTTAAGCTGAGTGTTCATCTTATCGCGTCGGTCGATCTGGGATTGTAAATCTTTCACTGTACGATCGATATTTCGCAAGGACCGTTGCTCAGAGTTATTCTTGGCTTCTTGTTCATCCAATAGAGTCTCCAGCTGTTGATGCGGTTTTTTTTTTAGTATGTTGCCATATTTTGGGACGGAAAGAAAGTTATACGTACGTCTTTAATTCTCTTGTGAAGGAATCGAATGTCCTGGCTGCCTGTAGAATAGCTCTTTGTCTCCAAGTCAACACATCGTAGCTGGGATTCTTTCAACTGCTTCTCCAAGGCGGCCTTTTCCTTGAAGAGCTGGGCATTAGCCTCCCTCTCGGCGGTGACTTCCTTCTGCATCTCGATTGCTAAAGCCTCGGAGCGTCTCATCTTTCCGACCGCGGCAACGGAGACATCTTCCTGCTGAGCAAGTTTAGCTTTGAGCTCGAGGAGCTCGCGATCCATACTAGCGGCGTTACGCATGGATGGGCTCTCCCCCTTGGCGAGATCTTCTAGCCGCTCCCCGGCTTCTGTCAATCGAGCTTCGAGCATCTTCTTCTCCTTAAGCAGCATCTCGCGTTCCGTGGTAATGTCCTCAACTGATGTTCGTAGGCTTCTAACCTGCGACAACAAGGAGACAACCTTGGATTGAGCATCATTATGGGCGCCAACTGCCTCATCACGAGAGGTAGTGACGTCTTGAAGCATCATCTCCATGCGGGCCTTTTCCTTAGCCCAGGTTGAACTGTTCAGCACTTCGTTATCCCATTTGCTACGAAGATCTTCGAGCTCCTCACGGAGACGAGAACTCTCCTCGCGAACGTTGAGGACCTTCTCGCGCTCTATCTCAAGCTCACTGTTGAGAGTTGTGATCTCCCTCTGGTATTTCTGCCTTGTTTGCTCCATTGAGGTTTCCTTGTCCTCGATGTCAATCGCCCGTTGATTCCTGTAGTCCTCGAGCTCATTTTGAAGACGTTGTTTAGCCTGAAGTGCGGCCTGAAGCTCTGCGGCCTGATCCTCTGTTCTGGCCTCGAGGGCCTGTGTTTGGCGGTCGAAATCATGAATCATCGCTTCCATTTGCTTGCGTTCCGCCATGATATGCGCACAATTGTCCTCGGTTTCTTGGGCTTGAGACTTCGCGAATTGTTCGGCACGATTGGCTTTCACCAGCAACATCTCTAGCTGCTCAACCTTGCTGAAATGCTCATCGGCACGACTCTTGTATAGACTCAGGCTCGATGCAAGGTCGGCGGATTTCGAAGTTTCAGCATCCAGGCGAATTTGCAGGTCAGAGAATTCCTGAAGGAGCTGGTTTCTGCTAACCGCATCCTGCTCTCTCGCCAGCTGCAGCTCCTGTGCTTCCGAGGACGCATCCCGGAGTTCAACTTCAAGGGTAGCCTTCGCTCGTTTGAGTTTCTCGAATTGAGCTTTAGCTTCAGTAAAGTCGGCAAGGGACTCATTGTGGACCTTGAGTAGCGATCGTCTGGATTGCTCCTGAGAGTTGATGAGATCATACAATTCCTCGTGTGACTTTGCTTGAACATCCCGCAGCGAGAGCTCTCCCGAGTGAATGCTTCTCTCAAGAGCCGAGACCTTCTTGGCAGAATCGTCTAGTTGATCATGTAGACGACCATTTTCTCGTTCGAGTAGTTGCATACGTCTAATGGATGGGCTTTCGTCTTGCCACATATCCCTAGGAGCCGACCTCGCCACTTGACTTTGAAGGTGCTTATTTTGCATCTCGCTCATTTGGAGTTTGTTCTGAAGCTCCTCAATCTCTGCTGCCATGTCCATCCGTTTTTGATAACCGACAGTGTCCACGGTCCGGTCTGAGCGCGCAGAATCATTCAAGGTGTCATTCAGGGCAAGTCGGCGATTAGGGGTCGTTGGTGCACTAAACTTCTTCGCAATACCATTTTCAGAGTTCTTTCTCAAGTGAGTTGGAGTACGAGTTCCAGCAACCTGGTTCTGGTCAATTTCCTCCAACAACGCTCGCTTTGACGATGAGTAGCGGGCGTCAAGCTCCTTCATCTCCTCTCCATGGCGACGGCGCATTTCCGCAAGTTGGCTTTCAGCTCGACTATACTTCTCCTCAGATACTTGCAGCTTGCTTTGCATTGTCTCTAGTAGCTGGGCCAGATCAATCTTCTTTGACAAATCCGGCTGTATCTTCTCCCACGATTCTGCAGAGTGGTCAGCGTCCGGCTCAACAACTCTGTGTAGAAGCATGAGTTGGCGATGAAGGTCCTCGATTTCCCTATTTGCAGAATCCAAAGAGCCTTGAAGTTTTCGAGTATTTGCTTGTGCTTGGGTTCTCAATTGTCTTTCAGTCTCCAGGTTACGATTCGCTTCTGCCAGCTGAATGGAAGCGGTGGATGCAGTCTTCTCAGCATTGCGACTAGCTTTGTGCTCCCGATTTACTTCGTGAGTCAAGTCTTCCATGCTCAATGCAAGCTTCTCCTTCTGCTTCTCTAAAGAGGTAATAGACAGCTGTAGATCGCCTAACTGGCGGGCTAGCTTCTTATTATCATCTTCGAGCTTGGCCTTTTCCTTTTGGAGTGTCACGACGCGCAACCGCTGGCTTTCGCTGGCTTTCGAGGTTGATCGGGCAATGTCAAGATTCTTTTGTTGGATTTTGGTAAGTAGTGTGCGGTTATCATTCTCCGATGCCGTCAGTCTGCCCTTAAGAGTGACCAGCTCTCTCTCCAAGCGTTCCTTGTGCTGGTCGTGGCGAATGCGGAAGTTGTCAGACTCGGCAATGGCGTTCATTAGTTCTTGCTCTCGTACTGCAAGCCGTGACCTTTCAGCGTCTATTTCCTCTAATTGACGGGACTTGTGATCTAAATCCTTTCGGAGACTCTCGAGGCGCTGTGTATTTTGCGCATGGAGGCTTTGTTCAATCTCAGCCTCAGCTTTCAGACGAGCGTTTTCGACATCAGTAAATCGGTCTCGGAGCTGGATCAGCTCATTTTGGAGTTCCTTTCGGGATTGTTCGGCGGCTACCCTGGCCTCCGTAGCACGGCGAAGAGTATCTTGTTGAATGTACATTTCCTTTTCAATCTCGATCTTTGATTCATTCAACGAGGCGTACTTGTCCGTCAATTCCGCCAAGTTATGTTCTGCCAGCATCTGAACATCATCTCGTGACTGGCGTTCTCTGCTGAGCTCTGCTTGTACTTGGAATAGCTGATCTTTTAGATCGTGGATCTGCTGCTCGAGAAGCTTTCGACTTTGACTAGCTTCCGCGTCCTCGGAAATCTTAGCTTGGAGAAGGTTTTGGACATCAGCCGCTTCGCGCTCCAGCTGGGCCTTCTCTGATTTCATGGCATCTGCCTGGGCTTGTAGCTCACGCAGTCGCTTCTGCATACTGTCATGGCGGGTTGAGAGAGAGGCCTTTTCCGTCACCAGCTGCTGTTTCTCTTCGTTGTGCTTTTTCGTGTCGTTGCGGAGGACTGAGAGCTCACTTTCCTTACGTCTGAGCATTTCTTCATAGCCAGTGGATGTGGAGGACAGATCCGAAATTTGCTGTCGAATAGACCGATTCTCATCAACAAGCTCCTTGACTTGCTTCCTTGATCGGTCCAACTCTTTCGAGGTTTTCGCAAGCTTCAGGTCAAGGTCTTGGTCTGTTTTTAATATCTTTGCCTCCAAGTCCTGAAGTTTACGATCCTTCAAGCTGAGGTGGCTTTGGAGCATTTTCATCTCCTGGCTGAGCTCTCTCATCTGGCTATCTTTTTCAGAGGAAGACATTTGCATTTCGACGATTTTGCTCTCAACCTCTTCAAGGCGCGCTTGCATCTCCTTTTTCTCGGTCTCAAGGCGTTGGATAATTTCGCCGGCCTGCTCCAGTTGTGTTTTACGTAGCTCAAGGTCTTCTTCGGCCTTTTTCTTAACTAACATGAGCTCATCCAACTGATCTTCGAGGCTTTCCTGGTCCGCAATGGCGCCAGCCAGTTTTTCGCTCAGTTCAAGCTCACGGACTTGAAGTCGCTTGAAAATCTCCTCCTTGTCAAGGGCTAACGCTCGTTCGCTTTCCAAGGTTTGCTGGATCTTCTGTATCTCTATTTCTGCGCGACGTCTCTCTTCTTCAATTTTGTGCCGCTCAGCTAGATCCTCTTTCATCTTCACTTCGAGCTGTTGTATTTTTTCATCTCGTTTCTTTACTTCGTTCGCGGTACGTGTCTCTCCCAGAAGAGGCTTCATCGTAGAAAACAATCTCCACCAAGGATTCGATTTCATGTCTAGGTAGACCCGGAAATTGTGTTGGATGATGCGGGTGGCCTCGGCACGATACAGCCTTTTGTTGGAGATTCGTCGCTGTACGAAGCCTCTCGCAACTGATTGGAAACGCGTCATGATGGTACGGATGAGTTCGTCACGTTTTTCTTCTAACTCTGCGAGGACTCCCGCTCTGAAGAACACCTTCGTTCTCCCAACTCGGAACCAGGCTTTGTCCAAGGAGAGCTTTTGTAGCATTGTCTGAGCGGCTGCTTGTCCATCCATATAACCTTTCGGCATATCCCGACAGAGTACCTCGTATCGCTGACGGAACTCGGTAAAGGAAAGTCGGTTCGGGAATCCGGTCCGGGCGATTCTGATGCCTTCCAAGACACCATTGCACCTTAGCTGATCGAGAACAAGGGGGGCATTCAGCATCTTCGGACGCTTTTTGTGGTTGGGAATGATACAGCGCACAAAGTGTGGATGGGTGGAATTCAGTTCATTCATCAGACTCGCCAACTGTTCTTTGTGCCTCTGGGCCACTGTACGGAACAGACCCTTCTTAACCCGAATTTTGGGATAATCCTGCTCATTATCCGCTCCTCCACAATCTGAGAAAAGGTCGGCAACATGGCGGTCTTGTGAAGCGGCGAGAAGGCGAGTAACGTTGTCGTTCAAGGGATCTTTGTTCCTCTCCAACCAACCTTCGGTACTGTATTCGACTTCCGCCGCATAATGGGTAAGAACAAACCCTTGACGCAGGCGGGAAGCGCGATACTTCGCAGACTTGGACTCCCAGAGCGAATGGAGCTTTTCTGTGAAGGATTTATCTGTCGCTTTGGGCATAACACAATCTTCATCTAAACAGGAGAATATTCCAATGGGGTTAGTCACCTCGATTAGATCGATGGTTGGTTGCAGGTCTTTGCCGAAGTCAATAAACTGCCACTCAATCTGTTCTCGTGCATATTCTTCCTGCTCCAAGACAAACATATGATGGTTGAAAAATTGCTGCAGTTTTTCATTTGTGTAGTTGATGCACAGCTGCTCAAAGCTATTAGTTTCAAAAATTTCGAAACCGGCAATATCGAGGACTCCGATGAAGAAGGTGTTTTCTCCTGTCACAGTTGTGCGATCTAGTTGGCTGTTGATGCGGTTAACCAGACTTCCAAATCCTCGCTCGTAAATCCCCTTTGCTAGGGCATCTAGCGCCAACCGAACCTGGTCGGGAGTCTGAACTTTTTCAACCCATTCGCGGCCTGCCTTAACTTTGGGATGCAATAGCCCCTTCACAAAAGCCTCAGTGCCTATTCCTAGCAGCTGGCAAGCTCTTTGGACACTGTCAAGAGCGTCACGCCCGAGAGCTGCTTGGTCAGCCCGTAGACTTTCCTTCATGATGGTGATGTTTCCAAGGTGAAGGACGGCAGCTATCGTGCGAAGAATGCACAATTGATCATCTTCTGAAAAATTCATGATATGGAATGCCTCAAGCAAGGCATTCCATTCGTGCTCGTCAGATACGCCAGCGATACTGTCATTTCCCTCTCTGGTGTAGGCAAAATCTTCGATATCCATGTCTGAGAGAAGGAGCTTCTGCTTCAACTTCGGACCAGCGCCTCTGAGTAGTTGGTAGAAGATGTGGTAGTTTCTCTCCTGTGAGTTTTGCTTTACCACGCGAGATTTCTCCAGTAGATACCAGTCAATCGAGGCGCCGGAAATTTGCCCAGACCGAGAAAACTCAATCCTAATGAACTTGCCGAAACGAGATGAGTTATTATTCCTCACAGTCTGGGCATTACCGAAAGCCTCAAGAATAGGATTGGCTCTGAGTATTTGTTGCGAAAGAGTATTCATTTGTTTGGCACCAGAGCGTGAATACATGTTATCCGACGTTGCGACAGCCGCAAGGTACTGGATAACTTTCTTCGTGTTCTCTGTCTTACCTGCACCGGATTCTCCCCTACGTCCAGGTTAAAATATGTTCAAATAGTCTCACAAAACTTGGAGAAAACTTACGTGACAAGAATACTCTGGTTTTCTCCCTCCTCTACCAGATTGCGAAATGCTTCATCTGCCATAGTGAAAATGTGGGGTCGGGTTTCCTCCCTGCTTCGTCCCTTGTACATTTTTATATATTCATTGGAGTAGATTGGCAACGAGCAATAGGGATTTACCGTGACGAGGAATAGGCCGGAGTATGTCTAATTGCGCATCTGTTAGCCTGAAATATGCGGCGGGCACAACTGAGGCGGGTGAACGTACGTAAATTAGATCTGCCTGGTATCGGGTATGAAGATTATGTACCACCGAAGCTTCGTTCAGGTGTGTAAGTTCCGCCATGTCGTCTGCCTTGTCAAACTTCGCCGGGTTCACCTTGTCAACCTGTTCAACGTCTACCTCTCGCTGCTATGAAATTGTCAGCATTCTCATGTGAGGTGACGTCTGACGCATCACGGTTATTGGTCATACCTGGCCATCGTCGCTTTGTACTAACAATCGGCCTCCTCTGTCCTCCAACACGAGGCCTTTAATGAAGGCCTTCTCCGGGTCACGTAGCCAGACGTATTTGTTCCCCGAAAAGTCATTATCGCCCTCCAGTCCTCGGATCTGATCCGCACCCCGTCGCAAGTCCTCAGATTTAATGAAATCCGGCGCAAATGTGCTGGAAGCAACATCATTCCTGAGAGAGTTGGATCTTTGCCGAATTACATTTCGTGAGAATGGGGCCAGGGAGGAGTGCGAGATAGAGGATGCATTTCGAAAGTGGCCTTTCGCCTCTTCAAATTTGCCCGGTGACGCAATGATCGCTGACTTTGGGCGTGTTTTCGTCTGCGGACTTGAAGACGGGGACGGGGAGGGAGATGCACGGCCGAAAGGATTGGCACGCTTCGGCGAGCCATTTAACTGTGAGGGAAGCATTATCGTTGTTGTTTCACTGGGGCATGCTTCAATGACAAAAGACGATGGTGATTAAACTGAAGTCGTAAACAATAGGACGCAGGAAAGCTCAAGTCAATGAGCCCAGTAGATGTCGCTCAGCGGAGCATCCAGATCGAAAAGAAGTACAAGAATTAAGGAAATGAATCCGAAGTTGAGATAGTTGATGGGAAGATGAGAGACAACACAGAACAAGGTATTACCTGGGCTAACTATGAGACGGAAGCCAGTAACCCTGCGTGACGACGAACTATCAGCTGTGGTCAGGGCCCAATCCCCACCTTGTGTTTGTTTACATCCGCCCTGCTTTTGCGTTCCTCAGGCTCCGTCCTCCCCGGCAATCGCGCTAGTCCCGATGAAGGCCCACCTTCATCACGTGGGACCTGCGGCACGAAACTCGATTCTTTTTGGTGCTTTTTGGAAGCTGCACACTTGGGATTTGTCCAACACGCCTTCAAGGGTCTCTCTGGCTTTTTGTCCTCATTCCCTATCCTTACTTCTCGACTGCTCTGCTTCTCTCATATCTGTATCAGCTCTCCCAGTTTTCTTCTTGTACAGTGAGCGTATAGCATCGAGGGATTGCGCGAGCCTCTCTCGATTCAGTTGCACTTCGCCCTTGACGCGCGCCTCTTTGCCTGTGATTCGACTGCATCCTGTTAGACCGGCATACGATGTGTATAAACGTCGAACTTCATCATACTCGCCTGTGATATCTATCTTGCCTACCGCGCGCAGATCAACATATCCCGACTCAGCCGAAGAGCGCGCAGGTATCGCCTCTCTACACCATGTCTAATCACCAAGTTCCCCCAGTACCCCCGTACTGGGGGCCATCCAACTATACACAGCCATGGGCCCCCCATCCTTCATCATCAGGCCCCGTGCCCCAGGGTCTTCCTTTCAACCAGGGCCCGACCCTGCCAGTCCCTCCGCCATTGCAGAACCTTGGTAGTCATGCGCTTGATTATACGAACAATCTTGAGGGTTTCTATGCGAATGCAGGCCTTCCGGGACTTGGAGGTCCGGGCGCAACTGCATCCCTGCCACCTCCACCATTCCCTTTCGCCGGCGCTTTCCCTCCCGGACAGCTTCCGCCACCTCCTTTCCCCCCCCATATGCCGAATATCGCGTATCCTATGGTACCCGTCCCTCCTCTCCCCCACGCGCAACCTAGCCGTCCGTCCACCACCGAACAAACCCAGACTGTGCAACCGGACGCACCTGAATCTCGACCCATGACGACTTCAAGCTCGGAACAGGACCTTGACCGAGAAGAAGGTGAACTGACGGATATGGAACCCCCCGTAACGAAATCTGGTCCAAGGCCGCGACACACAGGTGACACATACGCTAAGCAAGAATCCCGCATTCCACCAAAGCAAGGGCACTACAACCAGACAAAAGACGCGCGCTATCAAGGCTCTAGAAGCTCTGGTGCCCGTCCTTCACATCTTTCCTCTATAGCTCTTGCACCAAAAGCGAGCTCAGCAACCTCGGATCTTGAGGAAGGCGAAGCCTCACCTGAGCCGCACACTTCGCGCAGAGATAGCGGATCCCGTATTTATACCCTTTGTTCTGAACCTATATCTCAACACGCTAATGTTTTGCAGCCTACAATCCACCATTGCCAATGGACATCGAGTCGCCGTCTGCCGCGAAATCCGCTCCTGCACCATCTATTGAACAATTCAATGATGTAAATAACCCTGTTTTAGCTTCAGCCCAACTCCACACGGGCAAGTCGCTTGCGCAACTCCGTGTTCAAGCACAAGGCGCTCTCCTTGGTTTGGCCCCGCACAGCATTCGTTACAGCGAATTGGTTGGAGAAGGCATTAATCCTCTCATTTTAAAGCAACTATATGAGGAAGTTGGCATAAAAGTTCCCAGTTCCCCACCTTCTGCGTCTCAAGTCTCACCTAAAGACTTCTATCGTCCCGGCGCGAAGGAGCCAGAAGAGCAAGAAGCGCAACAAATCCAACCAACGGAGTCCAAGACACGCTCTTCTCAGAAGACTATTCCCACAGATTCTACCCTAACGGCTGTACAATCTACCCAAAGCACTTCGTCTAAGCCTATGGAGAGAAAAGAAGTAATTGCACGCATGCTTGCCGCCAAAGCTGCTGCTGCCAAGACTTCAAGTGTATCGGCGCCATCTCAGACGGATACTGCAATAACCGCTCCGGCTCCTGAAAGCCTTGTTCCAAGCACGGACAAGTCCCTAGCATCGACACCTTCAGAGGATATTTCTAAGGAAAAGGAGGTACGCGTAAAGGAAAAGAACAAGGCGCAAACAGAATTAGCCAGGCAACGGATAGAGCAGCTGAAGAAACAGGGTCTAATGAGAAGCCAGCAGAAGTCACAGACAGAAGCTGTGTCCCCGGAGAAGGAGCAGCTTCTTGCTACTTCATCACAAGCCTCATCGTCAATGGCCATCCAACACCCTCTGCCAGTTCGCCCTCCGGATCCTGAAGCTGTATCACTCGCCCGTATACCTGGCCTATTTATGAACGAACAGAGCGCAGCTAACGATTCAACCAACGCACCTGCTCAAAGTCTTGGAGCGGATTCAACTTCCCAATCTCGTGCGAGTCAACGCAAACGCCCGCGGGCATCTGACTTCGACGAGCCGATTCCTGTTCCTAAGAGAAACTTCAGCAACGGCACCAATCATGTCCCTCTCCCGAGACTCGTCATTGATATTAGTGATGATGAATTCTATGGAGATGACGAAGATGGTAGTATGGATATCGATCTAACCGCGGAAAGTACCCTACAAAGCTCCGGTGAAATGGAAGGTACCGAGAGTTTACAGCCTGTATTACCATCGTCGATCGAAAGCCTTCCCCATCGGCCTGCAACATCACAGAGCCTAGGCTATTCTGTATCCTCAACGCCACAGATAAATAGAAACGGTGAACAGGATGACCTCAGAAAAAAGCACCTCGAGATACAGGCAATGCATCGAAGAATTGCCGAGCTTGAGCAGAGAAAAAAGGCAAGGCTAGCAAGTCGCACCCAATCTCCTCGGAACTCTGACTTATCACCTCCCGAGAATTCCACCCCTGTTGACTCCGAAGCCGTCAATCCCTCCCTCGTGGTGGAAACGGTAGCATTGGAACCCTCCAACAAACCAGGTGATGAGTTTCTGTCATCCCTAGGCGTTGAAACCTTGCATGAAATGAAGTCGAAGCTCCAACGGAAGGATGAGATCGAAGCCGGGGTTCCTTCATTGGATGCCGAAATACAAAAGTCTGAAGCTAAACTCGCTGATTTCAAGAAAGAAGGGGATAAGCTTCTTCTGGAAATCACAAAGGGGAAAGAAGGTCGACAGCAGCTTCTGCAAGAGCTTAGTTCTTTGAAAGCAGAGCTTAATGGGCTCTCCCTTGAGGAAGTGATTACCGCATTGACTAGGTCTGAGCTGAAGACAGAAACGCTTAACCACATTCCTGAAGGTACGTTTCAAAGGCTTCTGCTTCCATAGCGTCTACTTCAGTTTTCTAACGAATTTTTGCTAATGCCTTGTAGTTCCGGGCCATCAAGATGATACTTCACCTGAGGACAAGGTCTCAGTACAAGAGCCGCCCCAGGACCAATCACAAATCCTAGACACTGCTCCCACCCAAGATTCTAGTTCCCACGCTCAGGAACTCGATGAACCCCAGTCAGTTGCCCCCAACAACATGGGTATTCCCGCAGCGCCGGCCGTACCAGCAGACGAACTTGCGGACGAACTGCCGGATGCCTCGATGTCGGAGGACTCTAGATCCTCGATGGATGAGTCTACCGGCAGTTCTAGTTCTAGCTCGGACTCTTCTGACGAAGAAATGCCAGATGAAGAAGTTCATGATGCCGGCTCTGTTGCGGCTGAGAGTCTTGGTGGATCTTTAAATATAAGTCCTGACAATCAAGATGAGTTGAATGCAGACAATATGCAGCAAGTGCCCGAGGTTCAGCAATCTGAGATTCAGCCTCAATCTGATATGACATGCACTGCCGAGGAAAATGATGTTGCCATGGAGGACCAGTCTTGCGGAGAATCCTCCGTTTCAGAGGCATACGAGCCCCCAGAACCAGAAGAATCAAGCGCTGCTGGTTCTACCTACTCCCCCCCCTTGAGCCCCGTCTCTCCTGGTTCTTTGGCTCCCGAGGAAACCCCCAAGTCCCGGGAAGATCAATCTAAAGAAGCTGGTGAGCCACTAACTGGAAAGGTCCAGGAACTGGATTTTCAGCAACCAAGCCATTATCCTCGAGTTGGCCTTTTGGATGTGCGATAAACCTCAGTTCCTACTAGCAATGCAACACTGACACTCCATAGAATGAGCGACAACCCGAAGACTCAGAGCGTAAATTTTCACCCTATCATAGCCCATTGAAGCTGTTCAAGGGCTACCGCTACCACCCAAATTACACTGATACCGTGTCTGGTGGCTATCGCTCTCTAACATATAGCCATAACATTGATCCCATGAAATATCTTTGCCCTTTTGAGGCTGCAGGAGGTGTCTGTAACGACAAATTCTGTGAATTCCAACATTTTCGGGATATGGCTCTTAGTGGTGCGTCGAAGCTTGAACAATTGTTTGCAAAAACACCTTCACTGTGACCACACAACACTCTTGACATTTGACATGCTCTATTATTCATACGTTCCTATCCCTTCTCTTCCATTCCATGCTTTCATTTACAAACCCCCCCCTTTTTTTTTTTTTTTTTTTTTTTTTTCCCTCCCAGACCCCTGTCTTTTTTACTCAGTGGGCTGTACTTGCGCTGTGCGGATGCTGACGCACAGGATTATTAACCGCGACAGATGACAAGGTCCTCGTCCAAATGGGTTCTCGTCGAGAAGGCAAAACACCGGAAGAAAGTGATAGTTATCTTGCCGGGCTAAAACAAATGATCAACGACATGCGGCGGGAGAAGGTGAAAGATTTCAGCACTGTCGCCGCTGAGATTGCCGCATACCGTAGACGTTTCCTTCAGGATCCTTCACGGGTCTTGGCCTTGTAACAACAACAAACATGATCTCAGCCTGTGACAGTTCCCCAATCCTCTCTTTTATATTCAAGGTGAGCTGCAGCTCCAGCTTCTAAGCCCAAAGCATAGTCTGTGTGAATACCCACTCTACCTGGAGATGGGTGGTTCTCACACCACGCCGGCGCTGGAAGGTTATTTCTTCCTATTTTTCCCATGATACCAACATCCCAAACTCTTCGACCTCCGCGGCCTTCTTATCCCATTTGTCTATTAGCATCTTCAGCATTTTACCTTGGACCCGTTCCCTTTCTTTTCTTTGTTGATCTATTGCTGTTTGGCATACAAGAGAGCGAGCATGGAGTCAGGAGCATTACGGGGGTTCTTTTTCTTTAACCAAGTCGTAGGCGAGCTCACCCACGCCTTGACAGCAAGACCGACAGAAACACGAAGCAAAACAAGGAAAAGAAACAAAAGAAAGAAAGAAAGAAAGAAAAAGAAAAGTACAAAAAGAAGACGAAGAAAGGAGAAGAGAAAAAAAAAAAAAAGAAAGAAAGAAAGGTATACACCTTCTATCCAGTCAAACCGAGTCTTTTGGAAGGCTAGGGTGAGCGACATTTAATGTTACCGAGCGACAGAGTTCCCATCAAGTGGAATGCGATGTACACCAGGGATTTCGGATATTAAGAATTACATAGCACGAGTGAATCTCACATTCATATTTTCTCATTAATTATATTTCCTTTCTCTTTCATCTTGACCATGTCGGCTAGGAACCTGAATTCCGGGTTGCCCCAGCCGGAAGGCGGCGCAGACAGACCCGCCAGGGCACTCGTGCACCCGCCAAAATGAGGCTATAGTTAATTATATCGCTCGTACTTACTGCGAGTACATCATCCCGAATTCAATGATGGAATAACCTGGGAGAAAAAAATAAAAAAAAAAAAACAAGAATAAAATAAACCAATTAATCAATCAATTAGACCTGAGTCATAGAAAAAAAAAAAGACAAAACTTACCATGCAGCATTGTGGAGGCAGGCAGGCAGGCAGGTGCCTGAGTCACCACATTGATTTCTAACTAACCAAATAACTAGTTACACTATGGAACTCTGTATACAACTCCTACCTAGTAATGACTCAAGCAAGGAAAAACTTAGCATAGACTTTGAGGCTTTCTATATGTAATCCTAATCCTGTGCTGCAGGGTTTACGGTATTTACTAGGTATACTATGTAGGTGAGTCAAAAGTACGATGCGCACCAGAGCATGCGGACGGAGTACTCCGTGCTCTGTACCACACACACAGAGTACAATTTACATATGGAGTACACTACCTATGGAGTACGCTCTGTATATGTAACGATTCTACTGCTACTGAACTCGCTATATTTGTCTCCTTGGGTATGTATGGGCAGGTGATGCTGTACTAACTACTACTCCCCGTGATTCCAAAATTAATTCTATCTCTTATTATTCCCTCTTTATGTTTCGCGAAAAGGGAGAGAGATATTATGAAAATAGGAGGGCAGGTAGGTGGTTGTATTGGAGCGGCGGTGCTAGATATTGTAAATTACAACTTGGTATGTTAAGTATTTTGGGAATAATTGAGATGTCAAGTACATACGAGCTTGAAGGGCTGGTATCTACGGGCTACTTATATACGTAAGTGCGTAAGGGGTAGAGAGAGAGTCAGCCCATGGTAAGTGCAGAATCAATACACGGCTAGAAATAACAATGTAGAGAACAAGAATGCATTGGCTAAAAAAATGTTGTAATGGGGGTGGTCATTATATGCAAAGTCTATAAAACTAATAATATCCTCGTCTACTCTGCTTGCCGGTGTCTTCTCCTGTGTTGGTGTTTCGGTTTCGCTCGTCCACCATCGTCCCGCTCATCGCTTGCTGGCTTGGGTGTCGATTCCAATCCCGCCTCTTTTTTGAGTCGCGAGACCACCGGACCAAGCGCGAACTCGCTTTCTAGACTGCTGTGATCCGCACATGGACTCTGCTTAATTGGCAGAAGCCACTCAAAAACTGAGTAGCCTAGCACCTGTTGCAGATTCTTGATCGGGCTGCCAAGATCAAATGGGTTTTCTCCGGGAAGGCTCTGGAGGACAGCAAAAACATGTTGTTCACCTGTCGTTGGTGCTGGGGGTGGAGGCGGAGGATATTCTCCTGCAGTTACCGGTTGGGGTGGCATGGGGGGGAGAGGGTAGGTTATGGTGTGGAACGTCGGAGCCCACCGTGACCCTGGGTTGAGTCGGGATAGCAAGTGGTTCGGCACGCGTATAGCCAATGTCCAAACTGCAGATCGACGGCTGAGATTCTCGATCGTCGTCAGATTATACATTGAAAGTTGTATGGAGCTGACGGCCATTCCAAAAGTAAATATGCCAAAGAATCCGCTCCTATCTTCTGTTAGCAGAATATCCAACTCTTGAGACGCTCCAAAGCACTCACAATCCAATACCAATGACCCAATGAGGGTTGACATCGTTGATCTTCCAGTAGATTAATCAGACAAAGATCCAAGCATAGAAAGCAAGTTGAGGAACCTACCTCTCGTTTCAATTCAGCCGTAAATATTGCACACACGGTAAGGATAAAGGCACAAAAAACAGCAGTGTAAAACACAAACTGGATAAAGAATTTGAATGATGTTTCCGAGACTACGCCCCCGACCCTAAACACGTGTGTGAGCGATAGTCACTACTCTCAGGAAATAGTAAAACTCACCAGGGACAAAAATGATCCATCTTCCGCACGCATTGATCTACCTCTCGGCAGTGGTGCGCTCGATCTGGCTTGTAGTGGCAACATTGCGAGCAATAGATGGGCCTACCATCCGGTTGACAGATGAAGACGTCTCTCCTGTAAAAGCTCTCCAATCCCGCAGTGTCCCACGGGAATGCCGCAGCACCGGCATTGTGATTGAGCGCTCTCTCAACATCTATTTCGGATTTATCCGAAATTCCAGTCGTTCTTGTTTTCCGATGTCCCTTTCGTTTCCTCCGATGATGTTCTCGAGAATGACCAGTTGGCGGTTGGGGGTCTTGGTTCGGCGCGGGTACAGCGTTTCGGGGTAGGAAACCGGGATTCCAAGCCACATTATATAACAGTCGAAGGTAGGTTATTATCACAAATATTAATAGGATGTAGAAAACGGCAAGTATTGCTGCGCCAGCGCCAACTCGACTACGACGATTATACTTTCCGAGCGGGTGGATCAAATAGTCAACTATTTCCAACATTTAGCCAACGCTGACCGCCGAGCGCATTACGAGAACTCACTGCATAATGTCTTTGTAATAGCATAGCATGCGTAGATGATTATGCAAAACAACACCGGAGGAATAACTCGGGCAACTGCTAAATTGACGAGCCGATTGTCGGGTTGCCGCGCCATTTCAAGGGAACTGACAGATGCCCTGGGCAAAGGCAGATCCACATGGAGATATCACAGACAAAATGGTTAGGAGTGTAAGTCCCGAGGTGTATCCATATTCAGGCCGGTATAGCATATATTTACAGCTGCAATAGGGAAAGCTATCGCCAGCGGTGGTCGACACTACGAGCCTGACGTTGGCGATCAGGTTGCATCAAACGTGACAAGTGCAAACCATGCAAACGAGATCTTTCTCACGTGATGATAACCGATAACCGATACCCAGTTTGCCTGGGGCACGTCCTCAGGCATCCGGAGACGAACCCCAACATATTCATGAATATCGAAAAAAAATTAGAGACAGATCTGCGTTTTTGCTTTAGCTACGCAACTACGGTGTCACTCACTGCAATTACGACTAGCCTAGCTATTGTTAGAAAACACGATGCTTAGAAGAGACAGTCAACTCCCCTCCCTTGCATATACGAATCCAAAGCTACTACCTAAGTAACATCTCCACCCCGGGCGATTCTATCGAGTGTTACTATGTACAAACTTGGTGACGTCCTTTGAACTAGGCACGAATTTTTCTGCCTTTGAATGATCACGACCAGGGGAGCTTGCGAGGTCTGTGGAGCAACTCTGCTTTCCAGGCGAACTGGGCACTAGGGCGCGTTGTCCCGCGACTTGGATGTTCAGTTATTCAAAAGGTGAGGCAACAAGCGTTCAATGTAGAATAATATCCCGCACCTAAAATTAGCTCAAAAGGCCCATTATGACAGAATTGGCTTGAAAAGGGAGAATTCGAGGACCAAAGGTCCTCGACTACCTCTAGGTAAAAAATGAAGGGGATCAATCTGGGGTTGAACGGCTAGCATAGAACCCTGCAGTTCCAGAAGATCGGTGTCTGCAGCGATCATCAGTCCTGTGCAATGGTGCATTGGGGGATGCTCAGCGGTTCTAAGTACGTACTTACGGAGTAGTGACTACTAACTTGTAAGGTCCTTCAGGCATGGGGAATGAGAACATTAGAAACAACAAAATGCAAAAAAACCCGGGAAGATGTAATTATAGTAATTCATGATGAAGAGAACACTGAGATCTTTCATAATTAATGTCAGCATGCTTTTTTCTTTTTTCTCTCTGATGTCAACAACGGACACCCGCAGATCCAGGCAACAAGGTTAGGTGCCTGCTGGCTTACCCTTAGCACGTCAGGAACCCGAGTCGAGACGGTGAACACAGTTGACTTTCCCACTCATTGGAGGGGGAAAAGGAGACAGATGACTTGAAGCGCAAAAGGACAGACTGCAAATCAAAAGCAATTCGGACCTCGAAAATTATCTCCACTATCGATTACTCTAGCGGACCTGATCTCGAAAGTGGGCCGCAGCAGCTTAGCAGCCTGCACTTCTAGGCAGCACACGGCTTGGATGGGCAACGAACCCGGAAACTAAAGGATGAACAATTCAAAGGGACAAGAAAAAAAAAAAAAAAAAAAAAAGACTCTGTGAGATAATACAAAAACAAATGAAACAGAAAGTTGCTCACCAGAATCACCCAGGCAAATGGGCGGAGACTTCAACCGGGCAAAGCGGGCGTCCTTGCGAAGCCTTGCCGGCCCTCTTTTGGGGGGGAGGTAGGGTGGTTGTGATCTCCCACGGAATTTTGACTCAACTTACATGCTTCTGGTAGTTTCATCAATGGAGATTCAATTCAACTCTTCCTAGGGCTAATCAGCGTGTTTCAGACACCTTACTGTTCGATCTAGGCCAAAAGAACCAAGCATGACAGGGTGAAGTATGCCTTAGTTTAACCCACTCGTGGCTCAGTCAGGTAGGGCGTAAATGCCTGGTCAATTCTGCCTAGCATTCTCATGATTCATATTATATATACTCCTGCTGGTCCTGCTGAGGTATATAGCTTGCTTCCTCCCCTACTTTTTCAACGGCCATCCAACACCAACTTCGTTGTCTTTTGTCTATTCTGTTGTCTCGAGCAATCTGAAAGTCTAGTACCAACAACGCGCGCAAGCTCTTTGACGATCTCTCTGAACCTTTGACCACAGCTTTGAATACCAAGCTCTACTTCAAACCAGCGATGCCTTACTACACTCCCGCGCAAGAGCTCAACAGCTACAAGCCGCTACAAGGCTTCTCCGCAATGAACATTTCCTCTTTGCAGCGCAGTCCCCAGTCTCCGTTTCCCACCAGCTCCATTGATGAGACCCGGCTGCAGAGAAACAGCTACCGTGGCTACACTGAGATGTGGGTATGCTGCCAGTGCGGTGACGGACCCAAAGTCTTCCAGCATCAGACGCAATGCGTGATGTGCACCCACATCGCTTGCTCCTACTGCTCTCGTGTCAAGTAAACATGAAGCACCAAAAACATCAAGGTAAGAAAATACGGGTGTTCCGCAGCAAGAACAAACAATAAGCTCATTCTCATGATATAGATATTACATTACGGCTATTCTTTGCGGAATTCAATCACTCGGTTGCGCTCCTCTTTCAGGGATTTTTGGGAGCGATACGGCATGACATACACCATGAATGGGCTTTAGCTTTTCTTTTTTTTTTGGGTTTTGATATTGCGATGCATAGACAGGGACACGGACACTGCGCATTTTGGGTTGGGACTATTTTTTGTGGGAACCAAATTCTAATCATACACGGGATGTATACTATTTTTATTGACGGAACCAGTTTGGGGCGGATAATGCATGATGGGTGGTGGGGGCGTATTTTGGTGTTAGAGACGTTTTGTTGTTTTTTTTTTTTATCCAGCTTGTTGCTTTTGCTTTTTTACTGTTATTCCTTGATCTTGCCCAATTTGGGGGGTTTGTTGCACAATAATCAATGTTGACAAGTTGACAATCTACAATCTTCTTCTTCTGGATTGGAAGTGCATTCGAGAGACTCGTGAGTACCTTGAACAGGGCATTGTAGCATCCCCACTAAGTAACCTACAGATGCATGATAATAACAATGTCATCCGCAATATTGAAGATTACAATTGCCGAGATCACTTCAGTCCCCCAACGAAGGATCAGTAATATTCATGGCCATCTGCATGATGCTCGTACTTCGGAGCTGAGCGATTCCCTGGAAGGACTAGCGAGCACTCTGGGGTGCGCGGCGCGCCCTATATGATCCATTCCATCATATCTGCAACAGGATTGGATTATGCACAAGTCTCGAGCCGCAAAAGTCTTGGGCCATGCAAATGAGGGGGAACCTGGAAGTCTCAAGATACAGCTGCAGTACTACTATCTTACTGACATGACGCTGTAAACCTCCGAACCATAGTTAACAAAGGGGCGGACGTTTGATTAAATGCGGTGACGGCACTGGCCACAACCTAGAGCCATTTACCGCCTCTTTCTCGTGCATCTGTATATAAAGGAACCTTAAACTATACAGTTGGTGATCACCTGATGCCTAGTCCCACCTGACGCCCGATTTTACCACTACTAGTAATATTAAATATGAAGTAATTCAACCATATATAATTATTATTATCGCGTGATCTTTTAGTGGATAAATATAGTCATTATTAGGACTCTATATATAGTTTTTAATTAGTCTAAAAGTACTATAGGAGCTGGATCTCGCGGCCTTAATAATTTACTATTAAAGGGGCCTCTAGGACTTCTATAAGTATTATTAGCCTGATTTTTATAGATTTTTACTAGTATAAAGCTTTAAAAACCTTCTTTAGAGACTTCTTTACCTGCTAGAAATTATTTTAAAGCTAGTAATCTACCTTCTTTACTAGGTAAGCATTCTTCTTTTATTATTTCTTTTACTCTACCTCTAGTAGCTATAATTCTTGCTAGAATACTTAATTTCTCTTTTACTCTTTAAGTAAGTATTATTTCTCTTCTTTAATAAGCTATTAACAGACCTTCTCTTGCTCCTTTAATACCTTAATAAGTTATATAATTTTATTCTTCTATATTTAAAGATTACAAGCCTACTAAACCTTTTAAGGAGAGTAAAAAACTATACTACTATTTTTAAAAGCCGCGAGCTTAAACTATAAGAGTTTCCTATATTAATATTTCTTCTTCTTATTCTAGAGGGCTAATTTAAGGCCTTAATAATATAATTTTAGGATAATATTTTCTATAAAAAGATAATATATTATTAAGCTTAATTTTTTGGTATTTTTATTATATATATTAGTAATAACTTAATTTAAAAGTTTCTTAATCTTCTGCTAGTTCTCTACCTATAGGATAGAGTATAAGAAATTACTTAAAGAGGACCTAGAATTATTCTACTTATTAAATTAAACTAGAATTATTTCTAGATTTAATAGCTATATTCCCATAGTTTACTATAAAGAAAGGATATTTTTTATTAATAAGGCTTATTCCTAGGCTAGCTAGAAGAGGTAGAAGAAGTCCTATTTAATAATATAACTAAGGCCTATTAATTTATATAGAAAGTCCTTAAGATTCTTATTATAAGTAATAGAAAGAGGGCTAAAGATTCTAATATTAAATAATTATAGTAAATAAGTTAAATAAGGTAGATATATTATTAATAAGATCTTATTAATATTATAGTAATTAATAAACTTTATAGTAAGGTAAGATCTATAATTATTAAGGATAAGAAGCCTCTATTACCTGCATGCCTTGTCCTTGGTCTCGTGGTTAAATATATTAGTTAATTAAGCATATCCTAGCTTATTATTAGTCTAATTACTTGTAAAGAAGGCAAAGAAGCAAGAATAAAGCTCAAGATTAAAGTCTTGAAGCTAGGAATCTTATATATTACTAGTAGAAGCCTGGTAAATAAGATCTAGTAAGAGAGAGATTCTATTAGTATAAATATAAGTAATTAAAATTATCTACTTATAATTTCTATCTTACAGGCATTACTTAAGCCCTCCTCTAATTATATATTTCTACTTTAAGAAGATCCTAAGATCTTTAACTAATATTTTAATAAGAAATTCTTTCTTGTCTATATTATAGATATCCTCTAGTTATAACTTATATTACTATATCTTCTAGCTTAATAACTTAAAATATAGAGTATATTTATATATAGAATTAGCTTATTTTCGTGCAGTATTAATAGCTATTATATAAGTTAAGATAAGATTATCTTAGTAATACTTTATAAAGTACCTAGGCTAGTATTTTCTAAACTTCTTACTAGTAATTTCCTTTACAAAATTTCAAAGCATCTTATAGAATATAAAGAGGCCTTGCTTAATAAGCTTATTAATATAGCTTATTAGTTCTTTTTTATATTAGTTAGTAAGAACTTGCTGTTACTTATATTAGTAGTCTTTAAGGTACTATATCCCGTGGTAGTGTCTTAATAGCATTATCTAATTAATACTAAACTTTTTCACAATCTTAGTATAATTAATTAAATCACCAATCTTCAATAAGTTGATTGCTTCTATCGCGGCTTTAATTAAACCCATATTGGTTAAGATATAAGTTGTTAAAAATTATCAAAAAAACAGTCAGTGAGGGGAAATCAGGCATCAGGTGGGACCAGGCATCAGGTGATCACCGACTGTAAGGAAAACAGCGGTCTCTCTCTCTCTCCGCCATTCTCCGCCCCCTCTCCCCTGTGGATTAGGGGAAAAAAAATAAAATAAAATAAAAACCTAAAACTGGAAGAATCATCTCTTTGGTAGAGTTCAGCTCTAATGCACTCATTCAGTTCCCCGTTTCCGAGATGACTCTTAGACAAAAGCCAGATCAGGCATAACCATGTCACCGATTCAGTTCGACTCATTTCTCGAGGGGCTGTGTAGCATCATGAATGGGGGTTTCTTTCGCCCTCTCCCTGTTTCTTTCCGATGGTTATAAACTAGGAAATGCAAATTATCAGAAATAAAAAAAATGAGGGTCAGGTATATACGGTAGTACTCGAATAGTCCTCGAGGGTCGGGGGACTTTTGTTGCTGGGAATTTAAAGGTACCTTGCCCGTTCCCAAGTCACATGTTGTCATGAGCCCCAGCAGCAGGCCAGAGTATGGAATCTTGTTATACATGATAATTATATATACCCCACGTGCAAAAACAGAGGTCAATTAAGCTATATCTTTTAGTGTCATATCCAGACTATATATATAGAAATCTGTCTTCAAGTCTTTCCTTTTATATATCTATCTATAAGTTCCCCGTTTGAAATGCTCTCTTCACCTTTTGGTATAGATGTAGATTTTGATACAGTGTTCTAGACATCAAGATTGTATCTAGGATAGTGGTTTTGCTAAACTCGACATCTTTGCAGCTGCATCCGGTGATAGCTCTTCACTCCTAGTTTGGATATACATGTCAAAGAGATCTTTGTTTATTTCATTTGTTATCTCCCATCGTTCCACTGGGACCCAGCCAGAGTCATCAGCGCAGAGCTGGGTCTTCACGATATCCTGCAAATAAAGCATGTCCTGATATTGCACTACCTGTCATGTGATAGAATAGGAAGAATCTCGTTCATTTTCTGTAAAAGATCACTGTATTCACTGGTGGATTGCCCCTCACCGAAACAACCGAGATGATGCTGCACTTCAGTTTTCTGATCCACGAGAAGCCTCAATTCTCGCTGTGGAAGAGACAAGGCAGAGTCCAAAAGCGATGTCCCTGTTAAAATGCCAGGGAGTGTCAGGGAGTAGGAAGGAAGAGAGCACAAGGCTCACATGGGCCGACATGTTGTACTGGTTTAGACTTATCTGTAAAGCTTTTATGCCACATGGATCGATGATGAGATGGCCCGACGCAGAACAATCCGGCAGGATCCAAACCTGGGGGTAGTGCATAATGACGGTATCCTTGAGGCACACGCATTCCCGTAGAAAGAGACTTCCATAGGCTGGGAATTGCAGACTCTCGAGTTCCTTCTCGACTTCCACTATTTGGTCAATTACTTTGTAGTGCTCCAAAGTATTCATTGTTCCCCCCTCTTTCAGCGAGTGAAACTCCTGGAATTTTTTCCATGATAATGTATTCCGTCCCTACTGGATTTGCAGGAGCTGAACTCCAAGCCAACACCTCTGGAACCCTGATTGAAGAACATGATCGCACTAAGAAAAGCATGTCAGTATGATAAAAAATTAGTGACAACAACCTGCATCAGCGTACAAAAGTTCAATGTGGCCACCTCGGACGCGGTTGTCAGCGAGGGAGTCCCCACGTTCGGACAAGGAATCTTTGCGATAACCTCACGGCCATTGTCTATTGTGAGCAGGAATGCTTTGTTAAAGCTGCCTTCCAACTTGGACAATCTGTACGCATTTTGTCGAATCACCAAATAGTGAGGAAGCTTGGTAACAGAGGTTTTCCACATTAAATTTCACAAAACGTTGCGGAAGTTGGTGTTTCTCATCGACCAGCCATCGGCCCGAAGTATATCTGAACAGATCATCCTCGATAACTGCGTTCGCCTATTGGTTCGTTCACATAAATACACGGGGTGGGGAGAGAGGAAGGGAAAACAGACTGGAATCCTTGAGCGCGCGGGCTCTTTGTCAAGCACGATCGTCCGATGCAAGTTCCGTCTTAGATTTAGAAAAAGGATGTTCTGAAAACCACGAGCAAATCGGATATGGGCCAGATGGTGACACAAAGAATGATGCAATGATTTCTTCCACATATTCTGCTTCGGGTTTGAAGAGATGAACAATCTGTTGTACAGCTCTGCTGCAAGGAGGTGTTCATCGGGCTGTTGTTTAGGTAGGGATGCAGGAAGCGTTCCACGAAAATCCCGCGGGCTGAAACTATAAGGTGCTTGCCTGCGAAATTTCTTTAAGGACATTTAGGGGCATATGTACATATTTTTTATGGATAATTTTATAGAGGAGGCTGGCTAGCTCCCTCTTTTAACCCTCTTAAACCGCGACGATATTGGAATGAGGTCGGAAAGAGTGCTCTCTTCTTTTTTTTTAGTTTTGTTTTCCCGCCTGATCAAAAGTATTACTGTAGTAATCTCGTTATATCTTACCATCTAACAGATCCTAAGATTCCGATACCGTGCGGTGGATCCTGGCGATGATCGGACCTGCAGTAGTCGGAGGTCTGTCCACCATTGCTCAGCCAACTCTACGACTACTACTCGTGATGTAACTTGTTATTTGGCCACTTTCCCTTACTACGTATGTCCTGATACCTACTCTAATGATTCTTTGATGCCTATATCTCCTATAGGTTGTTTCCAGCTTCCTTCTTCCTATCGTTGGAGCTGCACTGTTATCAAGCAACCGGTTACTTAGGTACTCTTGGTATAGGTAGGTATAGTCCTCGAATAACTCTGATAATCTCAATTGAAAAACTGCACTTGATTCGATCGCTTGATGCAACACAATGGACTAATCATAACCAAGTAGACAGGAAGAATAAGAAATGCAACTTGTTCCAGGTATCAGTATCATACAAGCACGCTTTCTACCACAAATCGACATAATAAGACATGGCCGAAGAATAAACCCCAGGAAACTAACAGTTCCAAAGAAAGGGTGCAAAAAAAGAAAGAAAATACATAAAAATAAAGCCGAGAACGAGCCAAGGAAAGTCAAGAAACTAAAGAAAAGAAAGAAAAAAGGCGTGATAAGAACATTAAGCGAGAATCCCAAAGTACCAGAGGAAAAGGTACAAAATAAAGGAACAAACGCCCCAGAGAATATGTATCTGGATAGGTAGAAAGTAATACCTTCCATCTTCATGGTTGATTCATCACAGAAAGTCTTTACACGATCGGCAGCGTGCATGACTGCAAGAGGTGCAGTAGGTGGTTGCATACTCGGGATTGTTCATATTGCTGCAAGAACAACACGTCCACCATCCGGCCATAGAGATGTTCCTGGAATACTGAACCAGAGTGGCAGCGGCGACAGTGACGTGGGAGTGGAGGTTCTGAACAATAGAGCCAAACATGTTTGAAGGTTGACTAATTTTTCAAGAGCGATATGAGTAGTCAACGTGGGTGTTGTGGTTTCCCAGTCCGCTGCGTTTGATGTTCTACTGGAGAATATGTACGCTGGAGATGGAGACAGGGAAGTATATATTGAAATGGGGAGCAATAGAAATATCAAGTTGATTGAGTGGAGATCTGGGTTGAAGCTTGGAAAATACAGGTAAAGGACGTGTAGAAAAGCAGACTGATGAGGGAAAGAAATAGCAAACATGGAGCTAGATGGCAGGGAAGCTTTTATCTACAGCTCTTGCGCCCAACATTTCTCACTTAGTGTGTAGATGGGCTAAGGAAAGGGTGAAGCAAAAGATCTATGCCTGGATCCGCAGAACTTGGCCTAGGCGATATCCAGGGCTAAATTGCTTCGGTGAAGGGTAAATCATGTGCATTTGAAACGCCTGCAGAGAGAAAGAGACTGACCGATAGGCCCAAGAGAAAGCATTGTGACAATATTGCGCAAATATTGTTCATAGAGAGAGCTGGGGTTCTCAGGCAACAGGCATCTAGAGCCAGAGGTGGCCGATATGTTCAACGGAAAGGCTGACCGCGTGGCGGAGTTCTCATCTAAAGTGGCTCGGTATACGTATATCCTCTAATGCTTTACCGTTGAGGGACGGTCAGTCCAGCGGGTGACAAGTAAGGGTGCCCAGTCCATTGAGCGTCCCGCTGGGGCAAAGGGGTCGAAAGAAATAGGATTCCGAGAACATTCTCTGAAATTAGCAAGTTTCAACAACGGGTGCTATTGGGTTTGAGCTAGGGCAAGTATATTTACCTAGGAGCGACTGTCAAACTAGTACAAAGGCCAAGGGACCCTACCAGAAAATATTCACCCCGATTAAAGGGTTCTTTAACATAGTTAATAGCCCAGCCCACCACCATGGGCCTCTCTTTCAGTTGGAGACAAAATCTGCTGAGGGAATAATTACCCATGTCCAGTGAAGCAATAGGTACCCGCAAAGAAGATTCTAGGATTGTGAAGGAATCTGAATCGCAAATTCTTGCCCAGTGTCCCTCTGTTTGAGGTAGGGCATGCCGATGGGGTGAGAAAGCCTTGTCGCCTCCGCGGGGCTAAGCTCCCCTCGGTAGTCCATGTTTAATCGGGTCGTCTGAAATCCGGTCAATGTTTCCAGGAACTGATACAATGAATTAGCGTGTGGTTCAAGCTTCTTTGATGCAAAGCAATGTTCTACAGACTCTGTGACCCAGGCAGGTTGAGCCCCTCCAGCTCACACAGAGATGATGATGTACATCATCACTTGATTTGATAAGCAAGACAGGGGAATTACTAAAACAGCATTATACGGCTGGAACGAGAAAGAATAATGAAGCGTTGCGAGTGCTGCGCCCCAATTGTTTGTACGTAGACAATCCCAGGAGGTTGTTGAAAAAGGAGGTGAAGACGGAGGTCGGAGGACTCCGGTAAAAAAGAATATTCACAAGGAGCCAATAGCAGTAGACATTTAGATTGACATTACCTTTGTGTTTTCCTGGCCTTGAGCATGGTTGAAGCAGTTTGATTGGATTCGGAGCCCATACTTGTTTTGAGCCGCATGTCGTCAAATCCACCGTTAACGCTGCACCTAAATTTTAAATTTGATTTGAAAGGTCTAATCAATTTTGAATGCGACGCCGGCGGAAACATCCGAAGTACTTTCACCAACGACGACGACGACGACGTGGAGAGGTAAGAAACCCATTGGCGAGTCGGCTCTAGCGGTGGGACAAGCGGAGATGAGGGGGCAAGTCGGATAGGGTGGCAACAGAGGAGGAAACAAAAGGCCTCATGATCATCACAGTTAGAGGCAGATTCTGGAGGCTCACGATCCGACTGGTTGCAGGGTTAAGGATTCCCATCTGTTTGAGCCGGGCGTCTTTTCCCTCTCGGTATGGAGTAGATACAGTTGAGTTGAGGGGAAAAGAGAAAAGAGACGAGGAGGAAAACAAACGACGTAACGTGACCATGGAACAACCGAATCCCCATCCACAGTTCTTGCATCCACGGTTCTTCCTCTACTCAAATCGCACGCACATCTGATCTACATAATCGGCAATATTAACATATCAATCACGGTCACCGCAGAATCGTCATCCGCACCACTCACAGTTTGATTTTCGGGGCTCTGGGGCAATCTTTTGCATCCTCTGGTTTGCTAGTTCTGGTCGGGTAGAGGAGGGTCTCTGTCGTCACCGCCACCCGCCCTTGATTACGGAGTACGGAGAGTACTAATAACTAGTTAACTAACTAACTAGTATTTACTAAACCTACGGGAACTCACAGTCATCATCATCATCGTCTTCATCCTTTTCTCCTCTCATCTTATCCGTCTTCTTTTAATATTTCATCTCTCTGATCAGAATCTGTCCCCATCGCCTGGTTATCAATTTCTTCAATTCTCTGACTTTCAAGGCCTTGTCTTATTGTGTCCTTTGCTATTATCCGCTGCTCTGAGATCCTCCTTCCCCTCCTCTGGTGGCCTGCGATTTCAGGCTTCAATTCTTCTGGGTCCTCAGCCCTATTGCGTTGCTTTTTGTGCCTCAAGCACCGTTTCATTTCCTAGATCCGACACTTCCTGGAAAGCCCTGGATTGTCTTTTCTCTTTTATTTGCCTGTCCCCCCCCTTGCAGGTCTCTTAAACCTTCATCTCCTGCACAACTTCCCTCGATCATCATCAGTCCATTGCAGCTTCATATCTGCACCAACTCAGAATGCGCCCTTCTGCGCGTCATCGGCCCATGTCTCCCGGTAACTCGCTTTTGATTGATCCCATGCGGGCCTCAACGGGGACCGTCCAGCTCAATTCCTCCTATGATCCCTATGACTCTTCCGCTGGTCGTCTGGCATACGCGGGCTATCGCTCTGATGTTCCCTACTTGAAACCCTCCGACCCGCGATACACGCGTGAGACTAGACTAGAAGCCCAGCCTGTTTCCACTCAAACCTACCGAGAACATGGCCAACCCGCCAAATTAAGGACTGAATATGCTATCCTAGCTAGACCGCGGAGTAGCACTACATCCACCGCGGATTCTCGCGCGAGGCTTGATGTACCTGCAAGTTCTCCGATATCAAGGGGTTCGCCCGTGATAATGTCAGACTACGGTCGATCACCTAGCCCTCTTACAGGGAAGGACGGATACCTTGTACCTGCCTCGTCACATAAGCACCATCGGCGTCATCGTCATTCTTCCTCTGTCGATTATGCAAGCGATACGGGGCGAGACGCCTCCCGCACATACGAACATAGTGGCCGCCGGCGATATCCCCAAACTGGGGGTCTCCGAAGAGGTGAAGATATTGATGATTATGATGCTTACTCCTATACAAACCCACGCGAGCAATTTGAAAAAGAATCAATTGCAAAGCTGCGGTACAATCAGGGTGGCTACCCAAAAGAACGACGACCCCTCAGTTTAACCGGGATCGATGATCCTAATCTGATGATCAAAAAAGAGTCCCGGGCCTTAGGCCCTCCCCCAGCGCACAGAGGCTTCGAAAAGCTAGATGGGGATGAAATGCGACGGTCGACCTTCGGTTCTGCCCATAGCGAACTTGACCTTGCAGGCACTCGACAACGTCCGTCTCCGCGCTCAATCACATTGCATCAGGATCATGACGAGGGATATTCTTCGTACCGAGATGATTATGAGGACACCCGTCATTTACGCCGAGAGCATAAACGCCCCGACGGCGATGCACGCGACCGACAGGGCCAGGATGACCGTACATCGAAAAGGCAGCTCAGTAAAGTCCCTGCAGCTCCCGGGCCCAGCAATGGTCTAGGGACAGCAGTTTTAGCGAGCGGGTATTCCGATGATCTTGACTTTGACCTTAGGTCTCGCGGCGATCGGTATCGGTCCCGGGATCTGGTAGTCCGGGACCAAAGCAGATCGAGAAGACAATCAAGGCGACGGGTAGACAGTGATTCGGATGCCTATTCATCAGACGATGACCTCAAGAAATACCGACGGGAACCATCAGTACATCCAAAAACAACAAACTCTGATAGTTCCCGCGAGAACGATCGACCCCACAGGCACAGCTCTCGGTCTCGTCATCAAGGCCAGGTTTCAAAGGAACTCAAGAGCATAGACTACCAAAAAAGACCCGAGCAGGGGACGTCGAAGGATGTCGACACTCAGCCGCCAAAGGGAATCTTGAAGCCGCCGCGAGACAAATTCCCGGAGGAACCTAATCCTGTTCGAGAAGGAGTTGCGCCGTTGAAGGACGCACATAAGAAAGGAATTCCCCCAGGGGCACGCTGGACTAAAATTGACCGGCGCCTCGTCAATCCCGCCGCTCTGGAGGAAAGTCAAGAGCGATTTGAGGAACGGCCAGAATATGTCATAGTTCTGCGAGTGCTCACCAAGGAGGAAATCCAAGCGTACGCAGTCAAGACACAGGAGATTCGCGGTATGTTGCTGTGCGTTCGTCGAAATATTCCGAGTATGCTAACTCGTGTACTAGATGCCCGATATCACGAGTACATCCACGAGCGACGTCGACGCCGGGAAGAAGACCGGCGTCGTGGTCGACCCATTGATGACTTCTCGAGTGATGACGAGGATGATGGAGACGACTCTCCTCTTGCAATCGACACCTCAGCCGAATCGAAGCCGGCCCCTCGAAGTTCTGCCGGTGCAGCCGAGCAGATACGGTCATAACCGGCCTATATAATTCATTTTATACTGTGCTTGCGACATGGTGTTGGTTCTATGCTTTTCACTCGTTCTCTCACAGAGGTCTGTATACATGAAGTATGTCTATGTACGGTCATTTGCTATTAGCATAAGTGGATGCGCAATCCAGCCAATTTCAGTTTTACTAATGAAACTTCCTCTTGTCATCCTCGTTCTGGTAAAGGTATATATTTTTATCATATATACAATAGCACCGAAAGCAAACAATCCATAGAAACCCCGGGCCCAAAAGTCACTGGGGAGCGCTGGCAAAGAGTACACGAGTAGGAACATCGCCGCCAACAGCACCCAGCCTGGTTACTCCGTACAACATCAACCCCCAAGTGAGAAAATTCCCTTTGTGCTAAGGCAAAAGATGTCATATGTTAGGCCCTGTGCTACATTAGACCTGATTGGGTATGCTCACCACACTTCCAAGGGTCGGTCAACCGCGTCTCAACCACCTCATGTATTGCCTCCGCTGACCAACACGAGGAGGGGGGTTGATTCGCTTTTGTTAGAATGTTTGCTTTTTTTTAAAAAAAAAAATCGCTTTTACTGGTTCTCTTCACCCATTTGCTTTCCCCTGGAAAGAAGATCAGATGATACCAGTTGTTCCTAGTAGCGAACAACCGATTTACCTTGAGTACTCCGTATCTTTCTGTCTTTCCCTCCAAAAGGCGTGCTCATGCATCGCAGTCTTGAGTATATCCAATACACGTACCTCGAAAAGCAAACCCAAGTCAAGAAAATGCGGAGGTTCGTGTGCGGAACAAGTGCTGCAGAGACACAGCAGGGTTATAGCACCAGCAGCCGTCGAGTCCAGACCTAAATAAAGAGAAACCGTACTCCTCCGCCATTTTTTCCTTTTTTTTTTTTTCCTTTTTTGTCTGTTCATCTCCCAAATAGTCTGTAGTCTGCAGAGGAAAAGCAGCAGGGAATCCACGGGTAGACCAGGATCCCCCTCCCTCTCGCCATATTTGCTTTTTTTTTCCCCTTCCAAGCCCGTTGTTTTTAAATCTGGTTTTGCTTTGGCTTCAGGCCACCTGTCACTGCCATACTCGATAGATATGAAACAATGCTTCTGCTTTTTTTTTTTTTTTTTCTTTCTATTCTATTCTTCGCTGCTTTACATTGCTGCTTTTGCATGCATCACTGATACTAGAAGCTCGCAGGAATGCCAGCAAAGCAAAGTGCTCTTTGTGGTATCCACAGAGGCTAGGACTGAGTTATCTCGGTAGGTACTCCGTACTCTGTACTGTTCAGTTTGTACCTATTCCCGACTAAACTCCGGATAGAACGAAACAGGAAGCAATGATTTATCCTATCAGGCTACCCATCGAACCGAAAGAGAGCTCTATATGACAAAGGATTAGATTCGGGACTCAAGTGTCACTTCACTGTTCCCCAAGGAAAACCCCCATAACAACAACAAGAAAAACTATGTAGGACGCATTCTCGATAATGAAATGGTCAAGAAAGCCCAAGACGCCTAGCTAGGTAGCTACCTGAGTACTAGTAACTATCTACTCTGGGCCCGGATGAAGAAGATTGGGGGTTGTTTTCTGCCAATCACCGGGAAGATTATTGCTGTTACTGTAGTTAGTAGTTAGTTGGCTTGGAGCTATGTAGGTATCTATCATTCTACTCTGTAGTTATATAGTTATCTTATATAGATCCCTCTCTCCTTGAAAACGAAGACGAAAGATATATAACGCGAAACCAATTGGAATAACATCGATATACCCTCTACTCCATACATGTGTAAACGTTTATCCGTCCCCAATAAGTCCGTCCGCGCTCCGTGGCTTTATTTTTGTCCCCTCCACGTTTCGGTAGACTAGAGGAAAACTCTACAAAGCTTTCTACAGCTCATATTCGCCTAATTGTCGGTGAGAACGATTAAACTTTGTGATGGATGAAGAAGAATTTGGGCCAATTTCCTGGTCCTCCTAGTAGCCGTCGCAGCCGCCGTCGCAGCAGCAGTCGCAGTACCCGCGGAGAAGAAGAAAGAAATTACCGGAATGAAATCCTCGGAACTGATTTCCTTCCATGGATTTAATCGGATTTGCGTTATTCGTTTACTCGAGCAGAGAATGACCTGACCTGACCTGCCTCGTTTAAATATCAACAGAGAGTGTATATAGCTTAGGGCCCTAGGCTAGGTAGGGCTTTTTCTCGGAATCGGAATCACCATCACAGTATGGGATAAAAAAGTGGGGGGGGAACAGATGTGCCGATATTCATCCGTCAGTAGGGAAAGTAAGTAGTAGTCCAAGGGCCCTGAACTGAACATTCATAAAGCCCTGGAATCGCATGGCTTAACTAATCGGCTTTTAGATGATTACTTTTCTTCCACTGATCTTCTCTCCTTGAGCGTTGGAATCGGAATGAGCCTACTCTGGCTACATAGTAGAGTTGTTCAAGTTTCCACAGTCTAGAGAATATTCTCATATTCTCCCCACTTACCGGATGGTGGGGCCGGACTGCCTTTTCTTTGTTTCTTTTCTTTGGCCCAGAGTATAGGGCTCAGATCACATGTTCTCGGACTAAAATCTGACGCATTCTTTTCCTTTTAGTGTTCGAATCTGGCGAGATCAATAATGACGATGAGTCCACGGGGAAAGCTCCAGATCACCAAATCCTCTCTTGGCTTTTGCGCCTCTTCCGGTGTCTTTACGAGGTATTATTACTCGATCGTACGTACTGTACTCTGTACCTTGTAATATACAACATGTGGACTCCTCTGTTATTGTTATTATCTTTGATTGATTTATCGACTCTCGGTGCATTAGAGACTATTAACAAGTACCTATACGATTCATTTGCACAGTGCTTCGTGGGGTTTGAATCAATTGAAAATATCATAGGAAATCGGGGGGTCGGATATACTCTGTATGGACTGGAGATGGGCCGAGGCCTTGGGTATTAATTTGTATACTCCGTACAGATTAGATAACTACTTAGTACTCGTAGTACGTACTCCGTACTAGGTTGGTAATGCTCAATAACAATAATCTCCGAGGCAGAGAGAGCAGAATGGGTGGGAAGATGGCTGCGAAAGACGCACATGCGCATAGGAAATGAATCGGGATGGAGCTGGCTGTTTCTTGCATTCGTATGAGAGAGTATCCGTACTCTGTGCAGACTAGAGCATTAAAAAAAGGATGCATAAATATCACCATGGATGTTTTTGATTTTCTTCTCTGGAGAATCCGAGAACCTACCGAGATGTACAGTTAGCCTAAGGGAACTAACTAACTATCACTGTAGAGAAATCATGACAAATTCCGTATCTACGTACCTTGGGCGATTTATTCCAAATCAGCCCCGACTAACAACACAGACAGAGAAGAAGTCTTGTCTTGTCTTGCTACACGGGGTAACCAGGAACGCTGAAACTTCCGCTTACTCACTGTGCGGAAGAAAGGGAGATCAACGCCCAGAAAGGGTTCGGACCAAAACTGGCCGTCAGGAAGCTTCGGCCGGACCTAGTGATGCAGTCTAGAGAACCCTCATCCTAAGATGATCAAGATTTCTATTATTCCCATGGTAGGGTTGTTAATATTGTTTTCTTCCTTGAGGATCGGACTAAAGCCGGAGAGCCGGCCGAACTATATCGTGCCTCGCTAGTATCTATCTATCTATCTATCTATCTATCCTTAAGGATGAATAGGAAAAGTACTTGAGATTATTCTTATTATTATTATTTGGAATCAACTGGAAAACCCTCTGGAAGAGAGCGGGACCCACCGAGTAATATTACACAGACCAAATTCGATTTGGTGAGGTAATTTATGATAACTAGAGGATCACCACCTCATGATTACCTACCTCGCTAGTAGTAGGTACCTATGATCACATCGATAGTGCCACCACCAACAACACGATCAAGAGAATGAGGAGAGCAGGAAGCAACATATCAAGAATATGGTACCTAATAATCATCATGATACTCCTACGGCCAGAGCGAAGAGTCTCAAAAGGTGAATCCACTGTGGGGCATCAAGTGTCGCGCATCGACGAGCCGGAACGGTGTGTACAAACGTGCTCGATTCCCAAGGTTACCTATCAATCTTGCTGTAACTAACTAATTTATGGACAGTCGAGCGTGGTGGAGGGGAATGAAATCACGCACGAGGCAAAGAATACGATGATGCGACTTGATTTGAGAAAGAACTCGGCGGCGGGGAAATACCACAGTGACATTCTACCGAATACTAATACATAGCTAGGCGTTAGAAAGTACTCCGTATACTTCAGTGAAACTGTGGAATATCCGTCCTCACCCATGTCCATGTCCATGTCCGCAGCGGCAACAAATTAGGCCCTGACTGATCTACAGAGTACATCCAGAGTGTCTAAGACAAAATCACCACACCACACCTTGACCGGAAACATGGCCTTCGAGAACTGGTCTCGGTGAGTTAAGAGTTAAAGGACAGGAAACTACAGCGGTGATGTGCATAACACTCCTAGCTGCCGATCACCTCCTGAAACACTGTAAATCCGTCCATTTTTTGGGGGGAGGGGTCTCATGTTATTGAATATTCTGGATATTTTCTAAACTCTCGCATCGACGATAGTAGTAGGGAGCAATATGTATACTACCTAACGTAAAACGTAATTAACTTTTGCGGAGTATTCCTCCGTTATTCGAACCACGATTGAAAGGATGCGAAATCGATCTAGTGATATCAACGGACTGGCTCAACGATCCGCCCAGGGGTTAAAAGAAAACCTGTATGCAAATCCATTCTCCCATCGGATTCGCGAGCATAGCCCCCGTCGTTCGGGGTCAAGCAAACTTCCAGAAATTTACCATGAATCAGCAAAAAAAAAAAAAAAAAAAAACAAAAAAAAAGATTCGCACATACTTGCTTATTCGTCATCAGTTCCAAGTTAACTAACTATTAGTTAGACTGCTCTACTCTTGCTTAGCTGGGTGGAGGCATGATGAGTGTACGGGAGTACTTGGCACCCTTGATCGAGAAATCATGTATCCCTCACTCCCCTATTAATCAACTTCTCCTGAGCAGTACCAGCATTAGAGGAGAAAAGCTGTACTCCGTAATATCAGCAGAACTAAGGATGTAGTAGTATCGATCATACGGTCATTTGCGAGAAAATCTCCTCGTGCGTGAGACATGGAAGATAACGATAGGCAACGAACGCAACTGACGACTTTCTTCGACGACGCAAGTGCTCTCGCCATTAAGGACACTTGCTAGAGGAACTGTCAAATTCGAGTGCATGGGCTAGCTCTTGACAGGTTACAGAGTACAGACAGGTGGTATCTTCCCTGTTGGGAGTTGAGTAACGGTGGCTTCATTTTAATCCACCTTGATCTAACGTTCTCCATCCATACTCTGCCCCGCATGCGCTTCAGATTACTATGTACTTGGGATCAGAGTAGAATCGATACAGTTCCTAAGGTACTGCATAATCTCTAGAGGTTTATGGAACTTAATCGACACGCCTCATTGTTTCGAACATGGCAAAGTTGTCATTTCTTTTTTTTTTTTTTTAATTGAAACGATCCCCTTCTCAAGCCTGTTCTAACTTCTCCGTCGCCGAAATATAATGAGATGAGGTCGAGGTTATTAAAACCACTTGGAAACTTGTAGTAGTGGTATATACCAATAAAGCGATATGAAGACAAATTGCAAAGTCTCGGAATATTATCCAATTCCCCAGAGAATCGTAATTGAGCATCATGATTGTTATGCAGTCCGATGGAGCACTATTTGTACTCCGGGCAGTGGTTAACAATATAGGTACCCTTTCCGTGACTAGTTCGCCCACCCTTCGCCCACCTTGCCCCTCTTGCCAAAGCTCTCGACTGAGTCGACTCTAAAGGTTGAAGGTTGAGGTCTTACTCAATGCCATCATCGGCCTTTGCTCCTCAGTCAAAGCCCATCAGTCTCGGGATCTCAAGGTTCTGGACCGTTGAGAAAGAATAGGATAAGGATCCCGTCCCATGTGAATCTGAATAATAACCAAGAATTAAAAAAAAAATCAGATAAAATAAAATGGAGTGAGAGATTTTTTTCTTCTTTTTTTCTTGTTTGTTTATAATGATGTCTATTATAGCCCTCGTTTTCAAATTTAACTTTTAGTTGATTTTTTTTTTTTTTGATTTTGATTTTCTTTTCTTTTATTTTCCCCTTGTTATTTAAATGATGACAATGATGCGAGTTGAATGGAAAAAGCCCGATGGGCGGCAAGCGACCGGGGGTGTACGGAACTATGGGACACCCTGCATCGATCACAATAGGTTGTTTCAATAGATTTAGGGGGGGAAAAAAAAAAAGAAAAGAAAAGAAAAGAAAAGGTGTTGACACCATTACTATGTACTTGTGTTCAGCTAGCTTTATGGACTCCACCTAACAGGCAGATTCGGAGAAAAAGTGAGAGTTGGGAGTATTTTGCGAAGAGGGAGCTTCGATTACGACGACCCCCGCTAGACCTCTTTGTGGAAGGACTCGAGGAGGAGTTACTCTTCTATTTTATCTTCATCGAGTTCGATGGGTTAAACCTTTGATTTGATAGGGTGGAATAGAAGGGAGGTTGATTGCTTAACGGGCAGCTCCACCGTCAGCTTGAAGATCATCCATCCATCCCAATCCTCTCTTTTATTCTGGACTCTGAGTCTGGAGGAGTCACGGAATTCTGACTGGCTGACCAAAACCTGCAGCCGCAGCAGCAACAACAACATCAACAAGAATGGACAAGAACAACAGAGTCTGTGTATAGCACAAGTAGCACAAATTAGTAAATTATTCATCGCATGTCAAACTGCTTCTTCCTGTTCTCATCAGACAAAAGGTACCAAGGCTTTTCTCCACTTATTAAGCCTCATCATTGGAGAGATCTCGCCTTCCATGCCTTTTTCGACCACGTTTCACATGGAAAGGATGCACGAGGGCATTTCCCCTACCTGTCTCAAATAGGAAACGGGAGCAATGAGCTGGAGAGTACTATGTAGTATGTACAGACAGTGTGGCTGGATAGTTCAGTCAGGATTTGTCTCAGATGTCTCGAGGAAAGATGTCTCTGGTTTTATCGAGTCCCTAACGCCAAGATATGCTAAACAGTGGAGTTCGAGGAAAACGCCGAACCGATTTGTTCATCATCCATGGTCAACTCTCCTCCGAACCCGTCCTCGCCAGTGACTCGATCGACTCGATCGTCTCACGACTAGTATCATGTACGAAAGGGGGAGGCCCATCATTTTCTTTTTTTTCTTTTTCTTTTTTCTTCTCGAGAGAGTATATGCCATATCCATGGATGCCTGTAAAGCATGGAGCAGGAGAAGGAGGAGGGATTTAATCAGCCCCCGTTGTGGTAGTTAACAGTTTGGTGTTACACAGGCAATTTTTATTTATTTTTGCTGTTCCTATTTTCTTCTTTCTCTTACTCTTCGCTTCCTTTTCCCTTTTCGTCTTTCCTTCTTTGCTTGTCCAACCGTTTAGAAGAGGGAGAATCACCCGACCGGGAGACCGTTAGAATGTTTCGAGTTTATTTAAGCCGGGGCCGAGGAGCGGAAACTGTGATTGGGATCTTTTTTAGGTGGCATCATCATCTTATTTTTTCCTTTCATTTTTTTTTTTTTTACGACTCGGGACTCGATGGCTGGCTTTCTTTCCCCCCCTCCTTTGGCCATTATGATTCGATGGATGTCTCGGGAGCGGTGGATTTGGCGTCTGGTGCTGGTGGAAACAAGGCTGACGGCAGCAAGTTAGATCGGTTGTTTCCATACCGGAGTGTAACCAGATCGAGTTGGGTGTGCTTATTAACTTTGAACTAAACATCTCGCGAACAGAGAGAACTCAGAGAAGGCAAGAAGATCTTCAACGGAGAAAAAAAAAAAAAAAAAAAAAAAGGCTCAAAGACAAAGGAAAGGAAAATAACAATGCGGGTCTCCCGGTAAGAACGCGCGCTCGCACGCTGGAGGAGAGCAAAAGTTACGGCAAACATTATCAAAACCGTCAGATGGATGATTCAGGTATCGGTTCGGACGATCCCCAGAGATACGTACATACAGATTCATAGGTCCATGCCCATGCATGGAGAGAGGGGAGCTGGTGGCGGTAACAGACAGAATGTCAGGGCATGAAGTTATTTTGGCCTCTTAGTGGGGATCATACCTGTTGCTGATCAGGGAATGAGGGCGGAAGATGGATGGCTATGACTCTCGTTCTTATTCTTCCTGTTACCATCCTTTCCCATCCACAGTGGGCTCGTGTGAGTTGAAACAAATCAGTGGCCGGTACCTGACTTGGGTCTCTGCGAGCGAGATCCAACCCTAGACCCCAACGTTCGACCTTTCTCAAGTAAACTTTGACTATTTTCTTCTCTAAAGTGTAAAATAAAAGGGAAATTAAAAAAAAAAAAAAAAAACAAAGGTAAAAATACAAATATCCAAGGACTTGGGGATTGGAAAAAGACTTCTGCTGTTCACATCGACTAAACTAATAGCTACTTGTATAGTGCCTAATCCTCCCTGCGCCAATCTTCATCATTCCAGACCATCCACAACTTTTTCTTGCCCCCCTCCAGGACCAAAAAAAAAAAAAAGAAAAAGAAAAAGAAAAGAAGAGTGGGTAAAGGGATTTTGGTTTTGGTTTTGATTTTTGGTTCTCTCTCTTTACACACCTGTTTAGATGATGATTGTTAATTATAACAATAAGACCAGAGTACACCAGTCGAGGACGGATGGTTTGGATGGGAGGATGGACCTTTGCATTGACTAAGAGGAGTTAAGGCCAGAATCACAGACAAATGATAAATGATCCTGCCCAACGATCTGTCACAGACTTCTTCCAGTCCATATGATTATTATGGACACGGATATCCCCCCTCTCTTAGGCACACCCACTTGCTCTGTTGTGGGTGGGTGTAGGAACTCTTAGTAGTTACCTAGCTGCATGCTCTCTGACACAGCTCATACTGTCAAATATTGTTTTAATTATTATAATAAATATATGTATTTTATTTTGATTTTTTTTCCTATCTAAAAAAAATAATAATAATTTAATTTGAAGGAGCAGCAATGTAATGATATCAGCATCATCATAGGTAGTGAGTGCCGACAGAAACATTCTCTATAACCCCCCAATATACGGAGTAGCGGACGAAGCATTAACGTATTGGTTGACTTTGAAGAGCTCAATCCGTCATGGTATCTTCATTCCTTTTACCTGTTCCTGTCTCTGTGTCTGATCAGGATCAGCTCTCATCGATAATACTTAATATCCCTCGAATACACACACATCCCCCCGAAGGAACAACAGTAAATCAAGGTTGATGACAGTGAAAAGTACCCCGGCTTTTCTCACTCCCTATACTTTAAGGTCACTGGCGGCTCCGGTTCTTTGTCTTGTCTCTCTTCTTTTTTATTATTTGGATTTGATTTTTGTTTCCCTTTTTTTTCTTTTCTTTTTTTTTTTCCCCTGTGGCTTGTCTTTTTTATCCTTTACCCTCATTCTTATTAATCTCTTCTTGGAATATTTTGTCCTTACTCAACCTCGAAGAGAGAACCATTCTCTTTCATCCACCAGTGACTTCTCAATCAATGCCTAGTAGGTAGACTGACAGATCACCCTCGACCACTCCTACTATCAATCAATCAATCAATCAACCTTCCTCCTCCCAAGTGCGTGAAGGCTAAAGCGTCTTGTCTTTTTTGGAGGAAACCCCCCCCTGCTCTGCGTGTACCAGGTTCGTTTACTATTCTGGGTCTTTTACTTCCTCCCCCCCCGTCTCTGCTTTTCACGCACCCTCGCTGCACGCTGCAAATCATCTTACCCGGCCATCTAATCTGGGCTACGGCTTGTCTGGACTTGACCTGGTCGAGTCGATTCTCTTCCTCATCCTCTCCGCTGTCACATTCGCGCTTTTCTCCTGCGTCCTGCATCCATCCTGGTCAATATTACACCAACTCCCCGCTAGTAACAAGCTCATTTTGATATCCCCACCAGTCAGTGAATCTTTTTTGACCTTTGTCCTGTTCTCATTTGATTATTATCACCATTATCATTCTTATTATTTCCCTCTTTTATTTTATTTTCTCTCTCTCTCTCCCTCCCCGCTGGTATTTCCTAAAATTCTCTCATCACTGCAATTATCTCCCCATTCCTGTTCAGGGATAGCATCCCTGAGTCCACTGCTTGCCTAGAAGGATGGGTCTCTCTGGCGCAGCTAAATAATAACCCTGGACCTCCACATTGCATTGGCACACTCGCAGTGCGCACCGTTTAAACAAGGCCCATCCATCTTCAGATTCCCCTCCCCGTTGTTGAACCCCCCAGTCCAGAGCCACAGACCAACCGACCACTACCGTTGCTCTCAGCCTCTCCTAGCTTTAATCCTTTCTACTCTGTCTTGTTGTGATATCCTTCCCCCAAACATCCATTCTTCTTCCCTCAAATCCATTATCCCCCTTGTTTTGTTCTTTTCTTTTGTCACTCTCAACTCTAACTCCACTTTATTCCAAGTCTTGGTGTCTTTACAGTGCCTGGAATGAGACGCTGAGGCGGCATTCAAAGCAAATCGCCCTTGATACCAGGTCACTGGAGGTCAGTCATGACCGGCATAGTTCAGACTGACCTTGCTCATCCTACCGCAACCAAATACAAGGACGAGCCTGTGGACGATCATGTAAGCTTCACTTTTCTGTTTCTTTTTATTCCTGGACTCGGTTTTCCTTGTCTCTCGCATTTATTCCCGGTGTTGCGTTGCGTCCTTTTCGTCCTTTCTGCGGCTTCATTCAAGGACATCCCAGCTCTTTTCACATGGCTACCCCTAGGAGTAACCTGGGGAGAACGGAGGCACCCAGCTCCTCGGATCCTCCATTATATCCTCCAGTATGCCTGCGCTGGAGACCGTGATGATCTCGATGCAACATTGCCGTCATTCCCCCAAGAGTACCAAATCCCAATCCCTTTCCATATCAGAATTCTGCAATATCATCTATATGTAGCCGGATGCTTGCTACTCTCAAACTCAATCTTGTGCGAGTCTTCAGAAACAGGTATTCATACCACTTCGTGAGTGTTGTTGCCGTCCACTTGGATTTTCCGCAAGTCGGGTTATCGAAAGAAAAAAAAAAAAAAAAAAAAAAAAGGGAGGCAACACAGGAAATGCCCAAGAGGCGAGGCCACTGTGGTTAGAACTAAACAACGTCTGGTGACACCTTGTGTGACCAGAACTCCTGTTCATCAATTGATGCTGGGCAAATAGCCCACCATGAGGGAACCCCCCAAATTGTCTTGGGTTTGCCACGGGATAGATCCATTGATCTCTGCTGAGATATCATGTTCTAAACCCCAACGTCACCACAGCCACCATCGCAATACAATCAACTCGCTAGAGGAAAATGTCCTGGATGATTTTATCTCGCCCCTGTTTCCCGGAATCACTCCTCACAATTACAACTGCTTCCTATCATGTGGCCCTGAATTTTATGCAGTTTCCCATTCGTGCAGCTTCTGATAGTATACTGGTTAATCCTGCATGTATGGCAGCGCTGACCGGTCTTTTGTATTCTAGCTGCGCCAACATCATATCTCTGGACACCGCGGTCCGCAGCATTCTCACCTTCTCCATCCGGGGCCAGCGAGTCTCGCCCAAAAACAGAAGCAACCCGAGTCACCACACCAGCCTACCACAGCCATTCCTGGCTCATACGCTCCCCATACATTAGGAAACGGAGTCTTGCATCACCAGCATCCATACGGCCCACCCACTCACGAGCAGCCCTATTATACATCTCATCCATCTTACACGACAGCCAGCGCACCAGGCCAGTATCATTCAAGCGGTAAGTGTAAATCTGTCATACAGGAATCCTTCTCCAATCATAGAACGGTCGCTTCACAGTCAGATTTGAGTCCCACCCCTTCTCCCCTTCAGCATGCACCATTCGCGAGTGTCGAGATATGATGTGGAGTCTAACGGACCTTAGGTCCTCAAGAAATCATGGCGACAACGCAAATGCAACGGCCGTATCCCCCAATTTATCATACACCACAATCGAGCTCGCCGGCCTCGGTAGCTTCCCAAACTCATGAACAACATAGTCGGAATCTTTATGCCCAATCACCCCAGATGAATACGCTATATGGTTACCAACAGGCTTTAACATCCCTCAACCCAGTTCAGCCTTCACCATACGGAGCTCACCCCTCGCCTCAACAGCATCCCCTCACCTCCCAGTCGCTGATGATGTCCCATCAAACAAGCACCGCACAACTACCACACCAACCTTCCCATCCCCCTCCAGGTACATTGACAAGCCCCAGTTCTGCTACGGCACAACAACCAACGCCCCCTCAAAGAGCTGTATTGAACCCACCCCGTTCTACCACTGCAGCTCCTCTTTCTGTGAACACTGTTCACCATCAAAATTCCACTGTTGGGGCAAGCTCTAGCGCCGCACCGGGTCCTATCCCAGCTACAACCCCTCTAGTTGTACGGCAGGATAGCAACGGCGTCCAGTGGATTGCTTTTGAATATTCTCGAGACCGCGTGAAAATGGAGTACACGATTCGATGCGATGTCGAATCTGTTAATGTCGACAGCTTGGGCCAGGAGTTCAAGACAGAGAACTGCGTCTACCCTCGAGCCTGTTGTAGCAAAGACCAATACAGGGGAAACCGACTGGTTTATGAGACAGAGTGTAATGCGGTTGGATGGGCCTTGGCAGATCTCAACCCTGCATTGAGGGGTAAGCGTGGGCTAATTCAGCGAGCTGTCGATAGCTGGAGAAACAGCAACCAGGATCCTCGACTTCGAAGCCGGCGGGTACGAAGAATGGCTAAGATGAACAGACGCCAAGGTGTGGCGCCGCAACCACCAGCCCACATGGCTCCCACCACGCCCGTTGCCCCCGGAATTCCCAGCTCCAGCCTTACTGCGGCCGGTCCACGTCCTGGACTTGGGCCTCTGGCGGCTATGGGACCGCCTCAACTACACCATCACCACGCTCAACCGGAAGGAGTCACCCCGAATGAGGAAGTTAGCGGTATGTTCCGTCATATATAACCTGCTTATTTTGTTTTTATGACGCCCCAGATCACTCGTGGTTACGATATTGAAAACTTATGTATTATTTCTTATTCTTTGTTCTTTCTTCTATGTACGTGACCACTAGGATGGGGAAGTGTTTTGTTTTGACTCATGGACTTCGTACCTTTTATGTATTTCTATTCTGTCAATCTCGAGTGGTCTGGTTTGTTTGGCCTGTTCTTTTCTTTGAGCTCATACCCTGTTGGTTTTTTTTTTTTTTGGTTGTTGTTGTTGTTGTTGATTGCCATGTTAACATCCATGCCGTACCTCGCTTTCACGTCGTTTTTCGTCATATACATTTCCGTGTAGGCTAATTTTATATATTGCCTTTCCTCTATAATATAGGTGCTGCAGAATTTGGAAATGGTATCAATCGCCCACCTGCGCCATCCGTCCCAGTACCATCACCGACAGACATCCGCGCTGCCCAGGTCTTCCATGGATACCCAGCATTCCCACTTCCCCCCAACTCAGCTGCGGGACATAGAGGCCCTTCTATCCCCCCTCTTCTTCGAGATACGGGAATCAGCCCGCTTGGACGACACCCCACCGTTGCTACCTCGAACAACAGAGTTGAAGAAATGGATGATTATGACGAACGTGACCCGAGCAAAGATGACCTCTTCGGGACACAGCCGGATGGCAAGCGCCGCAAATTCATCCTGGTAGATGATGCTCAGCGAGGATGTCGTGTCCGAGTTAAAGTTATGTTGGACCAGGTCGACATGAATGAGATTCCCGATTCATATCGCATGTCTAACTCGGTGTACCCTCGTACTTACTTTCCGGTACAGATGAAGAGTCCGAGGACTCAACCGATTGCAGGGAACAGATACATCAAGGATAATCTCGAGAATGATGATGACGGAAATGATGAAGCGGCGACTATTGGGAAAATCATGGTTCCCACTCCTCAGGTTGACGACCACAGTGAAATCGCAGTCCCCAAAATTTCTTGCCGACGCCACAGGAAGGAAGTGCTGTTGAACAATCTAGGCTACCGGATGAGCTGGAGCCAAAGCCGAGTGTTTGCGGGGCGGACGCTATTCCTTCAACGATCTTGTACGTGACCTTCATAGCCCCTGTTTGCGACGTTGGCACCAGCAGCAGTCCATACAGCGACTAATAACTGAACAGTGGATGCGTATCGCAACAAAATGCGCAGCACAATGCTAGGCGCGGGCCATGAGCCGACATCGATCCCTCGGCATTTCGAAACTCGCGCAGGCAAGCGACAATTCCTCGAGCGTAGGAGGCGCACCGCTGCCTCTTCCGTTCGGGGAGCGGGAGGCGTGCATACGCTTTCCGCCTCCCAGCACGAGGCGGAAGAAGTCGAACCTTGAATGAACGTCGATCATCATCTTCTTTGCTTAATTTTGGGCATTCAACCCTCTTGGCTCATATTTTCGCATCTCCTACTTCTTCTTTTCTTCTACTTCTTCTTATTATTCTTATTCTTCCTCTTCTTCGTCTTCTTTCCCCCCCCCTTCTACTTTTTTTCTCCCGTTCCAGTTTGCGAATGATTAAACTCCGATGGACTCTCTTCACGACTATGGCCGCTATTTAAGATAAATAGATACGGCAGAAGAATGTCGCATTACCGGAAACGTGGGAGGTCGGAGCCGAGCGGGAACAACGGATTTGGTGTTGGACGGTGCGACGAATTCTGTGACTACTACATGATTACTTACTCTGAACATGAATGATTGGGATGATTATGGAATTGGACCCTAAGAGAAAAGGGGGGAAAAAAATGAAAATCAAAAACGACTGATGAAACTCGAGGCTACCTAAGATATACGACGGACCTGATGATTGACGGACAAGGTTATATTTGATTGACACCATACCATACTCTTATACGGAGGACCGCAGCGACAAGGCTTCTTTATTGTATTGCCATATTTATGCGTGCGGTGGGTTTCTTTTTTCTCATTATTATTATTGTTCCTCTTCCTTTAGTTTAATCCTTTGGCATTGTATGTGTTGATTTCTCCGTGACGTTATTATTTTTGCTTTTTTCTACTACCTCCTTTGATATCTTCAGACCGATATACACATGAACATAATAAGGCTTCAGAGATGTCTAATTACCGAACCTGCTCGTTAGATATAATATTCAATGGAATTCCGATCTATAGAGGAACTGCATCCGGGGCTATCCCATCCCAATTCGGAATGGTGTCCACCTGATGTACTATTTTTAAAACCTCTTGGGGATATAATACGGTATGGAGAAGGTATCAAAATACAAGGCGGGTATACCGTCTAGCGACAAAGGATGGGGAAAAAAAGGGTCTGGAGGGTCCTATAGTTAGTTAGTTAGAAGATTTTAGTAAATAAGCTGGTCGCCCTGGGACACAGCCGCGACATCTTTTTGCTTACTGTTTAACTAACTATCATGTCACCGGTTGCAGTAACTGACTTGGGATTGGTTTTACTTTTCACCTTCTCTTTCTCCTCTTCTTCTTCTTCTTCTTCTTCCCCCTCACCCCCGCCCGCAAACCCTCTCCGGAGTATACACTACATCTTCTTTTTCTGGGAAATATTATCCCTTCGCCTTCTGGTTCTGTTGCCTGTTCCTATTTGTACCTGATCGTGGTTCAGGTTTGTCTGGTCTACGTACGATTTACGTTTCAGACGGACAAGGGTCCTGCTAATATCATATTAAATAACACCTCTTCGTTTCTGTCGAAGTTCCGTCCTTTGATTCTTTCATCAGACGAGCACTACCCCCCTCCGCCAAATTATTATTATTATTTTTCTAGACGACTTGGAAAATTAGTTTGGGGGAGACAGTCCGCCGATTTCCCACGGCACACCAGATGGCCGGCTACGGACGGTCACCAAGCGATCGAGACAACCTCACATCGGCGGCTCCAGAGCATGGTCAAGGCCAAGGCTACCTGGCACACACGCAGTCAATGCGGACGAACTACACAGCAACGCCGGGGATGGACAATTTAGGGCCGACGGCCGTGGGAGGCGGTATTAGTGGTATCGCCCTGGGCGTTGCTAACACCCATGACCGTCAGAGTGGCGTTGACGCTTTCAGGGAAACAGACGCACCGATAAGCTATCTCCCCGCGGAACGAGGCTATCACACCACTGGCTCCGATAATCCATATGTCCCTGCGCCACCGAGTATCGGGGGGCCGGATGCGAGTACGGACGCCCTGCGGCATCATGATCCGTACGGGTCGAATGCGGCGTTGGGCGCCACAGCGGCGCCTCTAGGCCACTGGACTCCGGAGAACTCGTCTCAGCGCAGTTTCTTCGAGAATCCCTATGCGGGTGCTGGGGCACATAATGCGGGCCCCTACCAGCGGAATTCGGCTTACAGTGCTCATGACTATCCAATGGACATCAACCCCGACGAGATCGTTGACGACGGGGACGACGGCTTTGCCACCCCAGCAGCTAAGAAGTCTGGAGCAGCAGCCGCTGGGGCTACTTCTGGGGGGATTCTTGGAGGCTTCTTCAAGACCAAGACCGCTGCTGGTGTTTCTTACGGGCCGGTTCCGGGGGCAACACTCGAGGCGGCGGAGAAAGGCCAGCATGCGAAGCCTTCTGGTGGGAGTCGAAAACGCGGATGGATCGCTGGGATCATTCTCGCCTTGATTGTCGTGGGAGCCATCGTGGGAGGGGCTGTTGGCGGAACCCTAGGCCACCATGATCGCGCCGACAGCACCAGTCCGAATTCATCGGCGACAAGTGACACGAGTACGAATGGCGATCTCGACAAGAATTCCAAGGAAATCCAGGCCTTGATGAATATGGAGGGTCTGCATAAAGTATTCCCCGGAGTTGACTATACCCCCTGGGGCGTTCAATATCCATTGTGCTTAAAATACCCACCCTCTCAGAACAACGTCACTCGCGACCTGGCTGTCCTTTCCAAACTCACCAACACAATTCGTCTCTACGGTACCGACTGCAACCAGACAGAGATGGTACTACACGCCATTGACCGCCTGGGGCTGACGGACATGAAGGTCTGGCTGGGCGTCTGGATCGACACCAATACCACCACAAACGATCGGCAACTCAATCAACTGTACACCATTCTCGATAATGCTACAGACAGGTCTATCTTCAAAGGCGCTATTATCGGCAATGAGGCTCTTTACCGTGCGGGTGATACCATAGACACTGCCCGGCAAAACCTCATCAGCTACATAAAAGGGGTCAAGAGCCATTTCCAGAAAAACAGCATTGATCTCCCAGTCGCCACCTCGGATCTGGGCGACAACTGGGATTCAGAGCTGACTAGGGTGTCCGATCTCGTCATGTCGAACATCCACCCCTTCTTTGCAGGTGTCACTGCGAAGGCTGCTGCCAGCTGGACCTGGTCTTTCTGGCAGAACCACGACGTGGTTCTAACCGAGGGTACAAGCAAAGCAAACGTCATCTCTGAAGTAGGATGGCCGAGCGGCGGGGGAAACGATTGCGGCGACGGTGCGAACTGCGCTGATACTACATCTGGCTCTGTTGCTGGTGTTGACGAGATGAACACGTTCATGTCTAACTGGGTGTGTCAGGCTCTGGCGAATGGAACTGAGTATTTCTGGTATGTTTTTTCTTTTTCTTTTTCTTTTCTTTTCTTTTCTTTTCTTTTCTTTTCTTTTTTTTCATCTCTGTTATGTGTGTGAATATTCTCTTAACGGAATTTCAGGTTCGAGGCGTTCGACGAACCATGGAAAGTCGAGTTTAACTCTGGCAAGGAGCAGTGGGAAGATAAATGGGGTCTCCTGGACTCAGCACGCAAGCTAAAAGACGGCATCAAGATCCCCGACTGCGATGGGAAAACTGCATCATAGCCAATATGACGGCTACGTTATCTGACCCCGTTTCCATTTATCTGGATTTTGTAATAGGTAACTGTTGGGGCGGGGGGTTTTTTTTTCTAGCTCTTTTTCTGTATACACGATTTTTTGACGTATAGCATGTTTGATGAAAATGCTTTCTTTTTTTTTTTTTTTTCTTATCTATCATGGGTTGCTTTCACTGTTCTGGTGTTGACATATTCTCCCTCTCTCTCTCTCTCTCTTGCCTTTGGATTGGATTGTACTTAATTGCTGGTGGACGGTTTTGGCTGGACATTGCTTCTTCTTCTTCTTCTTCTTCCGTCTTTCTTGCGTGGTTTTGCAGGCGGGTCTGATTGATCCCAACAGATGACAAAAATTTGGGTTGTATGTATATATTGTGAGCATTTCACGGTGGTTGTGCGGTAGAGTCTTGAATCCCACATCATCATCTTAACTCTGCTCTCTGGTCTGGCTAGTATGGAACGCTCCGTATGCGTAAATAAGCTTGTCCTTTCGCCCCCCCCCGTGGACCGGTCACGGACATTACTCAATCACCCTTCTCAGTCCGAGGATAGTACACCCGCATCTTCCAAAACGCATGTTCCTGTTCCGCGAACAGCGGCAGCTGTACCGAGTCTCTCGACTGCACGAACCGCTTCACTACCTCGGACTCGATCTCTTCCAGCGGACCGCCAAAGACAACCGCCGGGTTGTGCGCGAGCAGTTGCTCGAGATGTGTGCGCTCCGCACCAGGAGCGAAGAGCAGAGTCTGCGCCGAGACTTTCTCAAATGCCACGGGGTGCTCGAGGACAGTGATGTCTAGGGAAGCGAGGAGGGATATATCGTGGGCATTGAAGACGGGGTCTTGCGCGAAGACGGAAATGCGGTTGGATTGGTGTTTTTCTTTATTTTTTATTTAATTTTTTTTTTTTTTTTTCAAAATATTTGTTAGCTCTGTTTTGCATTTGTATATATATATATATATATATGTGTTTATGATTTCCGCTAGTTACTACCCCGGGAAACAGGATGACTCAACTCACCTATCCAATCCATTATACTCGCCAGAGCTGCTAACTGGTACATCGAGACACTTCGTCGATCGACCCATCCCCCGCGCAGAAACCCACTGGGGCTCCCCAGTCCAATACACACTATCCTTCCGTCTTCTTTGAATGCGCCCGTGTTGTTCTCGTGGAGTCCTAGGCGTGACAACCCCTGCTGGACCTGGGTGAACGCCGCCGACTGCTCCCACCGCGTGCGGTATGTGTGCAGCTGGCGCTTGAGTTGCTCTAGCGTGACATTGGGGGGAGCTTCAGCCGGGGTCAGGACGGCGCGAGAGTCAGGTTGTAGTTGTTGATTTTCTTTTTCGGGTTCCCTTTGTGGTTCGGAGTCATGTCTGGGGGTTGTTTGGTGGTGATTGTGACGGAGCAGGCGGCGTGCGTTTCCGCCCGTGGTGACGTGCGTCCAGCCAGAAGAGTCGGTGATTTCCAGGCGCTTGTGGGATTGGGCTTGGGAGGGATGTTTTTTGCGTGAGCTGTGGGGCATTTTGGAGCTTGATCCTGGTAGATTATTCGTAAGAGGGTGTCTGTCTTGTTTAACTACCAGTAACTATTGGTATAGATGGTGAGGGGAGGTGATACATAAGCTATGGAAAATTGCCGCTTTTTTTTTTTTTCGTGGGGGAGGCGGTGAATTTTGTCTATTCTGTACTACGGAGTATAGAGAGAGAGAGAGAGAGAGAGAGGCTTTTCTTCTTGCTTCTTGATTCCTATCATGCGGCCATTTGACCTTGGAGAATAAGACTTAGATATTCGGATGTCAGGCCATTTCTCGATGTTCCTGGAATCCAACCTCTCACAGTCATTCTCTAAGCGCCCATGTGGTTTTCGAGTTTCAACCCATCCACCAGAGAGCAACCGTGATCTCCCCTCCTTTGCCCTTAGTCCCCCGATCCGGGCGCTTCGAAGAGTCGCGCTCCACGAATGAGAGCTGCCAGAACATCTCTGTCTCCTCCTCCAACCTCAAAAGTGATGCCACTTGCATCTGGAGGTCTTGGATTGGCCGCTCCAGCCAATCTAGCGCCTGGATTGCTCTGCACTCCTCTTCCCCATGCAGCCAATACCGTCTGCGAGACCTGCATTCTGCAGCGTTCACCAGCATCAATCCAAGCAACCTTCTTTGTTGAGAAAAGAGTGTGTATACCCCCCTTTTCCCGCCTGCAGGAGTTGTCACATCGTGATCGGGTCTCTCACTCGTCCACTCCCTTCTAATTTCCCCGCTAAGTTCTAAATGAGAGAGCCAACTGCAGAGATTAGACGATGGCTCGTTTACCTCAAAAAGCCCGGCAAGCCCTCCCGGGAGTCCAGTCCTTCCTTCTTGCGTTGCGAGAAGAAGCTTGTTTCAATGATGATCGCGCGGAACGACTGATGCGTTTTATTTTTATTTTTTTTCTTTGCATCGCGCATCGCTCAGATTTCTAGTCTTGAATTATTTTTAGCTGGTTGTTCGTCTGGCCCTTTGAGAGTGAGCCAGAGGGCATCTGGACAGACTTGGCCGTGTGTTCAAGGTGAACAGTAGATAGGGGATACCTCGAAACCTCTATCCCCCTGACCGTCTTCTGTGTTTTTTCTTTCTTTTCTTTTCCCTTTTTTTTTTTTTTTTTGGCTGTCGACTAGAATCTTCCTCCACCATGAAATTCCTCCAAATATCCTCGTCACAATGGCTCACCAGTGCCCTGTTGTGCGTGGGCTTGGTGAACGCCCACACCGTGATCGTTTACCCCGGATATCGAGGCAACAATTTGCATACAAACGGCAGCGTCGAAGGTACCGACGGCCTGGGAGTTGCATTCAATGAAAACAATGACACATATTCTTACCCCTACGGAATGCAATGGATCTATCCTTGTATGCAAACCCTAACCCTAGAACTTGCAATGTGCTTGCTCCGTACTAACACTCCCTTTCCCTAGGCGGCGGCATGCCAACCTCCACAAACCGAACAAAGTGGCCAGTTAAAGGCGGCGCAGTCTCCTTCCAACCGGGCTGGTTCCAAGGCCACTCACGAGCGCTCATCTATGTCAACCTGGGACTAGGCACAACACCACCGAACATGAGCCATCCCATGGTTCCGCCCTTTGAAATTGTCGGGCCTGATAATAACCCTTACCCTGGCACAGTCTGTATCCCACAGGTCGGGCTGCCTGCAGACATCACAGTGAACGTGGGAGATAATGCGACGATCCAAGTGATCGAAGCCGCCCAGCACGGAGCGGCTTTGTATAATGTATGTTCATCTTCATTTCGGCTGAAGAAGCTACAATAGTCTAACAATTCTATGCAGTGTGTGGACATTACTTTCGCAGACCCCGCCGACGTCGAAGAAGTCACCGAAGAAAACTGCTTTAATTCCTCCACCATCAGTTTCGAAACACTCTTTACCACGTCCTCGTTATCGTCCGGTGCTTTCGAGACCATCACAGTCCCGTCATTCATCACCACCCTATTACCGGCTTTCTTGGCTATGCTGTACGGAGTTCTGATGATCTAGAGAGACTGCGTGTGGTTGTGAGGTCTCTGACCAAGATCTCTCTCTCTCTCTTTTCCCCCAATTTTCTTCATCTTTTCATTTTATATTTTAATTTGCTTATGGTTACGCTTTCCATACCCCCAACAAAACCGGTCGCTAGGTAGTTGGCAGCAGTGACTAGGAGTAGTCAGTAGTCAAAATGAGCTGACGGTACTTTTTTCAAGATTCTTGGTCTAGTCTACCTAGGCAATACCTTGATGGTATTGAGGCGTTGGGGAATGAATATCACCGCCGGACTTGATTGATGTATATATGTGCCGGATATATGATGGGATAATTTACGCTGATTGATGAGTATGATGTGGTGCCTGGTAATGTTCTATATTGTGCTGCGGCTGTCAAGTGCTACCTACCTGATAGATGAACTCGTATATCCGGAAAAATCCCTCAATCATAATAACATGCTGGTCTAAGAACTGGTCCTGAAAAAGTGATTGAAAAGAAGAAAAGAAATTCTAATGAGCTTTTTTCAATATATACTTAGCCCATGTGACCTGCTAGTTCAAAAGAGGTAAAGTCAACTCTCGTGAGCTTTCAGCCAGATTCCCGCGACTTTTACGGATACGGAGTACACAATCACAATCACAATCAATCAATCAATGGTGTGTAGTTTTTTGTCTAGTAGGACTAATAGAGTATACATAGAGTATACCTGTAGTAAATGCGTTGGCATAGGAATGGATGGAAGTGTTGGATCCTGCAGAGGTAGTGGTGAGTGCCATATATCGACTCGCAGTGACACCAAAATATATACCCAGAACTATCAGCTCAAACCCCGGCCTAGTTCGGTTGTATAATAATAATGAGGAGAATGAGGATCGAAGATGATCTTCTTTACGCTCAGTTAGGACCGTGCAGAGTAAATCTACCCTGAAATTCAGTGGAAACCCTGATCGACACAGGATGGCCGAGACTTTCCTGATTGGGCTGGAATGACGCACATCGCGAGTTCTCTCTCTCTCTCTCTCTTTCTCTCTCTGGCACCTTTTTTCGCTTTCTGTTTCTCGCCTCTCATCATCATCATCATCATCATCATCATCATCATCATCGTCGTCATCTTCTCGCAGAGTTCTGGATACTTATTCCGCTTGGTCTGTATTATTAGTAGCTTTTTGTTTTGCTGTTGTTCCTGTCTGCTGGTCCCTTGACTTGCTTCCTTGTTTTCTTATTTCCTCCCTCATTATCTTACTTTCTTCATATTCTCTCGTTTCCCATCTCCCAACTCTATCGTTCATTACCCCTTTCTTCATCCCAATTGCTGTTGCTTGTGGGCATCTATATTCTCGCGTGTCCGCCGTCAGGCAGACACGCCTGCTGAACCATGTTCCGCAGAAAGAGGAGCGCTTCTCAACACCACGTAAGTCTATTCTATCCATCTCTGTCTATCGCAAAAATTACTTATTCTCACCTATTCAGCATCCGCTCTCGACCTACTCCACTCAATCCGCGCAGTCCGCTGCGACACATGCCTTTCTCAAATCCAAACCCTCGTCGAGTAGCCTTTCCTCCGCCGCAGCGGCTGCAGCCCTGCGCAGTTCGACGCCTACTCCGATCTCTGTCGAAAATGTCCAGACCAAGCGGATGCTCCAGCGACAGGCGTCAGTCTCGTCGCAGCTTGGGCGCTCCCCCAGCTCTCGCCCGGCGAGTCGGAATAGCTTGCGTCGCGCCAACAGCTCTGGCTCGATGAGCGCCCGAACATTTCGAGATCAGTCGCCTCGCCGACCATCCTCCAGTTACGCGCCTGCAGCTGTTGCGCCCCCTCTTCCGTTGATTCCGCCGAAATTTGCTTCACGGAGGAGCCAAACTCGACGTTCAGTTAGCTTGGGCCCAGAGATCTGGTTATCGCAGTCGGCGGTGCATGGGACGGAGCGTGCGATCGGCGCCGGCCAGGGAATCGATGAGCCTGGTAGCCCTCAGTCTGTCCATGGCTTCGGAAGGGATACGGCTTCTCCAGAACACCAAAGGTCAGGGAGCAGGAATTCGATCAATTTCTCCTATCCGATGAATTCCCGCACCAACTCCCCAACCTTGCCCCCCGGAGTTTCCGATCGACGAGATTCGGCGATCGTCGCAACCCGAACAGGCCATACCCCGTCTCCGAATATCCCCCCTTCTAAGGACTCCGTCGCCCAGTCAAACCCCAAATCTACTCGACAACCATCTCGAGGGACAACCCCAGGCAGCCCTGGGCGCAGCCCTCGCCCTGTTGGAACTGCTGTTCTAGCTGCGCAAGTTGCCTCTCGACATGATGAGCCTAACACTTCACCCGCTACTTCTCCCCGTGGGGTACGTTATCGGGATCAGACGGCTTTCGAACGATCTCCTAGCCAGAGCCCTGCGTCTGTAGACCGTCGATCGCGCCATACCCAAAGCTTGGTCAAACGCCCATCCACGGTTGTGGAAAACCGCCAGGCTGAGGAGAATCAAGAACTAAAGTCCCCCAGGGAACATGAAGAACATGTACCTATTATGAAAAGCTTTCCGGAGGAACCTCCCAGGGCGAAAACGCCGCCTATCCTTGAGGGTCCACCAGAGTTATTACAAACGCCTCCCGTTAGCCCCTCGGAATCGAACCTTTCGGTCGACCTGGACCAGCCAGCTCATCTGCGTCACTCGAACAGTCCAGGAAGAATGACTCGCTTTTCCACCCAACTCTCCGTGATGAATTTCGCTGGTGAACACTTGCACCAGCCTCCTGCTCGGTCGGTGTCTCCAGCGAAGTCTGCCCTGAAGAATCCAAGGAAAAGCTCCCTCTCTCCCGACGGTCGAATCTATGGGATTTTGCGGCCCGGTCCGCCCCTGAGTGAGATCTCCGACGCAACATCCGTCGCATCTGATGACGGGGCACGACCGAACTACCGAAGGAGACCTGTCAAGGTCAGTTTTGATGATGAAGCGGAGGTCGTTGGAATCGCTGCAAGTCCACCAACATCGCCAGAGGATGTCGTTCCCGAGCCACCTTCTGGAAAGTCCAAAGAAAAAGCGGCGTGGTTTGGTCTCGATAAAAGAAAGTCTCATCCCTTGCGTTCAGTCGAAGTAGATGAGTTTGATGGAGTTCTGAAGCCTTGCCCAGCTCTCCCATCTTTTGGCAGCATTCGAGGCGGTAGGGATAGTGCACAGCGAGAGATAATCCACCGGGATCTAAGTGACAACGAGTCGACTGCCTCGTCTGAGTTGAACATGGGAGTTCCAAGTTGGTCTTTCTCGAGTGACCATACCTTGGGAAATATCATCCCTCGCGCAACGCCAGATGGCCTTCAACAACAACAACAACAAGACCGTGTTGACAACACACAGCCACCTGCTCATGCGGAACCGATTTTTTTGACGGAAGCTTATGTCGAGAGTCAAAAGGAAAATATTCCGGTAGGGAAACCAGCCCTGCAGGCTTTACACGTCCACAAAACGCTGGAATCGTCATCGTTGGAGGTCCGGTCTGAGCAACACCACGTGCTTCCCTCCAATTCAAATTTGGCTGTGCCAAACATTATGGTTCAACCGGCCACGCCACAACTTGAAAAGGGACGACTGAGCCTTGAGATCTATGATGTTCCAGGCGGCTTCCCGCGGTCATCTATAGATTTTGAGTCTCAAAAGAACAACGGGAGACGGCCTTACGGAAGTACGAAAGGAGACTCTACTGCGGGTGTTGATCATGGGGATAGTGATGATGAATCGAGTGAGAGTATCTACAGCGATGCAGAGGAAGATTTGAAAGGCGATGGATTCGGCTCTATCAATGCTATTCTGGGCCCCGAAACAGCTCCCCCCCAATCGGCGGAATCAGAGCATGAATTCGCAGCTCACCCCCCGGCCGAAATTGAAGCGAAAAAGCTCGAACAGAAGGCTCCAGGATCTGAAATTCCAGAGACCTGCCGAATCGCACAGGTGGTAACCCCCGTGCCCAGAGTCTCCAGTCCTCCAGCCCCCAACTCTCCAGATTCCTCAGATGAGCCCCTTCCATTTTCTTCGCCGTATCCCCCGTTTCCCATCCGGCCCAGAGCGAAGAAGAACTCGCAGGGGATGCCCCGTTCCTCAACAATGCCAGTCAATTCCACCAAGGGCCCAATGGCAGTAGAGATCCATACCATCGCCAAGGTGCGGGATCCGGCTCAATTTCAGGGAAGGAACCCACAGTCTTCTAGGGCCGAGGCAGATGCCTCTCAACTGCCTCAGGGTCCCGGACAGAACAAGGAACGACCAGCCTCTTGGGCCGGAGCCCTCCGAAATGGAGGTTCATACCCAACCGGCGGTGAACAGGATATGGACACGAGAAGCGCTCGCAAACCCCGAAGACAGCTTTCGAACGGCAGCGACTCATCGAGTAGCTTCAAACGATCCGCCCGTCCTGCTAAAGGGGATGGTATGCGCTGGACTCTGCGAGGAGGTCAACCAAGTAACCGAACGTCAGCTTCCCCTACCGAAACCAGAACCTTCTCTTCAGGAATGGGCGGCGCAGGCACAGGGAACATGCGCAGCACACTGCGTGGTAGTGTGCATCGACGTGACAAGTCATCATTCTTCTCTACGGGCAAGTCCCCAAAGGGGAAGTTTGCCAAAGACACCAGAATCCCATTTACCTCCCGATTCCCTGACTCAGAGTCAGATTCGGATGGCGGGGGATTCCAGGCTCGAAGACTTCATCGACGCAAGAATACAATGAGTGACGATGATATGCGTCCTGTTCGAGGTATTCCACGCCGTAGAGGCGCCCATGATGGGGACTCGACTGAGCTAGAAGATAGCTCAGATGGCGAACGGCATATATCTGCAAGGCCTAGAGCGGATGCACGTCAGCCCAACCGCACCGGCACCGTTCGAGACCCTGCCCTGGCTGCAGTGGCTAAATCGCGCGGCATGACTGAGGAGGAGCTGGAGGACTTGCTTAAGCGCGGCAGCCCACGCAAGCCGGGACTGCTCCACCGTTTCAGTATGAAAAAATCCAAGCCACCAGGCGAACGCGGGAAACTCCAGTTTGATGAGTCTCAGAGCGGTACAATTCCGGAGCAGCATGCCGTGATGGATGGAACCTACGGGACAAGCGTCCGCAAGGCTTCGATGCCCGCAGATTCGCACAGGCTCCTGAAGAAGACATCTCAGAAATCTTCTGGCGGTGATACCTGGCCTCTTCGCTCCGACCGTGGAAATGCCGCGACCGGGGCCAGCACCGCTGCACCCGCGAGTCACCAGCCCCCACGACCCCAGACGTCTGATGGGGTTGCTATAAATGGCAACGACAAGGCTGGTGCAGCTCCGCCTGCTTTTGAACATCCCGGTACTCCCCAAAGCCCTCTCAGTGCCGACCAATCCCCAGCGAACGATAGCGGCAACTATGCTTCAGAAGTAACAATTGAAGCATCTGGGCGAAAGAAGCGATTCCAACGGTTCCGCAAGGCTTTTAACCTTCGCGGATAAATAACGAACAACCAATATCTTGTGATATTACATGATCTGATGCTATTTATGCTTTCTCTTCTAGACTTTCTTTTTCTTCAGATATATGTTTAATGTCTGTTGTATTACGATCTCTGATCCTGATCATAATTCTAATCTAGGGCGGCTGCTGTCTGGGACGGCACGACATTTTCTTCACCATAACATGATAGGTGATGGCATTTGAACCTTCATTCTTTGTTGAATATTATTGATACCCTCGTTTAATGGGCCAATCCGTGACCGCATTATGCAATATACGGACCCAAAAATTGTGATGTGTTTGGGTTTAAGCAGGAGCTATGCATTATTATTGCATGTTGCTCTCTTCGAGTCCCAATTCTTCCTCTTTATATGGGAATTGAGGGACTGAGCAATGATTGATGGATACGATAGAATGGGGGCTTGAGATAGTTGTGTCTTAATAGTTAGTATATGATGTGGCTAATAATGCAGCGTGGACTAGTTAGTTGATCTTATTCTCTTGGTCTTGGTATTACCTGTAAGATATACGGAATACGGAGTACCTTGTGATTTATTCCGAAAGGAAGGACCAGATTAATGATCTTGGGTCTTGCTGTATTATTGTCTGAGTGAGCTTGGGGGGGGGGGTTGGCAGCGCAACAACCTCGGGATAGAGGAGTCACTCTCCACTCCGATCGATGGATCGACTCCACACGGCAACCCAGCGGACAGCCAGCCACGGTTTTTTCTCAGGGATCTGGAGTGATTTCCAAATTTCTGGACGGTTGGTATAATGGGGAAAGAGTTTGGATATCTGGAAGTCCAAAAGTTGGACAAATCAAGTCAAGTTTCTCGGGCACAGAAAAGAAAAGAAAAAAAAAAAAGTAAGAGGTTGGAAGCTCCTCACCGAATCTTACTAGCAAGCTGCACGGAGCATGCTGATTTCTGAATCCAGAGCAATCATTTTGGAGCTCCGGTAGTAGAGTGGAGTCGGAAGCTGGGAGAGACTCAGAGAGGGGGGGTTGGGGAAGACCGTAAGATGAGAAACACCAGCAACCGAAGGAAGGGACGAAGCCCCCCCCCCAACTTCCACTATTGAATGAGCATCAATGATCTGATGAGTCTGGTTTCAGATAAGCTGCTATGTACGGAGTACGGAGCAGGTATTTTTGAACGGATTGGAGTTCAGCCGAGACTCGTGAAGATTTTTTTAATTTTTTTTTTTTGGAGAATTTGGGCAATTGGAGCGAGCAATAGTGGGCTCACTACCCCGTGCACAGTGTAGCATCGAGGAATCAGGATGCAAGAAGCTGACCAGTGTGTCGATCTTGTGTGAGAAGCTCAACACGCCAAGGGACCCAGACGCCCGATTCGACCCGGGGATAGATGAGATGTTGCTATGGCGATGTGGCTGGGAGAAGCTGAGATCGGTGATTAAACCTGGGCGATGGTGATAGTTACATGACGGTCCACCGTCTGACTGGAGGATCCATGCGACGGAGTACTCCGTATTCTAATGGAGCTGGTGGTGGGTTTAGTCGTAATACACAATGGGCGTGATGTGATGGTAACCACGTATATAAAATAAAATACCTTGAGATCGGTTAACAAAGATCAAGAGGAAGAAAGGATGGCAGGTGATAAGTACTCCGTACCTCGGAGGAATATCACAGACATACATCAATCCTCATTTCACAACCATGGTACCTCTTCTGAGTTGCAAGTGTAGCTAATGTATGTACTCTCTCGAGAGAGTTCAGATAGTCGTAAATAATGAGAGAGGCTGGAAGTCCCCAGATTAGGAAAAGCGCGGTAAACAAACGCGTGTCAACAACAACATCGACTGCATCTTAAATGACGGCGTCCAGTCCCCATCCAGCTCACATCTCTTCCTCTTCTCTTCCCTCTCCTCCCTCTTTCTCGATACATCTCTATCTCCATCGTCTATCCTCACATTCTGAAGGCTTCATTAAGCTTATCTCACATTCCTCCTCCTGCTTCTGGAATTCTCCACAGAACCAGTATCATAGATCTATCAGAATAGATCTATCTGCCCCTCTTGAGGTTCCTGCGAGAAAGACTTCCCCCGAGAAAAGTCTTTTCTTGTCTCGCCTTTCGAGTTGTTTCTTAACAGTTCGGAAGGGATTCGAGAAAAGACGCTCCAAGGACAGCCAATCTGGACTTTGACGCTCGCGTCCCCATCCCGTTCAGTGTCTTCCCGTCGTCGTACCGGAGTGACGCTGTTCCTCAGACTACTCTTGTCACTGAGAGAGTAGAGGGAGAAGTCCAACTCGATAGTCATTCGCGCGTCGAACGGGAAGATACTCGAACCTCGGCGCCTCTCCCTGACCCGCGTGTCTACGGAAAGGAAGAAGTCGATCGTCAGTTCGAACGCCGCTCAACTCGCCCCGGTGTGGTGGACGATTTTACCGTTGTCGCTGACCAACGAGTGAACGAACGCGTGGACGAACGGGTTCAATCCTCCCAGCCCGACTATCCCCAGGTAGATCTTGCTCGCGAACGGTACGTATTTGCAGGGTTCGGTACTTTTTTTTTAAATCATTTTTTTGGATGTTTTCTTTTTTTTTGGCCCACCAACTTCGCTTTGTTTTGATTTTGCCTTTTTTTTTTTTCCCTTTGTTTACATTGATACTGGACCTGTATCTGCTGGAGCCTGGGATTAGCTCCCAATGAAACTGCCCAAGTGGAGAGCCCAAGCAGCGGTGTCACCCAGTTGCATCCCAACCACCGCTCCCCAGTGGCTTCAGCTCTTCGGGGCTAGAGGGATCTAGTTCGTCCACTAAGTTACGTGGCACCAAAACAAACAAATCCTATTGTGATTTTTTTCCCTCACGACTCGCATCCTCCCCAGCCTCTCTCACCGTCCCCCTCCCCCCAGCCCCAAATAAAAACATCCAATCATACCCGCTTTTCTTTCTTCCCTCGCGTCTCCTCTTCCTCCCGTGGCCTTTGTTTACTTCCCTATTGCATAGCCTTTGCCTTGCTGTCACTTGTTTTGTCTGACTCTACCTCAGCTACCGCGAACCTTCTTCTGCACCTCGCTTCCAAAAACGCGTGCAGACCTACGATAACGCCCTCGAGTCCCAGCTTGATATCACTGAGCGTGACTATCGTCGTCGTGTGGACCCAACCTACGACGTCTCTCACAATCGCCGTTACCAAGCTCCCGTAGATTCCTACCAAGCTTCCCGTCAACAGAGCAACGACGTCTCTTACAGTCGTTCCACTGCTCAGGTCGATACCTCGTACGACCGTTCCTTCGAGTCTCGTCCCCTCGACGTCCCCAAGCAAGGCTCCTACAAAGACCGTCAGGTTACCGTAGAGTCCTTCAAGTCTACTCCTTCGACCTCGCAGGTTAAGGTTCTCAAGAGCACTACTGTAGTTGATCACCCTCCCGCTCGCAAGATGGGTTACTACGACGACGACGGTAATTACCACTCCTTCCGCCGCGGTGTGGAGCGTGCTGCCGACCGCGTTCTCCATCCCTTTACTCATCGTCATCATCACGATGCTGTTGTTGCACGCGAGGAAATTGTGGCTGACGATCGCGGTCCAGTTCGTTTCAGTGAAGGTGTCCGTGAGGAGGTTCGTATCGTCGAGCCTCGTGGCGGTTCCTCCTCAGCCGAGACGGTCCCAATTCCCTGCCACTTCATCCGCATTGGCGACATCCTGATCCTCCAGGGCCGTCCCTGCCAGGTGATCCGCATCTCCGTCTCTCCCCAGACCGGCCAGCACCGCTATCTCGGTGTCGACCTCTTCACCCGTGAACTCCAGGAAGAGTCCAGCTTCGTCTCCAACCCCTCGCCCTCGGTTGTTGTCCAGACCATGCTCGGTCCCGTCTACAAGACCTACCGCATCCTGGATATCCGCAACAACGGCCTCGTTGCCATGACCGATACCGGTGATGTTAAGCAGGATATTCCCGTCATCACCCAGGGCAACCTTTTCCGCCGCATCCGTGAAGCCTTCCAGGAGGGCCACGGCAGCGTCCGTGCTCTGGTTATTAACGATGGTGGTCGCGAACTGGTGGTCGACTTCAAGGTCATCCACTCTTCCCGTCTGTAAATCATTTACCTGGATTGGTTTAGTCTTGTTTTCGTTTTTCCGGATCTAGCTCTCCTTTCCCGCCTTTCCTTTTTTGGAAAGGAGCTAAGGGCGCTTCCCAGACTCCGCTGACGTCATACATCAACCCCAACCAAAACTGCTTTTTTTTTTTTTTATTTGCAACCACTATTATTTTCCCGGTTTTTAGTTTTCAATTTTTTTTTTTTTTCCTCTCTCTCTCTCTCTCTCTAGCACCAGCACCAGCGAACGATCATTGACGACTTGAGAAACCTTTTGTATCTGACATGGGATTATGCAACGATGGGAATGCGCCTGTTTCGAAAATTGTTGGACGATGAAATCAATCAATTCAATCCACTTGGTATCATCGGCCTCTGTATCTAGCAATCATAATGGAATTTGGGATGTTTGATTTGCACTTTTTGACTCAACGTAGCCGAGTTTCTTTCTGGAACTGCATTCTTTCATCTATTTATTATCTCCGTACTTGTACATCCTAACTGACCAACGGTTCAATCTACCTGGCCTACCTACCCGATACCTACAAACATATAACTATATTATAATATATATATATTTCAAGACACACTGACAGTAAATAGAAATGAACCTCTGTATTTCTTTACTTCCAACCTATCCTACCTATACTATCTATGTACTACACCTCCATCAGGACTCTGCATAGTAGGGTAGTGTGTCCACGCTTAATATACTTGCAAGTTTGGAATTCACTGTTTGTGGGCCTGAGATTATTCCCCAGGTATATATATCGATATCGATATATGTAGAATCCAAGTAACTACCTACCTACTCTGTAGATAGTACCTGGTACAGTACGGAGTAAGAGAATAGAAGGCAAGATCTTATCTTCGTATCTTATTTACGTACGTACGTACGTACGTACGTATGAGATTGATTTATGTATTCATTCATTTCTAGCCACAATAGTAAACACCATTTGAGCACACCGGAGAACGCCAACCATATGGAACATGGGAAGTAAAAAAAAAAAAAAAAAAAAAAAAAAAAAGGACAGAGTTGAGTAGAATCAAAGCAAACCGCCCAGATACAGAGGGGAAACAAACAAATTCATCCAAGTAGTATTTCATATTATGAGAATCCCGGATGCCGTCCGTACACAACATAATCGAGACACACAAGAAGTGCAAGAATACTTTCGAGGGAAAAGCACAAGCAATAATGATGATGGAGAAACCGAGTTCGAAGTTTAATATACCGGATTTGAGAAGAAGGGGGAAAATCAAGTATGGATGGGATCCAAGTTCAATTTGAGCCAACGCCGTATCATGACAGGACGACCGTAGCAAATCGTGGTGAAGAAGTCTGCGAAGAGTCAAGCAAAAAAAGGTTTCGAGGTTCAAAGAAGAAGGGGAGGAAGAAGAAAAAGAAGGAGAAAAAGGAGAAAGATAAAAGTGTATGAATACCGCTGTACTCTCGAAACGCCGTATCCGATTCCGTGTAAGATGTTTGCTCCAGAAGCCATATATTATACATGCCCACCATGTTGGGACGTTTAGGGTATCGTACGCATCGCAGGTCTCCCGAATGGAAAGAGATTGTTTTTGCAAAATAAAAGTTCACGTGGCTGAAAAACGCATTCCGTGGCCGGTGTCTAGTCACCGTTCCCCGAACTTGCCATATTCTTGCTGCCACTTGAGGAGATGGCGAGTAAGCACGTCCATCATTTCAACACTGCTCAGGTCCTTGAAGTCTTTCTCTGTCGGTAATAGTTGGACGGGCAAAGAGATGATATCACTGGGAAGCTGCCCAGACCCTGCTGTGACCGTGTTGGAGGGCTCGCCCTCGGATTGCTCTCCTGCACCCCTTGGGGTAGTTCCATTTGGTCGTTCGCCATTCCCCGGAGGAGTTGTACTCTCTCCCGCAACGGCCATTTCGACCTGCATCCGCGAGATGAACTCAAGAATGGCTGCTACACGTCTCTTCATCTCGTTCATCGTCGTCCGTTGATTCACGTAACGAGGTCGGCTCGGCCTCCCAGTATCCGTGCCATTTACAGGAGTTCCGGCAGAGCCGACTCTGGGTGAGTCTCCACCTGTATCAAGTGATTGCCCTCGTCGCGGGGAGTTACCCGCGTTCGAATCTGTTCCATTGACATCACGATCGCGGGTGTATTGATTCCGTCCCACTCGGCCACCCCGACGCGCAGGTGGCCGTCCGGATTTGCGTGTGGACGGACGGGGCGGTGCAGGTTCTGGAGCAGCGACGGAGGTCTCAGGGCTTGGTTGTGGAGGCTCCGGTTCGTTCGCCGCAGGCTTTGTCGGGGACTCCATCTCGTGATCTGAATCGACTCCTTTGGGCATCATTAGCTGGAACGCCGCGACCCCGGGCAGAAAATAGGAGGAGGCATGGATGGTTTCAAGACTTACCATCGCCCTTCCGTTTGTCACTTCTTCCTTTCCTCCGGTTTGTAGTATCGGTCTGTTCTGATTCAGGGTCCTCCGGATCCTTTACATCCTTGTCGCGCTGTCCACGGGAGGCAGCCCTCTGTCTCCTAGTACCGTTGGTGATTGCTTTTGCTTTCGATTCGTCATCCGACGCCGGGGGGGAGGCCGGATTGCTTTGCTTTGAGTTGATCTCGGGCGATGGTGAGCTTGTACGTGGTCGCTTTGCGGCTTGTCTGTGTCTGCGTTGGCTGAAGTGTTAGCAATGAATCTTTTGTGGTCAAGCTTGCGCCTTTTCATGCTTAGCTTACGCTTCACTGTCACTTCGGCTTCTCTTAGGGCGCTGGGCTGCGGGATCGTCGACGGGGCTAGTCTTGTTATCTTCCTTGCTTTCCTCGATCGCGCGTCGCAGCTGTTCTTCCTCATCGTAGGCTGCGTCCCGACTGTTCATGGTAGACCGACGCTTAGGGTTGGCATTCGGATCGTTCTGTCGCGGTCTTTGGTCCTTCGTGCGCTTTGAATTATCTCGCGAGGAGGCTCGGGAAGTGGCTGCTGAGGAAGGAGGAGGGGCGACGGGGAGGTACGTAGATGAGAACTGCCTGTATGATCGTAAGCGAAATTGTCTCTTCTTGACAGGTTCGATAAAAGGATTTCTTTGTGTAAAACTCTGTAGGAATTATGGAGGGGTAATGGAACCAGGGCAAAGACAACAGAACAGGACTGAGAACAAGCTGAAAGAGCGCGCGGATTGGCGGCAATCAGAGGCAAGCATCCGGCCACTTTTGAAACAGCAAATCTGTTCATGCAAAGTGGAAGTGGGAATAAACCAGAAACATGAGAAAAAGCTTACCCATTTGGCTCATTTTTAATTCTGTGCAAGTCCTTTCGGCACTCTTCGCAGTAATATTCGTCGGGGCTCATGGCTTCATCCATAATCCCGACGCAGCCGCCATGCTGCCAGACCTTGCAGGAATCACATTGGATGAACATGCTGCCCATATCGTCTGACATCAGGTCCGACGGATCTGCAGATAAATTTAAGGAATTCTCATCCTTGATGGCACCTCGCGCACCATTGCGACCGAGGGCCTCGCGGCGAGAGGGGGGTAGGCCCGGGTATTCCTGTTGTCCGCAAAGACAGCGAGTGACCTCTTCTTCTTCTTCTTCTTCTTCTTCTTCGTCTTCTTCCACATCAGCATCCTCCCCATTTGCAATTTTGAGGTCGTTGTCCTCATCCCCTCGGGCGCGTTGACGTTGCCGCGTCTCGCGGAAATCGCTTTTATCCACATCGTCAATGGACTGGGATCGTTGGGTGGAGGATCCGTGAGGGGAGGGATTCTTGTGGTTTGACCTCGTGCTTCTTTCTCGAGTCATCGAGTTGGAAGAACTTGAAGAGTTTGTATGCTGAAGAATTGCTGGCGAGGGTTGGGAAGTTCGAGCACGAGAGGAGCGACGAGGCGTCGTCATAGTGGTGGCGGACGGAGGGTTTTTAGGTAGTTGGATAAGAATATGAAAAAAAAAAAAAAAATCGACACTGGTATAAGAACGACTGTGAAAACTAGAGATCCGAACCCTAGAAGAATAAATATAATTAAACAAAGCCAGCCGTGGAGCAGAAGCTGCTCGTAGGCGAGCTGTCGCAGACGGATTGGAGAAGCTGGGGGTTTTTCGAGAGCGACTCGTACAAAACGGACAAAAAAAAGAAGTGACGCAGGGGAGGAGAAAAAAAAGGAGCAAGATATCCTGCGGCAATTGAGGGGGAAATGACGAGAAGATCCAGATCGAGCTCAAACCATGGCCGGGGACTACATAGTAATAGGTGGATTTGGGAGAGGGGTTGGAGGAAGCAAAAGAGAGGAGGGAAAAAGAGCGAAGAGACCGGCGGATATGAGAAAGAGAGAGAGAGAGAGAGAGACGGAACGGGCTTCAATTTCTCCTCTTTGCGGCCAACAGATCTTGTATTGGCCCGTTACTGCTTTCCCCGCTTCAGTCTCTTCTCTCTCTCTCTTGCAACTTAACTTTTAAGCTCCTTGAACTTTTACTCTTACTCTTTTCTCTCATTGTGAAGAAAAGAGTTGGATCATATTATCCTATCTCGTTCAGGTATGTTTTCCCCTTCATTCCTCAGTAAAACCCCGCTTACCCACCAAGTAGGATCCAGTTAACCCCTCTCCCTCTCATATCCTCCGAAATCATTCAGTAATGATCGTTTCTTTGGGGTTCTAACTCGAATGAGGTCCATTTCTCGTGCTGCTTTACAGGATCGTTGGGAATCCGGCTCGGATCAGCTCCAGACCCAGCGCCAGACCCTATAGCTACACCTCTGCTCAGATATTGCTCCTCCCGATTACAGTCCTTGTTCTCGGTAGCGGAATCCGCTCAATATCGATTGCGATATATCTTTTGAGTGTGGACTGGTTGAGACGTAGGGCTAGGATAGTCTACAGGCTGGATTTTGAGCATCACTCTCAATTAGACGTATACAGGGAGGATATATATTGATGTATATATATATAGAAGATTGGGAAATACCCGAACACATCCAGATATCATCCCAGGAATTGCAGAGGGCATTGTAGAATAGATATCTCGAGAAATTAATGTCGGAGATGACTCGGCAGCCAACTCGGAACAGCTGGATAGCCTCAGGCTACAAGGCAGGGGCAGCTCCCAAAAAGGAAACGAAGAGATTTGAAAAGAAGTTCAGCAACAACTCGGGCTTCAACATCACATCCTCTCCTTCAACACTCTCGCTTTCCTCGCTTTCATCTCTTCTACTCCTTCTTGTATCCTTACCACTTCACCCCTCCTTCATCCCCATCTCTCTCCGCTCCTTTCCTTCCCTATTCTCTCTTCTTTCCTCCTCCCCCCTCCGTTCTCTTCAACCCACCGCCTCCCACATCCATCCATCCATCCCTCTTTGGGACTTCATTGATTCGTCTGAGTGTCCTCTCGTTTCCGCTTTATTTGTCAGGTGCCGATCGGGTGTCGTTTTCTCCTTCCAAAAACGTTTGCTTGGGGAATGGTACTGGCAGAAGTTCATTTTCGTAAGTCCCCTGCTCCGTCCTGATCCCTTTTCGTTTTTTGATTCCCTTTTTCCTTCGGTTCCGAGAGTGGGTGCAAATACGAGCTGTCGGTATTTCCCCCGGCTCTGGCGTCTCGTGGATCTCTGGAGTTGGGATGCTATTTCCCTCCGAATGGTGCCCTCCCAGTTGGCCAATGTTGAAACCAGCCCAACTGACTCTTTCTGTGTGTGTGTGCATGGCATATCTAGGATTTCCCTCTGCCCTCCCTCCCCTCCCTACGTATCGGCCTTGTCCAGGCGTCCGCCCCCCCCCCCCAACCTTATTAGATAATATTTGAAGTGGGTTACAGCGAAGTAAGATATTAGGAGTATCGTCCAAGTTTGGGGGGAAAATAATCGAAAAAGAAGAACAAGGCAAGCAGAGGATCGGAGAATAAATTGTGGACACCGTCGGGCTGGGTTACAGGAGACACCAAGGGCCATTTTGGCTGTGGATGTGGAGGTTAAGACAGCCGATAATTTTTGCATAATGACTGCTACGCTGAGTATGTCCTCTCCACCAAGGATACGGTGATTTCTCTGCAACATGGCATCTGGTCTGGAAGCATGGAATTCGCACAGCATCCCCCCACAGGTTGGATGGCAGACTTCCGAGAGAGCCAAGGACGGGAGAAGAAAGCCAGAAAGAGGGGGTCTGCTGGTCGTTCAGTTACTGATACTGCCCTCCTGCAGATGGGATGTTTAATTCGGCCCCGGATACACCGTCCCCAGTTTATCCCGACAGACTGATTCGTCCCCTGCCCAAGCGTACCCTTCGCTCTCGCTTGTCCTCCGAGGCGGCCGATTCGATCTTCTACCCTCCCGCTCCGCCAGCAACGCAGCTCTTTTACGGAGCTTGTGCGACTACTGGAGATGATATAAACGACTCGAAAGTATACGTTCAGCAGAGCGACGGTCGTGATCACAGCCCCGATCGAGATCACCACCATCCTCCGTATGACAATGGCGTTGATCTAGACAGCGGTGAGGAGGACGGTCCGGTGGTTGTTCGTCGGAGTGCCGGTTTTCGTGGGTCGTCCCTGTCTCCGTCGACTTCCAGTGTGCAACCACAGACTCTCCCCAGCGGGAAGGAGCAACCGATCAAGCTGTCTTCGGCAGGTCCAGACGGGTACGATGCCTTCGAAAACACTAACAACAAGAAGAAGCGCAAAATCCCAACCCCAGGAAATTTGGGTGGCCATCATTCCTCTCTCTCGCCAGAATTTTCAAATATGGGGCTGTCGAACTCTGCTCAAACCTCTTCCATATCTCCTACTGAAGGCACCCACGTGAGTACATTTTATGGCACAGGAAGCCCCGCATCTCCAGTAGGCAGTGGGATATCGGGCGCGGGAAGAGGTCGCCTTGGACGCCAATCTCGCAACACGGGAAGACAGTCTTTGTCGGGACATGGTCAAGTCACCTGGTCACACAGTCGTCGCGACGGGCTGATGTCTTCCCCGGGTCCGACGGGTACGTTCCTCTTCTTCTTTTTTTTGGGGGGGGGGGTATCTCTATTTCTGCCTAGAGTGAAATTGACTGACACCACACAAGGGGAGAGCACCGAAACGCAAAGCCAGGGCATTATCTCCGCAGCTATCGCTAATGCTGCAGCTTCAGTGTTCGCCTCGCCTTCCCAAGTTCCGAACAAAGGCAGTGTTGTCGACCAGCAGGCGACAACACCCACGAAAACTCAATTCACTTTCACATGCGAGTCCGACTCATCCAAAGGAATGGCGTTACACGCACAGAATCCGTATTCGGTACCCCACCGCTCACCAGGCACTCACCCTCAGGCAGGACAATCACGGGGATTTACTACGCAAGGGACACAGACGAGTCCTAATAATGTTGCTCCGCAGCTAGGCCAGCAAGCAAATACTTACCAGCAGCCGCAGCCGCAACCAGGAGCTCCCGTGGCCGATCAAGCAAGCACGGGAAGGAAGAAAAAGAGGTCGCCGGGGAGTCTTTATGCTTTGGCAGCGCGTCAGCGGAAGATCCAACAGCAGTATGCCAACCTTCACCATCCACCCAGCCTGGAAGACATCTGGATCTGCGAGTTTTGTGAATACGAGAGCATCTTTGGTCGCCCACCAGAAGCTCTCATTCGACAGTACGAGATCAAGGACAGAAAAGAGCGTAAGCGACTAGCGGAGAAGAAGCGGCTACTAGAGAAGGCCAAGATGAAGGGGCGGAAGAATAAGAAGGCAACAAAAAACGCATCAAAGCATGCAGCGGCCCAACATGCAGCATACGATCCGGGGTACGACCGGGCATCTGTCGATCACTCTTCCCTCGGAGGGGGATCGGGGGCGCTTCACGACGATGAGTATTTGGGGACAGAGTATGATGACGACGTGGGGGCAGCCATTCCACCATCTGTTCCTCCAGGAACGTTCAAACCACCGCTCCCTCCCGGGAGTGCGACCAAGAAAATGACGACGAGTGCTTCGAGCGGCCAGGGAGCGGTGGAAGGAGGGATGGAACCTCCCTGACATCTTGGTTCCATGAGTCTTGGGTGCACCCTTTGTGTCGCGACCGTCCTTGTTCGTTGTTTAGTTTATCTGGTTTTGGTCTTTGCATGGCCCGAGTTGTTTTAGCCCTTTGTCTATTATTCCGTATCCACGAATCCCCGCTCCAATAGTCTCTTTTAATGAGTGTCACGTCAATGGTAAAAACTTTTTACATATGCAACCGCTCAGGTGGCAACTCTTCATTACTGGTTGGCGCGTACCTAGTATGGTGGAGAAATAGTCTCAGGAGATAGGTAGAGATCAGGTCTATGAATAGGACACTAAATCTCGATCCCGATTCTATAAATGGCCGTCCCTGTCGACTAAACCCGGCGTAGGGATGGTAGTTTGATGATTCCCATCCAGTGGATTGCATCTACGCAGAGGCACCCGCGACGGCGCTTCGAGGGCCGCTGCAGAATTGGCGCGCGCGAACTACAAACGGGTGATCTGTTTCAGGAAGATCCCTGAACAAAGAATCAGTGGCTGTAGGTGAAGAATGAGAATTGCTATCCTTGGATACTTTAGCTCTTTACGAGGGATTCTAAGGCCGTAGGGGTAGAACAATAGAGAGATATAAAGACAAGGACGTACGTGCATCAATGAGCCATTCACAACCTCATCATTCATTCAATCACCAGTATTTTCTTTATTCCTTCTATTTCTTTTCTGTTTCTTTGCTGCATCCCCAGAAAGATATATCTAATCCTTGATTGCGCTGGCGCGCACCTCTATATCACACACACACACACACCACTGTTCTATCTATTTGCATCCTCTCCTCCGACTGAAGTAGGAACGACAATCTTTCTCTCTCTCTCTTAACGATACCACCCCAGAAAGAAAGAAAGAAAGGGACAAAATGTGGTTCGTCCTCCTGAAAATCTTCCGATTCGGATACTCCGAAACCAAAAAACACCGGGCCAAGAAACAACAGCAGCAGCAACCACCATACCCCTACCCTTACCCTTACTACGCAGGACAGGAGGATCCCACCAGAGGACCAGGGCCAGGGCCAGGGACAGGAGCAAGCCCATACCCAAACCACTACTACTACCCCGCAAACCAAAGCTCCAGCAAGACAGGCGGCGGCGGCGGCGGCGCGCAATCCAAACGCGAGCAAGCCAGGTACCTCGTCACCTGCGCGCTCCGCGTCCTCCAGCTGGCCATGGGCCTCGCCGTGATAGGTCTCTACGCGCAAGAGATCAACGCCGCGCGGGCCGCCGCGAGCGGCACGAGCGGCACGGCGCACCGGCCGGCGCGCTGCGTGTTGGCCGAGACCACGGGCGTGCTTGCCTGCATGACGGCGACGGCGTGCTTGGGTCTTGAGGTGTGGTGGAAGAAGCGCGGGCGTGAGGGGCTGGGGCGGCGGGCGCGGGTGCAGATGCCGTTGTTTGCGTGGGAGGGGTTGCTGGTTGTGTTGTGGTTGGTTGTGTTTGGGGTGTTTGGGGCTGTGTATCTGGGGGCGAGGCATCGGGATAAGGAAAGTAGTGCGGGTGCGGATGCGGGTGCGGGTGCGGATGTCCTCGATGAGGGGATTCGACTGGTTCGGATGCGGAGGGCGGTTCGGGTGGATTTGGTGAATGTGTTGCTTTGGGCTGCCTCGGCGACTTGGAGTGGGTTGAGGTGGTGGAGGGGGAAATCTGCTGCTGCTGCTGCTGCTGCGAATTCTGGTTCTGATGTTGCTGCTGGTGCTGGTGCTGGTGCTGGGGAGGAGAAGGAGATGGTTTGATTTGATTTGTTTTTCTTTTTCTTTTTCTTATCCTCTCGTTTGTATTGTGTGGTTCTTTCTTTCCTCTACGTTCTTGTCTTGTTATACGCGGTTAGCTGGTCTACTATTGAAAGGGTGAAAGGGTGAAAGGTTGAAAGGTTGAAAGTCATTGCAATCGTTCATAATATGAGGTCACGCATTAATCATCTGACATCTCATCCGTCTCTTCATGTCTCTGCTTAATTAAAAAACCCAACTGACCCGGTCCTCGTGGTAGAGAAAGAGGTGACTGCGGGAAAAGTGCATTGCCTGCCCCTGACGGCGGCTGGCCGGTCAAAATACTAGAAGGAAACGGAGTCGGAGAGTGGTCCTCATGGCTGCCGGGGATCGAGGTGGCCACTGTCGACGCTTCGGTCTGCGACTCTCCTAGCCGCGACGGCGAGATCGTGTCATTTGTCCCCACGGTAGTGGCGGTTCCTATACCGAACGGCTCGGACCCCGGTTCAGCCAAGACAGGGTCGCCAAATGATGAGGACATCGCCTGGTAATACTGCTGTTCCTGGCGCTGGCGCTCAGCGAATCGGGTCCGGAAGTCCGTCTCAACGAGTGAAGACGCGGACGATTTGTAGTTTGCGGCGCAGAGATGTCTGCCGTCGAACAGGGGCTGGGCCGTAGCGGAAAAGTACCCCAGTGGTGGAAGATGCAGTCTGATGCTTTGTGGTGGAGCTGGGGCCTCTGTGTTGAGAAGGTCCTTGAGTTCAGCTAGGAACGTGGCGGTTAGTTCTCCTGGATCTTTGTTGGTGTCTGAGCTGGTTTCTATACCAAGTGGTGGTTAGACAGGTTAAGGAAGGACCTTTGGGAAGCTCGGTCCAGTAACTTACCTTCGCTTGGCTCATTTGTGGCATCGGGGCTTTGCGTCAACAGCTCTTCAGGGTGCTCGTCAATACGCTGGGGGGGGGGTGAGGGAACCGGAAGAGGTGAATGGGCGCGAGTCGAGCATCGGGTAGAACTAGCCACGGAAGACTGCTGCGACGACTTACGGCGCATGACCACCGGCCGACGCTTGGAGCCCTTTGCTTTGTTGGCCACGACAAACCCCTTCTTTTGGCCTTGGCGACTAACCCCGTCTCCGATCATGACTGGTCGAGAAGGAGGAACGGGGGTCGGCGGGTGAGAAGGATTACGAGTGACACTCCGTCCACCCAAGTCTGTCAGAAGCAGTCGAGTTGTCTTCTGAGACTCTCCGTGAGAGGAGCTAGTGCTGTGTTTCTTCAGTATGGGTGGCAGCGGCGCCTTGCCTGTGTTCCCGCTACTATTGGCGTGATCCGGTGGCTTTTCACGTTTGAAGCTGGGCAGTAGAGGCTCTGATTTCTGCGCCTAGAACAGGAGGTTAGCAATGAAGTGGTCTTCATTTTGGACTTTGCCCGCGCCCACCTTGGATTTCTGCGTGGGGGTCAATGAGCCAGGCTCTGATATGCGTAGAAACAAACGCGCGAGTGTCGACCCACGGATAGAACTGCTCAGACGATCACTACCCCAGATTCTCCAAAAGACGTTCTGCAACCGATATCCGGTGTCGCCTTCGAGAGCGGCTGGATTGATGCTGTATACTGGGAGAGAATGAGACATGTTTACATATTAAGAAGGGGGGGGGGGGGGGGGGGGGGGCAGAGCAGCGCGCACCTCTCCACAACCGCACGATATCCCCGATGTCCACGATTTCCATACCATCCAGCTCTGTTGAAAGATTTCCCGAGGTCGAAACCAGACCTCTCGGGAGGTTCTCCATAGTGGTGTGAGGTAGGATGCGACTGTATCAGAGCTTCAAAAGCGAGAGTAAAGGCACGTAAGGGGCATTGGCGAAGATGATCGGCGGGAAAACTACATGATCAAGAGAAAGGATCAAGAAGAAGTCCGGGATGGTAGATTCCCTGAAGGCGACGGTGAAGAGGTGGATTTGAGGAGTGGTCACAGAGCATAACAAACGCAGGGGGGGAACACAAGAGAAGTGCAATGAAAGTGAAGGATTGTGGATATCCTCTAAAAAAAAAAACAAAGAGAATTAACTGCAAGGGCAACAGCTGGTAAGCAGGATTTACTCCTGGGAATGACTGAATTCACTGAAGATAAATTCAGCCACAACCTGGGGGCAGTATAATACAAGATAAATCAACGAGAAATGATCTGGTGTGGTCCTTTGCTGCCTTATGCTGCCGAATCTTACCAATGCTGCCCAGTCCCGAGAGATCAGCTGAAAGAATAACTAATCAGAGGGAGCTGTAATTCTCAAAATAAAAGGCTGGGAAAGAGACCGAGAAACCAAAGAAAGAAGAGTGAAAGAAGAGTGAAAGAAGAGTAAAAGAAGAGTGAAAGAAGTGGAGGAAAGGTAAAGAGAACAAGCAGAGGCGTTCCAGCCAGATCCAGAATCCTGAGGAATCAAGCAGCAAATAGAATAGGGAATCTTTAACTGGTGTCATTACATTGTAGTTACTCCTGGTTCTCTTCTACAGTCCTCAGTTCTGCGTCGAACTGACTGCATCAGGGGTTGAATCCGCCAGGGCATCTCACATCCTTCACAAGCCCAACAACCAGCTCCAGGGTATCGGGATTCCCGTCACCGTGTTTTGGGATAGTTTACAGTGAGAGTCTCAGGGCTCGACTCGCAAGCTCTCCTCCGGTCTACGGAGACACATATGTATCACTATCCGCCCGTACCCAGCAGTGGATCAAGTACCCCGTGAAGAGAGGAGAAGATCACCAACTCCCGCTAATGATTGAGCTTCGAGCTATATATCGCCGCCTCCAGAAGACTCCTACTCTATACGGTAGGACTAGTGCTTCAAATCTGACAACCAAGATCGGATACCTTGTCATCCGTCACCTGGAGAATTGCAAGCCGATTGCCGGATGAAGAGCTCCGTACTGCTACTCCGTACTCCGTACACGTACAGGTACAGGTAAGCTTAGAGATGGATGACAAATACAGATTCACACCGAAGCACATCCATTGCATGTCCTCATTGGATCTGCTTTGCAGTCTTGCAGTCTCGTATCTTGTGAGTCGAGTGGTAGGCTCCGTACATTGTGTTATTTAGTACTGATGTACAACCAGTCACCAGACGACAGATGCGCAAACAAACCTCTCTGGTATTCGCTTGTGTCGTAGAATTCCAGGCCCAATGGGTTCGAAGGAAGATCCAGAATCCTTCCCCTGCAGGGGATCCCGGCGAATTAAAGGGGAGAGCCTAAAGCCTAGTCCCGCATTCAACAAGAGGTACGGTATACATAGCCAGCCAGTCACTTTCGTCGTGGACAGCACCCCCCTCTCCCACTTCCCGGGGGGGGGGGGGGAAGTGAATTGCGCAAGATCCCGGTTTCATTCGGCCTGGGTAATGGATGGATAGTATATCGTGGACGTGGCATCGGGGTGCTCCGGTCTCCGTTGGAGAGGGAACCGGTATCATCAGCCTTATCCGGGCGGCGGTATACGCGTTTCGATTATTTACACCATGTCTGCCCGGAAGATGAAGAGCAGCAAGATTGGACTAAAAAAGCCAAGATCGTCCCCGTCCAGCGTCACGGGTCCTCATCACCTGATGATCCATCCATCCATCCACACCTTGCAGGAAGTCATTGCGATATCTGAATTCCATCGAGACAAGAATCAGAACTATCACAAAGCCTATTCAGAGCTCGAATACTGTTCTACATTCTTATTATATACCTTACCGAGGTCGGTATTATACCAGAGCCCAACAAGACTGCTATCTATCAATAAATGCAGATCCAACAAGATGAAGTACCATATCCCAACCTATCTATCTGAAGCATGATATTAAGATTAAGATTCTTCTTGTTATGATTATCTGCGGTCCGAAATTCAATTCCAGGCAGTAGTATCCTTCACTCAAGCTTTCAGGTTGGACCCTAGACCGCTGAATTGGTGGCAAATCCGGTTGCAAAATTGTGTTTTTTTTTTTTTTTTTTTTTGAGTATCACGCTATTATGAGTAGTTAAGTAATTCGTACTCTGTAAGCAGGTGAGCTTATAGTTACTCCGTAACGAGGAAGGGTTATACTTGTGACTATTATCGATCTATCGCTCCCAGTAAAGAGGCAATGACATCATGCTACCTAGGTTATTATCACATGCAAACAACGTCCGACCGCACTTCTGTACTCCAGAACAAGTAATACAACCATGTTTTTCGCTTTTCACAAGAAATCCCGTAAAATCCGCTTCTCGAAATGTCAAAGATATTGTAATGCAACTCAATGGGTCTCTGGGACTGCATCGAGGAAGAAAGGAAATCGAAAAAGAAGCGACAAGAATCAGGGATGGGGGACCGCCAACGAACACAAAAAAAAAAAAAAAAAAAAAAAAAAGAGAAAAAGAAAATCAAGAACAAAATATCCTGTCTAGAATGCAACCCCATACATCATACCGAAGATTACAAGATAAAAAGAATAAAACTGACGGCAGATCCAAGGCCACTTGCTTAGGTCAGAGTGTAGCCACCGTCCACACGGAGATCAGCGCCAGTGATGTACTTGGAGGCGTCACTGAGGAGGAAAGTCACTGCTCCCATCAGATCTTCGGGCACACCCATCTTTCCAACCGGAATGAGCGAAATCCACTTGTCCCGCAGGTCAGGGTTCTCGTCCAGAATTTTGCGGGTCCTGAGCCTAATTAGCAGCCGCTTCCCCCCACAAGGAAAAAAAAATAAAATAAAATAAATGAATCCCCAAAGTACTTACAGAGCAGTGAGCATGTATCCGGGACTGATGCAGTTGACTCTGATGTCATGTCCCGCCCATTCGACGGCGAGGGAAGAGGCGAGGTGACGAACAGCGGCCTTAGCAGCGTTGTAAGGAGCTTGGGGCTGGGGAACGTTGACGATAGCACCGGACATGCTGCCAATCATGACAATGCTGCCGGGAACCTTACGCTCCATCAAATGCTTCGCGACCCCAGTGGCAAAAAGGTAGGTGCCATCCACATTCACCCCCCACAGCTTCTGCATGCGATCGTAGGGGTAGGAAATGGCATCGAAGTTTTCGGTGAAACCAGCAGAAGTGACCAGGTGGTCAATGCGGCCGTGCTTGGAGATGACATCGGCGAGGGCGTTGTTGACCGAGTCAGGGTTGGCAACATCAGCGTAGTGAGCAGTGACATTAGGGAGTCTATCGATAAAAAAAAAATCGTTAGTTTTTAAGGAAGGGGGGGGGGGGGGGGGGAATCAAGGTATTGCAAGAGAGACATACTCTTCGAGTCCAGGGTTTTCCTTCTGGAACTGCTCGACAAGCTTTTTAGCCTGATCCTCCGCTTCCTCCTCTGCAGAGCCATTAGCAATTGCATTCCAAAGCTGATTCAATAGCACATACTGTTCAAGTCCACAATGGCGAGATCAGAGCCGGATGCCACAATTGCTTGGGACATGACCAGGCCCAGACCACGGGCACCCCCGGTGACGAGGGTGACCTTGTTCTCCAACGAGAATTGAGCGAGAGTACGCTTGAAATGCATACCACCACGACCCTGGACAACAGGAGTCCGGGGCATGTTGGCATCATCGGGGTATTCAATCTTCACAGTCTCGTCGGTACGCGCATAGCGACCCTCCTGGTCTTCAGCCGTGCCATCCGGAGCCTTTGCATTCTTGTCATCTTTCTGGGCGCGAGGAGCGGTAGTTGAGAGGGGACGGAGGAAAGTGTTGGCCAACGCCTGTCGCGGAGTAGCAGCCAATGCAGCTGGGCGAGTAGCGCGGTTCAGAGCCCTGACGGCTTGACGGGCGACGGTGGGTTTGAACATGGTCGTTGTCTATGAGAGAAGGACAAGAAAGCACCAAAATTTCCAAGTGAAAAGTGATAGAATTGGAGTCTGGAGGGAAGGACAAGAACGGCCTTTTAAGAAGGGTGGAAAACGGACAGATCCCTCCTGGTCAAGGGGGGGGGGGAGGGATCTTTTAAAGGTGAATGAATGACCAGAGTCAGCAATTCCAGCAGGAATTCATAGGAGAGGTGAATGTGTCCACAAGGCGGCAAGAAAAAAAAAAACAATAAATAAAAAAAAGAAAAGTCAAAAAAGAAAAACCTTGAAGGAGCCAAGGAAGGAGAGCTGGGAATGTGAGAAGTACAGAGTATGCAAACGTGATGATTTACAGATTCCCTGGGCCAGACCCCAACCGCCATATAGCAATCTGACCAGGATCTTCTTGTCTCCGCGTGACTCTATTAATTTTGCATTACTTGGTGATCCTGTGATCCTTCCAAGGATCATCTATTTATAATGATTTATTTCCCCTGACTTTGGTTTATATTTATATTTCTCTCGCCACTCAGCATTGTCCCATCCGGATTCCACCACATCCTGTACAGTGGAGAAAACAGACCGACCCATCGGAACCACAGTTCATGGAGCACATACTTTCTTTGAACTTGGAACTAGCAAGTGATATTGCAATGCAGACATTGTTTCTCACCGTCTACTCCGTACACACCTCCTCTACCCAGGTCCAACTTGTACAACAGTCATCCACAGCAGCAAACTCGCGTTCTTTTCTGATATCATAGTGGACGGCTACACCGAGGTCAGAAAGTATATCGGTCTGTGTAAGAATGTATGATGTCAATGATTGCCACAAAGTAGATTAGATTCGATTCCGATAGTCTGTACTGTATTGTATCCCACATGCAATGATCCGGATCTCATTATCCAGATAAGCAAAGCATTAAATCTACTAGGACTACAACCCTACCTGGAGTCCCTCACTGCCTGTTGAACGGGTTAGGACTGCTGGTCCGCTATGGATAATACCTAGTACAAGGGCGATTCTAAGAAAGAAGTATGAATTCTCATTCACTACCCAATGTACTCCGTACTCCGTACGTCCTTGATATCATATTGACCTCGCGAAGAGTTCATCGGTTCCTCATTTGGAATCAAATATCAGGCCGTTCCTCGGGAATTCCTCCACGCTGAATCAGGTCTCCTCTGCAAACTCTACCAAAGGTGTTCCACTTTGACATTGGTCCTGCAAAGGCACACTCAAAGTTAGTCATCGTGAAAGTCACCAGGATGGGATACTCGAGCGCGGGGATTATGGAAGCCCAACGGAAAAAGCCATCGAAGACGACTGACACGGTCCGTGCAGGACCCGCGTCTGCATCAGGGGCTTCTCCTGAGCAAGCCTTAATCATTTAGGGGTCTTCGCCGTTTCAGAGTCCCTCTAACACCCCGGCTGCCGGGTCCCAAGGAAATTCAAGTCGCTAATCTAATAGTGGCAAGGATTTCAAATAAATGGCGCAAAGCATGGAGAAATAGAACAGGGATAATGATCAGGGGGAGGGAAAAAAAAAAAAAAAAAGGAACTGCGTGACCTACTCCTTTCTTGTGGACCACTTTTGCAATCTTTCCCTTCTGTGGGCTGCGAATAACCGTCTCCATCTTCATACTCTCAATCACCACTAGTGGCTGGTCCTTTTCCACCAGGTCACCCACTTGTACTTCCACGCGCAACACTTTGCACGGCATCGGCGCTAAAACACTATTTGTGACATCCTTCATCCCCAGCGCCTTTTCCATCCATTTGGCCCGAGGGATGGTCAGGCGATATTGCAGCCCGCGTTGAAACGCAACAATGGAGTCGCCGTCTTGAATCACGGTGGTGTCGAGGCGCGTGTGGCGGAAAAATGATGTGACGAGGTTGGAGTCTGGACTGCTGTGGCTAACAACCTGCTTGAATTCCTGCGCGCCCACCTTCACATCGTATACGTTGTCGCCGGTCTGTCGAACCTGGACCTCGAAGTTATTCCCATCTTTCGTGGTCGATGATAGGTCGGTAAACGTCATGTGTCGCTCCTGATAGCCCGGCCCAAATCCAACGGTAGAGCCTTCGAAGCTGGCCGTGTTCGGGGCCCCGAACTCAGAATCATTGTTCAGGCAAGCCAATGCCACTTGTGCGAGCAGTTCTGGTTCGATGACTTTCTGCGCAAACAGCTCCTCGCGATGCTTCTCAATGTATCCAGTCTCAACCGCGCCGGAGATAAAGTCAGGGCTTTTGCAAATGGTCTTTAGAAATTCGATGTTGGTCACAGGCCCAGCCACTTCATACTCTTCCAGAGCCCCAGCAAGTTTTCGGATCGCCTCTCGACGGTTACTGCCTCTGACGATTAGTTTTGCAATCATCGGGTCATAATGCGCCGACACTTCATCTCCCTCTACAAATCCTGCGTCAATTCGGACGTCCTCCGAGATCGCGGGAGTGCGAACATGAAGAAGGGTACCAGAATCTGGGATAAACCCTTGAGCGGGATTCTCGGCATAAATTCTGGCCTCGATTGCGTGTCCGTGGCGGGCGATATTATCCTCTACTTCCTCCTGATCAAGTGGGAGTTTGGCGCCTTCAGCAACCTTCAACTGCCAATGAACAAGATCCTGGCCCGTGACCATTTCTGTTACGGGATGTTCGACTTGGAGTCTAGTGTTCATTTCCATGAAGAAAAACTCTCCCGTGTCGTTGTCGAAGATAAACTCAACCGTACCGGCACCTTCATAGCCAACGGCCAAGGCGGCAGACCTAGCTTTGGCCCATATATCCTTTCTCGTTGCGTTCGGCAGATGGGGAGCAGGGGATTCCTCTAGGATTTTCTGGTGCCGTCTTTGGATACTGCAATCTCTCTCTCCGAGGGCCACGCAGTTTCCATGCTTGTCAGCAAAGACTTGAACTTCAATATGTCGTGGCGTAGTGATGTATTTCTCCACCAAGACCTTGTCATCTCCGAAGGAGTTCATAGCTTCTGATTTTGCAGACGCAAGTTGCGCTTGGAACTCTGCCTTGGACTGAGCTATGCGCATTCCCTTGCCGCCACCGCCTTTGATCGCTTTGATGAGCACAGGGTATTTGATTTTGTCGGCTTCAGCTTCGAGGAAGCTAGGATCTTGGTTTTCACCGTGATATCCGGGAACACAAGGCACTCCGGCGGCGGTCATAATCTTTTTAGACTGGCTATGAAAGCAGTATTATTAGCCATCTTGTAGCCAGGAGATTTGCGTGCATGCCCACCTTTTGTCTCCCATATCCTCGATGGCTTCCCATGGCGGGCCAATGAAGACCAATCCGGCTTCAGTACATTTTCGCGCAAACTCGGAGTTCTCACTGAGCTACCGTGAACCGTGCTGATTAGTTCCTATCTTCGACGTAAGATTCTCGCAATCTGCTTACAAAACCATATCCGGGGTGGATTCCTTGACATCCCTCGGCCTTGGCAATCTCAATGATACGATCGCCGTCAAGGTAGGCCGAGACAGAGCCTAGGTTGAATGCAAACGGTGAGCTCAATGCGTGCTGCGCTCGGCTATCTGGGTCGGTGTACAACGTAGTTACTCGGATCCCGTGTTGGGCCGCAGTCCGACCAACTCGCCTATGCACGTTCAGCAGAGATTAAGAATGTGACACGATAAACGTACAATGCAATCTCTCCTCTGTTAGCAATAAGAATAGAATCTAATGGACGAGCCGGACTCGAAGAGCTGGAGGAGGCAGTCGAGGCAGCTCGTCCTAACCTGCGGGCAACAACCGTCGGCCCCAGGCGGGCGGGAGTGCGGAGAAGGGACGAGAGTGGCATTGTATGTCGAAGGAGTATGGATTAATGCCGTAGGGGGTATCAAAAACGGGAATGGCAGTACATGGTATTGAGGTTGCTCAAAGACCTTGGAGGGAAGGATAAAGAACGCAGCGGTAGCTCACTGGAATGAATCGAGCTTCTTGAATGACGGAGATCCAAACCGAATGAATCCCTTTTGACTCTCAACTACTTTTGAGCCGACGCCAACCGCTGCGGGGAAGCCGGGGTACACGTGACCAAGAATGCGGGTCAAAGGGAACTATCCCGGATTAGGATATAGACCATATTACTAATACATCTCTTGGATTTGATTTGACACTCCCTGCCGAAAACTGGAGAATTACTCCATAAAAAGGATATCCCGGCGGGAACAAAGTAAGTCCGAGAATGCGGTTTTTCAGTTGGCGAAGACGAAGCCATCCAGCTCTGACCCCATAATATTCTTCTTCCAGGCTTCAACCTCGACGCCTTTGTGAATTCACCTTGTTTCTGCTCAAGTGGCGGTGGGCCTTACTTGAGTATTACCCTTTGTCTCTCATTTTCTTCCCTAATTTCCCTTCCTTTGGGGACCCACACCCTGGTGCTCTATTTTTTCGTTTCTTTTCTGATACCCTCATTCATTGAACATTATTATGTCTGATGACGAGGAATACTATGATGAGTTTGATGACGATGATATCTTCTGGGTGGAGGAGCCAGATCCAGATGTTGCTGTATGTGTCTTTTGCTTTCCTATCTCTCAACGGTCTATCTGCTGACTGACATGGAAATTCCATAGGACGACCTAGCGGCTACATCGACAAACGACCCAGCCATCCCGGACGACCCGTCCCTCGAAGCCGTCGAATTCTTCAGCGATTGGGATGAGTTATCGGACGACTACTATGATGAAGACCCTACAGTTGTGCGCAGACTCCGCGCAATGGGCGCGTGGACCAACCACAATGAAGCCCTTGCAGCCAAAGTTGACAACTCTCCCCCAACTAAACGCCGGAAAACCAACGCCCCCGCAACAGACATCACCTCCTTCCAAGGTGTTGTTTGGAAACTCCCAACCGACGAAACGGATTTCGTCCAAATCTATGCCCCAGGCGAGGGAGACAAGGTCGAGAAGGTCGCATTGCTCAAGAACTGGCGCGAAATTTTCAAAAACGCAAACCCCGCTATTGCCCGCCTGCGCGTGCGATCCGCCACCAGCGGCCCACTGGCTTCAGAGGTAGATGGCTTGGATTCGGGCGATTTTCTTCCCCCTGAGCCTAGTTTGGATGATGCCTCGACTGGTGCGTCTTCGCCCTCGGTAGCGGTAGAGGAGTTCCGTGATGATGGACTGGGTTCGACAACGAGTGTTACGGATATGCCCTCGGAGAAAACGCTCTATTCGGCTCCTGTGCATACGAGCGTGGTTGTAAATTCCCCTTCAGAGTTGCCGGTTCATTCGAAGAGGGTCGAAAGGTCCGCGGAACAGGAATTGAAAGCCGAGTCGCAGCCGTCGAAAGCTCCAGCTCCGTCGAATCGGAAACGTAAGGCGTCGGTATCGTTAGACGAACCACACGACCAGGGCGAGACTACCTCGCGCCCTGCGACGAAGACTAGGTCGAAGCGGGTCGCATCCTCGAAGGGTGCACCTGCACCGGCTACGTCGTCTGGTCCTATTCGGAGGTCCACCAGAAACAAGAAATAAACCAGACTTGCAAAAAAAAAAAAAAAAAGATTGCATGAATTATGAGTTTCCCATCATGGCTTCTTGGACTCCACGAAAAGATCCTATCCTATCCTATCCGACCCCTATGTATTCTTAGACCTCTAGGAAAAGAAGACATTGTAATTATGACACCATTCAAAATGATAATCTATTCTTACCAGCGCACCCGATCAAGAAGCAAAAAAAAAAAAAAAAATCATTGGGCGTATTCCTTGTTAAAGGCTCGCCCGATCACGATGCGTCTGATTTCACTCGTCCCTGCACCGATTTCGTAGAGCTTGGCGTCCCGGAGGAGTCTGCCTGCAGGGATCTCGTTGATATACCCGTTTCCACCCATTAGTTGGATCGCATCAAGAGCGCATTCCGTGGCTCTCTCGGCTGCATAGAGGATTGCTCCCGCACAGTCCTGGGTCCGGATTGCTCCTGCTCCCAGGGCGAACGAGTTATCGACATGTCGGGCCGTGGCGTACGTGTAGCTGCGCGAGGCCGCAAGCTTGGTGTACATGTCTGCCAGTTTGCCCTGGATTAACTGGTTATGGGCGATGGGGGTACCGAATTGTTTGCGCACATGGGTGTAGGGTAGGACGAGGTCGAGGGCGGCTTGCATGATTCTACCACGGAACCAACGCACTTGTTATCCTCTGCCTTGTTTTCGGGTGATAATAATATATAACGAGATCGGATGAGGAAAGAAAAGACCACTCACCCTAGCGGACCTGCGCTGAGAACAAGCCGCTCCAGATCGAGACCTTCCATCAGAACCTTCACTCCGCGGTTGATTTCTCCAAGCAGGTTCTTCTCTGGAACAAAGACATCCTCGAAGATGAGTTCGCCGGTGTTGGACCCGCGCATTCCTAGCTTGTCGAGTTTGCGCGCGCAAGAGAAGCCTTGGAATGTTTTTTCGACGACGAAGGCGCTGATTCCCTTGGATCCTTTCTCGGGCTCTGTTTTGGCGTAGACGATGATGAAGTCTGCATTGGGGCCCTGAAGCTATCTTTTAGGAAATGTCTGTTTGTTTGTTTTTTTTTTTTTGTTTTTTTTCTTCTTATTTCAGGGGAGGGGTGCGCACGTTGGTAATCCACATCTTGGTGCCGTTCAACACCCACCCGCCATCAACTGCCTTAGCAGTTGTCTTCATGCTCACGACGTCCGAACCGGCTGAATGCTCTGACATGGCCAATGCGCCGACTTTCTCACCGGATAGTAGACCAGGAAGGAACCGTTCTTTTTGCTCTGAGGTTGCGTTGAGGGAGAGTTGATTTACGCAGAGTTGGGAGTGAGCTGCGTATGAGAGAGCAATGCTTCCTGATTTTTTTTTTTTCGGTGCAAATCCTCAGTTAGATGCAATAGAAGACACAAATAATAAAGCCAAAGCAAGTGTACTAACCCGATGCGCGGCTCATTTCTTCCATTACTATACAATGTGCTTGGTAGCCCATTCCTAGACCGCCGTATTCTTCGTCTGCTGTTACTCCCAGGAACCTAAGAAAGTGTGTTAGGATACCCCCCCTTTGTTTTAGATAAATTCTACAGAAAAATACCCTGCGTCGCCCAATTTCTTCCACATATCTGCTGGGAACTCATTCTGTGCGTCTGTCTGTGCGGCGACCGCTTCGGGAATTTCGCGCCCTAGATATAGGGATGTCAGAACAAGCCACTGAGGAGAGAGTGATGCAAGAGAGAAAAGCACGAACGGGTGAATTCCTGGACTCTTTCTCGGAGCTCTACTAGGTCATCCTCAGAAGGAGGCACAAAGCCCTTCGGATGCTTAGTCGTCGCCAGCGTCCGTACTGCGGGGATGAGGGTTTTGGGCCATCTAGCGGGGGCTCGTGTGGGAAGTGAGCGAAATAGAAAGGGTAAGCGTGTGGTAGCCATGATAAACTGGGGATTTAACAAGATAAACAAAAAAAAAAAAAAAAACATAAGCTTAGTAGTTGGTGCAGCAGTGATAGATACAAAATCAAAAATCAAAAGCAAGGATGAAGTTGTACAGGATGTATGCCGCGGTTAAACACGGCAATCTACACTTCTCCGCATTTCCCCTTCATCGTCATCGTCATCTTGCCTCTCTCACAGCGTTCCCCTTCTTATTCCTCCTCTGACCCATTTAGACTAACTAGTCTCTTGCTCAATTAACATTCCTATATCAATCCTCCGTCTCTTGTCACGTTAATTCCCCGCAATGCGTGTTCCGACCCCACTCCTTCGAAGGAGTTGGAGCTCCTCTATAGCAGCCACCGCGAGATTAAATCCTCGACAACCTACTTCTCTACCCCCAACGCAGTCCTACGGGGCTTCAACATCTATTTCTGTTTCTTCCGTTCGATCAGTCGCCAGCTATACCCACCCACATCATGCCTCTGCCATATCCGTCCTTCCTACGGCGGTGGACACCTCGTCGTCCGAATTCCAAGAGAATGCACAACAGATGCAAGAGCTGATAAATAGCATGTCCAATCTCCATAACAAGATTGCGCAAGGTGGCCCGCAGAAAGCAAAGGACAAACATATCGCCCGTGGGAAGATGCTTCCCCGAGACCGTGTTACAGCCCTTATTGACCCAGGCACATCGTTTCTGGAACTCTCTCCGCTAGCAGGGCACGAAGTGTACGGTGAAGACGTCCCCGCGGGTGGAATCATTACCGGAATTGGAACGGTAGAAGGAGTGGCGTGCATGATCGTGGCGAACGACAGCACTGTCAAAGGCGGTACCTACTACCCCATCACCGTGAAGAAGCATCTTCGCGCCCAGGCAATTGCCCAAGAGAACAAGCTGCCGTGTATCTACCTGGTGGACTCAGGTGGCGCAAACCTCCCCCACCAAGCCGATGTTTTCCCGGACAAGGAACACTTTGGCCGAATTTTCTTTAACCAGGCTCGAATGAGCTCCCAAGGAATCCCCCAGATATCTGTGGTTATGGGTCCCTGCACCGCTGGGGGTGCTTATGTCCCAGCCATGAGCGACGAATCCATCATTGTTGAAAACCAAGGCACTATTTTCCTGGCTGGTCCTCCGCTCGTCAAGGCCGCCACTGGTGAAGAAGTATCAGCTGAGGATTTGGGAGGCGGTCATCTACACAGCACAATTTCCGGCGTGACCGACTATCTCGCTGTAGATGATGCCCATGCTCTGATTCTCGCTCGCCGATCCATCTCCAACCTTAACTACCCGACAACAGCGACCGCCGAAAACCTGAGCCTCACTGGCGAGGAGATTAAAGAACCCCTCTACGACCCCACAGAGCTCAATGGCATCGTAGGAACTAACCTACGCCGCCAAATTCCCGTGCACGAGGTCATTGCTCGCATTGTCGACGGTAGCGAATTTGCCGAATTCAAACGCGACTACGGCACAACGCTGGTAACGGGGTTTGCCCGTATATTCGGCCACCAGGTGGGCATCGTTGCGAACAACGGCATCCTATTCTCGGAGTCCTCACTCAAAGGTGCCCACTTCATCGAGCTCTGTGCGCAGCGCAACATCCCACTCGTCTTCCTCCAGAACATCTCAGGCTTCATGGTGGGTGCGGATGCGGAAAAGGGTGGCATTGCAAAGAACGGCGCAAAGCTTGTCACTGCCGTCGCCTGTGCGGATGTCCCCAAGTTCACCATCGTGTTTGGCTCCAGCGCTGGCGCCGGAAATTACGGCATGTGGTATGTTTTCTCTTATCCGATCTCTTCTGAGTAGATTAGAACCGCAACTGATCTGGAACAGTGGCCGCGCATACTCCCCCCGGCTCATGTTCATGTGGCCCAACGCCAAAATCGGCGTTATGGGATCCGAGCAGCTTTCGGCAGTGATGGAAGCTGTAGGCCGAGCCGCAGACCCTGAGCTCAAGGCACGCATTGACCACGAGTCTGAGGCAATTTTCTCCTCTGCTAGACTATGGGACGACGGAGTGATCCCTCCTGCCCATACTAGACGTGTTCTGGGGTTGGGTCTAGCTGCTGCGTTGGGTGGACGGGCGGACAAGCATGTCCAGACGCGCTTTGGAGTGTTCCGGATGTGATGTGATTACCTGTTGACTATATTATATTATGTTATCATTCCTATAAAGTGATCCCCGTAGATATATCATGTATTTTATCTCGCACCGGATATTGTGAAGGTGTTGAGATCCCGGCTAATCAGGATGGCTGGATAGTGCTTTGGTAGGCTTTAATAAACAAAAGCAAAGAGTACATATATATATATACATAGTTGATACCCTTGGAAGCAATATAATAAATTCCAATCCCGTGTTTTTCTAAGCGAAAGTTTCAACTAACTATTCTTCTCCTGCCTGTCCAATACCGATTTAGCCCTGGATTGCCCATCCTCGCAAGTACTCATAGTCCGGCATTGCAGCCCAAACGGCCTTTTCGATTTCATTCGCTTTCTCCTCTCCGAATTCCCCCTTCCACTTCTCGACTTCTTCCTTCATATCAATGGACGTGGGCGTCTTGTCCTTGATCACCCCCTTGGATTGGGTAAAGGTAGACCCCATGACTTGCCGAAATCTACTGGTGCTATGGTGTTGTAAGTGGTTCTCCTGGCAGGCTGACGCCGGCTTGAGCTTCGCGTCCTCCCAGGTAGACTGCACAACCCCGGGGTCTAGGCCGGTCAACGCGCAGAATTTCAGCACCGTTTCCGGCCGGTGGATTACCTCCAGGGCGTCAATCACCACAGGCCGGTTCGATTCGTCCGAGTGCTCCAAGCAGTGGTCGAAGAGCAAACGGGTCCATTGCAGGGTCATGTTGTTTTTCAGGTTTCCCTGCGAGGAGGAGAACTGGGTGGGTTCGATTTCGTCGATTTTGTTCATGGCGCGGTAGAACGACGGGAACACGAGCGCTGGATGACGGATGAGGAATGCAGTCTGCCAGGTGCGGAGATACTCGTCTGACAGGACGGTCTTGTTCTTCGAGGAGAAGGTCTGCTGCGACGCACCGCCGGGGAAGCGGAGCTTGAAGGCATCGGCGTGCTCGGGCTCATTCCACACCGCGGCGGGATTGACAAACCAGAAGGCGTGTTCCTTGGTGAACATGATTTTCTTCCCCTCTTTCGCGCGCAGGGAGCATTCTTCCATGTCATCGAGACAATCCTGGTATGTTTGCTGGATCTTGGCCTTTGCGTCTTCTGGCCACTCGCTGAGTGGTTTCCCGATCACGCCTGCTTCGGTGACGTGCCGATAGGCTGGCGTGAAGAAGTAGCCACTGCTGGAATTGGTATGTAACTGGTGTTGGTTTGGCAGGTTGAGCATCTTCACGAGCAGATTCGATGCCGTGCGTGGCATGCTGACAAGGAATAGGCGGGATGGTTTCGGGGTGGACGACGGGTCATTGATAGCGGCCATTATGAACGATTCTGGCTTGCTTGAGTGGAGTCAGGCCTTGGAAAAACACGAGAATGGATGTAAGTAATGGGATGTTTCAGTAGGAATGATGCAGTCTGTTGGGTTAAATATCTTGGGATGAGCTGGAGAGTTGCACAACGCTGTCAAGAAGATCACTCTGCTACTTTTCAATATAAGCGGCCTGCAAGGGAGGGGGATTGGACCCGCTCCTATCAGATGCAACAAGTCCTATAATACCATAAATGTGAAGAAAGAGGCGCTGTGTCGAGAAGAATTAAGCAAGGTGGACCACCTACAGGTTGAATTAAGCTACACATATATAGGTCTTTCATGGTAGCTCAATACAGTACATAATTAGGGAGCTCACCGCAAGATTAAATAAACAAGAAAATCATTTCACGCTCTAGTATTCAGAGTTGCTATGGTTCTAGTCTGTTGAATGCCGTGGTCTAACTCTCATCACAACCGACCTGTTAGGGTTGTAAATGAACCCTAAACTGGGAAGTCCATACGCCTGCAGCTTCTCTTTCTGCGGGGGCTCCATATCATGCTGGAGTAAAAACTTCATGAATATGGTCCGCAGCATGTGGGCGGATAGAAATCGACCAGGGCAGGTACTGATCCCCTGTGAAAACACTAGGAAGGTAGAGGTTGCGGTTGTCAGCCGCGGCGTACAGGTTCCATTACAAGCATCATAGAAGCGATATCCATCAAACGTCGCTGCAGCCGGGTAATTATCGGGATCACGCTGAGCAATAACGGAGGGAGTCACGATGAGTGTGCCGGGTTTGAGAGACAGGTCCAGTGTTTTCAGAGTGAGTGGTTTCATTACACGGCGGATACCCACGACTATTCAGCGCAGTATACTTGGGTTAGGTCTGTCCGGGAAGAAAAGGCTTGAGCAGGTTAGAAGGGGGAAGAAGGACTGACAGGCTCCTATTTCATGCATCCGGAAAGTCTCTCGAGCAAAGCTTTCCAGTTTGGGGGTGAGTTTTATCATCTCAGATGTCCAATTCCCACCAAGGGCTTTCAGGCCGTCTGTGATTTCCTGTCGGAGGGGGTCTATGTACTCTGGGTGATCCAATATACTGAATATTTGAAACGTCACGTTTGCTGAAATGGGCCTGGTGAGTTCAAGATGGAAGAGCACAACTACCTGGACCAACAGGTACACAACCTCATCCTCATCCGCATTCTTCTCGTTCCGATTCAAGGTGCCGTTCTTGAACGCTACGTTAATCAAGGAATCCAACAGGGTAAATGGTCTGTCGTCGTCTGTCTTCGCTTGTCCCATTCGTACATTGTCAATACGGCGCTGTACCTCCGGAGCTAGTCTTGCATAGTACATGGCGTGCTTTGCCCTCAAGCCACGAAATAGTGGCATAAAGCGCCAGATCAATGGCCGCAGAATGCGCGGGGAGCCCGTACGTGTATAGCGGCTTATCTCCATGGTGTCAGCAACCGACACAGTCTCGTCCACGAGTGTCTGATCTGCACCGAATTCTGGACCGACGATCACGGACATGGCGACATTGGAGCATATTGAGAAGATTGCATCTCCTGTGCTGTACTCCTTCCAATCCGCTTGTTCCTTGTTAGCCAAACGAATTTCAACCTGGACCTTTTGCTTACTGTCTTTCCGGGAGAAAACCAAGGGCATGTATTTGTCAATCTCCTGCACTATGAGGTCATGGAAATTCTCTGCCCGTAAAAGAGACGACAGTCAGCAAGCTACATCTCTGCTGTGTTGCGGTAGCTACATACTCAGAGTAGCCTCATTGTTGCAAGATTGAAGCGCTTCAATGGGAAGCCTGGTGATTACATTAAAATGCAATTTCGAGTCGATGAGCTACAGTCTGTTAGACTGCAGCGATTCTTTAACTGGGACGTGGCGGTTTCCTTACCTGTTCTAACGCATGAAGGAAGCTCACTCGATCATATGGCAGATTACGATATTCCTTGAAAGCATTCTGGGGAAGTACAACAACATAATCATCGTGTTGCATCTTTGTTGCATACGGTTTGCCCGCTTTGATATACTGCAAAGTCGGTAATAGACGACAATCAGCAACAAAACCAACAGACCTGATGATACACTACACTGGGGTTCCTGAAACCTACCTGATTGTATCCCTTGGCATATTCTTTTGCATGTTCCAAGTCGCTCTGGTTCCGTCTCAGCAAGCGACTGAATTTGTTCCCTCCATCCAAAATGGGGATGTCACCTAGAGCCCTCCTCCGGCTCCATCCATCCAGATAGTCAGCAACCACGACTATGAGGTAGCAGAGAAGGGCGAGTGAGCCGGTAACCAGACACGCGAAGACAACACGGTCTGCGATATAATAGAGGTTAACCGCCATTAACGCCGCCATATTTGCTGCCCGAGAACACTGTGTTAAATCATTGAAAACCCATAGATAATTGTAGAAAGAAGCAGCCTAGACGTGTGCAGGGCTTCTTAAAGAGCTATCCAAGTCTAAGTCTCATTTGATACAGGGACAAAAGTGGTGCATAAGGAACTAGTCTAACTGGGATTCGGATTCTACAAATCCCTTACTGAAAAGGAAAAAGAAGACACACGAGAGCCACCAGCCCATCGATAGTTTTTAGCTAGCAATGGAGGATGTACTCCGCATTCCCAAAGTAAGGGGGCTGTAATTAGTTATGTATAATGGATGTATAACTATAAGTAAGTACTGCCCCGTACAGTAGGAGCTATCAGATTTGAGGCACGTGGACGCCAAACCCTAAGCCCCTCGCCTCTACTCCGTAGCCTTGAGCATGCATGAAATGTAATAGGTACATGATATGATGTATTATGTATATACTACAGGATAAGCACTATTCTGGTATTGCTGAATGTTAACCGTGTGATTCGGGTGGGTCGCTGTAGCTTTTCATGAGTATATATCTATCTATTTATGTATCTGTCCCTATAGCAAGCCAACATAACGTATCCGAAACCCCGTTCGCCTGCATGTCCAATGTGGCGGTCAAGGATAGAAGAACCCGACTTGAAAAGACCTTGCATATTCTTTTTTATCTATATTGGTCAAGGGCGATACAGGCATGTCGCACACGTAGGCGTGCAGTTTCCATAGTACCTAGCCTAGCACCCAGGCCTAGCTAGACTCGTCTCCCTGATTTTCTTTTCCGCCCCAATTGATCTTGAATTGTCTAACATAGTCCTTGACCGGTGAACCAAGTTAAGATATGGTATTCAGACTAAGGGACGGGGTTTCTTTGGTTTAAGTGAGGAGGGCCATGGGCATTCGCAGTTGCGTTGCGTCTTTGCATACAGTTTGGAAAAAGAGATTAGCTTGAGTAACTTTAACTTAACCTACTCAATGCGGGTTTCTAGGGGAAGCTCAGCTAAAGTAAAAGTAATACTAGCTACTGGGTTAGCCAGGCCTCAAGGAGGCCGTGACAGTTTCCAGGGAGTTGGTAAACGTTCTTCACCTCCAGTCCGGCCAAACGAAGAACAGTCTCCCATTCTTTCATAGTCCTTTGCTTCGCCCCAATGGACATCATGATGAGGTCCATCCACCCTTCCTCAATGCCTGGTTTCTCCTCTGGAACGATAATTTCCTCAATGAGGAGACGTGACTTATTTGGTTCCATTGCCGTGACAATGTTTTTCAGGATCTCAATCACACGGTCCTGAGGCCAGTTGTGCAGGCAACGCCGCACAAGATACGTACAAGCGCCTGGATAGGAGATTTCGAGTCAGATTTACTCCGGCTTAATGTCTAACCAAATTCCGTATCAAGTGATGGCTTTCCTACCTTGGATAGGTTGCTTTTTGAAGAAATCATGCGGCATTGTTTCAATCCCTTCATCGAGCGTAGCCTTCGCGCTCTTGACGACATGATCTTGATCCTGGAGAATGTATCTACCAGGAAGATCACCACAGAGTGATCTGATGCGGCTGATTGCCTTGCCCTTACCGCCACCGACATCAACGGCCAGTGTCGTGTTAGGAGTTGGGCTCATCTCGGACAAAATTTTCTGGAAAGGGAACAGGTCGATCATCCACAAGGATGTCATAGCCTGGACTGTCATCCCATCATTGAAAGCCTCCATTCGCTTGGGATTTTCACAGAGATTCTGGAACATGCTCTTGCCATTGGTATTATGAGCGTGCGTGTACGGGTTGTTCGTCGTGGAGTCCGGAGCTCTCCACCCGTTGCTTTTCAGGAATTCATGTAGTTTCAGATGAGCCGGCATATGATCATCCATCCTAAGAATGTCCCGCATCAGTTTATTTTAAATTCTAGTCCCATTCACACAGACACCATACACACTCACGCGAAACGGAACATACCCCGAATTTCTGGCCGCAGGTAGGCCTCTGAAAACGGAGTATGTCGGTATTGGCCTGGTCCCGTCTCTTCGAAGGGTCCATACAACGCGGAGTTCCTCATTAGACGGGCTAGATCCTAGGTTAGCATGTAAGACATATATACGAATTTGGGAATGCCCGGCCAAACCCACCCAGCAGAGACTCATCAACGTTTAGCTCTTTGGCCAGCTCTTCCGTACTCCGGATCTCGCCTCCTGTTGGGAGAGCGTTGAATACACCCATCTCCAAAAGAGCCCGGACGCTTCCTAGGTGAGCTGTCTGGTAGCTCATTTCAGTCTTCATGGTAGAGAAAACTCCGATTGAGACATTCTTACCCTCTCAAAACATGTTGCGGCAGCATCTATAGGGCCCTGCGCAATCTGCAGGAACTTGAATGCCTCCAAGACCAGGTGGTCTTGCGCCGTTTGTCTTGCACTGCAGCTTTCTATATTGTCCCCTCGGTCAGCGATGCATGTTGAATGGCATCTTTCCGCGGCCTCATTTAAAGACTGTAGAGATTTCCGGACGGATCGAAGATAGTGGTCTTCCTCTTCAGTGATAGCCATGATGATATCAGTGTGTCCTGTCTTGAATCGCTAGGGTCGTGTATAAGTGGAGAGCTTCGAAGAGCAAAAAGATTTCAAGCCCGCCGAACCACCAGCTTTTGTATTGGAGCCTATATGCAATTTTTTTTTTTTTCGCTTCTTTTCCTGTGGCAGCCTGTATACAGTTTAACTCAGCTGGTAAAATGAGTTCTACGTAGCGTAGGGATTACGCATGCTTCTGCATGCACAGTAAAACCGCAAGGAGTCTCTTTAGAACGAGTCATAAGCACCATCTTCATCATACATCTTAAGTCAACTACTACTTGGAGTCCAATTGTAAATGCGTAGCCAGTGCCGATTTTCGTGATCATGTACTACACATAGTCCTCCGCTATTATTGGACCTAATCTAGGAATTAAACACCGTCATATCTAGATATTCCAGGCCTGAGACGTCTAAACAGTATTACTGACCTGCTGCATAAGGTAAGGGATACGGAGTAGTCAATATATGTTTAATACATGTATGTAGTCAATTCAGCAATCTGCATACCAAGATGGCTATAAGTGCTGGCTTGCAGACTTTCATATCACCCGTTGATATCCCGTACGGAACACATCTGTAGCTCTATACAGAAGGCAAGGGCTGTGCATGATATCTATCACAACAAGCCAAACAGTGACCCTGCTACCGGTAAATCCATGTCATTTACCCTTGGCAGGAACCCTAATCATTATTATGACCTTAAAGAAGCATCATCATCATGGCTTAGACGATCGCTCGCCCGCAGTCAGAGCAAGCAAGTAGAACACAGCCCGCCCTCACATTGCCAATGGAGATAGCCACGGTGAACCCCGGAAGATTAGACTGACCGCTACTCTTGACATCTGGGCCTAGAATGAACCTCGCAAATATACTAAAGACTGGAGGGACTGGATTTTCTTAAGAACCACGGTGGACTCCGCTTTCAGGGCTCAAATCGGCAATAAGGAAGGACTGCTAATACATACCCCCCTCTCCCCCCCCTTTCTTGCTTGTCAAGATGAAGCTCTTCTTCTTCAGCAATAAATTCCCTCCCGATGATCTTTTAGATCTATTCCGGCGCCTGCGTCTGCAGGCCAAATCCCCTGGTCATGTCCTTCTGCGCCGGTTACTAGAAGAAACCACAGTGGTAGTACGCGAAGAGATTCGTCGACTCCCTGCCGGATTGAGAAGCCTGATTCCACCCTTTCAATCTATTCTAGATCTTGCCGAGAGCTTTAATTGGCATAGGGGGCCTCTTTCAGGTACCTTTGAATGTGTATTTCTATGTCTTGTGCCTTTGTGTCTTTTTGTTGGGTGAGTGCATGCATGTGCGAATTTAACCACCTTGGGATATCTCTGCCCGTCCATTAACCCTGATTTAGAGACTACGAGATCCGGCCACATGAGTTCTCTTTCCACAGGGGCAACTCGCTCTTCACTGGGCTGGGTCTGGGATTCCTGGCCGCGACGGCGATTGTTGCGTCCCCATCCATCCTTGATGTGCCGGTGACAGCCGCGGAAGTCATCCGTATTGCATTCAGGGTGGGACTGGTGTTATACAGGAAATCCCAAGATCTTGAACCGCGGGCTGTTGACGCTCCGCTGGAGAGTTGGACTACGGTTGTCAGAGGACTGGATGAAGAAACTGTCCGAGAAGAGCTGGATAAGTTCAACACATCCACGGTAAGCAAGCGGCCAAGCAGGTTGAGATGGCCGGAACCTCACTAATGGAACGAACAAACACAGGAGACTCCAAGTCCAAGCTGCATTTACATCAGCGTAGTAGAGCCAGATGGGAGTGTCTTTGTCAATGGGCCGCCATCGAATCTACGTAAACTGTTTAGCACATCTGAAAGGCTGGGTTCAGCGCCTCGCGCGCCATTACCCGTCTATGGAGGTCCCTGTCACGCAGCTCATCTATACAACCATAGCCACAGCTCGTGGGTTGTCAAGGAAGTCCGGCCAGATATCGCTCTGCGTGATTGTTCGGATGCGGCAAACCTTCTATCAATGGCGGATGGCAAGCCTCTAGCCTGCCAGACCGGATTCGATCTGTTCGAATCCGCCGCCTATATTCTGCTCACGAGCATTATTCGCTGGGGGGATGTCAGCGAAGCGATTAATGACGCCGCTGACTGGCCAAATGCCAACACGCTTCAGCTTGAGGTCTTCAGGTCTTCCGCGGTGGTGGATGGTTTAATGTCTACTCTCCAGCTAGCTAACCCTGATGCTACTCCGACTGTACAGGACCTGGTGCACTGGATCTTTGACGGGAGTTGTCCACCCGCCAGTTCCCCGGATGAAAAGATTGCCGTCGTTGGCATGTCCTGCCGACTGCCTGGCGGAGCGGATGACTTGGAACGATTCTGGGAGCTTCTCAAAGAAGGCCGGGATGTTCATGGTAAAATCCCCGCTGACCGATTTGATGTCAATACCCATATAGACGTTACGGGGAAACGCATCAATACCAGTCAGACTCCCTTCGGGTGCTTTATAGACAACCCGGGACTCTTTGACGCAGGCTTCTTCGACATGTCTCCTCGGGAGGCAGGCCAAACCGACCCAACACATCGCCTGGCGCTGCTTACAGCGTATGAAGCCCTCGAGCAGTCAGGGTATGTTCCTGACCGCACTCGGTCAACAACACGGGCTACCGTGGGCACCATCTACGGCCAATGTTCCGATGATTACCGTGAAGCCAACGCAGGACAGGATATCGATATGTACTTTATCCCGGGCAACTACCGGGCATTTGCGCCAGGGCGCATCAGTTACTTCTTTAAATTTTCCGGCCCCAGCTTTAACTGCGACACCGCGTGCTCGGCCAGTTTAACTTCCGTCCAGATTGCCTGTAGCGCGCTATCGCGTGGAGAGGCGGACATGGTCGTTGCCGGGGGCTTGAATATCATAACCAGCTCGGATAGCTTCTCGGGGCTGAGCCGTGCCTTCTTCTTGTCCAAAACCGGGGGCTGCAAGGTGTTTGACGATGGCGCGGATGGCTACTGCAGAGCGGATGGAATCGGGTCCATTGTCTTAAAGCGACTCTCTGATGCCCAGCAGGATAATGATAATATCTTGGGGGTCATCCTAGCCACAGCAACCAACCACTCTTCGGCTGCCATTTCGATCACGCAGCCGCATGCGCCTACGCAGGAGGAGCTCTATCGAAATATCTTAAGGCAGGCTGGCGTTAGTCCGCTCGATGTTGACCTGGTTGAGATGCACGGCACCGGCACCCAAGCCGGAGATGCGGCGGAGATTGAATCCGTTACCAAGGTCTTCTGTCCCTCTGCTGCTCCTCGACGGACTCACCCATTACATATCGGGTCCGTGAAGGCGAACTTGGGCCATGGGGAGGCTGCCGCTGGGATTACAGCGTTGATCAAGGCACTTTTGATATTCCAGCACCATGAAATCCCCAAGCACATTGGCATCAAAACAACCTTGAATTCCAAGTTTCCTGACCTTCAGCGAATGAACATATGCATCCCTCGGGAAGCTATCCCTTGGTCGCCTAGTCCAGACCGCAAGCGATATATCATGGTCAACAACTTCAGCGCGGCAGGAGGAAACACCAGTCTCCTGTTAGAAGAGCCTCCCGTGAGACCCGATCCACAGGGCTGCCCCCAGACCAGGTTTGTAGTGGCTGTGTCTGCCAAAAGTGTGAAATCCCTGAAGGCCAACCTTGAGGCATTGACTTCTCATCTTGTTGCAAATCCGACGCTTAACCTGGCCAACCTCGCGTATACGACCACCGCTCGTCGCATGCATCATAACCATCGCATTGCCGTTCATGGTTCTTCGATCCAGGATATTATCAAATCCCTTCAGCAGCGTTTGCCTGGCGTGGAAAGCCAGCCAAAGATTCACAAGTCCCCGCCTGTCGCATTTGTCTTCTCCGGTCAGGGGAGCTTCTACAGCGGCATCGGCCGCCAACTGTTCGAGGGCTGTCTCCCATACCGGAAAGAAATCCAGCAACTAGATGAGATCTGCACGCTTCATGGGTTTCCTTCCATCCTCCCGTGCATCAGCAGCCAGGGGACCGATCATGCAGAGGCCACTCCTCCCTTGATAGCCCAGCTAGTCACCGTATGTGTACAGATTGCGCTGTGTCGCTTGTGGAATATTCTCGGGGTGACTCCCCGCGCGGTCATTGGCGCGAGCTTGGGCGAGTATGCGGCACTCTACGCTGCAGGAGTGCTTTCAGCGAGCGACGCAATCTTCCTGGTTGGCCAGCGGGCTCGCTTGCTGCAGGAGCTGTGTACCATGAATAGCCATTCCATGCTGGCGATCCAGGCCACCGTTGACATGATCCGCGAAAGCGCCGAAGGGAAACCCTATGAAGTGTCCTGCATAAACGCACATAACAATGTCACGATTGCCGGATACGCCCCGGACATCGCTGACATACAAGCATCCATGCAATCACAGGGATACCGTACCGTCCGACTAAACGTCCCCTTCGCGTTCCACTCCTCGCAGGTCGAGCCTCTCCTGGACCGGTTTGATCAGATTTCCCAGGCAGTCACGTTCAGGGATGCCCGCGTGCCTGTGATTTCTCCCTTGCTGGCAGACGTTATCGCTGCCGGCGGCGGAAAAATCAACAACTCCTATCTCAGGGAGGCGACGCGGGCGCCTGTACGATTTGCCGAGGCTCTTGAAAAGGCCCGAGAGATCGGCCTGGTAGATTCGAAGACCGCATGGGTTGAAATTGGCGTACACCAAGCTTACAGCAGTGCTGTACGCGCGGTATTCTCGGGCCTAGAGGTAATGGTGCCTAGTTTGAGGGCGGACGAAAGCAACTGGCATACTCTGGCGGCGAGCATGTCGGTATTGCAAGAGGCCGGCGTTGCTTCGCTCAATTGGAACGAGTGGTATCGGCACTCGGAATCAGAACTACGCCTCCTCGACCTTCCCTCGTACCGGTGGAATCTGAAGAAGCACTGGATTCAATATAACGGCGACTGGTTGCTGGTCAAAGACAAAGGCTCCAATGGGCGGAGCGGTGCTGCTGGTCTGCCGCCTGCTGTGTCGTCCTTCCGCACCCCTCTCTTGCATCACGTTGTAGAGGAGTCCTTCTCGCAAGAGGGCCGAGGAGTCGTTGTGATGCAGTCTGATATCATGGACGGGGATTTTTTTGCAGTGGCTTCAGGGCATCAAATGAGTGGACGCCCAGTTGTCTCAGTGGTAAGGCCGCCGCCAACTTTTTTTGCTTCCCGCTCATATTAGATTATACATATGTCCATCGCTAATAACTAATCATCACCCCCCTAGTTTGCTTACACCGACATGGCCCTGTCGTTGGCCAACTACATGTATTCCCGGCTGCGCCCCCAGTCGCCGCTCCCGGCAATGGATTTCGGCAACGTGCGGATCCTGCAAGGGTTGATACCCCGGAAAGATCGGTCCAGATCGCAGTGGGTGCGGCTTCGTATGGAGGCGGACCTGAAACGCTCGGCCATGCAATTCTCGCTGTCCGGGGTCCCTGACCAAGCCTCGGTGGGCGAGGAGGACCTGGCCACAGCAACGATCGGATATGTAGATTCCCCCCCCCAGATATGGACGGACGACTGGGCCGACTACGCCCATCTGGTCACCAGCCGCATCGAGACGCTGCACCAGCTAGCCGACCAAGGGCACGCCAGCCGGCTGTCCAGGGACATGGTATACAGCCTGTTCAAAAACGTCGTCGACTACGCGGAGCTGTACCGCGGGATCCAATCCGCCGTCCTGCACGGGCTCGAAGCCGTGGCGGACGTGGTTCTCGCCCCCAGCAAGCAAGGCAAGTGGACGGCGCCGCCGCACCACATCGACAACATCACCCATATCGCAGGGCTGGTTCTCAACGCCGGACACGCCACCGACCACAGCACCACGATATACGTCATGGACGGTTGGAAGTCGATGCGCTTCGCCCGCCCCCTGGTCCCCGGCGAGGTATACCGGTCCTATGTCAAAATGAACCCGGCCGCCAGGGACACCACCTCCACCTCCTCCGCCGGAACATACACCGGAGACGTGCACATCCTGCACGGCAACGAGGTCATCGGGCTGGTCCGCGCCATGGCGCTGCGCCCACTCCCTCGCATCCTGATGCGCCGGTTCTTCGACCCGCCAGACCAACCCGAGCAGCGCTATCCAACGTCGCCGCGCCAGCCGCTGCTACGCATGCCGGCCGAGCCTCCACGGCTAAGTCTGCAAACGAGCCCGTCATCCTCATCCTCATCCTCATCAACCACCACCACCACCACCACCACCACGGAGTCATCCTCGCCGCAAGTCAAACACTCCTCCGACGCCGGGATCCTCACCCCGCGGGAAAACGACGAGGCCGAGCACCCCTGCTGCCCCGAAGCAGAGAAAGCCGCCGGGCGCGAGAGCAAGCTCGTGCGCAACGCGGTGGCGCTCCTGGCCGCCGAAACCGGCGTCGAGCTCGGCGAGCTCCACGACGAGACGCTGTTCTCTGCCATCGGCGTGGACTCGCTGCTCTCGCTTGTGCTGGTGGAGAAGTTTGCGCTGGAGCTGGGCGTGGAGATCCCGGGGAGTTTTTTTCTCGAGTCGCCGAGTATCGCGGAGCTCAAGGCGTATCTGTATGTATCTGGGTGATTTTGCCGGTTAGGGGGGTGTTGTGCTCTGTAGGGGTGGGTGGGTACCTTAGAAATCTTTTACAGAGGTATATATGATACTATCCTGTTCTTTTATAGAATCTGGACATCTTATTAGGACGGGGTGTATATATATATATATATATTTTACCAGCTCTAGAAACCTAAGTGTCGACTCTACTATGCTATGTGCAGCGTGTGTCATCTTAAGAGGCCAACTACATGGATCAAGAACTAAGTGAGGTTGGATGTCCGGTCAGCGGCCGGTACAGCTTCAGAGCCAAATGATTCATTGATAAACAACAACACCAGTGGCATTACAGGATTGAGAGAGAAGAAAGAAAGAAAGAAAGAAAAAAAAAAGCAACAGGGAATGTATAACCAATGTACAATCACAGTCCAAGCAAAACGGGAGAGTCATAACTCCGGATTATCTTTCCAAAGAAACCAATACAGGCATGAGATGAGATGTCCCAAATGAGAAATAGAGAAATAGAAAGAAACAAAAACATCTAAATGATCTGACAGATTATAGCAACCACACAGCCCAATACAACAGTAAGCAAGTCCATAGATCGTCCTGAGGCACCAGCAGTAACAGGTCGTTCTCCATCGCCATCTCCATCCTCATCATGATCATCATCGCCAGATCCAGGACCAGGACTAGGGCTAGGACTAGGGCTAGGATTAGGTTCAGGTCCAGATCCTGGAATAGTTGAAGAAATCTCCAACTCAGAAACCAGACCCGAAACAAGCGTATCGCCCATCTCCCGCAACTTCCCAAAATCGGTAATGTAGTTTGCATTCAACGCTGTATCGGGAAGAACGGCGTTTTGCCCCGTAAACACGATATAAGTTACATCGGAGGTCGTGTGGCCTTTGTTCCCGTTGAGCTTTTCATCAGGGAAGCAGGTGCGTGCGAGAAGCCAGGACGCTTCGCCCGTGACTTGGGGGTCGTTGTGGTTGGAGTCGCCGAGGATGGCGTAAAATATTTTGTTATTGCTAATTTCACTTGTGTCAGTCACTTCCGATCTAATATTTCCGTTCAAAGAAAAAAGAAGAAGAAGAAGAAGAAGAAGAAGATTAACGGACCAAATAATAGCCGCAACATTATTCCCGGGTAAAAGATCCGGATTCGCAACGAGAAATTTGTCCGGAATCACAATAAAGGGAACTTGGTATGCATCCAGCGCGCCCCAGTTCGTTAGTGGCTGGCCGTCAGGATTCCCTTCGCAGCCGTATTCGAGGCCGTCACAGTCCACGTCCATATCTGCAACCCAGAAGATTGCAGAGCCCGTTTGGAATCGGGTCCAGTCGCTGTAGATGGTCGATTGTACAGGGTTTTCGCCAACACTGACAGGATATACGGCGAGACTGGGGATAGTGTTGGCCTTTGCAGCGGCAGACTGTAGGGCTTGCACGGGGACTGTGGTAGATGCTGCGAAGGAAGAGGCATCCACCGTTTTGATGGCTTTGCCCTTGGCTTCGGTTAGAGAAAAAAGGAGGGCTGTGATCAAGATATAAAAGGTGGAGAAGCGCATTTTGTAGATGTATGAGAGAGTTCGGATATAAATATTCTTGGTAGGAAATAGCAGTATTGCAGTGAAGTAGAAACGAAAGATCGTAGTAAAATGATGCCGTTGGTGATTGTTGAGATGGAAATTGTAGATAGTTCTAGAAGGATGGAGTTGGGTAAGAATGAGAAAACCAGGAAAAGGCTTTTCTGGAAAGCGACTTTGATTACCGCATGTCTATGTATTGATCGGTGTCTTCGTCTTCGTATATCTTGAGACCATGGTTCTGCCCAAGGTCAGAGTTCACAACCCACACAATACTGTTTCCATACCAGATCCAAGTAGTAAGTAACATTGCCTCGTTTCGGCTGGGGATATTCAGGCCGTCAAAAACGCACTGCAAGTCTAAATAAAGTCCAGGCCGCACTGTAGATCGCTCAAGTGAGCCAGCCACTGAATACAGGGAAATGGAAAGAGAGAAGTAGAAAGTAAGGATGAGCCCAGTAAGTACCCTTGCAGCGTGAATTTTTCTCTTTCCTCTGGTTCCTGGATGTGTCCGAAATTGACTGAAAACAAAATCATCAATGTAAAAACTAGAATAGATCAAAGAGGAAAGAAGATAAAACTTTTCCATTCCTTGGACATAAAACGGGGTACCGGGCGTATCGAGAACAGAATCAAAAAAAAAAAAAAAAAAAAAAAAACACGGGCTATAGCAAACATATTCTATCATTGAAACACGTAAACAGCGTATAATGAAACATAATAAGGGGGGTTGTGTCGAATTATATTGAGTTTGAAGATGTTGGTATGTGCAGGCGAGAGGTCATGCATGCGTAAGGTGGAAAGTAGACAAAACTGTCCAAAAAAAAAAAAAAAAAAAAAAAGGAGATGAGGTAACGATGGGTAGTTGAGCAGGATAAAGGATATTCTCTGGTGCCTTGGGAATGCGTTTAGAGAATGACACAAGGACCCTTTCGCCGCACTTGTCGTTTTCTCTCTCGCTTTCGGTCTTGTCGGGTTTGACCCTCGCGTTTACGTGCGGCAGCATCATAATCGCTGGTCGAACTTCCCTGGAGGTCCTTCCGTATAATCTGTCGACACAGGTCAATGAAGACCTCATTAACATTGGCTCGTCGACGCGCCGATGTTTCATAGTAGGGAGCGTTGCCCCAGCTCTGAGAAAGAGCAAATGCACGAGCACGTGGGACTGCGCGGTCTTCCTCCAAATCCGATTTATTGCCCACAATGACGATGGGAACTTTCTCGTCGTCTTTAATGCGAATAATTTGTTCTCGTAATTCGGACAGCTCGTTCAGAGACGACATGCTAGTGATAGAGAATACAAGCAAAAAGCCCTGGCCTTGCTTCATATATAGTTCTCTGCAGGATTCACATGTTAGCGATCGAGATCTGGCAACTGAGAGATGTGAGTCCCGATGACCCCATGGATATAGCATTCATTACCTCATGGCCGCTGGGAAAACGTTAGTGGAGAGAAAACCCAGCATCAAGAGCAAGATAACTCACTAAATTGTTCTGTCCCCGCTGTATCAAGTCTGTTGACAGGTCAAGGGTCAGCCAGCCGTGTTTGTTTACACGTAAAGCGCAATTCCGAACCACCATCCGTGTTCCTTGTGACATACATTTCCAGAATACATTGTCGGCCCTAGAAAATGTCAGCGACTTGAGAATGAACCCGAGAATGAAGTTGAGAGCAGGATAAACATACATCTACCTCGATATGCTTGCGATAAGAGTCTTCAATCGTCGGATCATAGCTTTCAATCCAAACGTTTTGCACAAATTGCGCTGCCACAAGTAAGCGACTGATTGGTCTAGAGAGCAGAGACGGCCTTCCGAGGCAAGCACGAAGCCGACGCGACCGAGAATCATACCAGTAAGACAACTTTTTCCCACTCCTCCAGCACCCAACACGACAATGTGATATTCCCGTCTACCGGTCACACCGAAGGAGGCATTATTAGTGACCGCTATTCCCAGCATGCAACCTGGGGGGAGGATAGTAGACTCACTGAGGCCGCATTGAGATGGACAATTATGGACTTGGATGGTTCAATGGCAACGCGTACAACTTAGGATCAGGGGTGTCTGCGAGGGTTGGGCAAGAATTGCGAGGGCAAGGAGGATCGAAAACGGCAGAAGGATTAGGGTTGGAGAAAGACGGAAGATGTGGATTGATGATGATCGGAAGCAATGCGCAGGGATGGCGGGGACGATGAGCTGAGAAAGAACCAGGATATCTAACGACACGCGATCCGTTCCATTGGGTTTCAATCTCCACGAATTATGGGTCAATTGGCGGGAAGTCGGGAAAGAAAAGGAGGAAGAGAGGAAGATGGATGGATGGATGGATGGATGGATGGATGGATGGATTGAGGAGAAAGAAGTGGAGGAAAAGAGGGAGAAAGAGAGAAAAGAAGCTAAAGAAAGGCCAGACCGACTCCAGTTAGGTTTGCGAGTTGTTGATGCGGAGAAGAACTCTGTCCAGGAAATACGCGTGTAATTGGGGATGATTTGTAGATAGATTTCTTCTTTCTTTCTTTTATTTTCTTTCTTAGATATTCTTCACCCCTTTCGCTTCATCAAGAATGACAATTTGTAGAGAGTACCTCAGGAAGTAAGATAGAAGTTGATGGCGGTGAAGATGTTGACCGCGTTCATGCAGCCCAACTTTCAGAAGAAAGCATCTTCACTTCATGCTGAAACGCACAGAACCTCCGACCGGAGACAGACATCCTTCCGGACGACTCGCAGCATATACCATCGCAGGCATGAAGTTCGTTTTAGGACCCTAGAAAAGAGTCTCAGGCCCCCTGCCTGGTCAAGGGACTGTTTCACTCGGTTCGTGCCGAGTTGCTTTCATGTGTATCTATCACATTCCACGATACCTACAGAGTACAAAGTACATGATCGTGAATTTTCCTTGCTTGAATATGACAGATGTACGGACTCAACCCCGATCATATCTTTTTTATGTTGTACAACAGAAAGCATCCATCCCTCCTGCCCCACTGTCATCACGCAGGAACACGCCAGTCATATGTCGGAGCTGTGCAGTTGCAGAATTAGCATTAGTTAGGCCGCAACACGTCCATCCGTACCATTGATCACTAGCAGCTCCCCCCCCTTCTTCCCATTCTGCGCATGCCGGCGGAGGCTATATCGCTCCAGAGAATCGAACACATGGCCAAACACCAATTCCGGCACATCGCTGGCCCATAAAAAATCTAGATGCTCATATTTGGGAATCTGTTTAGCAATCGTTCCACGCGGCAGCTCCTTCAGCATCACATTAATGTCGACCAGGCTGTCACTGCCCCCATACAGTAACACAATCGGCGTCTTGATGTTCTTCGTGGGATACTTGACGGGCTTGTAAAATCGCTCGCTCGCGACAACACTAAACGGAGCGTAAATTTCGTCATCGTAAAACTGGAAATTCTTGTTGCGGATGATCTGGAACCAATGGACCACCGACTTGGTGCTGGTGAAGGAAAACAGATGCAGATATCCCGCTAGTTTCTGGGGGCGACTGATGTTCCTGCATCGCCAGTTAAAAAGGAGCCGAAGCGAGGTGTCGATGATCCGCATGAAGATCGGAGGGTAGAGGATAGTCTGCCACATCGTGGTCGAGCTGAGGATGCTGCGCCGGCCAAAAAGGAGGAACAGGAAGTTCGGAGACGCCTTCATAAGGGAATTGACAACCCGGTTCGAGATGCGCGCAGGCGCCATTGCAGGTGCAAGGGCCACGAAAACATCGATTCTCCCATTCAGCTGCGGGTGGATCGAAAGCGTCGCAAACGCTTGGGCCGTCCCTTGCGAAAAGCCCACATATGACAGGGAAGGCTGCCCTGTCAACTCAAGAATATACTTGATGCTGTCTGGGATATCATGGAAGGCGAACTGATCGATTGAGAAATCCCAGAATTCATTGGACAACGGCGACTTTCTGGTGGACTTTTTGGAATATTTGTTGCCACGATTGTTCCCCAGCCATACGTCGTAGCCTCGCTCCACCAACTGGAAGGGAAGACAGCGCTCCTCCTCGGTCAAACAGATCCAAACCTCGCTGCACATCATCAGGCCGTGGTGGAGGTAGACGACCTTCTTTTGGAGACTTCCCTCCCCCTGGTTGACAGCCCTGCCCTCCTCGCCTTTACGACAGGGCAGCCGGTGCAAACCAAGCAGGTACCCATCCCGAGTTTGGACAATATGCTCTTCTGCCTCGTAACCAAAAACGGAGCAGATCTCTGTGAAGTCAGATGCCTGAGCGACCGCAGCGGCGAACCGCTCTTCTTTTCCCTGCCTATCGGTTTTCTCAGGGGTTATGAACAGGTTGAAAACGGTCTTGGACCGGTCGTAGCAGAACCTAATAATCGGCTCAGCTATCTCGCAGTCAGCCTAGTGTCAAACGTAGAGAAAGGATTTTGCATCATGAGCCCATACGAAGACCAAACGTAATAATGTGGATAATCCATTCCAACAACACCAGAATTAAAGACCCAAATAGAGCAATATACTCGAACCAGAAGAGACGCCCGATAACCGGTACACGAGCCATGACAACGAACCCAATACGCAAGAAGCCGCTTTTATCATGCAGAATGGCAACAGAAACAAAGGCTCATCGTGAGGCAGCTCAACGGACGGAAGTAAATTCACCCTCCAGACTGCAGCGACAACAGCAGCAGCGACGAAAAACAATTCGGGGACAATCGCGACGTCATGGCCTGAGGAGCCCGCCTTCCATTTTCATGTGATGCCGGCTTACCTAATCCGGGGTTCGTTCCCTTTCCAGGCTGGGTGCGCGGGCCGAAATTTTGCCGCGGAGCTCTCTCTCTCTCTCTCTCTCTCTCTTGACTTGCCCTGGCGAGTTTTGTATAAGTCGGGAGTAACCTGAACTAACTAACTAGGTTGGTTGTTGACTCAAAGCCCTGGGCGTATCCTGTTCAAGGCCATTGGCTACATACATTGCATCCAAGATGCCGAGTTCCTGCAATGCTATACGTAAGTTGCGTTAGAATCTATTCCTGATTGCTTCCTCCAAAGCCTTCCCTCGCACCCAATGATTCTTACATAGGATACTAACATCCAAAAATATATATAGGAGATGCGCTGGCCCAATGTCTACAACAATCAGACTGCATCATGGTCCAACGACATACTCCCCGAGAATGTCTCACCGAACCCCTAGTCGATGAACTCCCCATGCGCTGCCAACAATTACGGAAAGGATTCAGCGAGTGCAAGTTAGTTCTCTCTCTCTCTCTCTCTCTCTCTCAACCCAATCGGAAATGACTCTCTAATGATCCTGATAATAAACTCTCAGGCGTGGACTAATCGATATGCGCAAACGATTCCGTGGAAACGCTCCCCTTTCAATGTCCAAGGAGGTCGACGGCAAGTCCGGCACGTCGCAGCAACTGTACGCTGGTAAACCGGCGTTCGAGACAGTCAAGGAACTCAGTGGAGATGAAGTCCAGATGGACCCGGAGAAGACTCGAGGTCTGTAAGAGAGTAAGATAGATAGATATACACACATATATCTATGTATGTATGTCTGGGGAAGTGAGGGGCCAGGGAATGTTTAAGAATGAGGACCCCCATGGGATCATTGTAACACAAATTTCATTTTCTTTTTCCTGTTCTTTTTTTTTTTTTTTTTTTTTTTTTTTCCTTGGGGCATTCATTGTTGATCTCGATATCGTCCCGTGATAGGAGTTTTGCATCTGCTTTTCCTTTTCTTTCTCATGGCATGGGCCGGAGTTCTTTTATATTCGGGGTTTCTGACGCTGATATGTATTCCTAGTCACCCGGGGATTTGTACATATTTACTACACAATTAGTTATACACCGTTCTCCCTACTCAACAACAAAGAAAAGAGTCTCTATATTTTCACTAACATTGCACCACGGTGGGATGTGCAGGATTTTTTTTTTTTTTCATACAACAATCATTTTAATTAATACATTACTTACTGCATCTTCTTGGCCTTCGAGGCAGTAGTAGGGGCCGACTCCGAATAGAGCCAGACAATCACAAATGCCAGAAATCCGGCAATGACAGACCAGAGGCCAGCAATCCACACCCATCCTCCGGTAATCTCCCAGCTCCGAGGGTACTCGTTGTGAGCAAAGTGGCGAACGGTCACCTCGTGCTTCTCTTCGAGATTGGTCAGGAAGGGCCGCTTGTAGTTTACGCGGAAGGAGAAAATTCCGTGCTGGTCAGGGACAGTAAACTGGGTGCGGAAGATAGTGCTGTTTCCTGTCGTTCCGGAGGGCTTCAGGTTGAGACGGTGGAAGGGGGAGAGCATGGTGAATTCAAGTTGAAGTTCGTCGTCGGAGGGAACCTCGAAGGGCACGAATCCATCATAGCTGTATTCAGAGACTTCAATGCTGAAGACCTAGATGCCAATCAGTCAATAGCCCTAAGAGGGGAAGCTCATGACATACTGTCTCATTCTTAATCCGGTAGATTGTCGGGTTCAAGTCCTCCGCGGTAAGATCATCCTTGGCGAGGTGGTGCTCAATCTTTCCGACCTTGAGCACACCAGTCTCCTTAAATGTCCACGCAGTCAACTGCTTGGCGAATTCCCGGTTGACAGTCTTCATCTCTTTGCTACCGGGGGTCTTGACAGTTGCGGAGAACCACGTGTCCTGGAGACTTTCCACGGAGCCTAGCAGAGTGAATCGGGCGGAGTTTCGGGCTTGCATGGCTGAAACGAGAGCCAGCTGAGAGCCAGCGGCAGTAACGTCTTCCACCGAAACCGAGCCATCCTTAGGGTTATAGCTATATGCGGTTGCGGGGGCCCGGAGGATGGGCGCCAAGAGAGAACTGTCTCCCAGAGTGTGAGGAGCAGTGTGGGGGAAAGCCAGGACACCCTCGCCGCCGAAGAAAGCCTTGGTGTCGGGTCTCAGCTTGCCGGGGCGCTCAAGAACGAGGACGTCGTGTTTCTCCGGCGCAGACTCGGTGTCGTAGTGGAAATGGTCCACTGCGACGGAGGAACGGTCGGAGGACAGACGGATATCAAATTCCAGGAGAAGGGAGCCAATTGCGCTAGGCGTTGTGGACTGGCCCGAGAGGGCTAGGAGGATATTGCCGTCGTGGTTCACAAAGTCAACGATGGTCTTGGGACTGAGAGAAGGTCCAAAGCCTATATGCAAGTGGTCAATTGGCGGTCCGAACACAGAAGCTAGTCTCACACTGCACAGGACTATGGCTGACCTTTCGATTTAGGGGGAAAGATGAGCAGATGGTCGTAAGCTCTCTCTCCAAGCTCGAACAAGGACAGCTTCTCGTTCTTTGGTGATTCGAACTCAAGATCGTAACCTCGAGCTATCCCGAGACAATAGATCAGCACTCACAATCCTAGCGGGATCATGCGGACATAGTATGTATACCTTCTAGATCGCCCCAAAAGGTAGAATATAGATCTTTTTCGGTAGCATCCTCCAGGATAACGAGCAGACGATTGCCCGAACTACTCAAAGCATTGACAGCGGCCAAGAAACCAAAGAGGACGAGAGAGGAACACCAGCGCATCTTCAAGAAAGTCCGCACAGCGGGAAAGATGAACAAGGCGGGAAAACCTGGAGTTGGTCGAGAGAACTTCCTGTACCTCCAAACGGAACGGGCGACGTGTTTGGACCGAGCGAGCGCCAAGACTTGTTCCCAATCGGGCCATGGCCTGCAACCTCAACTTCGGCCGTCGTCACTTTATCTCCAGACGTCCGCAAAAAACCTTTCGTTCAACGTCCGACAACCTCCGCACCTTCATTGCAGCCATGGCTACCCCTCAATTCTGGTCGACTCCTCTCCGCTACCTTCGCTGGGCCTCCTACGAGAAACCGGCTATCTTTTACTCCCTCGTTATCGGCGGTACCGGTCCTCTCATGCTCGTCGGTCTGCCCCCAATCCGACGTGCGTTCGGTGATGTCGACCCCGAGCCCATCCCATTGACATATCCCAGTAAGGATACCTACCTCCCCCGTTTACTTTTTGGTTTCCTGTCTTTGTCAAGGCCAACTCAAACTGACGCCGTTGGAATTCCAGTCCCGCAAGGAACCCGAGTGACCCCCCAGGGCTACGATGACGAGTAAATCCCTCCATCGATAAAGAATGGAGTTGTATTTTTTTTTTTTTTTTTGCTACCATATCATCTGTTGTCGTTTAGCTGGAAATCTGCACCGCTTTTTCTGACGCATCCCAACACCATATTGGACCGGGACCGGGTCTACTTGTCATACATCATATATCATCATGGCTATCAACAATCGAACACTGCATGGTTCAGTCGAAAGCATGGCAGGTCTGTCGTCTCGTTTTTGTAGGGGTTTTTTATTTCCCCGCTTCTTCTTTTTCTACTCCTGGGGCTATGGAATGTCTGCCTCCTTCCCTTTTTATGGGCGTTTCTATACCTCCATGTGACCAAGAGGTCGGGCTGGTGGTGAGCGTTGCAATGTATTGTACAGGAAACAAAAAAAAAGGTTATAGATCGAGAATCAGATTATCGTCCCTTTAGTAAATGCCGTATCCGTTTCAAATCCATTCGCCAGGAATAAAGAATCCATCTGCGACCTCGGATACCGCACAATCGAGGCACGATTACCAAAGTACGGAGTAACACATCAAGCTACAGAAAAGACAACCTCTCGTCGTCCGGCGGTACACGATCAACGTCCCCCATCGGAACAGCCAACCCCAACACATCGAACTCCAGACCGGGGGGGGGGGGGGGGGGTTTCAATAATACAGCGACAGAGCCATTGCCGGTACATAGCTAGCGCCATCCACATGTAGCTATTGTGCGCTTCTCCGGGGGGCACTGGGGTGTGAAGCATGGCCTGCGGTTCGGGGAATATAGTTGATGAGCTGCATCTCGACAGCTTTCTTTGTCGTAGCGAGCAAGCATCTTCTGCTTCCTATGGCATCCATAGTTCACGCGCTTTCTGGGGCAGAGACGCACGTTCCGTTTCCTCCAACAAACTCCATTTGCCGATGACATGGACTGCTGCTTCTTGGAATATAGGCGCTGAACGAATGCGAGTAGCCAGCGTTGCCCAGGCGATAGGGTTCTCTGCGATGAGAGGATAGATCTGCGGAGTGAATTCGAGGAGCATTAGCACCAATAGTTAATGGGGTGAACTATATCAGCGGCTCAGATCTCCTCTCCGAGATCAGCAAGGTTCATGCTGTTTTGCAATATTCGATCCATTCCACCGTTCTCCAGCGTAGGTCTGAGAGCGTAGAAAATCTTCAAAAGGTTGCACCAGAGACAGCGAGTTTTCTCTGGCCACACAGGAAACGAGCAGAGGAAGCCAGCTCTTCTACTCCTGGGTTAGACTTGAGCTGAAGGACTGACTGTTCTTCATCCCGGGGTCTTGCCTGAGCTTCAAAAACGCCATACTTATGCGCAGCTGAGCCAACGAGATTGAGAGAGAAACGATCCAAAGGTGGGACGGGATGTCTTCAGGCTGGAAGGCCAAAGGTTTGGTTTCTTTCAAGAAGCTTCCCCAGGACTCCAGAGCAGCCTTTGATCACCCACGAGTGAAGTTGGTAAATGTCTGGCAGAATAGCGATTCTAACATCCCCGGCACTAAACTGAGGGAAGGTCTCTTGATCCATCGTCCAGTACCAAAGGCAAAGAATCAAAAAGAAAACCCTGGAGAACAGAGAAATAGTCAAATCTTCTCTCTAATCAGGCCATAGCAACAAAACTGAAGATGCTGTAAACGTATACCAGCATCCTATTCCAAGTCCGCACTACTTAACAGCGGGTGCGAGGTATCCGGAAATACCGAAGGAAAGAGTTCTACACGCTTACTAGATCACTCTAGAGATATTGAAACAATCTTAGATTATTGAACGACTCTGGAACCCAGTACCAAAGTCACAAAACAGCCAGGGAAAAGACCAACGCCATATATGCTCATATCTACATGTAGCTCATGAACAGCATCACTGTGTATCATCAACGCCCCAAGCTGGTGGATATATTCCGAAATCAGCTGGAGGCTCCCATAAGACTTAACATGTCGTAATCAAATGGTCCAAAACGAAAACGAAAACACCTCTCCACGATTAAGAGGCACCAAAGTAGATAAAGGATCACAGCCAGTACACCAAGGAACCAGGACAGGAGAAACAACTGACTGACACGAGAAGAAGAAGAAGAAGAAGAAGAAGAAGAAGAAGAAGAAGAAAAAAGATAAGATAAAGAGCACCAGGGAGATATCAAAGGCCAAGTCGACATTACAATAGATGAAGCAAAAAAGCCACCTTTTCGTAACCCATCACATAAAGTCGGTCAATCTTTACATTATGAATGACAAAATGGTCCTTCAAGGAAAATAGTAGCAAGGGCGGCATCAGCAAAGCACCAGTCAACGCCTGTGGAGACGTTGAGACGTTCCGCAAAAAGTCAAGAATAGTCAACGACAACTCGTATGGCATCCAGGTAAATAGAACAATGTCCGGTATCTAAGGCTCGCTTCCCCGAGGCTGCAATTGGTCTCCAAACAAAACTTCAGTACTTTTTTTTTTCCGGTTGAATGTTCCCGTAGGTATAAAAAAAGAAATAATCGATCCGTAGATGGCTCCGAGCAAACGGGTGAAAGAATCTCAAGGTGTCAAATATCATTATCCCCAGGGCGTTCTTTTCCAGGGAAGGGGGGTTCTTCCCAGACGCCCGGGGCTCGTATGGAGCAAATGGATCATTATTCATTACCGAGTTCGGCGCTGAGCCTCTCTTTCTCTTGCTGGCTGTGGCCTATTGCGGTCGGGGTATGTTGACTCCGGGGTATATCTGGGTTCCATTGCTATCCGAGGGTCCGGGGCAGTGGTAGTAGGATAGGCCATTCCAGTGGTAACGGGAGAGTAGTCAGACTCGGCTTCATAACCCGGGCCAGGATATCTAGGGGCATTATTTCTCCCGTTCTCGTAGCCATAGCCAGAGCTGGCATAAGTATACGAGGGGTGCATATCCGCCGTCACGGCCGGTTGGCCTGGAGCAGAGTAGGGAACATGCGGGGGAGGGTATGGGTTTTGGCCAGCTCCAAATGCTCCCGAGTGGTTTGGAGGATATGAGGGAGCGTTTGTGTACGGGGGGGTTGACGTTGCAGGGTATCCAGATGGAGGATACTGTTCCGCATATTGCTGCGGTGGCGCAGCGTAGGTTGTTGGAGGAGAAGGGCCTTGTCCTTGGGGCATCTCCGGATGAGCAGAAGAATAGTTTGCTGGAACCCGGTTAGGTTGCGAGTAACTATAATCCTGAATGTAACTACCTCGTGGATAACCTTGGTCAGCCCGACTCCTCACATCTGCCTCCCAGCGAGCCGAATCGGCTTTCAGATCAGCAATCATTTCCTGCAAGACGGTCAGCCGGCATTCTCTTTCAACCCCGGTTCGAAAAGAAAAGAAAAGAAAAAAAAAACTATACCGATGTGAGGTTTCGGTAAGCCCGAATGAAATAACCTTGACGACCCTGTTGGCAAGTTAGTGACGGAATGAGAGAGCGGATCTGGTTAATTCTCTTTCCAGTGACGAAAGTGGACGGTTTCATTTTGAAGAGATTTAGGGAGACGGACATTATGGTTTCCAGGTCTTACAAGCGCATCATTTCCGAGGTAACGGCAAATATCGGCCTGGATTACCTCGCGGCTAATACCATCACCAGCGATAAAGTATTCGTTTTGCCGTTCAAAAGGGGCTCCATGACGGCCAGTCATTGTGTCCAGGGCAGAGGTTTTTTTTTTCCAGTATTAGATTATTAAAATCAAAAGGGTCCAAGTGGCCAAAGGGGAGTCCAGAAGAAGGTCCAGAAGAGGAAGACGAGTTGAGAGTCTCTTGGGTGGCTTTGAATAAACACGACAGATACGGTTCTAACAGGCTGAAAACTCCAATGCTGGCAATAAAGCAATCCTGAGTTTTGAGGCAAGTATCCCAGTGGAATAGAGAGGCGAGAGAGATGAGGGTTCTTCCAGATGGAATATAGGTTCTTCCTGGGCGATGATAATAACAAAGAAATCCGGGTGAATGGATTCTTCTCCTTCAGTGGTTGATTGTCAAGAAAATGGGGGTTCCCAGTCCTTGGAATAAGTAGCAAGTAATCGGATCGTAGAGAGTCGAGAATGAGGAGAAGAGAGGCCACGGCGGAGGAGAGTATTGGGGAAGATGAAAGACGAAAGATGAGGATAAAGAGGGGGGTTTAGGGGGTGTGATGCGATGATCAAGAGACTTCAGGTTGAGGAATTTATTCTTGTCTCCCACGCTGCTGTACACCTAGGATGTTACCTTCGAGCTGGCAAAAAAAGGGCCAGGATGACGAGGGGGAGAGGGGAGAAAAGGGGAAAGGGGGGAGAGAGAGAGAGAGAGAGAGAGAGAGAGAGAGGGAAAGAGAAGGAAAGGAGGCAAAGAAGAGGATGAGAGAGGCTTGTGAGAGGAAAAGATGAAAAGAGAGAGAGAGAGAGAGAAGAGGGAAGACGCTGAAGAAGTGAAAAGAGGGGGGGCGAAACGATGAGCAAGGAAGAAACGAGACGAAGGAAGCCATTGATTGGGCTGTTGGGCGGTCTTATTGGGCTGCGGTTGATGTCTGGTGCCACGACAACTTCAGTAGTATAACTAAAATCTTCAAGCAGGTTCCACTTCCAGGGCGATTATTGATGAGAAAGAGTCAAAGACTAGTTACCTGCATGGATTGACAAATAAGGCTTAGTATTTTTGCTGGTATCCGTCTTGACCGACAATGGGGACTGAGATTGCATGATGGGGCAGGGTCCCAGAGGTACTTTCTACACCAGTCAGTTGTCTATGGATTCTCAAGTATCTTCATAATTGTCATGGACGCTGGGGATCTGGATTTCCACTATAAAGACGGACGCTCGCCTAATTAAGGAGGGTTGGGTGGTGTGAGAATTTTCTTCTATCCCAGGTAAGCGCTGTGTACAGGCTGGGTTAATACTAATAGTAGAACAGTCATCTGTGCTGCTTCCCCCTGGTCTGCTGTTTGAGACGGTTTTACGCTGGGGAGATATATCCAGAGAATCTGTACTCTGGACGGAGTCCTCGGTCTGTACTTCCACAGGGAAAAAAAAAGAAGAAAGTAAAAATCAACTTCTCCCCATAAATTGTCCCAGTTACGGAGTACTTCACATCAAGAACCAAAAATTGCAGGTTGGGCAGTAATGCGTGGCGTGGCGGCTTGGGCACTCAACCAGTCATCTTCAACAAATCCAATCCCGAGAACCAACTCTTAACCCGCCCGGGCCGCTTATCTGGGTTCCTTTGGTGGAACCATAGTCGGAGCTAGATTCTCTCTCCCAAAAATATGCACCAACCTTTGGGATCGAATCTCACCACACTTGTCAGCGTTACCTGGATTAGTTACAGATGTATGCCAAAATCTTCTTTTCTCTCTTCTTTTTTCTTGCCTCCTGATCAAATTGAAGCGTCCAGTCACGGTCAGCAGGCCCAGACTGACCAGAACACCGTTAGGACCAGGAGTTTACCGCTTCCTAAAACGCTCGCATGCTTTGCCCACAGAAGTTCTTGCATGAGACTGAGGGTGCTCGAATGACATCGATACAGGTGGCTTCATGATGCATCCTGGTCTCCGTAATGGCTGCATCGATTCCTCCTGACCCCGGCCTAAGGTGCGGTAGCGGCAACTCAATACACTCAGATCACATGCTTCACTCACAGACTCACTGCAGCATATGCGCCTCTCTGTAGTTTCTTGCCTTGCCTTACGAGTTACGACTGCTGCTGCTCGCCAATTAGTCTTCGCGGGAACGAGGCTTAGTGATTATCGAAGTCGTGCAGCTCTGGCCTAGGAACTTTAATTTCCCAAGAACTGCATTGCACCAAGGACTCAGTAGTCTGCATAATTTATGGGCAGTAGCATAGCTGCCCGAGAATTTCTGGTCTCGAAGATCAATCACCGCTCATCGTCCTATGTACTGTACTGTCTTTAAGCGAGTGGCGGGGATTTCGTCCCAAAGTTCTCTCTGGTATTGGATTGATGATATCACAAAGTAAGGAGATGATCCTGAGATCAAACTTTGAGAACCTACCGTATCAATAGCCAAGATGCTAGCCTCTCAATCAAATCGATCCTTCTCCCCAGGGCTGAAGTGGATTGCTCCTGGAAGCACTACTGTATGGTTCTTTTCCAGAAGGGCATTGCATGGGACTAGCGGCGAAGCCCTGACGTTAGAAGTAACTTTTGCTACCTAAACTTTTCAATAGGAGGAAGTTTCCTCATTTTCATCCACCTTGAGAAATCTAAATCTATATTCTGATCGGGAGTTAACAACATGCGTCAGTCATGAACCCAAACAAATCTGTCGGTAGTTGCAGTTCTCATCTGTACTCCATATAGTTATAGATATACCTACCTGATCTCGTCACACAACTCCGTTCTATGTCCCCGAATTCCGAGTACCAAACATGAACCAGACAATAAGTTTACAGTAAGTTTGATTGATTATGTCCATATATTGGGAGCGTAGTGTAAAAGTAGTTCTGATAAGGTACGAGGTAAGGAGATCTCGGCAACATGCGTTAGAAAAGGACTCTAAGCCTGATATATGCCTCCCTCCTAAAGTCACACTGTCATGAAAAGGAAAGAACTTGTACCACAAGGAAAATAAAATAAGAGCGAAGAGATACAGATGGTATAGTAGGGTCGGACTTGAATTATTTCATAGATGTGGCCTGGGATTGGAGCTAACCGTTCTGGGAATGCCTGTCTGGACCTAATGACGACAATAATCCATGGGCTGAAGAATTTCAACTCGACCTTCAGAGGACCGACCATATAACGCGACGCCAATTTTTTTTTTTCCGCATCTCATCTACCGTACTCGTGATTATTCAGATGTAAATCCGCTATGGGTATATCATTCCCGCTCGCGAGATGTCACCCTATTCCCCCGAACTCCCCGCATCGCCCGCCCCAAGCGATACCCTAAAGCAGCACGACTACTCCCACTCCCGCTACACCTACCGCCAAGTGCAGCTTCTTCGCCAGGCGTCGACTACCTCCCAGCTCCGCGTGATCGCCCATATTGATCTCGATGCCTTCTACGCGCAATGCGAGATGGTGCGTCTGGGGACGCCCCGCGCTACTCCCCTCGCCGTCCGACAATGGGACTCCCTCATTGCGATCAACTACCCGGCGCGGGACTTCGGAATCACACGCATGATTTCCGCGAAGGATGCGAAGGTCAAGTGTCCGGGCATTGTTCTGCAGCATGTGGCGACCTTTCGTGAGGGGGAAGGTGGCAAGTGGGCGTACAGGGATGATGCGTTTAGAAATATGGGAACGGATAAAGTCTGTCTTGACCCTTATCGAGCGGAGTCGCGGAAGATTTTGAAGGTTATAAACGATGAATTGTTGACATGGTATACGCGGGTCGTGGATGATTTACACAGCGCGGGTGTGGATAGCCGCGTTAAGATACAGCAAACGCTGGTGGAGAAAGCGAGTGTAGACGAGGTGTTCATTGACCTGTCGCCGCTGGTATTTGGGGTCCTGCTTCAGCGGTATCCTGAGCTGCGCGTGAATCCGAAGGCGGACGAACGGACTACACTGTTACCTTGTCCTCCTACAACCGCGTTGGAATGGAAGGAGGAAGATTGTTTGGTGGGCTTGGATGAACATGAGACGGAGGGGGATAATCCGGATTGGGACGATATTGCAATGCTCATTGGTTCTGAGATTGTTCGGTCCGTTCGAGCTGCGGTTTGGGAGACGCTCAGTTACACCTGTTCTGCGGGAATCGCTAAAAATAAGATGATGGCGAAGCTCGGGAGCGCGTCCAACAAGCCGAACAAGCAGACTATTGTTCGAAATCGTGCAATTAAAACATTCCTTGGTGGATTCAAGTTTACGAAGATTCGAATGCTTGGAGGCAAACTGGGTGACCAGGTCTCTTCCCAGTTCGGAACAGAGCAAGTCAGTGACCTGTTGCAAGTACCGCTGGAGCACTTTCGAGCGAAGCTGGATGATGACACTGCCAGTTGGTTGTACGGGATTATCCGAGGGGACGACCGAAGTGAGGTCAACCCTAGGACCCAGATCAAATCGATGCTTTCCGCCAAATCATTTAGACCCAGCATAAACAGTGTTGAACAGGGGGAGAAATGGCTACGAATCTTCGCTGCTGATATATTCGGACGACTTATCGAAGACGGGGTCTTGGAGAATAAACGTCGTCCGAAAACGATAACGTTGCACCATAGACAAGGATCCCAAGTGAGATCTCGCCAATTTCCTATTCCGGGATCGTCTCCTATCGACGAGGCTTTGCTTTTCGATCTTGGAAAGTCTTTGCTCAGACAGGTTGCAGGCGATGGAACGGCATGGCCGTGTGCAAACTTGTCGCTGAGCGTTGGTGGTTTCAAGGACGGAGTAACGAAAAATAAGGCCATAGATAATTTTCTGCTGAGAGGTGATCAGGCTAAAAGTGCTGGCTTTTCTGGCCAGCTTCATCCTCCGGAGGAGTTACCAATTGCGCAGCAGCCTAGCGAGAAGCGAAGGAAACTCGACGACTCTGGGATTATGCGGTTTTTTAACAAGCCTTTTGCATTCAACGACCGGGACTATTCCCCTGAACTAGGACTGCCAGAACCCACGGGGGATGGCGAACCAAAAATTGGCGACTTTCATTCGTCTGATATTGTCTCTCGTGAGGATCCTACAGAACAAGCACTCTTGAGTACCCTCGCCTGCCCCCGTTGTGGAAAGACAATTTGGCAAGACGAAGAAGACGAGCACAATGACTGGCATTTTGCAAAAGATCTTGAAACACGCGAAAGACAAGCCACAAGGAGCTCTCCGCAACATCCTCACTTGCCACCAAAAACAAGTGCATCAAATAGCCGGGCAAAAGTCTCTCGTGGTCGGGATAAACCAGAAAAGGGCCAAACTCGACTGACTTTTGGCTGAGACCACGGAACAGCCTTTTGGCTATGAATTGGCTTTATTGCAAATAGGTCTCTCGCCATAGAGCTTTTTAATGGCCTATACTGGCGCCCTGTCTGGTTTGCATTTCCCCACTGGTGTAAGTGGCATGCAATATTACCTACCTAGGCCAGATAGGATCCTTATACAAAGGTCCTATGGACATCTCAGCGTCATCCTCCCAACTGCGAAGTTTGTGGAACAGCTGCAGCACCTGGATTCAACATTCTTGTATACACCATCGATTTTTCACTGGACTTTTGTGCTCAATTGGTGCACAGCTCGCCAGATCAAAAGGCACAATCCCATAACTCCACCAGCCGGTGGCTCGGACATTGCCTTCGCCTCCGCCATGCAGCAGCCTAGTTTCCATTTGTCTGCTGGGGCCTACCTTGATAGATTATTTCCTGTTAGCCTCTGCGGACCGCAGACCATCACAATAGACTGAGTGGAATAAACTATATTCTTGAGTATATTCGCGGACCGAGCATACAACAATATTCAAGCCCGCGGCAGATATTTCGCATTATCTATTCTAAAATTAGTCAATCACATCCCCCAGAACATGATTCGTTACTCTGTGAATCTTAAGCTACATTACAGAGTGCACCTCCAGAGAGATTCTACAAGTACAGAGTGCGCCTTAGCAGGCAAAATCCTGCAGCGTGACATCAGCAACATAGCCGCGGGGTTGTTTCAGGCAGACGAACCGTCGTCCACCTTGCTCCCACCAAAACCAAACCAACTCATGTATTTCCAGCACAAAATAACAATGACCTCGGTTTTCAGACTGATACTCCCTCGACAGTCACTCAATCATGATGTGGTAATCGAAGCCTTCTCGGGTCATTTTTTTTTAAAAAAATTTTTTGCTTCTCAAGGAGGACCTTCACCAGACTGCCAGCAACAATTGAGACCCTTCGTTCCAAGGCACGTATACGAGCTCAACAAACCGTCGATGAAAGTGCGAATGGAAACAATTGTTTCCTCCTCTTAGACCTGCCTAGAAGATTTTAATCTTGTTCTCCCCTTGCCGGTTCCTTTCAAGACCTCAAAATGCCCCGCCGCGTTCGTCCCGTGGAATCTAATGCGGGAATACCCGAAGTCGACCGTGAAATATACCTCAGCCGGCCCACGGACGACCTCCTAGTCGACGACGATGTGAGGTACGGACATCGAACGGCAAACGGGCCATTTGTTGAGATCCTTGAACGGCGTCGCGTTCGAGAGTGTTCAGAGCCGGAGATTCCCCGCAACAAGTATCATTATTCTCGGGACGTGGAACCAGTTTCTTCGAGACATACACATGAGCGATTTGATTGTGATTTATCGCCACATGAGGCAATGAAACAATACCGAAAGAAGAAACACGATAATCATGCCTACGAACCTCGTGGGAGGCCGCGTTCGAGACCCATGAATACAGAGGAGGCATATTTTTCACACCAGGAATCAGATAAGGGCTACTCCACAGATAGTGAATCTGATGAATCTGAAGCTTTTACTCAAAGACAGGAGTGGTCTGTATCTCGACGCGGATATACTGTTCCCAAAGACCTTCTGCCGCGCAGTAAAAGTTTGAAAGAGAAACGAAGAGTGCGACGCTCAGAGTATGAAACAGAAGATGTCTTCTCACAAAAAGCTATCCCCAGGGAGAGAGAAGAATATATAGAGAGTCGGAAGAGTTCACGCTATAGTGCTCCTCATTTAAAACACAGATCGCACTATCATATAGATCTAGACGAGGATGAAGAGGATGAAACCGATGAAGAAGACATTCCTGTTTCCAGGCATGAACAACGAAGAGATCCACAGAGAAGCCATGCTAGGGAGAGGTATTCCCCACGGAGCCGAGAGACGTCCTCGTCCTCGTCCTCGTCCTCGTCCTCTTCATCGTCATCGCCAGCAGTGTCGCCTCGGAAAGAGATCCCTAGAGTACCATTGCCAGCTCCAATGCCACCGGTTTACAAGGAGTCGGCCACGAAACATATATCCCTGCCTGGAGGTATGATTTCCTTTCAGAAGGTTCTACTAGTTGTTAATCAACCATCAGCTTTCCCCGTAGGGGACCCGTCTCGCGCACATAGCCCCGATATTGCTGAGCCCGATGCTCACCAACAGTACGTTACCATCGCACGTTTACTTGTATGACTCACTTACCCAGCGCAGTAGGAAAAGGAGAGAAAAGCCGGCGAAGGAAGAAATTGGGCTCGAAAGACAGAGTAAGGATGCTTTTGCCGTCCCGTTGCATCGTCTGCTGCCCGAACCTCCTGGTCGACGCAGAAAGGAAGACACTATCGTTATCCCCCCCGAGCCAATTTTCACGGAGCACGACGACGGCTTTGCCATCGAGGAACGCGATCGTCGGAAACCTACTAAGAAGCTTGAAATTGTTGAGGAAGACTATTACCGGACCCGCAAGGTCGAGCCGTCATCGCAGAGTCCTCGCGCTCGGGATACCGTCGACGACTGGGCTATTGTCAAGGCCCCGTCTGAAAGCAAGCGCGGTTCAAAAGAGGAGCTGATCGAGACTGTTCCAGAAGAAAGACACACGCGACCCAAGGATCGTAAATCCAAGTTGACCGTCGCAGGCGAGAAGGATCCTGGAACCGACGACAGTCGCCGGCGTGGTAAGATCGGCCGGCGATATATCGGTGTCCAGGACCGTCGAGACCGTCTGTGGACTGAAATCACGAAGGACCTGGTGGTACGAGAGGCAATCGAGAGGGCTGGGTACGAGTACGAGGAAACCGATTCATGCTACTACATCTTCTCCTACCTGCACCGTGTGAGTTACTCTTCTTCCGCCTACGCTTCCGGCAGCTTTCCGCTGACTCGTCATATAGGATGATGTATCTGCTTTGATCCAGCAGTCTGACGATATCCGGCGTGCCCGTCGCCGAAGAATTGAGGAGATCCACCGCGAACGCGCCTCTGTGCCCCCTCCGCCTAGACATGCGATGAAAGGAGCGGCCCCCTTACCCTTACCCTTTGCACCCGACCGGCCCAGCTCGCCTCGTTGCCACCATCGAGAGCGAGAGCGGGACCGAAATCGAGGAGATCGCCGACGGAGGGACTGGGAAGAGGGCAGAGCCCATTCAGGACGATGGTAGATTCCAGAACCCGGATCCTCCACTTACGCAAGTACGATTCGTATTCCATGTGCATAGAGGTTGGATTCTGTGGCCGGATATACTTACCGGAGCACAGTGCGTTAGACATAGTTTCTGTCTCTTTCACTCCTGTCACAACCATCACTTGGCCAGTTATTCAGCATCTGTGTAGGGCTTTGCGTAGGTCAAATAGGTACGGAGTACTTGGTAACGTAGCATAGTTAGTTAGTTAGTTAACTAGTTAACGTTAGTTAGTTACTTTCTGTGATGACGAATCGTCTAAAAATAACCATACCTACTACTACTACTACTACGTAGGTACCTGGTACGGTCAAGGATGAGGCTGGCTGGGATACTCTGGCCAAGTAGTCAATATATTGGAATCGGGTATGAAACGATCCATCCTCGACCTACACGTACATCCTTCCTGGGACTTACCGATAGATATCGTACGGAGAAGTTAACTACAGTATAACCCTATATAATAGGTCGTATTATTAACTCGTTAACTACGAACTAACAAGCCATATCTAATACCAATAACTGTACAGGGATGAGATGCGAGAGCGAGTCTACCCAGGTCCCACACTCTAGGTCCTCCGTCCGGAGTCCGGATAACTACGGAGTACGACTACGGACTGCCAGGTACACACGACTACTACTACTACTAGTAGTAATCTCCCTATATATATATATATCCACCCCTCAGACTCAGAGTGGTACTTTGGACGGGTACGGAGTACTCGCAACACGACCCACCACTCCTCCATTCTTGTGCATCGCTCCACATAACAAGGAAGTGGTAGTAGTCTAGTTTCTGCATTCTGTGCTGGACGCGTACCTAGGTACCTGTACCTGTACCTGTACCTGTACTTGGTTCTACGGTTCTACCCCCAAGTATCCGTAACTAAGAGAATGAAAATAGGAGGAATTTGGAATGCACCGAGCGAAGACAAGTACTTTAGTTAGGAAGGGATGTTGAAGGAGTGCATTTCTCATATGATGTGTCTTTTAGGAACTGGGGTATGAAGGGATGGGATCATCTCACTGATCTTTGTTGTTGATCCCAGGAGGGAGGAGAAGAGTTATGTTCCGTACTTTCATGTAAACTGGAAACCCTTCCCTTAATCAAGAATCAAGAAGTGATTCTCTATTTAAAAGAAAGAGAAGTGCAAAGGACTCGTCATGCATTGGGTTGTCAGTGGAGGCAAGGGTTGTGTTTTAACCGATTCAGGCAGATATTGAAATTTTCCCTGGAATTATTACATTACATTACATTACATTACATTACATTACATTACTATTTTTATATGATACATACTTACAGAGTAGTGTAAGACCTGTACAGGTATGGATGGTTCTATTCAATGTACTACTGGTTAATAGTAATAGTAATAGTAATAGTAATAGTAATAGTAATAGTGAATTAATAGTTAACTGACTCTACATTGACAGTATCATGGTCACGAGAAGTGTCTATATTGAAAACTGAGACATACCACCACCCCTATCACAGGATCCCCGACACACATTGGGTAAATCGGATTCCGATCTTCAGCCACATTACTGGGGCTAATCATGAATATCACAGCTTGGCTTGATCGGCTAACCATGGATATGGGTATAAAATAATCCGTACAGAAAACTTACCGTCGGTGTGAGAATGTTGTTGTTCCCTTTCCGTGCCGTATTATTTGACCTCGTTGAGAACCAACAGTAGCCAGCGATGGGATGGGAGTACTCCGTAGATTTGAAAGGATTAATTCTTCCGACATAGTAAACTGATTAAGGTCTCGGACCGATTTGTGCGGGAAATACATACGTGGGCAAGTGCATGAATTAGAAATTAACAAAAGCTTCGTGATTTCCGATCGCCTCTGGATGCTCGAGTGGGGTTCAACTCGGTGCTTTATCTTTCCACTAAACACCGGCTTCATCGCACATGGGCTGGACAATCCTTCCTTCGAACCGGTAGTGATTCTGCCCGTGTAATTGGTTGTAATAGGTACGGTCCGATTATAGCGTTAGTCCACCAGGCGATCGAACAACACCTGATGGATGAGTCTATACAGCGATTTCGGGGGAGTACCCCTGGGGCGAGATAGCTGCGGAGTTCGGATCGTTGTTGGTTGCATGGAATCAGCATGCCCATGCACTTGGTATGGAGGTATGTTTCTGAGAGGCTGGCAATTCGGATATCCGTCAGGAAGGAATAGACCCGGTAGACGCGGCTTAGCGAGAAAGTACTGAACCTGGATTGAACGGAGCAAGGATATGGAGGTTGGAAAATGGTAGAGGAAGTCATAGGATCCTTGGAAATGTCGACGGGATAGCCGGGTCGAAACCAGTGGTTGACCACCGCTAATAAGAGATTTATTATTCAGGAGGAACCAGTGTATCAAGGATAATAATAAACATCTCCAGCAGGTTGCACATCATTATATTATGATTCGGATTTCAACCAGTCCGAACTTCGAAGTGGTGGAAGACTCCACTTGGTCTTGGAAGCCAGAAGATGTCCTGTGCAGTGGCGAGTTTTGTAGACATCCATTTGTTCCTGAAGGATGAAGTTTTCTTCTTCTTCTTCTTCTTCTTCTTCTTCTTCTTCCTTCTTCTTCCTCACGTTTCACTTTGTAGTCCATACTTAACTATATGGGTCGTAATCCTGGGAATTATCTCAAAATACGCCTTGAATTGCGTAGGCTGGCATCGAGTGGCTGACCCAGCCCCTTAGAAGTCCATTCCAGGCTCTGACACGTTTGCTTGGGTACTCGTCATCGTCATTGATTCCTGACACAGCCATCACATCGATTTATTTGGTAGGATGGCCTTTGATTTCAATGGTACCTCCTATTAACCAAAGATAGAGATGTCAAGAAATATTTCTTCTTTGGGTGTGGCAAGCATTCTGCCGGGTACGACCGCTTGTAACGATGTGTATTTATCAGTTATGCTGACAATATGTTACAGAATCAACACCCCTCTCTCTCTCTCTTCGACTTTGTCTGTGGCCGAATTTAATTGATGGCTAGAGAAATAATAATACCATCATCATTTACTAGTAGTAGTAGTGGTCTACGGGCAGATTTCAAATAAAATACCAGTTCCGGTGGGACAACCAGACAGGCCCGCTCGGACTGATACATACCAGTACTAGCAGTACTTACGAGGTATGCAACCACGATTACTTCCGCTGCTGTTGTTTCTGGTTGTCTTACTACGGCAGCTCACGGCCTGAGGTATTCCTCCATTCCTCCATTCCTCCCATCTCTGGTCGACTTGGGAATCTTCTCACCTTTCAAGCATCATCCAGACCCTATCTCTTCACTTTCTTCCTTTCCCTCTCTCATCTTCTTATCCCCCTCACCTCATCTCATACTCCTCCTCCTTCTCACTGAGCCGGTATCCACGCCATTCGCTCCATTCCCGTGGCTGCAGGTGAATATGCAGATTCACTCCTGATCCTGGTTATCCTGGCTCCCTCATTTTCCTCATGTTGGTGGATGATTTTGTAAACAAATTCGTGAGTATTCTTTCGCTAGAGCAACAACTCTATTTTCGTTTCCCGCAGCGTAAGGACGTACCTGACAATTCGACTGTCAAGAGTCTTTGAGTGCGGGACACTTGGATTGTCAGCCATCACCCCCTGGGGATTATATCCATTTCGACATATGTTTTTCTCTTTTTATAGATGCGACCACCTCGACTTTTTTCCTCATTTCTAAGTAAACGATCCGTTGGTTCGACCGTTGTATCGATCTCGACCGACCGTGGTTTCGCTGCGCAGATACTTTTATATTACGAATCGCACGCTAAAGATTCTCAACATGAAGCGTCATCTCTCTCTTCCATTGCCAGCTCTGCTGGCTTGCATGCTATCCACCGCCACTGCATCGCTCACGTATTGCTCTTCGGTCTGTACCGGAGCTTCAAGTACGGCGAGTAGGTTGTTCTGTCCCCAGCTATGCGCCGTGTGCGCCACTAACAGATCCAACCTAGACTTCTCCATCTACCAGTCCAATGGAAACTGCGAAGCTCATTGCAGCGACATGGCGTTTGGCATTCTGCTAGATAAAACTTGCTGGTGCTCTAACATTGCTCCGAATAAAGCGACCAATGTCAAAACATCAGAGTGCGATGATAACTGTCCTGGATACCCGGATGATCCGTGTGGTAACGAGTCCAAGGGCCTATATGCCTATATTCAGCTGGGATTACCTTCCGGGACAGCGACTGTGTCATCGTCGTCGACGTCGTCGACTACAAGTACCACCAGCACGTCGGTGAGTGCTTTTTATCCTCCGTGTCTCTTCCCTCTCTCATATTTAAACTCCTTATTCAATCGATCTTTATACACCATTCTTTTATTACCAGCTGACATGAGTAAAGTCAACATCGGATAGTTCGACTACTGAATCAAGCACAACAACCGAAGCATCGACCGAGACGGATTCGAGTGGAGTGACAACCATCACAGTTGGGGCTTCAGTGGCGACATCAGTGGCAGATTCGAGCGATGCAAAAAGCAAGGATAGCGGCGGATCAAGCGTTAGCGGAGGCGCTATTGCCGGTATTGTGGTCGGCGTTGTCGGCGGCATTGCCCTTATTGCGGCCGGAATCTTCCTCTTACTTGCAAAGCGCCGCCAGAGTTCTGGCAACGGCGACCCCGGCTACCAAAATAACTTACTGGATGGTCGGCAAAGCAAGAGTTCCCAGATGAGTTACGTCAAGGGATTATTTTCAGATAACCATAGCCACACCTTGTCCGCCGGATCCTCCAACACTCCACAACGTATGGCGACCTTCACCGATAACCGGATGAAGACAGATACAGTGCTGTATCAGAATGGCCGTCGGGATAGTAGTGTATCACTGCAAGATAACGAAGACTACTCTCGGCCAGTTCTACGGGTTAGTAGATTGGGCCGATTGATTTCTTTTCTTTTTTTTTTTCTTTTTTTTTTTTTTAAAGAGCAATGGCTGACTGGAACTCTAGCTCACAAACCCCGACTAAATCTCCAAAGGTTGCGTTAAGTGCTAGTGGTGCATTTACCGTGATGGAATCTCCTATGTCTACTCGATTTGCGTGTTTCGGCGAAAACAGCGGTGTTATGATACCCCTTTGTCACATAAACCTTAGTTCTTGTTCATCTACGAGAGGGGGATACGACGCGAAATCTCCCCGGTGTCTCGATTACTGTAATATCAATCTGCAATGAAAGCACGTTGAGCTGCCAGGTTGCGACGGGAAGAGACGGAGGGAAGAGCGGCTCTGCCCTGAATGGGTTGATCTAGATGGTCGTGCGACATACCTGCGACCATGTCTATTCGCCGGGGAATTATCTTGGTAAGCTTCGGTTCCTCGGGAGAGGGAGTTGTACGAGGAGAGCGGCATATACAGCTATACACCGGCGGCCTCTCTCTTGCATTTGTGTGTTTCTTGTTCATATGTTTTAACTGGGGTTGTTTTTCTCTTGCTTAACAATAGGGATGGGGTGGTGCATCGTTCCAGGCTGTTATACCTGGGAACGTCTGGGAATCTTATAATCTGGGAATCAGCCAAAGCTGTAGGTATCTGTGAATTAATATGTTGGAGACACTCCTAGCGTGAGTTCTAAAACCATGATCGATTATGAATAGAAGTCATCAATCTCTTCTTATCTGATGCGATACTTGTCTTGAGCAACACCAAGTATGATACTGATGATGATACTCACCTGGATGTAGGACGAATCACAATTCATAACCATGATAAAGCCAAGCACTTGTTACTCTACCCAAGCACAGAAAAGGTAACACAATGCAAGGAGAATCTCCTGCAGAAACGACAACTTCCTCCCCGTCATGACTGCATCCCGGGACAGTTTTACCCGTTTAGGAAATGCCATTTGGGAACTCGGAACCGCCTTTCTCGCTGGTTCTCTTTTCCCATTCCGTCAGGCCGGTCCCGTTCTCTGGACGAGACGGCGGGAAATTGCATGCTGGAATCAAGCCAATCTATGCGTTGGAAGAACGGTAGCTGGGTGACGCCTGCGGGATAGGACAGCCGGTAAGATAGCTATCATAGGTATGCAGATAGAGACCCAGATAGACAGGTGGGTAGATAAAGATGGACGCTCGCGTTCTTTGCGTGATTGCTTCTTGACTTTGGATACATCTACTACTGCGATATACATGCATACCTACTATATAACATTGGTAGCCTCCTAGGGGGTTCTTCACCACTCACTCACTACAATATACGACAACCCCCCCCCCCCACAGCACAACTCAATGGCTTCTCTATTCGCACCAGATAAGCTCTGGTTTGGAATCGCTCTCCTCACACTCACAGGAGCGTGTATCTTCCTCCTCACCTTCGGCCCCGGCCCCGGCCATAACAACCTGCACTTCATCCCCCGACTCCGCCGTCGTCGAACATGCACAAGCGAAACGCCACCGCGCTCGATACCCCCAGCGGAGAAGAAGCCGCCTGTACCAACCTCACCCTCACCCTCACCCTCAACCAAGTCCAAGTCCCCCATCCACGCAGCTACCGTTGTCCCCCCGCAACGCCGACACATCCTCGCCGCATTACCGCGCACCGCACCCTCATATAAAGAAGTCCACGAAGACAAAGTCAAAGCACGCCTCCTCCTCCTCCGCCTCCTCCTCCCAATGACGGCAGATTACTCTGCGGTGTCGACGGAGCTGTACACGTGCACGGGCTTCTCCACGACGGACTTGAGCGCCCTCGGCGATTTCCCGGACTACGCAACGCTCAGCGGCGTGCCGTTGCCGCGGGCCTATGCCGAGTTTGATATCGAGAGGGCGTTGGCGAGACCGTATCGGCCGTTTCGCTGGGCTTATCATCAGACCATGTGTATGTTTTTTTTTTTTTTTTTTTCTTCGTTTCTTTCTCTGTTGTTTGTTTCGTGGAGAGGTTGAAGGGAGAGGAGACCGGGGCTCTGTATCAGAGAGAAAAAAAAAAAAAAAGTAACTGACAGGTACGGTATCTATAGCATTCACAAAACTAGAACCCGACTGGTGGCTGGAACTCGAAAACACATACAAGCTTCGAATCGCCCAGCGCAAGGCGCTCTACGCGAAACACGGCCGCGATGTCCTGGACTACCTCCCGGGCTCGGAGCTCGCTTGCAAGGAACTCATGGAGATGGTCGTGCAGTTCCTGTGCGCGCGCTACCCGCATTACTTCTCGCTCAGGGACAATCGCATCCTGGAGAATAAGATCCTAGCCACGGAGCGCGACGTCAGGACCATGCATCCGCTCGAGGTCATTCTTGAAAATATCCCCGAAGATTTCGCCATCATGTTACGGGATGACAAGACGGGCAATTACTTCTTCCGCGCTGGCGTGATTTGCTCTACGTTGGGGTGGAATCTTCAGAGTAAGATTGGACTGCAGCTTCATGAGATTCATGATCCGGTTCCAGATTACAAGGAGAAGATGCAATTTTCGATGGATCGGTAGGTTTTTTTTTCTTTTTTCTTTTTTTTTTTTTTTTTTTTTTGAGTTCTTGTAAAATAAAGACATGTATCGTTGTTGAAGGAGAACGACTGACACGCTCGTTAAATAGATTCTTCACAAAAATGCCCGCTGATAAACCCATCCAACGCGGGTCCTGGGGGATCGAGGTCGGCCAGCCGCTTTATGTGCCCCCGGGCCACCCGCATGAGAAGCTGCGCTTGTCCCAGGATCCGACCCGCAAGCTGGAGGATTGCAATCTGCGAGTTGACTGGCAGACCCTGCGTCGTCTTCCTCTATCAGGCGCCGTGGTTTTCAATTTCAAGGCGCTCTTCACGCCCCTGACCGAGTTCCGGGATGAGCCTGGCGTGCCAGCGTTGTTGGCCAAGATCCTTCACGAGGGAAAGAAGAATCTGATGGAATACAAAGGGACCTGGCATCTTGAGCATGTTGTCCTGCCAAAGTTCGAGGAGTGGGCAAGGGAGCAAGAAGAGAAGGGACTGGTGCCTAAGAATTGGGAGGTGGCTACACTGGATGAGAGCCCGTGGTTTAAGGGTTGGCAAGAGAAGTGGCGTCGTCAACAGGGATTTTAACGGCCTGAGTCCGGGCTGAATTTCAATAGATTTCAAGTACAGGAGGTGGTTCGATTGTGTGCATTTGAAAGGTTGCATATCTGACGATATGGTGGTTGAGATTTGATTAAATAATGCCCGGAGTAGGTAAAGTAATTATTGTACATGTTCGAGATCGCTTGACTGTGTGTCTATTGTGATAGCTTTTCCACGGGAAACTGCGTGGGTCTTGGATGAGCCCCTCGACGGCGTTTTCACCGTTGAGGAATCTTGATTCTGTGCTTGGAACCCTTAGACTGCCCACGGTGCGATCCGGTTGGTGCGATCAGGTTGGACCAACCTCGAAGCACGCTATGCTTTGGCTATGCAGAGCCATGAAGAGGTAGAACAGCGCTATCGTGATAGCTACCGCAGCAGATAAGGGAAGGAGGATAATAATGTGGCTTCACACCGCCAGACGAACGAACTCAGTCATCATCGGATCGAGACTCGCTCGCACGATCGTTCCCATCATCGCTCCGGTCCATTTCCTCCAGCTCTGCTGCTAATGGGCTTTCCCGCTCCTCCAACAGATCTAGATCCTCGAGCTGTTGCCGGGAGGGCAACTTCCACAGACTTGTACCGCACACGCGATCCTTGGTCAAGAGATCATCGATGAACGCGTCCACATGAGTCAAAGTAAAAGAGTCGCGGATCCGTCGTTTGAGCTTCCGGTAATCGAGAAGAAGCGGTTCTAGTGTCTTATACACTTCTACGGGCTCGAAGGTCAACCGCACGTAAAACGCCGCTAGAGCGCGGAGATATTTGAAGTCCCCACGCTGCTTGAGGACACTGTTTTGCTCCCGTTCCCCTGCTGCGGTTTCTCCTTCTGCCTCATTCGTGTCGAGTTCGGGGTCACTGAAATTGAGATATTCTAGCACCACGTCGCGTTCGGGGTTGAGTTGGAGGAGCTTGAATGCGAGACATAGGAACGGGGACGGTTTCTCGGATGTGCCGTATGTACCACCGATGGATGTTAGTTCAACGGCACGATCGCATAATGTTGCCGCATTCAATCCAAAGCACTGTTCCTTCCAGTAGTAGGAGTCTGTGATGCGGTCGCGGACAGCTTTCTCGAAGAGCGTGGCAGGGTTCACGCCACGTACTAGTGGACCGGAGTAGCCTCGGTTGTCAAGCAGATTGCTGGCATCGGCTCTGTGAGATGTCATGATGTGTGTCTGACTTGGGGAGGATCTTGACAAAGGGAAACGCAAGTTGGGAGACGACGAGGAGCGGACGAAGAGGATTTGGGAGAAATCCAATGTCACGTTTTCGGGCGGGCGATTTCAGTGCCGAGACCGCTGCTTATCGATAGTCGCACCGACAACCAAATCCTTAAACAATCCATCAATATATCATATCGATGTCGCTACAAAGAGCAACCATCTACGGCGGTTTGGCAGCATCTATTTATTAACTATTCTCGCTATTTTTTCTGATGACAGATCTGATCGCATTGGTCTTTTTTTTATCTGTGTATCTTTACCCGTTCATCAGTGGTACTATACACATCAACCCCAGCACAACCGCTATACACATGCAGACACCCTAGATTCAATTCCGCCATGGTGCTTCTGACCTCCTCCACGGTCTCTGTCATTGTGTCATCAGGAGTGATCTGCATATTTACGCTTCTGCTCTTCCTCTCTGGCTATGTCCTGCAGCAGCAATCCGTCCGAAGCATCCAGCATGCCATCCGCCCCGCAGATTCTCTCAAAGCCCATGCACCACCCCCAGGAGGGCATCTATACAGAAGAAGTCGAGAAGACCAGCACCAAGACCCTCTATCATATTTAGACTCCGCATCAGACGAAGAGCTGGCATCGCAATTCCAACCTCCAGAGAACCCAGAACACAGGAGCACCTCCCCAGGAGGACCCGGTAACTACGCATACCTCCAGCTCCTCTCCGACCCCGACCCATCCAACATCTGCTCCGCCATCCTGTTCTTCAAACACCTCTCCACAAACGGCACGGCAATCCAAGACCGTCTCTTCATGTACCCGCAACAATGGGACTCCCTGCCACCCAACAAACTCTCGCAACCGGTCTTGACGGCCCTCGCGCTGCTCCGCGCCGCAAGCCTCAAATACGGCATCTGGCTTCTCCCCATCGACATGACAGCCGCAACCTCCGCAGGGTACACCCTAACAGACACGAAACTCCTGCGACTGGGCCAAGTCCAGTTCATGCAGTACGACAGCGTCCTCTACCTCCAAACACCGGGGTTGCTCCTCGACACGGCGAAGCTCGACTCGATGCTGCTCTCGCGCCCGCTTCCCCTCCGCCACGACAAGACCCGAGTCGAGTCGTACAACAACGAAGCCTGGATTCCGATGCCATTGCGCGCCGAACGGGATTCCTCGCTTCCCCCCGTGTACCTGATTACAGTGAATAATGTGGAGAACGGCCACGTCGAGGCCCGCGGGCATATTCCGAACGCGGAGCTCGAGGAATTCGGTCGCCTGGTTACGGGTCCGGCGGGGGTAAGACCAAACTCGGATGCCGAGTATGGCCGTGATAACCAGCCGGGGTATGTGTTTTTCGAACGAGAGGATGACGGGCTGGTCAAGTGGGCGCGGAATCCATTGTTTGGCTCCTGGAGAGCGCAACAGTATGAGATTTGTGACGGGCTGGATTTGGATGTGATTTATGACAGTGATGATGATGATGATGATGATGATGATAACTTGTAATTTCCGTCCCTGTTATTTGTTTTCTTTCTTTCTTTCTTTCTTTCTTTCTTTCTTTCTTTCTTCTCTTTTTCTGATTAAATGTTTGGTTATGGTATCTTTTGGTTGGTTTGGAAGGGCGTTGGTTTTTCACATTTGTATGTACGGTACTTGATTTGAACTGTGCATGTCATTCATGTCTATTCGGTATATATATATATCAGCATTATATATCGACTAATAATCAGGCTATCCAATTATGATTTTTTTTTTTTTTCTTTTATTTCCCATAGGAAACATAGTGTAGTGTGTATACAGGAGCACAGCCAAAGCATATCTATCTATCTATCTATCTATTCCCGCTCACTCCTGCTGCTAAGGCTAATAGAATAGAATAAATAGATGAGAGGCCGAAAGGAAAAGCAACCAACCGTGAACCCGTACGCTTCAAGAACACTTTTCCAAGGTACTTTGTAATTGTACATGCATATCTCAACTCCATAAAGACCATATAGTTAGCAAGGCAAGCCAGCACCGAACCCCAAAAGGTACATACATATATTCGTACCATACGGTCATCAAAAACTCCTTACCTAGTATTAGTACCTACTAGTAGTAGTACCCCCCCCCTTTTTCTTTGGGGGGAAAAAATAAACAACTAGTTACCGCGGAACGCCAATTTCGTAGCCCAGCAACACTTCGGTCGTGCTACCTTCCCAACCTCGATTACCGCTCGTCGAGACTAAGAAGCGACATGCATTGTCAATGTATAGCTGCGACACGGTGCCTGTGCGGTGTCCTGGGATGATCAAGAACGGTACGGTAGAATGTCGAGAAACTTGCTCATGTTTTAGGTCGTATAATCGGAGGATATCATGGGATGCGCTAAAAGAGTGTTATGTTAGTTAATGAGAGACCGGGAGAAGAAGAAGATGGGGGAGCGATGGCTCTCACCATACGATATGTCGCCCATTCGGCATCGCCTTTAGGGCTGTGACTGGCCCGCTTCCTTGCGGGAATTTAAAGGTTCGTTCCGGGTCCCGCAGGCCCTTGTGGAGACTGTATTCTTCTACAGTGCCGTTGCGGCGTCCGGCATAGATGTAGTTGCCGTCTGGGGACCAGCACGCGTTCATACACCATGGGGGCGAATTGCGCGGTGTAATGCGAGCAACTGCGGATTGTTGCCTGCGGTCCCATATTCGGATAGTGCCGTCAATAGACGCGGCGAGGAAGGTATTGTCGTTGCTATTAGTCTCCAACTGGGTTGATTGGGTCAGGTCTAGGGTTTGTGAGGGTGGTTCTAGCTCCTCGGCATGGGGAAGGCCATTTGTTAAGGCTTGCGATGCGCCATTTGGCATCTCTGTCGTTTGGGAGTCGAGTGGTTGGGTGGATGCGGTGGTATCAATTCCGGGATTGGCGTCGTTCGAAGGGAAAGAAGTATCTAGGATACCATTCTGCTGGATCATTTGATCAGGCTCACCTGGTGCGTCGGCATCTGGGAGGACACCGTTTGCAAGCGCTTTGCCGAACTCATCGTCGTCATCCACGCCAAAGCCATTGGCAGACGTGCCTATGCCATCACCACCAGCCCCATCATTATCCCCGAACAAAGAGTCAGCACCACCAAAGAGCGAGTCTGCTGGTGACCCCGCCTGCGGGTTAATAGCACCGTTTTCGCCCTGATTATCTGACGTGTCCATGAGCTCGAAACTTTCGCGCCCCCTCGCCTGGTGGTGGTTGGATGAATACGTCCCATTCGGCTGTTGGGCTTCAGATGTATCTCTCGGAACCGGCAGACTCGACTCTGGACGTATTTCAATGGCCGAGATCTGCCCCGCGCTCGATCCGAAGGAACGTCTAGTTTGGCCCGTATTCAAATCCCAATCGAATACCCGCTTATCCCAGCTTCCGGAGAGTAGCGATTTTTCGTCGGAGGTGAGAGTCAGCACCGATACAGCTGAGGTATGTTGCTGTAGAAGAGCAATCTCCTTGCCCTCATCATGTCGAATCGACTGCAATCGAATATTACCCGATTCAAGGCCGGACAGCAACCACAGACCCTCGCTATGACTAGCTAACGAGTATACTGGCGATAAGGCGGCACCGTCCATGTTCTCCCAGTATGTCATCAACACGCCCGCTTTGATCACGCTATCGACAAACGGGTGCCGTTGCGCCACGGTCAACATCAGCTTGCTATTGATTGAATCGACCCAGTTAAACTTTCGCACGTATCCATCCGAGCCCCCGCTAAACACCCATCTCATGTCCGCTGTCGCCGTAATCGCATTGATCGAGGTGCTGTGTGGCGCGGCAGTTGTAGGAACTATATCGTATGTCGAGGCCGTCAGGCACTCCGGCCGCACACTCGGGTGGAAAGCTGAAAGTAGGTCGGACACAATATTATCTGGGCCCGGGGATGTCATAGTGGTGTCTGCGTTCTGCTGAGCAGCGCTTTCGGATGCATGGCTGGCGTTGGACTGGCTGTCTGCATCCCCATCCCCATCGGCGTCTCCGTCGGCATCCACGTCTTGATCGTTGTCGTTGTCATTCCCACCATCATCAGCGTCTCTGAGGGTATCATCCATGTCATTATCCGAGCTTCCATCTTGCGAACCTATAGCAATCACCAACACCTTAGTTCCTATCCCAAAGTTGGTGAGCAAGAGAGGGGAGGGAGGTCATTCACCTGCGAGGTCTCGATCATCGTCATCTTCTGCGATCGAGCCCATTGTGTAGGCGACAGAAAAATTGCTAAATTCCCAAGAGAATGTTCAAGCAATTGTTGTTCTTCTGCCTTCTTGTTCGTCTGATCGCTGCGAAATCTAACCAAACCGAGGAAAGAAATTGTGATAATTTCAGAATTGCATCACCTCAGCATTGAGGAAGATTGACCATGCTGAGGAGTAATATAGCGCTCAAGGACTATAACTAAATGAAAGAGCGCAGCAACAGGGCATATGATTGCGAATGAATGAATCTGGTCGCATCGAGATCTCCCCGATGTCCAATTATACTATTCCCGGTTAGGAAATAGACTCTATTATGTAAAAATAGCTGTTCATAGCACCGCCTTCCTTATTTAGTATTCTGCCCCGTTGTGTACACTAACCTAATATGGAAGGAAGATACCTCAGGCAGCGCTGGAAATATGACTGACGTCGGCTTGCAAAACACTACATTGTTGTGTAATTCTCTGGTTTTTCAGGCGATGGATGTAAATGTGACTTTCATTGTAGTAAATATTCAGATCAAAAATATCTCTCTTTCATTTACGTGTGAGATATCAGAGGAATTATGGATAGGAGAGAGAGAAGTAACAGTCTCTCTTGTTCTTGACTATTCACTGTCTCTCTTCCATTTTAATGCTCTTCTCTCCTCGCATCGTGCGGGTACCCTATATAACGACGGTTTATGTCTTATGATGTCAACCTCGGGATGAATCCAGAGGTTCTGTTCCGGTAGTTCAGAACTTCCCCGCACACAACTGTAGTGTGTACTCAGAGCAACTTGTGAGCAGAATTCATTCAAATTCCTTAAATTGGACGTCGTTGGGTGTCTAACCATTTGTCGTCGTGGAGAAGATCAATAGCGGTAGGGTTTATAGTCTGGGGATGATCTGCAGATTCGCTGCTGAGACCGACTTCAAATTGGAAAAAATCCAACACTTCCGAGTATCTGCCAAGTACCTTCGTTAGCCTCATTCTTGTGTGTGTGTGTGTGTGTGTGTGTGGGAGAGAAAGAGAGAGAGATTCGGTTGAGTGAGCTATACATCATGATCTTCCATGTATCTTTGGGTAAGGGGAGGTTATCGTGGGAATCCACACATTATCATGCCGCAGCTGTTTCAAAAGCTTCACTTCTCGATAGGCTCGTTTGGCAATTGAAGCACTGTCGAATGGTTTCATCATCTTCTTGATTGCAACCGGTTGTTCCACTATCAAGTCATACGCAGAGCTGGTGATAAACACTTTCGTCAGCTCTCTAGAACAACAACAACAACAACAACAACAGAACAACTTCAAGGAGCATTGAATTTTTTTACCAAACGACCCCAGAGGCGCCAAGGCCTACTGGTTGCAAATTCGCATACCTGGAGCAAATTCGCATACCTGGATGATGGTCAGCTATCTTTGATCTTTACTTCCATCGCCGCAATCACGGGAAGAATGTGCCTGCTGGTGGCTTCGAAGGTGGTGCCTAGGATTTCTGAACGGATGAAATCCGCCATGGTGTTGCCCTCAAACTTTAGAGCTATCAGACCTTAAATTTTAAACTGGATACTGAGAGTTGGACAAAAACAACTTTCTGGGCACGTTTGCACGGCACACACACACACTGCCGAATCCGCAATGAAGAGTGTTGTTGGGGGTAACAGGAGTCTAGACGCAAGAAGAAGAATAAGACAACAAGGGGGAGCCAAAGCGAGAAATGTGCCTAGGCAGTCTAGGTACCTGGTGTTATTTAATCCATTTGGAGGAGCTCTAAGTACACAAGCGATTTCTGACTGTTATTGGCGGGATGAGATGCCAGCCAGACCTTGGAAGACAGACAGTAGTGGGTCAGCGAATACCAACGGTTGAAGTACAACCCAGGTTCCTCTGAGAAAAATATACACTCTTGAAATAAAGAATATACTCAAACTGGGGCCCCATGAATGCCAACTTACTCAGTCGTCGAGAAGGCTTCTTGGCTGCATTGCGCTTATCCCCCCAAGTTCACGCTGGGCGAATGCTCCTTCCTCAGCCCAGTTTGGATCAAAACCGGTTTGCTCCGGGATGACACCACGCACGGGCTCGTTCTGTTGTCTGGGATGGTGAATTGACTCTAGCTTTTGAGCTAAAATTGCATCGTGACGTTTGGACTCTCCTTTCGCAAACGCCTGGTAATTCTCGACTGCTTGTTCTCTGCTTCCTAGTCCAACTTGCCGTCCCTGTGACCAGTTATCATCGGCTCTAACCGTCTGCGTAAGATATTCAAGTCGCCGGGCTTCCTCGCAGGTGCAAGAACACGTGTGGGTTGTCGAGCAAGGGATCTTGCAGATGTGTTCGCAGGCCATTCGACGGTTGCAAGTTTCGCGGCACTGAACTTGGTCGTGCGAAAAGCTAAAAACGTTGCCATTGTTACCTCGATTTTCTGGAAAAGGGGGGATTGCATCTCCTTTTTTACCTGTGGCATTGGATACTGCATTTGTGTCCACAGTGAGGCAGACTCTCACCACAGGGAAGTTGGCAGCCCCCATTGATCGTGCTCCACTCGGACGGATCTGAAACCATGTATGTTAGTATTATACATATCTGGGATTGCACTTTCGCAGAACATTATATATAGACCTTTAATAAGGATTCTGTTTCCATGCTTCTCGCAAGTCAGCGGTAGCTCATATGCAATGCGTGGCTTTTCACTCTTGTTGCCCATGATTAGCAAAACCTTCTCCCAGAGAGAGTTGGCAGACGCAAGCAGCCCAGCATTTCCAAACATGTAAAACCCACGTTTTGCCCGCGAAAGAGCCACGCAGACACGATTGGGTATCGACAGAAACCCTATATCCTTCCCCCTGTTTCTGACAAGAGAGAGAATCACGATTTCATTCTCCTCTCCCTGATACGAGTCGACAGTCATGACCTTCACATAGGTTCCTTGGAGATAAGAATGCTTCTTCAGCAGATTTAGCAACCTCTTTCTTTGGCCGTTGTAAAATGTGAGTATGGTTATATCTTTAACCTCTATATTGTTGAGCACGAGGTAATTGAAGAACCCCACTATCATCTCAGCTTCCTTTTCGTTAAATTTAGAGGCGAGGCTGTCACGGCTTTCGGGCCAGCTGTGGGTAAAGAAATACAATCGGCAATTCCCCATTCCCGGCACTTTTGGTTGTTGCTTTACCGACTCGTGATCCTCCAATCCCTCATATATGGGGGTCAATAACCCGCGGATCTCAGGAGCCATACGTCTCTGTTGCCGGAGCGTGACATATTCCATACTATTCTGGACCAGACGCTCAAACATCGACACGTCCAGGAAGAATGGATCCCCTTTAAGGTCTTGAACTGCACATCGTCCTCGAAGCTGTTGATGGTCACCGACAAGAATCATATGTTGGAGAGAGTCCAAACACGCAGCAGCTATAGGAGCCTCAATCGCCTCTGCAGCTTCTTCTACCAGGACAATCTTTGGTTTCAGGCTCGAAACCAGAGCTCGATACTTGCTTAGCCCGGTTGCTGTCATCCCGATCACCCTGGCGTTTTGGAGGATAAAATAATCCCTTTCCCATCTCCCTATTTGTAGATTTTTGCAACAGTCATAGTACCGAGCACATAATCTACGGAAGTCTTGCAAGAGTCGTGTTTTCAGCTGCTTTCGGAGGATGTTGTAGACACTGCCGCGCTCCTTTACTGGAATTTTCCACATATCATCGCACTCAAGATACCTTAAGGCAGATTGTTTCGTATGAAAAGAATCTTGTCGCCCAATATAAGACTCCCGGAGTGAGGTGAACGGGCCTTTGAGGATTTCGTGATCGTCCTCATCTAGTCCCTGTTCCGCCTCCAGCTCTTTCAGCTGCTCATATTCTCGGTCCACCTCGTCTTCAGCAAACCCAAAGTTCTGAGCTGTGTATTTGACTTCAAACGGAATGACTTGATCTCCAAGCCAGGCTACTAGCGGGTCGGCCTCTTCGGCCTCTCCTCCAGCATGTACCCAGCGTTTAGCTCCCTCTGCGAGGGCGTCACACTGCTTTTCCCCCAAGAGATTGTACTTCTTGAACACTGACGATGGGATTGGGCAATCTGAATTTTCAGCGCAGAGCGGCTGTAGAATTTCTGACAAGCTATTAAACAATGCCTTGTTTTTTCTGATTGCAGATGGGAAGACACCGCCATTGAAAGCAGGCGTTGGTTCACTGCATCGAATTGCATATAGCGTGCGTTTTCTGATATTAGGGTCGCTGCTTCTACCCCCTAGACGAACATATTGTTTCTCAAACTGGGAGACATATTTCAGGATTTGATCGATAGCATGATTTGTCTGCGAGGAGATTATAATTGGAGGATCGTTGGCTTTCATATTGGAGAGGAGGATCTTTAATGCAACCACTGAGACATGCGTCTTGCCCGTACCCGGAGGGCCTTGAATAATAGCAAGCTGCCTTGTGAGGATTTGCTCTAGCGCGGCCCATTGCGCCGTATCAAAACCGCCTGATGGGCGCCGGGGCCATTCTTTAAGAAGATCAAAATGGCCACCTTCTCCAGAATCCTCAATTGCAGACTCCAGTTCAACAACGGGGTTGTTTTTGACGTATTCCGGAGGGTCGATATCGGTGTTGAGGGAGCAGATATAACGTGCAAGGGGAAATCTATTGAAGCGTTAACTTCCAATGGTAAAATCCTTCACTGTTGTGGAGTTCTCACCGTTCTTGACTCATCTTCTGAAGAGCGGTTAAAGTGTGCCTCGCGGACTCATAGTATCCGTTCTTCGCCTCTACCATCAGCCATTCAAGTTGGGGATCGAAGTCTGCATCAGCTGGGTCCGCAAAGAAGATATCGATTTCTGGAGGTAGTTGCTTGACAGCTTCCAGCGGTCTAGCGGCAACAACAGCAACGATACACTTGCTCTGAAAGAGATCATGGACAGGGGATAAAGCAATCACGGAGCCACTTATCAAGCGTTTAGAGTAGTCCCATGCGATACTCTTCCCAGCTCTATTTGTAGAGAACCGAATCCGAAATGCCAAACCTCGATGCGAGAAAGTTACACCGGTTATATAGACCTGCACCTAGTTCATCATCGTCTACCCAAAGTGGTAAAACCTATACAGAATCGAATGCTGACCTTTTCATATATGGAAATCGCCTGTGTGTCCATCATCTCCGGGTCATTCCTCACATAAGCCACAGCATCACGCAACGGAGCCACTGCGTCTTCCCTGAGAAGTTCGTAGTGGGCTTTCAAATAGGCGTCTTTGGATTCCCAAGCGCCATCGATCTTATTGGGGACCAGGAAGACGTCTTCATCATTGTTGTTGTCCAAGATTTCATCCGAAGACGGCAGTTCGGGTCTCAGAACCCACGAGGGAGCGTCATCAAGCCGAATAGGCGAAAAGTAATTGGAGATATCTTTGTTAACAAAGGCAGGGGGGTTGTGATCAGATTCCTGGAGATCAATCCTTTGGAATCTCTCTAAGGGAGAGGAATTGACTTCTTCCATTGGGTTCCTCTTGGGAGACGGAGACACAAAAGAGAGGAAGATTTGAAATATTCTCAAGAAGGATATGATGATGTCTGCGTCAGAAGGGGCGTGACTCTTTCTAAGATTCACCTTGGAAAGCGGGAGGGGAGAAGGGAATGAAAGGAGTAAAGAAGGATGGAAGAAAAGGGTTACTACCGGTTACCTAGGATGGACAGAGGAAATTCACTCAAACAGAGCCATGCAGCCACCCATAATAGAAACTGCAAACAAGGTAAACCCAATATACTACTTCACTTGAATAGGACCATATATGCTCCTTTTATTCACTGTTCTGTACCGAAAACTCAGCTGCTTCAGCCCTTTCTCTGGTATATGTGAAGCAGCCTATATTACATGAGAAAACCAAAGAGGTTGTACTGGAGATAAAGATGTTGCAGGCAGCAGTTATACCAGGACGACTGGTAACCTGGTAACTTGAGTTATATGGGCTGGTTTGAGGGCAGTAGCTGGATGGCCGTGAATGGTTATATCAATGCTATGTTGTTAGCTATATTATATGCCTTATATGATCAAGACTGTAACAATAACGCCAAAGAAGCTAATATAAGTGATCTAGCTAATATAGTATATATATTATAATAGTTATAATGGTGATAAGTGGCCACCAAACCATACAGGCTATAACGGGAGAGGGCGTTGAGTAGCACTGCGGGTATTTAGTAGAGAACTTTCCTAGAACAATAGCAGTGTAGATATTAGCAGCAATCTATATGAGATTCATGGCTCCTGAAAAGGCACGTAGTCTATCCATGAGAGATGGAATCGAGAGGATCCAGTCGCAAACAAACAACTGGCCTTCACCCTTCTTGGACACTTCATCGACCTCATCGCCAAGCTTGAGCTCTTCAGAGTCCAGAGTACTAGGTAGGCCAAAGCAATGTCCTCAATGAGGCAAACTTATTTTGACGATCACAGAAGATTCCAACGGAAAGCAATATACAGTCTGTCCTGTTTTCCACGGATCCGTTTCACGTCTGTCTGCAGGTTTGTATAGTCTAGACCGCAAGTGCGCAGAAAGAAGACCTATCGATCAATCCGACAACACTCGCCATCCATGTCTCCGGGAATTTCTCATCAGAGATTGGAGCATCTCGGTCCACAAAACACAAAACACATCCCCACCGGACAGAGGCGCACGATGGCGATAACAGCTTGGCGAGAAGCGGGGGGAGGGGAGGATCGACATCGTCCTCCAGTTGCTTCCCCGCGAAGACTCGAACCCTTGTTGGAGGATTGTGGAGAGGGTAACCAGGTACTTAAAGATGCCTCTACGGAGTGCTAAAGTACTATTACTACGTAGTGGTTGTACAGAGTACCTACAGGTAGGCAAGGAAGAAGGGAATTGATTTCCCGATTAGGAAATAGGATATGTTGCATCGAAGCCACGGAGAAGTTCCAGTGATCCAGTTCTAATAAGAGACATGATATGATATTAGGGGTAATAAAGGATGGAGGGGCAGAAGGAGATTCGAGCTAATAATACAAGCTTCTGTCATGTTTCACCAGGGGCGTGTGTGGACTGTGTACTGCGGATATATTCTTTCTGATAATGAAAAACCAATTCAGCCAAGGGGGAGGCGTATCGCTTGGAGGATATAAAACCAAAGATTTTATATCAATCAAAGAATACTACCTAGTTAACTTAATCACTTTAATCACCAGCATAGGGGCAGGGTTTACACAGTAGTACAGGCATATCATATCCAACAATAACAAGATTGATATCATTTTCTTGAGAATTTAATTGCTTGATAAGTCTTCTTCCACTTGGTCAATATTCAAAGATATATCTTAATCTCACTGAATTTTGAGCGAGAAATATGACGAGAAATGGTGGGAATTGAACTTGGAAGCAACACTTGGCCTGTGTCCCTAGCTCGACAACTGTACGGTCCCCTTTAGATAAGTACTAAACGAATACAGTGCTTAGTTCTCGTTAGTTACCCGAGAGTCTGCAATTAGAGATATTCAGTTCTCCGTAGTGTTGGTCTTTTTGCGTTATCAATCGCTGGTAGTGGCTAACAGGAGGAATTTAGGAAATGCACGATTTGAATCAAGATAGTAGAAAGGGAGAATCCACTAAATTGGACGGAATCCGTATTCCGTATTCCGTATTCCTACGAAAGCCGTCGGCTAAACAGCCTTCGGGAGTTCGATAGCACACCAGGAAAGTTTCCAGTTTCAACTTTCAACTCGTCGGCATCCACACCGAAGTCAGGACACGACTCAGTCTGGAAGCGAGATAGGGAATGGAAAGGAAAGATCGATCCTTCGGTACGCTGAACAGCCTAGAAGAATCCCCGGGTACTCGCGCAAGAGGCGCCCGCCATCGGAGTCCATCGCTCGTTCCGACAAAATGGAAACAGTTTTCGGCAGTTCAAGGATGGCTAACCGATTGCATCAGAAGCTCCGGCACCATATCTCTCGTTTCACAGAGTTATGCCAGAATAGGCAGCCCTTCAGCCACTTACGAGTCAGAATATGGGCGAGCGGGGGAGATCCGGCCATGGCAGCGCTGCGATAACATGGCCCCATTACGGTCTACCTAGTTATAGTCAACCAACCACATATCAGTTTACCTATCAAGATCCATGGACTAACAAGTTAGAACACCTTCGAATCCCCAAACATTTCCCACGTGTTTGAGGATTCGAAGGTGTTTTAACATACCAAAGCCAAAAAATAGGTGAGTTGCGGTTCCAATTGCCAAGACGGCTCAGGCACTGCGAATTCGGCCGAGATATGGAGATCTTTTCCAGACAGAAAGGGGGTTGTTACGGTGCACGTTGGGAGCATTTGTATAATCTTGATTCTCCAGACCTCATTTGTATGATCTACCGTCCTAATCCTCTGAATCTGATAGAGGACATCGCACTGGCTCCGTGGCGTCTCTGTATCTGCCAAGATTTTGCGCCTCTCAATGACAAGTTCCACAGCGGGGATGTGGTCTGTTGTAGGGAATGTTGCCTTGTTCCAGATATCCTGACATTGCTGATCGGGCTTTGGAGAGAGAAAGGTACATCTAGAGCAATATCCACGAGGGTTTAAGGAGAGGTGATCAAGCAGTCCCAGTTGCAAGCAAGTCAGAAGACAGGTAACTACAAGTGCATGACCCTGAGCTGAGACAAAAGAAGCAAAAGAGGAACAGAGAAAAAGCACGGTGTCGGACAACTCTTCCGGCTTTCCCATTCGCTTCATCCGTGCAATATCTATCCACAGCGGGTCGTAGCGGTTTGCGGATCTCCTCGTTGTGAGTTGCCATCGGGGTCTCAACCACCCCCGGACAGACGCAGTTCACTCGAATCGCATGTCTCGCATAGGCGATAGCACCCGAGGAACGAGTCATCGCGATAACAGCGGCATGAAGAAATACACATATTGTCGGGAAAAGAAGGACCAGAAAACCAAGAACAACAACAAAGAGTGGGGTAAAAGCAAAAAAGAAAAAAGAAAAAAAAAAAAAAGAGGAGGAAATAAACTCACAAGCGTGAGGACGGCCAACGATCCCCAGCTGACCAGCAATATGGACATTGGACAATGGCTCCTGGCGGGCAACTTGGGTTCTGGCCGGGTAACGGATCCTGTTCGAGCATCTGCTTTCACAGCGCCCGTGAACAAAACCAACAGCCTCAGTAATTGACATTGTTGATGTGATCAAACAGGCGCGGTCGTGGTTTCAGTAGAGGGAAGCCCGTTGCTCAGGATTCCAGGGCAATTCACCAAAGCCGGTGTCGACAACCTGTATGATTCATCGGACACATTGCCGGTCAGGACAAAGAGACGGACGGGTCTGGGGGTGGGAAACTAGAATGATTTTCTGGGTCTGGGTCAGAGCGGGTTCATTGAGGTTTGTAATGGCGATGGTTGGGCAGCCAGCCAGCCGAGGCGAAGGTTTTTGCGACAACGGCGCCAATGCCTATGTCCCGTTAGTATTTTGATGCTTCACGAAGTTCAAGAAGGAAGAGGGGAAAGGGAAAAAAAAAAAAAAAAGGCGTGAGAGTGTACCAGAGCAACTGCTGGAAATGTAGATATATGTACCTATTGATAGTATTTGATCATGGCTGGAGCTGGAGAGAAGGCCGCAATTTGAACTCTGAATTGACGATGTATCCAGTTAGTCACTCAGCCTCGGGCTAAATCTATAAGCTCCGGTGATTTGGAGAAATCATATCTCATCATTTCCTTGAATGTTATCATATCGTATGTGGGGGTTTTAATTCAGTCCCCTGAGCGTGGCGTCGGCGATTTCTTGCCATTATTACATTCATGATTATTCACTACTTTTACTTGGGCTGTTGGGGTCTCTTTTTCTTTCCCCTCGTCTCTTCTTCCTCCAAATCATCTCCAGTGCTTCTCCAGTTTTAATCCATCTCACTCGCATTATAATATTATTATTATTAAATAATAATAGTAGTACTATTATTAATTCTTTGAGACTTGACTCCAAAGTGGAGCGATCGATCTTCCACATCTCTTGTTCTCACGTCTCCATAACTGTTCACGTCTCCAGCAACGCCTTGATGCTGTCTCAGTCACCACCACAGCCAACGGCTTCAAGCTCCCGACGCTTAAGCGTTGGAGCAAAGAGCAGAATATGTATCCATTGCGGACGCAGCTTTAGGCGCACAGAACACTTGGAGCGTCATATCCGCACTCGTAAGCCCCTCATTTCCATCCTCGTGGTGGTGTGAATCCATTTCGTGACTAACAATGCCTCCCCAGACACAAAGGAAAAGCCATATACCTGCTTCTGCGGGGCGGCCTTTTCCCGACGTGATCTCCTCAAACGCCATACGGGCATCACCCACCAGGACACCATCACACCCAACACGAGCACGACGAGTAGTCTCGTTTCTCCCAAATCCCAGTCCGATCAAGATGTCGTAAAGCATCCCCGTCGTCGACCCTCAACGCAGACTCGACAGTACCATGCTCCTCCAGACCCACCACAAGAGATTGCCCTGCCACCGTCACCGGGGGTTCAGTGGACAATGCAACAGAGTTCGTACCTAGGACATGACCAGAGTATGCTCAATTCGACAGCACCCAATGGAGGAATCACACATGATGCGGAGATTCTCGAAGCAGCCCAGTTGCTGCTTCCAGTAGGGAGTCTCCCAGTGATCTACCCAGACCCCGAACCTTCACGTATGTGCTTGATTCCCTCTCCAGATTTAACTCACGAATCTAGCTAATGAAAACAAAACAAAACAAAACAAAAAAAATAATTAGCGACATCATTGCCATACCTCCCAGAAGAATTAAATCACTTTCAAGAATTCACCCACTTTCTAGACTCCCTTGGATTGCCCTCGGAATGGGTCCCTGCGGGAGAAGTACCCCAAGTCCATAGTGCAATTCCTGAAGTCCCTGAACCCGGACATAACCTTTCCTTCAGAGATCAAGATCACAAATCCTATCGGCGAAATCCGATGGATAGGTCACGAGCGGACTCCCCCTTCCGATCATGGCCCCCATCTGTACCTCCAGGGGATCAGAGCATGGGGATGGTCTCGGACTACGGTAACATCTACCATCCACCGGAGGATTTCGCCAGACTCATCGTGCCTAATTTATAATTTTGTACTTAGAACCCCCCCAAAATGCACAGAAGGCTTTACCCCTTAAGGTCAATGAGGAAGAAACCCTGCGCCTTGCTGCGTCTTTAGAAGAATTCCGCCACATTATCCCCGATTTTGTTTTGCCCTCCCGACACACTCTAACGAGGTATTTGACCTCTTTCTTTGATGGCTTCTACCACCATCTCCCCTTTGTTCACATCCCCACCTTCCAAATAAATGAGCGAGCGCCGGAACTTGTCCTAGCTTTCTTAACAGTAGGTGCTCAGTATCGCTTTGAGCATCGTAATGCCAAACGGCTCTTTCATGCCGCAAAAGCAATCGTATTGTACCGGCTGTCGAAGGGTTCGTATTCGACCCCGGCAGCCGCATATAACACTACCACCCAAATTTCTCTAGATGCTGTCCGTGAAATGTCACAGTTACCACCGGACCAGAGTCCACCAATGCTATCTCCAGAGCTGGCCGCAGGCGTGAATGCTTGGAAGCGGATTGAGACTATTCGTGCCCTGTTAGCACTAATGGGCTACGCGACATGGGAAGGCGCGGAACTCGTCCAGGAGGCTCTCGGCCTTCAGGGCTTAATGGTGCGATCTTTGCGCGAGTTTGGTTTGACAGAAAGCTTCTCTGTGACATCCACCCATCCACCGCAGCAGTGGCACGAATGGGCCGAGGAAGAGTCTATCCGGCGCACGCTGCTTCTCTCGTTCTGCTATGTGCACATCCACAGTATTGCCTACAATATCTACCCCGTTCTACGCAGCAGCGAAGTCCACCTCCGTCTCCCCTGCTCTACAAAGGAATGGAAAGCAGGTTCCGCCGAAGAATGGGAAACCGCGCAAAAAGAAGTCGGCTCCCCGCAACTCTTCTTTCAAGATGCACTCGCACACCTCCTACAACCACCCCGATCCTCATCTGTGCTGCTGGACCCCATCCCTACGCCAGTGGGCAACTACATCCTCCTCCACGGCCTTCTCCAACGCATCCATCTCGTCAGCGAGCTTTCTATCTCAAAAGGAAACCAACCACTCGCCCTCCCAATTGAAGAACTCAACAAACTGGAGTAGGTCTTTATTTTTCTTTTCTTCCTCTTCTTCTTCAGTTGCCAAAAACATTTCCCACCTAGACTAACATCCCATATTTTTTTTTTTTTTTTTTTTTTTTTTTCCCCCAGACGAGCCCTCCACTCTTGGACCTCAGTCTGGCAACAAGCCCCCGAATCCAGTCTGGACCAGGGCAACGAAAATGGCCCGCTCCCATTTACATCTTCCGCCCTGTTGGGCCTCGCATATGTGCGTCTCTCTCTGAATCTCGGTCCCTACCGACACCTTGAAACCCGAGACCCCATGACTATCGCCTCCGCACTGCACCGTGCCCCAAAACTAGAGCCAACGAGCTACCTCACCCCAGCACTTCTCTACTCCGCGCACGCACTTAGTATCCCAGTTCGTCTGGGGATCGACCATATTGCGCGTAGCCAGGCCTTTTTCTGGAGTGTGCAGCACTCCGTAGCAAGTCTGGATTGCGCGGTTCTTCTCAGTAAATGGTTGATGTCGCTAAAGGACGATCAAAACTTAACCGGTACGAATAAACCAGGCTCCCGGGTGTAATCCCCATACAGAACAGACCTATATATTCTAATACAGATAGAAAATAAAGAAAACGAGTCCAGAATCCTCTACTGGACCCGCTGCATAGTCCAAGAAGCATACACGTCCATGGACCTCGACGCATCCGACTCCTTCCCTGGAATCGAACCTGGCTCGGGCATTGCTACAGGTACCGCGATTAACCTCGAAACCCGGAGCTTAGGCTTTGCCGTGATAAAGCTATGGGCAAGACTGTTTCGGAAAAACACTCAGTGGCCATTTATCAATGTGCTCGGGGAGAGTTTGGAGAGGTATTTGGAGTCGGTGATGGATTAGTCTCTTCTTCCAACACACACACACACACACACACACACACACACACACGTGTATATATATATATACACACATATATATACCCTTCCTAGGCATTTATTCCAATTTCTCCTCCCCAGTTTCTCTACATTATGATCTAATACCACCAGATATGTTTTATGTTTCTTAGCACGCTGTGTTGTGTTATGTTGTGCTGAGACTGGGGCTTACTCAGTGAAAAATTTCGTAGTTAGTTAACTAACTAGTTAAAAAGCAAGTTAATGAATGGGCTGGATATATGACCAAAAAATGAACGGCAGCTGTTGATGATAATAATGCTTGTCCCTGTTACATATATCCACACACACACACACACACATATATATATATATATATATTTTTCCCAATCTAGGCTCTTTAGATAAGTAATAAAATGAGTAAGAGGGAACTGAAGAAATAGCATACTCCTACAATAATTTCCCTTTTATAATGAAAGCATAATGTAGTTTTGAAAATCCCCTGCTAGAGGAGGAAAAACCAGACCAGACAGATAGACAGATCGACAGATAGACAGATCGACAGATAGACAGATCGATAGATATAGATTCCTTTGTTGACAAAGAGATCCTATAGGATATTTCACCTGCTTTCTTTCTTAATGGTCTGTCTGCCTGCAGTAGATAGTTAGGTAGTTACATAGATGCAAGGGAGCTTAGCAGTACTGGCTTCCTACAGTGCTAAAATTCCTACATAGATATGTTTCAGTCCTCTTTATTCCACCCATGATTATGTATGGGCTGTGAGGAAAGGTGACGGTGGCACTTAGGGCCCGACTGGAACCGACTGGAACAGGAGAGAGAGAAAAAAAACAATACTTCGGTAATATTGCAAATTCAGATTGCAATGCATACGATACAATCTATCACTTTTATAGTAATCCTAAATCATCAAGGGTGGAGGGTATTTATGAAGCAGAGGAAACAGAAAGAAAAGGGCAGAAGAAAAAAAAAAAAAAAAAAAAATTAACCCCATGTTCCTCCTCCACCACCACGGCCTTGCCGACGCTGGGCTGACAACCGCCAATCGTTCTCCCCAGCAAACCGATTATGCAAGGGTTGGATCCGCTCTGCCTTCTTCCGTTTCGAGAGCCGATCCGTTGGTGCAACCTTGAAGAACGTTGGCGCCGCCTCGACAAGCCACTTCGGCTCAATGGAGGTAGTACAATGCATGTACTCCTTAGTCGTGAGGACAAGAGTATGATAGATGACGTGCTCGGAAGGCTTTCCGAACAGGGCTGAGCTTGGATGCATGTAAACAGGGGTACCCTCGACAAGCGTCTTGTATCCCTCTTGAGGATCCTTACGTCCCGCATTGCGGAAGAACCCTGTGCAAAGGGCCTGGCGCACTTTGGTGGTGTTGCGGCCGCAAGAGACGATCTTATGATGGTAGCGGTCCATGATCCCAAGGAGCTGCTGGCGTACATCCTGGGCGCGACGGATCTGCCGGGCCTGGATGAAGTTCTCAAAGCACCAGGCGTTGTTGAATTTGGAGTTTTTCCAGCCATTATAGACGTTCAGGAGAGTAAGGTGGTCGCCGTGTGGGTCGTGGAATTTGGCTTTCTTTTGGTCTGCTTGTTGCTGCTTTTCCTTGGGGCGGTAGAAGACGGATTGGATGGAAAGCATCGCAACGATACTAAGCATCTCCTCCGAGCATCCCATATCGACCGAGGCGATAAGAACCTTGGCTAGAGCAGGTTCCATGGGGAAGTCGGCCATTTTCCTCCCTAGTCGGGTAAGGAGACCTTCATCGTCTAATGCGGACAGGGCGTAGAGTTCTTCCAGTGCAGTAAGCATGGTGTTGGTCGGGGGTGGGTCCATAAAGTCAAAATGAAGCAGATCGTTGATGCCCATGGCCTTGAGCATGAGGATAGTGTGAGACAGGTTTTGACGCTGGATTTCGGGAATCGTAGTTGGCAGCATCTCTGACTGGTAAGCGGCTTCGGTGTACAGGCGGAAGCACTTGCCAGGGCCGGTTCTTCCAGCACGGCCAGCCCGTTGTTTGGCCTGGGCTTGCGAAATAGGAGTCACCACCAGAGAATCCATACCGAGCTTGGGGTCGTATGCGTTCTGCTTCACGAAGCCAGGGTCAATAACGTAGTAGATATTGTCAATGGTGATCGAGGTTTCCGCAATGTTGGTAGCAATGACAACCTTCCTACCACCAGGCGGGGCAGGTTCGAAAATCCTACTCTGCATCTCGCTAGGTAGGGCGGAGTAGACGGGAAGTATGACCAGCTCTGGCACACTCGGTCCCAAAACTTTCATGCGCTCGTAGAGGATCTCGCAAGCGGTATCGATTTCTTCCTGACCTGTCAAGAACAAAAGCATATCGCCTGCAGGCTCCGTCAAGTGGATCTGCATGACTGTAATAAGAGCTGCATCCAGATAATCTGATTCTGGTTCCTTCGAGTACATGATCTCGACAGGGAAAGTTCGACCAGGGATCGAGAAAATCGGACAGCCATTGAAATACTCCGAGAACTTTTCAGCATCTAGGGTCGCCGATGTAACAATCAGCCTCAGGTCTGGTCTCCGCTTGAGGGTCTTCTTCAGCAGTCCGAAGAGAACATCAGTTGCGATTGTACGCTCGTGAGCTTCGTCAAGCATAATCACAGAGTACTTCCTGAGATCTGGGTCTAAGAGAACCTCTCTTTGAAGCATGCCATCAGTCATGTACTTGATCTTCGTCTCTGGGCTGGTACAGTCCTCGAAACGAATGGTGTATCCAACCTCAGCACCCAGTCTGCAACCCACCTCCTCGGCCACACGCTTCGCGACAGACATGGCTGCAACACGACGAGGTTGTGTACATCCGATAATGCCACTGTTGGCATACCCACCCTCAGCCAGGTACTGCGTTAGTTGCGTTGTTTTCCCGGATCCAGTATCTCCGACAACGATCAGGAGCTGGTTGTCACGCACGGCGTCAAGCAGCTGCTTGCGGAATTTGTACACAGGTAGACTTTCTCGTTGCTGCTTGATCGACATGTTCGTCCGTTTACCAAAAGACTGGTTCTTGCCCATGGTGACTCTCTTCCACTCGGGAACAGATTCATCTGTCTTTGATTGTTGAGCGTGGCGCAAATCAGTAGCAAATTGTCGCTCACCAGGAGCAACCATAGGATCTTGCCATTGTGCATTGAGATCGACCTCTGCTGCTCGTTCTGCTGCTTTGTCTTGGGCTTCTTGCTGCCGTAAGTCTCGTCGTTCCTTTGCCAGGTTGGTGCCCGCCATGGCTGATCGGTTCATAGAGCCATCTGGGGCTTTGACGACTCGGATCGGAGACAGTTCCAGCGACATCTTGGTCTGTCCTGCTAGGAAGGGAGGTTCTTCGTCTCGAACCTCAATATCGATATCCTCCTCTTCTTCAAAAGCGCCCTCACCGGTAAGAGTAGCATGGTACTCTTCATCAATGTCAGGATAGTCAGCGGCAGAAGCAGCGCCGGATGCAATCAGTTGCTTAATCTCCCATCGCTCTGGGGAAGTCAAGCGCTTCCGGTTCTTCATCGGCTTGCCATTGGACTCCTCGATAATCGGGACGTCAGAGCTTAGGTTTCCATATCTGTCGTTGGAGGAAACGCCATTGAGACGTTCCATGTTGGCTCCGGACGCAAGACGCCGTTGAGGGATGAGGTCCAACCCAGTCTCTTGGTCCACTTCTTTCATAGACAAGCCTATCCGGGAGCCTTGAATGCTGATAACTTTAACCTTGACAGGCTGGCCACGGGAAACCAAGTCGGAAGGATGGTTAACTCGGGCCCCCTCTTGCATTGCCGAGACGTGCACCAGGCCATCCACCTTGCCCTGCACGCCCTGCAAGTTCACGAACACGCCAAAGTCCTTCACTCCAGTGACCCGTCCATCATAGACCTTATATAGCACTGGCTGATCATCCAACTCAACAGGTGGCGGTTTTTTGAAATAGTCATCATCATCGTCTCGTCGCTTCCTGCGCTCACTTCGTGCATTGCGATACCCATCATCCCTAGAGCTATGTTTCCCCGTTGATCGACCAAATTCATCTACCTCCTCATCTCCCTTATTATACGCGGGGCTCCGCGACCTCGATCGAGAGCGATACCGATCATTCCGCCTCCGTCCCCGGCCGTAATCATCATATTCGGGACTCCGACTTCGCTTCCTGTTGGCGCGAGCCTCTTTCGGCGCGTGAGTCTGAGATTGAGATTTCTCCTTCTGCGCCTTCCCCGCTAGCCCCTCCAACATTGCAAACGTATCGTCCATCGCATCGGCCTTCACATCCGGGGCCTCCCGCTCCTCCCGCCGCCGATAATCATCCGCATCCCAGTGTTGATCTCGATCAGGCACAGCCAGACCTTTGAACACGCGCGCCTTCTTCTCCAAGGCACTCAGAACATCAATATCGTCATCCTTGCCCTCTGAGTCGTCCGCCACAGCCTTATTCTTCTGGTTCTTGTACTTCGGGTGCATGGTCAGAACAAGGCGATCCACACTCTCCAACAAGCTCTGCGGGAACTCCGCACCCATCGCCTCCAGGGTACTCTTGAATTCGGCAAACGAAGCGCATTTCAGATGCTGGTCGATCACGAACTCGGCTAGGGTTTTGTCGTTGACGCCAATGTGGTTCTGGAGCTCGTTGGTGATTCGCGAGACGAGCGAAAAGAGCTCCAGAGACTGGAGGTCATCCATGACGGGAGAAGGCGAAAGGCGTCACGTCACGGATGGAGAGAGAGAGTAAGGTGATTTGAAAGCAAATAAAAGAAGAGGATGGATTGAATGATAGTGAAGAGAGAGCGCGCGCGACACACCCCTCCCCCATGCGAAGGTGGTTCTGTGTCTCGTCGGTCGTTGTCTGTCTGTCTTTCCCTTTCCCACTCGGTAAAGCTTTCTGTCGCGGAAAATCGTTGTGGCGTGTTGGGACACCGCCACCGATAAGATAAGCCATCTTTTTTTCCTTATGTACCCTACAAGTACCATTCAGCTAAAAAGGTGCCTAGACAGCCATTCCTGGCTGATACAGTATTATTTTTGGTCCACATTACATTACAGCTTTGCAGAATTCAGGCTAGACTCTTTTTTTTTTTTTTTTTTTCAAAGGAGGCTCCAGAGCGAGAGGTCAGGGGCTGGCTATCCTCTTACGAGTACATCTTGACTGCTGCTGCTATTGTGATAACCCTTTTGCTACTGGATACTATCGATTATATAGAAATTAACCGTAAACGTTAGAATGAAGGAAAGAATTGATGAAGAAAATGAAGCCACTAAGAAATCTCCAACCGTCTTCAGCCCGGATTATTTACCTAACCTCATCTCATTACATCTGATTTCATTTCGTCTCGTCTCGTCTCGTCTCGTCCCATTACATCATATAGCTTAGAAAGCCAGGAAAATAGCACCCAGAGCCATCACTCCCGCGAAAGCAGATCCGGCACTGTTCACGCTAGCAGCACCGGTAAAGGCAGGTGTGCTAGGGCTCGTAGTTGCAGGCGAGGTTCCGGTGGGGACGGAAGTGGTAGCCGGGGGAGCAACTGGAATGGTGGTGGTGGTGGTGGTTACAGAAGTGGTGAGAGTGGTAGATGGAGGAGGAACCACGACGGCAGTGGTGGTGGTGGTTTCAGTCTCATATGGGGTAGTAGTGGTGGTGGTGACGCTTTCACCTGGAGTGGTGGTCGTGGCAGTAGTCTCGCAAGGAGTGGTAGATGGCGGAGGAACCACGACGGCAGTGGTCGTGATTGTGGTCTCAGTCTCGCAGGGAGTGGTGGTGGTAGTGGTAGCACTTTCACCTGGAGTGGTGGTCGTGGCAGTAGTCTCGCAGGGAGTGGTAGATGGAGGAGGAACCACAACAGTAGTAGTGGTGGTGGTCTCAGTCTCGCAGGGAGTGGTGGTGGTAGTGGTAGCACTTTCACCTGGAGTGGTGGTCGTGGCAGTAGTCTCGCAGGGAGTGGTAGATGGAGGAGGAACCACAACAGTAGTAGTGGTGGTGGTCTCAGTCTCGCATGGAGTGGTAGTAGTGGTGGTAGCACTTTCACCTGGAGTAGTGGTGGTAGTAGTCTCGCAGGGAGTGGTAGATGGAGGAGGAACCACAACAGTAGTAGTGGTGGTGGTCTCAGTCTCGCATGGAGTGGTAGTAGTGGTGGTAGCACTTTCACCTGGAGTAGTGGTGGTAGTAGTCTCGCATGGAGTGGTAGAAGGAGGAGGAACCACAACAGTAGTAGTGGTGGTGGTAGTCTCGCAGGGAGTGGTGGTGGTGGTAATGCTAGTAGTGCTAGTAGTGCTAGTAGTGGGAGTCTCACATGGAGTGCTGGTGGTGGTAGTGGTGGTGGTACTCGCAGTAGTGGTAGTAGTGGTGGTGGTCTCAGTCTCGCATGGAGTGGTAGTAGTGGTGGTAGCACTTTCACCTGGAGTAGTGGTGGTAGTAGTCTCGCATGGAGTGGTAGAAGGAGGAGGAACCACAACAGTAGTAGTGGTGGTGGTCTCAGTCTCGCATGGAGTGGTAGTAGTGGTGGTAGCACTTTCACCTGGAGTGGTGGTCGTGGCAGTAGTCTCGCAGGGAGTGGTAGATGGAGGAGGAACCACAACAGTAGTAGTGGTGGTGGTAGTCTCGCAGGGAGTGGTGGTGGTGGTAATGCTAGTAGTGCTAGTAGTGCTAGTAGTGGGAGTCTCACATGGAGTGCTGGTGGTAGTAGTGGTGGTGGTAGAAGTCTCGCATGGAGTGGTAGTGGTAGTGGTAGTGTCCGTCTCACAAGGAGTCGTGGTAGTATCATAGTCAGGATCCCAAGGGTCAGATCCAGCACCGCCGTGGTCACCTCCAGGACCGCCAGGGAATCCAACAGGACTGCCGCCGCGCTCAGCAACCCGGGCCGGTGCCGCAAGGACACCGGTAAGGGCACCTAGGGTGACCAGGAGATAGGTCGAGTTAATCTTCATGGTGGAGCAGTGATGAACGAGAGGACCTTAAGAGCTTGCAGTAGATATTAGGGTATAATTTCAATGATTAAAATACAACTGCTTCCAACGCAGCAAAACACACAAGACGAGGAACGACCGTGGGCAGCAGACAAGCTCTTACTGAGTAGCCCGAGAGAAGGAAAAAGGACCTCGGGATCCAGGCGCAGCAGATGACAAGCCCTTTTATCAACCAGGCCACAGGTGGCAGGGCCTATCAAGGATAGGATGCGTCATTAATCTCGTTGCTATGTATCGGCTGTAACCGAGTGCTCACTTCCCAGTTAACAAAGACCCTTCCCTGAGAGGGTCCGCTTGGCAGACAGCGTAGTGGATCAGCGATGCATGACGAGTGGACTGCACTCAGCCCTAGTGCGAAGCTAGAGGCTTTGGCTGCATTGACGGGATGGTCTGATAGATCAAGTTCTAGCTAGTTGCCTGGTTATTAGCTCCGATACAATAATAATGAACCATGGGGAAGCAAAAACCGCGGCGTGGAGGATTCAAGACAGGCAACTCAACTGAAGGCGGTTTGGAGATGAGCCCACGCACATGATACAACTGAGAGTGAGACTTATACTGGTGCTATAATTCTTATTAGTAGTAGGAGTATGTAGTATTCAAACGCTAAATTATATCCGTATCGTGGGATTGGGTTGTTGTCGACGGAGGACTCGGAGTAGAAACGAGCGTCAAGCATCAAGCATCGAGGAGAGAATCCGGATTTTCGAGCACGGGACTCTCAAAAGTCCGTCAATGGGGACGTGTTGATCTCGTTGATCTCACTGTTGACTGCATAGGAAATGATTGTTATAGGATGCATGCTCACCTGTCAAGGACACAGATTAACTTGTTTGTTTTTTTTTTTTTTTTTTTGGATATTGGGCTCTGAGACAAACAACTGACAATGACACAACGTGACCAGTATGTGTACACCTACTAGTATAGCGTTGGGATGCAATTTGCCAGGAATAACTAACTTATTCAAATAAATTAATCAGAGACATTTCCCGTTCCACGGGACAGGAATTCGAAATTCGAGATGATGAGGTCAAAGCAGTAACGGTGGGGTTGTGAGACATTCATCCTACGTACGATTGAATCTCCCCGCTAAGATATCCTACTCCATACTATGTATCATAACTATCAAAGGATTCCCTGTCAAGGATTCAAAACACCGAATAAAGCTTGTGCATCACTGTCTCCAAGAAAGTGGCTGGCCTTGTCTTCCCCGCCCAAAAATGAGAGAGAGAACCCAACCCCCACAGGGTCTGGATGGATGAGAGATCGTCAGCAAACAGATTACAGATCCCGAAGGAAGTACCTACCTACCTAATTAACTAACTAATGTAGATACTGCAGGTTACTGACCAACTACTATGATATTGACAGGGAAACGGAAAAAAAAGAAATTGCTGTCAGACTTGTCATTTTTTTTTTTTTTTCACGAAGTACCTAGACTAGTAAGAAACAGTCTGGCTGGCTGGCTGGCAATTCGGAGTAATCTCCTACAGATGCAGGTAGGGCAGCAGGTAGGTTCCTTGCTTGCCTCTTCGGATCTTTATCTAACGATCGGTGGACAAGAAATGGAAGAGAGCATCCATACAGGTGAGGCCCCAGGCTGAGGACTCGGTACCTACCTACCTAACTAACAGCAGCAGAACAGCCAATTAGTATGTCCAGTTCGATCTGGAGGGAAGGAGGTCAGGCACGAAGGTAAGGCCAAATCTTGCGCTCTGATTGTGTTCTTGAGAGAGCAAAGCGGTGTGTGTGACACTGGATTCAAGAATCTTTGCCATGCTGGCATAGCAGTGAAGGATTGGTGGCTGATGTGAGAGAGACCCTTGCTCCGTCACATTCTTGCATGCTCGGCTTTCTGGGACGGCAGGTGAGGCTACCTAACGGAGTACCATCAGGCAAAGTTGAAAAAACAGGTGATGGGGCGGGCCTACAGCTGAAGCACAGTAGGGAAAGGAAAGCCACGTCTGTGCAGAATATCGTACATTGGTGAAGATGAGAACCTATAATAATAATACAAGAAGATATCTATAACAAATCATTATGACCCTGGAACACGTCCAACCATTCCCATGCCCTAAATCCATACATATCTACTAGACTCACTGAGCAACGGAGCCGGGATACGTCTCAGATGCTGGGGGCAGGTTGGTATACTCAACGCTATCGGACAGATCAATGGGAGTTGGCTCCTCCTGCCCATCCTCTGGGTCGAGTTCCTCGGCCTCGGAAAGGCGCTTCTTTTGCTCGAGAATCTGTTTCTGCAGAGCAATCTGTCGGCGCAGAGAAGCATCCTTGCGAAGCTTCTTGTTGGAAGAAAATTCCGTCAGGGCCCTGACCATTCGCTCCTCGACCAGCTCTTTCACGTGAACTGCCAGAGTTCGGTCCGTGAAGACGCCGCCGAATCGGTAACTCAGCCATGAGTAGAGAATGACCGACTTGTGCAAACCTTCCAATGCCTGCAGGTAGGCCTTGCTTCCGGACACTGGCTCTTCGAGGATTTCCAGGTTGAGGTCGGGGATATCCAAGAGCCGGCCGTTGGAGTGTCCTGCCACGCAGCTGGCAAACGCAGCCGCAATATCACGCCCGGCGGGATCCTTAGCATGGATAGGAGCTGCCATGAAGGTTAACTGATCCCCGATTTGCAAGTCGCTGATAGAATCAATGACCTCGGCATTTTCCAGCTGATTGCGAGGGTCACACATGAAAAACAGAGGATGGATTACTGAGATCTCCATGAGACGCTTGACGATATACTCAAGCGGGATGTTTTGCGGGAAGTACGATGCAAACTTCTCGAGCGCCGAGTCCGGGGCAATAACCCCAGCAGTAGTGAGTGGGGGCGGCTCGACTGCCATCGCTTGACGGATATATGGGAGGTCAATTTCTTCCAGGGATGTCACATAACCAACGTTAGATCCAGTGTCCTGCGAATTCTTCTCTTTGCTGTTTTGTTGTGCGGCGGACCGATACCGACCCGCCCGCCCAGCGATTTGCTTGATTTCAGGGACAGATAACCTGACGAGGCCTTCGGGGACTCTTTTGACGAGGGTTTCAAATATGATGCGCTTACAGCTCCTAGAAAACAATGAGCCACAGGTGAACAATAATCAGACGTAAGTAGACTCACAAATTCAATCCCATGCCAATAGCATCGCTAGCAACAAGAAAATCGTAGTCGTTGTCGGGATCGTTGAATAGCCTGGCTTGCTGGGTCCGGATTTCAGCCGGCAAGCTACCATATACGATGGCAGCTCGTCTGCCAGTGGTTTTCTCAATATCCGCTTTCAAGGCGTGGATTCCAAGTCGGCTGAAAGCCACTATGCAGTCCCCTTTCTGTAGGTTCTTTAGATCCCCTCGGAGACTGTGGTCCATCACTTTCAGGGGGTTCAGACGTTCATACCGGTGGATCTCCAGCTTGTCCCCGGTTAGAGCCGCGAGCTGCCGAATCAAGGGTACGGCTCTGGTCTCTCCACAGAGGTGAAGCTCAGTAGCTTGTGCACCAAGCACAGCACGAGTCCAGGCCCATCCACGTCTGGAGTCGGCAATCATCTGGATCTCATCGATAACGCCGACCTCGTAAGGTTGCCCAAGGTTGACCATCTCAACTGTATTGCTCACAACAGTGGGTTGTTGGTCCTCAGGGATTTTGACATCATCCCCTGTCACCAAACTACACGGAATTCCACTACTTTGGAAGCGGTGGTAGACTTCCTGTGCGAGCAGCCTCAGGGGTCCGGCATAAAAACCGCTCTGCGCAGCCTCCAGTCGCTTTAATGCGTGGTATGTCTTTCCTGAGTTTGTCGGTCCAACATGCAAATGAATCGTTCGTTGAACAGCGCGCGCTTGCGGGTACCATTCTGCCGGATATCGCAAGTCCGCTATCTTCTTTTGCTCTTCGAGGTTGGGCTCCGAGTATGTCGCAGTGATATCTTTCGCATACATAAGATATTCCAACTCATTTCGGAGACCTGCAGAGCCAGACTTGAGAAAGGCATTTTGCAATGAGGTCTTAACGCGTCGTAATGGTGAATCTTTTCCAAGTCGACCCAACTCATCGTTCACCTTGCAAGCTGTCAGGATGTAACGCTCGAATCGCTTCCATGATCCGCGCTCCTCGTCTGACTTCCCAGCCACCCCACTGTCCTTAAATTCCTGAAGAATAGATGTCACAACAGTCGTGAAATCAGGGGCGACATATTTCCGTTTTAGCAGTTTCGGACCGGAGTGGACGGAGACACGAGGTTCAGGTTGTGCACGCTGTGTCCACTGTTCAGGCTGTTTAGAAATAGAAGTAAGCATTTTGCACCTTTTAAATTGTGATATGCCTAGAGAGAATTGTACTTTATAGTCATCGTGCTTTTGTTTAATAGCGTCTAGCTTCTTCAAATTCGTCTGTCTCGATCGCTGAAGCGTAGTAGTTGTTGCAAAGGATCGCGAAATAGAACGGGACGGCGCCTGGAAGGTACAAAACAGGCAACGAGTGCCTTTACTGGCCCATAGCTGCATTACTCCGCGGGTGATCTTTGGAAGAACCGCAGTGGAAAGCAGTGAAGGTGTCTGTCGAGGACGCAACAGGGAGGCGAACTCGATGCAGATACTTTATGCATCCAGATGAATGTTGCGTCCTAGGAGGAAAGGAAAGGAATAGATGCAAATAATCCCCGAGAAGATGAGAGAATACCCAGACAGTCAATTGGAATGGATTGAAATTTTTATTGAGACGGGGGAAGCTTCTGATTATTATTCCTCACCGCGTTGGCGATAACTAAAAGCCGCCCGCCGCCAACCGCTGCTTTTGGTGGAGAGCCTGGTGGACTTCATTAGCAACTTGGAACTGATACACACGTTTCAAAAAGATCACTTGAGTCGTTAGTCCTCGCGCACCATTTCTACCCCCTCCGCCCCCCTTTTTCTGATTAGGGTCTATTTTGTTGGTCGCTTGGTTTTCAGCTCTTTCTTTCCCTCCTCTCCCCAACCGTTCTCCGTTCCTCGTGTTCGCGTGTGAGACCTCAAGAGCTTCGACCCGACGGAGGGCTGCCGGCCAGCCACTATGAGCTCCCTACTCAGCATCCAACGTGATAGTAAGTTGTGTTTCAATTCTTATTGTTTCAGTTCTTTTGTCTCCTTTCGTATGCTGACTATTTCTCGCGATAGTCCTTTTGAATACCATCCGTTCTACGGGCGGTGATGACGTGCGATCCAGTCCCCCGCTTTCCCCCCTCCTGCTCATCTATGACGGTACTGACTGCGGTCATCTCTAGTGGAAAGTTTTGGTCGTAGACGAGGAAAGTCGGAAGTTGATCGCCAATGCTGCGAAGGAAGATGACATTCTCAATCTCAATGTCACCAGTGAGTCTATCTTGCTGCTCCTATGAGCATCCTTGCAGGAGCTAACCCGCCTACGCCGCCAGATATCGAACAGATCGAACATCGCCGGTCATCCAACCAGAGCATGGATGCACTATACATCCTTTCTTCCCTTCCACATATAGTAGACTGTCTTCTGGCCGATTTCGAAAGACGACGATATAGGAAAGCACATTTGGTGTGGACCTCATGTTGGTTAACCCCCCGCTTCTCACTGACCAGGTTGGACCTGACATTGCTTGTTAGTCCTTGATCCAGGGCTGCGCGCCAGGCTCGATCGATCTCAGGTAGCACAGGGTCTGATTGCAAGCTTTCAAACTATAAGCATCGATTACTTCCCAAGGGAATCACGTCTGGTCACGTTCAAGGATCCATGGAGTTTCCCGATCCTGTTCCACCCAGGCTGCAACCATCTGATACGTGAGCACCTGGCGGGCTTAGCTCACAAGGTAAGACAGGTATCGTTTCATGTCTCATGGCCATGCTAATGGGTTTCGTAGGCTGTCTCGCTCTGCGCCAGTCTGGGAGAATACCCGGTAATCCGATATTACCGACCTAGAACCCCTACCCACGAGGCCAGTGTTCTGTGTTCGCACTTGGCACGGTTCATTCAAGAAGAATTAGACAAGTTCGCCCAGTTCCAGCGAGACTTTCCACCCCCTTCCCCAAGACCACGAGGTGTCTTGGTAGTCGTGGATCGTTCAATGGACCTACACGCACCTCTGATTCACGAATTCACCTACCAGGCTATGGTACACGATCTGCTTCCGATTAAGGAAGGAGACAAAGTCACATATAAAACATTAGTCAACGAAGGTGGTGTGAACGAGGAAGTAAAGGAGATGGAAATTGGTGAACAAGACAAAGTCTGGGTCGAGTATAGACATATGCACATGAAAGACGTGTTGGGTAAGCTTGGTGAAGATTTCGCCAAGTTTAGAGCAGCTAACCCCCAATTTTCTGAAAGGTAGGTGATTCTGCTCTTTGTACACTTTCCTGCGTTTGACTTCATCCTTTGTTACATTTCATTTGCTAATTCAGCATAGCAACGACAAGGCTAGTGTGGGCATGATCAAGGATATGCTGGCGGGTCTTAGAGAGTTCCAAGAGGGCCGAGATGCGTACACGCTTCACCTAAACATGGCGCAGGAGTGTATGAAATTCTTCCAGGAACGTAAGCTAATCGAAGTTAGCTCGGTCGAACAGGGTCTTGCCACTGGCCTCGACGAAAACCATAAGAAGGCCAAGGGCTTGGCTTCACAACTTGTGCAGCTGTTGGACGATGATTCTGTAGTGAAAGCGGACAGGGTTAGACTTCTGCTGCTCTACATCATCTATAGAAACGGACTGCTTTCCGGCGATGTCAGAAAGCTCATGGCGCACGCGGAACTTCAACCGCAGGATGGAGAAGTGATATCCAATCTTGACCTTCTAGGAGCTCGCGTGGATAAACCACTGAAAGACGACAAACCTCCGGTCATACCACTATTCAACAGAAAACCCCCCATTCCCTCAGAAGCAGATGAGGGCAGTCTCTCCCGCTATGACCTGAATGTCAAGGTGATGCTCGAGGATCTTGTGCGGGGGGCATTAGACCCAAACACTTTCCCCTTTACCCGCCCCCAAACGGAGTCCGAAGGTATGGCAGGACAACAAGACACTTTGGCACAGGCATCACTTCGAAGTGCGAAACCCACGTGGGCGCGTTCTCGCACCACGGGTGAGCAGCCACGGCAGCGCATCATTGTCTTCATGGCTGGTGGAGCTACATACGGCGAAGCCCGTACCTGCTATGAGATCTCTGAGGCCTTCCGGAAGGACGTCTTCCTCGCCACCTCTCATATGCTCACTTCCAATCTATTCCTCCGACAACTCAGTGATTTGAGCGTCGATAAGCGCCGGCTTGATATCCCCGCTGAGCGACCCAAGCCCACTGCTCCAGCCCATCTCTTCGAGCGAGATCCCCCACCAGCCCCTCAGCCTACGCCGCAAAGAACCCCGGCTCCTACCCCTTCTCCAGTGCCCCCAACAGCTGCAATGGGGAACATGTCTCTAGGGCAGAGTGGACACAAACCGTCCAACTCGTCTTCTAGTTCGAAACCGCCCAAGGAAAAGGAGAAGAAGAAACGCCATCATTTCTTTAGGTAATATAAGCCAATCCTTTTTTTTTTTTTTTTTCAACTGTAGAGGCTTTTAGTATTTGGAATTGCGTTTGTTTGCATTATCGCACTGCCGTGATACCATTTAGGGCTTGTTGTTGTTGTTGTTGTTGTTGTTGTTGTTGTTCTGAGCAATTAAGGCGCTGCGGTTACTCTCTCTCTCCCCTTCATTTTGTCAATTACCCTGACAATATTCAAAGTACAGTACATAGTAATATATAGACTACCACATGAACTCATCTCATAAATCACATGCAAGAAAAGGGGTATCATCATCATCATAATTATCATAGCACATCAATTTAATCCGAGTCAACCGTCCCCCAGATACTTCAACACGTTCTCGTCCCGATAAAACATCTCGCGCAATTTCTCCCCTCTCTTCCGAGCCTGCACATGCGCCTTCCTCACCTGTTTCGCATTCAGCTTCTGCACTTTGTCCTTGTCCTTGTCCTTGTCCTTGGTCTTGGTCTTGGTCTTCCCCGGCTCCTCGGTAGGAACATTTGCCCCCAACCCAACCGTATCAGCCTTCAACTTGCCCTTCAGTGGTTCTCGGATCCCTTCTCGTCCTGGAGCGCCCAATCCCACCCGGCTATCTGGGTCCCAGCCGTAGGAGGCGAGGTAGCGGAGTCCGTGCCTGGTGCGGTCCAGATGAGAAGGTGGATGGGAGTGCGACAGGCAGACTTGGTGCGCTAGGGAGGCTTCGTGGGGTTTTACGCTGGGGTTGCTGTCGGTGTTGGCAAGGGGGAGGTCGCATATCTCGCAGGTTGAAGGCAGTAATGGATTATCAGTAGGAGGAGGAGGAGCGGAGTGGCTACGCTCGTCTGTGTTTGCGCTTGCCGGGATACTTTCGGGGGCATTTGTGGCTATAGCTGTAGATGTAGATGGATTCGGGGAACAGGAAGAGGAAGACTTGGGCATCACTATCGAGAGGTATCGATTTGCTATACTGGAGCCGGCGAAGGGGGTAGTATTTGGCGTCGAGGAGGACAGAGCAAGCGTGGTGAGCTCATGTTCGGAGGAGCGCACAAAGGGGACGCGTTTGCGGGTGATGCCTGCACCGAAGACTCGCTGGTCTTCAAGAGGGAGGAAGTAGTCCTCATCTTCATAGGAATTCGAGTCCTTGGACATTGCCCCTTGTAATTTTCAGTGAAGATAGCCTCAACTTTGACTGTCTGGAGAAAAAGTGAAGTAAAGTCGACTATGTACTGTAGTGGTGGGCGGGAGATCGGCCGCTATTTTTATCTTTTTGTCGCCTGCCAGGAGTCCCGAGTTCCCTCTCTGGTCTTCTTTTTACTCTTTCATATATATCCTCCCTTTCCTATTCATTCTTCCAGGGGCTCTTGTTGTCTATTTACCTCGATATGCCCATCCCCTTGATCACTAAGGGTGTTACAGAGGGCTTATCATCCATTCCCTACTCCTACACAGTCCTCCGCGTTGTACCATGGCTGCTCCTCGTCGCCGTGCTGAAGTACTACTTCGGCGGTGCCCGCAATAGCTCAGAGCGACTCATGCACTCCAAAGTCGTCATGATCACGGTATAAAATGCTCTTTCCTTTTTTTTTTTTTTTTTCTTTTCCAATTTGGGACCACCAGTACCCTAATCTCTTCACTAGGGCGGCACGTCCGGCATTGGAGCCAGCGTGGTGCAGGAACTTGCCTCACGCGGCGCCCAGATTATCCTCCTCACCCAACATTCCCAATCCGACATATTCCTCGTCGAATACATCGAGGATCTGAGAAGAACAACGGGCAACCAGCTCATCTACGCGGAGCAGGTCGACCTCTCCTCTCTGCACTCCGTCCGCACCTTCGCAACCAAATGGATCGATAACGTCCCACCCCGCCGTCTGGACACGCTCATTCTCTGTGCCAACACGACCGCCCCATCCGCCTCGAAACGAAAGGCCACAGGAGACGGAATCGACGAAGAATGGCAGGTCAATTACCTCTCCAACTTCCACCTGCTGAGTATCCTCAGCCCCGCATTAAGAGTTCAGCCTCCGCACCGCGATGTCCGCGTGATCCTGACCACTTGCTCGAGCTATATCGGCGCCAAACTCGATTTCTCACAAATTGACGGTCCTCCTCCTCCTCTCTCTCATGCCCTTTCTACGTCCAAGCCAAAATCCTCTCGGTTAGCAACCAGGACCACCGCGAAAGCTCAGAAAAGGACTCCCAAGCCCTTCAAGAGCCTCTTCGGTCTGAGCAAGCTCTCTCTCATGATTTTCGCAAACTCCTTTCAGAAACATCTCAACGCATTCAAGCGCCCTGACGGTCAACCTCCGTCGACACGGGTGATTCTCGTCGATCCCGGATTCGCTCGGACGCCCGGGACCCGCCGCTGGATGACAGGTGGCTCACTATGGGGGCTCCTGGTTTACCTCGTCACCTGGCCGGTTTGGTGGCTTGTGCTCAAGTCTCCGCAGCAAGGCGCACAGAGTATCCTATATGCTGTTATGGAGGCGCGGTTCGGCCGTGGCAGTGGCGGGTGGATGATCAAGGAGTGTCGGGAGGTTGACTTGGCTCGGGCTGAGATCATGGATGACGGGGTGGGCAAGCAGCTATGGGAGCTTAGTGAGAAGCAGATCGAGTTGCGGGAAAAGGAGGGCGCTGTGAAACGGGCCCTGGCGAAGAAAGAGCAAGAGCAGAAGAATGCTCCGGCTGCGGCTCCGGCTCCAGCTCAGGGTTCGAAATCGACTGCGAAAGAGCAAACGCCTGGGTCTCGACGGAGCCGGAAGGGTAATAATAATAATAAATAAAGCCAATAAAGTATAGTGGTAGTATGTATATCAGAGCGATAGAGAAAAAAAAAAAAAATCAAACTAAGAGAACGACCTTGGTAATCCAAAATTAGGTACCTATGTAGAAAAACTAGGCCGCAATATCTCTCTCTATATCTATGAGCCGCATGCATTCATGGTATATCTAATAGTTCACACTCTCAGCACCTGCAACATCCTCCCAGCTATTTTACATATCTGTATCTAGTGAAGCAGTAGGAGAATCAGAGCCTTGGGCACAATAGAGAGAGAGAGAGAGAGAGAGAGAGAGAGAGAGAGAGAGAGAGAGTGTGTGTGTGTGTGTGTGTGTGTGTGTGTGTGTGTGGGAGTGAAAGGAAAAGAAAAGAAATTCGTCTCATTCAATCTAACATGTTCAGTCGGGTAATTCGTCACTATTCCCTTTCCCCACACTTTTCGTGAAATCGATCCCCATTCAAACTATCCCAAAACCAATAAAAAATGTCTCATATATTATCTATTTCTTCAGCTGTGCCAGCAGCTCGGCGGGGGGCTGTTGCCGGTATCCCTGGGGGTTGTTGCGGGTCCACAGCCAGAGATCCTCGCAGGCCTGCTCGAGGGTACGCTCTGCCTTCCAGCCGAGCTCCTTGTTGGCACGGCTGGGGTTGGAAGTCAGGTTGAGGACATCACCAGCCCGACGGGGAGCGACCTCGTAGGGCAGGTCGCGGCCGACAGCCTTGGAGAAGGCGCGGACCATCTCGTACACAGTGCTGCCACGGCCGGTACCCAGGTTCCAGGCACGGACTCCGGGGTTGTTGGAGCGGAGGTAGTTAAGGGCCTTCAAGTGGCCGTCAGCCAGGTCGAGGATGTGGATGTAGTCACGGATGGCGGTTCCGTCATGGGACTCGTAGTCTAGAGGACGTGGTTAGCGATTGATTCCCCAATCTGTTTCGAAGTCCGTCAAGAATTTTGAAAGGAGAAGAAGGAAGTGTTTACCGTCTCCGAAGACGAGCAGCTTCTCGCGCTTGCCAGTGGCGACCTGGGCCAGGAGGGGAAGCAGATTGTAGGGGACACCCTGAGGGTCCTCGCCCATGATACCGCTGGGGTGGGCACCAGCAGGGTTGAAGTAGCGGAGCAAAGCGGCGTTCCACTTGGTGGCCTCAGCCTCGTTTCCGGCCTTGATGGCGTTGTTGCGCTGAGCGTTGATGAGATCGGTGATGGCGGTCTCAACGGCGAATTTGGTGTTGCCGTAAGGGTTGGTAGGGCCGAGAGGGCACTCTTCGGGGATGGGGATCATGTTGGGGAAACGGGTGGCATCACCGTAGACGGTGGCGGAGCTGGAGAAGACAATGTTGGTGACATTGTGGCGGACCATGGAGCGCAGGAGGCAGATGGTGCCATATACGTTAACATGGTAGTAGTCCAGAGGACGCTCACCAGATTCACCGACAGCCTAAAGGGGGGGGAAAAACAGAGACAGATCAACAATGAGGAACAAAACATAAATACACAAGCGAGGGAAAGTTCAACGCACCTTCAGAGCAGCGAAGTGGATAACGCTGTCAATGTCGGGGTGAGCTTCAAAGACCTTATCAAAGGCAGCCTCATCAGTCACATCAAGCTGAGCGAACTCAGCCTTCTTGCCACAGATCAATTCAATGCGGTTCAGAGCCTCTGCGGAGGAATTGTAGAGGTTATCAGCAACGACGACCTTGTAACCGGCCTCGAGGAGAGCGAGGGTGGTGAAGGAGCCAATGTAGCCAGTGCCACTAGTAGAGGGGTAACGTCAATGGAGTGCTTAAGTGTTAGATAGCGTGTGAGAATCAAGCACGTACCCTGTGACGAGAACAGATCCAGCAGGCATGATGATAGAAGATTAGGAGAATGTAATTGAATGAGAAGGAGACAAGCAGAGCGAGAGAGAGAGAGAGAGAGAGAGAGAGAGAGAGAGACACACACACAGGAGATGAAAGACGGTGTGAGACACAGCGGGGATGGCGGGATATTTAAAGGGGGGAAACCGATGATCGAATGGATGGTGGGGGTACATAGAGGGGCAACTAAACAGTACTTTTCTCGATCTCTGTCTCAATTTCCCAGTAAAATACCTGGAAATCACGCCAGAAAAAGCCACTGCAGCAGTGCAGCTCAGGGGAACTCTCATCATCACCTTGTATGTATACTATCCACTCAGCTTACAGAATTTCTACCTAGGGAGAAAGCATTCAATCGTGCCCTGAAGCTCTCTACAAGCGCCCACCCTCTCCATGCAGGCCGATCAACTCCATATTAATTACTATTCGAGATAGAACGGAACAACGTGCTACACAGCTAATATCTGCATATTAATCCCCGAAATGCATCCAAGCAGACTGTCAGGCAACCCACGGGTTAACGCAGCGAACCCTCTCAAAAATATTTCCCGCTTTGGCGACTGGCAGGCTGGGACCAGAACGGACGGCACTCGCGAATTCTTTAAACTGGCGGCGACAAGACAAATTCCGGCCAGATTGGACGAACGATCCGGGACTCGTTCAAAAAGGACAAGCAACAGCCATGGTCCCAGCTAGCCAGGTCTCTCGCGCTGAGACTCTAGAGCCTTCGTGGGCGGGTCGGGTTCCACTCTCCTTGCAGTGGACCGGACCTGTTTCTCATGAGACTACCTACTCCGTACCTAGGTATGATCCAAGGATCTCAGTTCTACAAAGACCAGTCACATATCATTGTCTTCGTCATGCCATTCTCTTCGGGTTTTAGGACACCTGGTCGGTTATTTTGGTAGCATCGGGTTGACCCGTAGTCTGCTTCTATATATATACCTATACTTATATAACCGAGCGGTATCGGGTAGAATAGCCGGTTGGCTACTAGCTGGGTACTCGCGAGGTCATGGACGACGAGAATACCTTGGGAGAATGCGATTTGACAGCCGCAAAGAAGAAGCCCACTTAATTATATTTATGGCGAAAGAAGATGTGTGGTGATAAGAAAATAAAGTAAAAAGAAAAAAGAAAAGAAAGCTAGCTGTGCTGTGTACTTGTCAAATTGCACTCACTACCCAGCGGTAGTGCAAGTACACCCACCATACACCACTGGTGACAATTATTTGCTGTAGAATTCTCAATTCGCTGTTTGTTACAGATTATCGCTTTTCCCCCAACAGGTGAAACAATCATTGGGTTATTTCAGCTAACCCGCTTCGCTTCTCATGTCTCCTAGCGTTCCCTCCTAAACGCTGGGAGAGATAGAAAGCTCCTAGGACTTCCAAGCCTGGGGAAGCACAATTTTATTTTTTTGGTTGTAGAGCAACAGGAACAACCCTGTGATTCCACAGTGTGTGCTCGCGCCGCATCGCAATGTCTTTCACCAACATGGTGCTGCGGGGCGCGCCATGGCCTACATCTTATCCGGAATTGGCCTGTTGTGATCTCGAGCTTCATGCTCCTCCCTTAACCAAGAAGCTCAACGTCAAGACCAATGGCCCGCATGAAGAGGTTGACATTTCCAAGTCGTTGGCTGGCCATGTCGGCCGGAAGTGTCTTGCTATATGCCACCGTCTCCATAACGCGATCCCTGTAGAAATTAAATGTTAGTATGGTGGTGAGAGAAAAATATGATTTTAAAAGCCCGTGCGTGATAATAGAGTATACTCACTTGACAGCGATAACAAGGCGTTGTTGCTGTTCCGGACTCGCCCCGATTCCAGTTGCGGCCAAAAATTGCCACACATACATATCATCACCGGCGTTGATAGCGCTTGGGAAGATATCGCCAAAAATAGGCTCCAGCGTGTCGAAGAGAACGTTAAACTTCTCAACCCATTGTTGCCAGTCGCGCTCGCTCGCTTGACCGGCTTCCTTGACAATTTCGGCGCGGCTCAAAAGCATAGTGAGGACTCCCAGGCCAATGCGGGTCTTGGCAATAAATTGCACATGGGTCTGCGCAATCACCAGTCCCAGTAGTCCAATAATGATGTTGAATGGGGCCTCATTCACGTAGCCCAGAAGACTGGGCATCACGGCCTGAGAGAAGAGATCGATCGCCTCCCGGACGGCGAGAGGAGGTTGAGTCTCCCCGGGCACAGGGAGCGCTTGTCGCACAACATCCAGAGAGTCCAGATGGACAACAATCATGGTAAGGATGGTTACTCGCTGTTCCTGGTCGATGTGGCGGAAGATGCGGGGAATAGCTTTCTTGCCCTTGGGATAAGAGAGGAATGCAATGAACGGATGAGGGGTGTTGGAGCTGGGAACAATGGGTTCCATCACTTTCAGTTCCTGCCACAGCTTCTGGTTGAGCGCGCGGACTTTCTGGCGCCATTCCAGGTGCTGCTGAATAGCCTCGAGATCGGTCTCATCTGGTGGGGGAGGCATGGTACGCTCCATATCCTCCATTTCCATGAGAGTATTATAGACATTCTCGATGTTGGTCAAAATGGATTTGCGATCACTGAGGCTCAAATATGTCTGTGGCTTCTTGGTGGTCTTGGCACCTTCGGAGCTCTCGGGGCGCTTGATATTGAGCATAGGCTTAGGAGCTTTAGCATTACCAAACGAAATCTTGCCCAAACTACCTTCGATGATCAACTGTTTATTCTTTGGCTTAGCCTTGGCAGCCTCAACCGCCCGCTGGACTTGTTGTTGCATCCGCTGCATGTGATTGTCCGCACTCTGAGGTTGCCTCCGGGATCCATGCCCTCCGATGCGGTTGCCGGTCTGAAGGAGATAGGTCTGGGCAAAGTGGCCTAATGGCTGGTGAGGATGTTGCCGGGGTGCACCTCGGATCTGACTGTAGACCTGATAATAGAAATCTTCCGCAAGAACGGACTCGGAATCATTGTCCGCAACATTTCCGGCCGCAGCCACCAGTTGTTGCAACTGGATGCGCGTGATGAAGTTCTTGTCCTGGGGGGTCATCAGTCCGTTGCCCCTCGACAAGAGGAAAATCTTGTGATTTCTCTTTGCACGCTTGGCATCCTCCATCAGGTAGGCGACACGCTGCTCCTCTGTCAGATTCATCAACTGTTGTGGGTTGGTGATCAATGGCAGCTGAGCATTGCTACCCCGGGCCTGCTGCTGCTGCTGTTGTTGTTGTTGTTGTTGAGGCTGTTGGGACTGTTGTGGTGGTCGCTGGCCTCGTGGAGGCATCGTCGCCGGAGGCTGGACGGGGGGCATGTGCGGAGGTGGAGGAGCATTAGGATTTTGTAAAAGATGTAGCGGGATATTAGGGGCATGTGCCGGTAGGGGATAGGGCTCTGGAACCATCGAATGCGGGTGCATCAAGTGCGCAGGCGGTATACCCTTAGCAAACTGCGCCTGTAGATACTCTGGTGGCAGGTTTGCAAAGCCCTCAGGAAGTCCGGGGACCTGCTGAAGCCGATGGAGGGGAATCGGCGGCTCAGCAAGTGGCTGCGGCATGGAGACTGGGAGCTGGTTCGGAATCGGCGCGATACCGTGGCTACGGAGCTGCGCTTCCACCTCCTCCAGGCTCATCATCTTCCTCGACTGCTGGACTACAGTGGCGGGTTCCGCCTTCTTCGATAGACCCCAGACGCTGGACTTGGCCTGAAGATCCGGAATGTAGTCCGGGTCCGAATACTTTTCATATCCGGTGCGCCTTGGCTTTTGTGCCACGGTGGCAGCGGGAGCAACGACGGTCTGGAGCTCGGGCTCAGGGCCAGAGCCTGCAGCCTGGGGGTGCTTGAGATTGTATCGGACCTGCTCCTCTCCAATGACATCCGCAATTTGCGCAGTGTTCCCAAAGAAATCGAAGTCCTTGCCAACGGCGCCGGTATCAGGACCGCCACCAAAGGTGTCGTTGTTGAAGGCATCCTGGTCGTCGTCCAACTGTTCTCCTAAACCATCGTAGGTATCCTCGAAATCGATACTATATGGGTAAAAACAAGCTCAAGAATCAGCAAGATGTCCGATTAAGTTGCTTACTGTCAAGCAGGGCCGAGCATTGGGTGGGGATGGCTTACACGTCGTCGTCATTGTCGTGGTGCGCTGCTGCTCTAGCGCGAGCGATCTCAGCGAACGGATCAGGCGTATCGAAAATACCCCTTCTGTCACCCTGCGGAGCACGATCCCTTGGGAGGGTCGTATCAAAGCCGAAGAAGGACATCTTCAACGGGGGAGGGGAAAGATGGACGAGGAGGGGGGGGGTTATGAAGGAGATTTAGCACAGCATAATAATTGTGGTGCGGGATGAAGTCAGTTTCGGGTTGATATTAGGATTAGGCTAGACTGACTGGAGCTGGTGCCTGAGGCAACAAGAACCGCAACGTACGGAGTAGGGTATTGCCTTTCATGCACTGCAACTCCAATTGGGTAGGATGAGCTGACGGTGAGGAGTTTTAATTGCGTTCATTCGTTATAATTAAGATGAAACAGAGCATGATCCAGAGTAGAAAGACAGAATTCTTGTAGGAAGTCCAATGGAAGTTGCCTGAGGCAGCGGTCGTCAGGCCTCCCATGAAACGAACTAATGTGCAGCACAAGAAAAAGACAGCTCTGAGCAAGGGTGAGAAATGCGGTTCTTGCATCTTTCTCTCCTCCTTCCAAGTTCCTCAATTACCTATATCTACACCAGAATAGTTGCCATGAAGATAAATATGGTACTTAACCTCCTGGGTCCAGTCCCCCTGGCTGAAACTATGAGGGCAGCAATACGTACGCTATGACGGCCCAGGCTCTTGCACTGCTTCTGGCTGGATTCTTACGGCTTCTTTCTTCGTATCCACTCGACTCGGGGAAAGAGGAAGGAAAACAAATAACAACAACAACAATAGGATGGATTAATTTGTCCCCCATATTTTTCTCAATTATATTATATTTTTTTCTGCTCACAGGAGGCGCTAGAACGTGACCGCTCGCCCGCTCTTTGCCTACCGAAGCTCCTTATATCCCAAGTGCACGACTTGACTTCACTTTGAATACGAGGTCCGATTGCTTCTATATACTTCTGAAGATTGGATTCTTTGGTCGTGTTCCCCGGTTTGTCTGGGAGTCGAACCCGATTCCCAGGTTTTCTAGGTATCGTTCTGGCTGCCATTGGCTTAGTAGTGGCTGCTGTTCGCTTTTTGCGATAGGCTCTTATTTTCCCTCGTGTGATTCTGTAGCTCGGCAGCACGTCCTCTTCACGATGTCGCCTGGCCAGGAAAAGTATATCCGATATCTTTTGTTCGCGGTGGCGGTACGTATCGGTTCTCTTTTCTAATCGAATGCAGCGGAGCTGATCTGTCTGGTGAATAGGGAGTCGCACTATTCTTCTACTTCACGAGAGGCTCGCTCCCCATTCCCGACAATTTCGCAACGAAAACGGGCTATGCGGCCGCGAAATCCCCAGCGAACCTTTCTCCGCATTCTCTCCAAGATCCGACATCACCGGAGGACTCCCTGGAAGAACCCGAAGTGACATATGCAAGTGATGTTTTGAAATTCGCCGCCACCCACCCCGGTGGTCGAACGAATGCGACTTTTGTGACCCTCGCAAAGAATTCTGACTTGTGGGAGATTGCCAAATCTATTCGACAGGTGGAGGGCCGTTTCAATCACAAGTTTCACTATGACTGGGTCTTTTTGAACGACCAGCCGTTCGACGACGACTTCAAACGGATCACTACCTCCCTAGTGTCCGGAACTACATACTATGGAGAGATTCCGGAGGAGCATTGGTCATACCCCGACTGGATTGATCAGGATAAGGCGAGCCGGGTACGAGAGGAGATGCAGAATAAGAGGATCATCTACGGGAACTCCGAGAGTTACCGGCACATGTGTCGCTACGAGTCTGGATTTTTCTTCCGCCATCCATTGTTGAAAGACTATGAGTTCTACTGGCGAGTGGAGCCTAGCATCGAACTCTTCTGCGACATTCCTTACGACCCATTCCTCTACATGAAGGAGAACGACAAGAAGTATAGCTTTGTGATGAGCATGTATGAGTATTACGACACAATTCCAACTCTCTGGCCAACAGTGAAGAAGTTCGCTGCCGATTATCCTGAGTATATCGCAGAGGGAAACTCTATTGACTTTTTGAGCGACGACGGAGGCAAAACATTCAACAAGTGTCACTTTGTGAGTATTCCCCGACCAAACTTTCAGTCCAAATGCTAATCTAATGCGCGACAGTGGTCGAATTTCGAAATTGGAAGCCTGGACTGGTTGAGATCCAAGGAATATCTGGAGTACTTCGAAGCACTTGACCGAGGGGGTGGATTTTTCTATGAGCGATGGGGTGATGCTCCCATCCATTCAATCGCTGCCGGATTGATGCTTAAGAAGGAACAAATCCATTTCTGGAATGAAATTTCTTACTACCACATTCCATTCACCCATTGCCCCCTCGATGACCGATTGAGGACGGAACTTCAATGTACCTGCGACCCTAAGCTTACTTTTGACTGGAGGGCCACCTCTTGTACGCGACGCTCATTTCCTTCGTCTCACAGTCACTAACGATTATCTGGTAGGCCTGTCCCGTTACTATGAGATTAACCACATCCCGAAACCGCCCGGGGTCGACCATTATAGTCCACTAGCGGTGCTGGGAGGAGTAATCCTCTCAGCAGCCCTTGTTGGGATCTTGGTCATTGCCGTTAGCCCCCGTTCTCGAGGGTTTGTCCTTCACAAAACACGGCGCTTCCTTCTGGAAGCTCAAGCTCTCTGGGAAGAATATAGGAGAGACAGACTCGCAAAATCATGAGCGAGAATACACACCTACTATGTTAAGGGGAATGCAACATTCTCACCATGTACATCATCATCCACACCATACATACATACACTGAACATCCCGACATAATCAAAATTCGGTGGGAGGATTTTGTTTTTCTTGTTTTTACGAAGTATTCGGAGCTTGGCGCCATTGGTACATTCCTATTTCCATTTTTATTTCTTTCACAGTGACTGGCTGGCGTCCGTGGGATTTTAGGGTTCGGGCATTCAGGTGTCGAGACTCCGGCGTTATCTCTGCATCAAAAGGGTGTTCGGTCTGAATTCACACCTGCGTTTTATAGATACCTATATTTGTACATATGTATATGTATGATCTGAGGGAGCTAGGTTATTCCAAACCGTGCCCAAGAAACGAAAGAAAAAAAGAGATTCGACAAGAAATATTTATTTAGTACAATCATCCGATGGGAGTAATATTGATACAGATCGCAAACAGCGCCAAAAAGAAAACACACGTCCGTAAAAAGTCCCTCATTGCCAGATCACCACCATGCCAATCACACAGACCCAAGAGGAAAGAAAGGCTTAATCACTCTTAGGTTTCTTAGTACCGTACTTGGACCTGCTAGTCAACCGACTGGCAACGCCACCCTGTCAATCATTTCAGTCAGCAGTTGCCCTGCAGGTAAAGAAATTAAGCAAGGAAGAAAAAGACATACCAGATCCATAGCACCACGAACCAAATGGTACTTCACACCAGGACAATCCGGAGCTCTGCCACCGCGGACAAGAACAACGCTGTGTTGCTGGACATTGTGACCTAAATCCAGGCAGTCAGCGCCGATTTTTCCCTTTTTCCCTTTTTCCCTTTTTTTTTTTTTTTTTTCGTAGTCCCGCTTCTTCTTGTTCTCCTTCTTGATCATAGATAGACACGTCGACATCTCGAAAAGATAAAGAGAAGAATATGCATACCTTCACCGGGAATATAAGCAGTCACAATCCTCCCACTGCTCAATCGCACCCTAGCCGTCTTTCGCTCGCCGGAATTAGGCTTCTTGGGTTTTGTAATACCAGTCTTCAAACAAACACCCTTCATCTGGGCGCGGCCAATAAGCGCCGGAGAACGTGAACGGCGCGCACGCTGCGAGGTCCGACATCCTCGACGCACTTGGTTGTATGTTGCCTGACGCAGTGGAGACGTAGAGAACTGTCTAATTGAGAGCTTTGCGATAGCTGCCGTTGTGGCTGTCAGGGCCGCCGAGGTGCGGAATACGGGCTGGAACCGGGGAATTGAGCAAGAGGCCGGTGGTTGTCTGAAGGGGGTTGCGGTGAGGGAAGGGCGCTGAATGAGTGTCCGCAGCGTGCGGAGCGCGAGGGAGGAGAACATGGTGGCGAGGGAGCGCAATTGGCTTTACTTTTTGCGATGGTGATACTGATTCTCGAATCCGATGGTAGTGGTTTTTGCTAGGATAATTTCCTACGGGGGGGGGGGGGGGGGCGATGACATGGCACGTGATAAAGAAATCCATTACATAAGACAGTTGCGGAGCTGGTCTCTTTGGGTCGCCCGGGGGAGCTGGACGCGCCAGTCTGGAGCCTGCTATATTGTACGGAGTTAGGTACCTTTGAGCTAGAACCTCATCTAGCTTCAGCATCTCATCCTCGATCTCTCTCTTCCTCCTCCCATCTACACCACTGTTTCAATAACATCTGAGAACCCATTTGAAAACAACAAGCTTAATCCTATTTTACGCTTTCAATCGCTCCAAGTCCAGCCACCAAATCCAACACTCAAAATGGTACGTCGTCCACCCAGCCAGTCCTCTCACCTCCATTCCCAAGCATCTACCCCCCTCTCAAAAAAAAAAAAAAAATAAACAAGACAACGACCAGATCATTACATTCCACCTAACAAAAGAAACCCCAAAAATACCAGTCTCTCCGCATCGCCCCTCCAGCGTCTCACCCCTCCCAAACCTCCAACACCTCAACCCGCCAACAGGTCCCCCTCTCCCTCCCTCACCCATCAAAAGGCGCCCCCTCCGCCCCCGGTCTCCCCGATACCCTCCGCAACAACCTCACCCTGCCCGCCCCCGTTGGCCCTCCCTCATCTCAATCCGGGACCCCCGTTTCCACACACCCGCTTGAGGCCAGGCTGCTCGCGTGGCGCCAAACCCAGGACGCTCTGAAGATGGAAACCCTGCGTCGGACTTATGGCATTGCAGAGCCTGTGCGCCGCGGAATGGAGTTGAAGATTGTACGGGATGGAACCTTCCGACCTGCGGTTTTGGGAGGTGCCAAGGGTGGAAATGTTCATGAGGATATATTGGTTTTGGGTGGGAGGGACGCAGAAGTTGGGTGGGAGGATGTTTTCCAAGGTTTGTTTTTTTTTTCTTTTCTTTTCCTTCAACTTTGAATGATGATGATGATGATGCTAATGCAATGCTTGTAGGAGACGAGTTCAGGGAACCGCCTGCTTTCCACGACGAAATGGAGAAACGGTTGCGTATGGATTTCTAAGACGGTGCGGATTGTTAGCCGGGATGTTATCTTTCTTAATTTGTTCCCTTGTTTCCCTTGAATTGTCCCTGGGGACCTTGATGATTTATCAGTTCTACATGATACGGATTCGAACTAGGCTGTCTTTTTTTTTTTGTTATCTAAACTACTAAGAAATAGACCATAGATCTACGGAGTTATGCTCTGCCGGGATCTGTCAACTCTGTCAACAACACCGTGCTCAATTCAGGTAAACTTGGTGAGATATTGGGTATCGAATATGTGCAGCTATCTGTTTGTACATTATGTCTGTTCCCGCGCTGGTGAACTAGATATATCTGACATAACCTTGGAAGTATGCATGGACCCGGTGCCATGATGATAGATGCTAGACCCGACCAGGCCGTCCAAAACAATGGTGGCCAGAATCTCCCTAAAGCACCATAAAGTGGCTGACACAAGCCACCAATTGTAAAGAAATGGGATAAATATCACAACATAAGAGAAGATAATATCAGTAAATAGAAACAGACAACAACGGGATATTTGATATTGCCTTGGGAGATCGGGAAAGGCCGAAATGCATCACTCAAGTCCAAAATCAGATGGCGACGATAGGTACGGTGAGGGAGGGGCGGATCACGGGAGATGTTGGGGGAACAGAAAGGGGGTATATAGGGATTAGGCAGTGGTCTGGAGAGGCATCAAGCCACCCAGAAAACTATGCAAAGATAACGAAGACCACGAAACCAGACCACATTCATAGGCAGTAAACGACAACGCGCTGGTGAATTAAGCTTAAGCATCCAGAACGCCAACCCAAAGTTTGATAGATAAAGGAGCTGCGAAAGTTTGGCATAGGGTATGCTATCTCTCACATTAGGGGGTAGACCCTGGTCAAGTACCAGTGGTCGCGAAAGGGCAGGTCCCAGAGAGGTGAGTAAGGGCAATTGGATGGTGAGTGGGATAATAAAAACCGCAGAGGGGTCACGGCGGCTCGTGCTACCTCTGCATTTACAGCTAGAGGCAACGAGGAAATAGATCGGACAGATCATGTTCCGCTAACGAGAGCAGAGATCAACCCGTGTCTCGTTGAGTCCACGATATACATCCATTCACTGGATGACACAACGACACCTCGGGCTTCGTTCACTAGCTTCTCGATCCCGAGGATACTGAGTCTTCGCGCCTTTAGCGTCTTCTTCGTCGATGAGTTCTTGGGGCTTGACCGTCATATGCACAACGTTCGGGGCGTCTGCGCTGAATCTAGAGTCTATTTACAGACAGTCAGCATCGAGTTCAGGATATGAAATACAAATAAAATACCTGAGAGAGGAGCTTTATCCTCGAGTAGTTTTCCGAACGATATGAGTCGAATAGAGCTGGGAGAGGTCGGACGGGATTCCCAATCTGCGATAGTGATACGTCAGCCATTTCCCGCTTATCCTCACTGTCACTGAAATATGGTCATACCGTCCTGCCACGCCCTCCAAATCAATTCCTTCAGAGTATAGACGCTAATAGAAAAGGGGTCGTTGTTCTCAACATTGACTCCTCGGTTGCGCAGATACGCGCCATCGATCTTGAAAGGATGTCGTGAGCCCGTGATCAAGAGAAGAATGATAGTCAAAGACGGCCCAGAGTCTTCAGGCTCTTTAAGAGACGCATCGGAATTTTTATACGATAACGCAGGAGCTCCTGTCTGCTCTTCTGATTCACCAGGTGGTACGGTGAATCGGGGAATACCATCTGCATTACCCTCCTGTGCAGGTGCAGGTGCAGCGCTATCGCCACTCTCTACGCCCATATTCGGTACATCGGTGACTGTGGGCTCTGGCTGCACATTTTCAGGCGAAGAAGTGTCTTTCGTAACATCGCTGGGATTTAGGGTTGTGGTCGAAGCCAGCTGCGAGGATGTAAAGACCGCGTTGGTGGTGTGGACAACAGGGTCTGGACCGTCCGACATTGGGTGATCGGTGGACGCCATCTTTGAGGTGATCCTTGGGGGAGAGGAGTAATAATTACAGCGGGTGCGTAGAAGAAAGCAACGCAGGTGTGTGGATGAGGATGCCAAAAAAAAAATTAGGAGAGATGAATAATTCAGTAGAGAATTTTAGCCCAAGTGGCTGTTTGGTGCAGTGGATAGAACGGGCGGAAAGCTGGGTGGGAGATGAGAGGGCGGATGAAACAGCGAGTCAGGCCTGAGGCAAAGAAAGGAGAGGGGGAGGGAGACGAGAGGGAGAAGAAAGGAAGATGACCCAAATCTGGAACCAAACTATTAAAAGAGGGCTCGCGGGATGATGAAGAGGGCCATGCGACCGGAGAGAGACTGACAAAAGGACAAGAATCACTCACACACGAGTGAAAGAGCAGGAGGGAGGATGAGGAAAAGCAGGAAATTAGAGGAGAAAGACGAAGTGGACAACAATTGCGATTGAGGCAAAAGGACCAAGACTAAGACTAAGTAAGAAAGGCGTTTTGGACTCTTGGAGACTGAGAGATAGAAGTGGTGGCTCTATTGAGCGAAGGACGGAAGGAGGAGAAACACGCTGCAGGTGAGGTCGGGGATGGAAGTGGAGCTGGGCGGCGATCCAGTTTGGTTGGCGGTGGATTTGCTTCATTTTAGTTACTATAGTGGGCCACCTTTTTTTTTTTTCTCTCTCTCTCTCTCTTTAATTTACTCTATATTAATGAGGGAAGACGAATCTCTATTCTTACTGAGTATATTGAGTGGTGCGATGATACCAACATGGTAGTAGTTTCTATACTCGTGAGGACAATTCGCTGCCTGAAGAGATTGGCCACACTTTCTTTGTCCATGCTGCTCACATGTAGAGATTGGACTATTATTCACTCACTCATACTAAAGCCTACCGGTTCTATTGATATTCCCTTACCTAGGGAAATTACTTTTGTATCATAGCAACATGATAGCCGAGTCTATCCTCTACATAACCATGTGATTTGCGCGCCAGAACACTTCCCTCTTCTAGAAGCTTTTACTCGTGCCTGCTTACCTATCTTGTCTTGAAACTCTGTAACTAGTTAGTTAGTTATTCTGCACAAGATAGTTACTAATCTTTGGAAATGATAAAGAATCTCCATTTTCAGAAGGCAAAAGTAGAGGATGTAGATATGTAGGTGGCGGGTTTTTTATATAAAAACTGGCGGTTTTCTGCCTACTACTAATTAACTCCGCCTTTAATGCTCAAATCCCCTTAGGCAAGCCTCCCCTGTTCTGACAATTTAGCAATGTATTGATACATAGGTATCCGTTAAAAGTCAATCTTTAAAGCCACAGTATTATTCTCCGAACAGCATTGATATCAAAGACACCCAACTTTCCGATTGGATGACAATCAACTCAACATAGTTACTTGAACCCCAAAATTATATGTCAAACATGTCAATGTTGCTTGTTTCCAGGCTGCGTATGTACATGTACATGGACATGTACATACTGTAGCTAGGTCTAGGTGGATTAGTAATATTTTGTGTGCTCACACAGACATACCAAGGACAATATTTCCTTGGAAGGCTTGGTCTGCATGGTCCACACCACGGTCGACCCTGAGGCTGCAGACGAGCACGTCCCATGAGTGCTGATTGCTGGTTGGGCAAGCAATATTGACTTTATGGTAGGTTATTTAGCGTTCGCACAAACAAATGATTCTTGCAGAGAGCCACTAAAATGTACATAGATATTTTGTATCAGTCACCCTCCCTACACTATGAGAACTATGTATGCACAGAGACTTTGCCCTTGAGGAGAAGTAGGAGCAAAATAAAAACAAAAATACTTTAACAGCCTTTTTAGGAGGTAACCTCAAGCTCCCGCAGGCAGGCTTGCCAAGCGACGAGCAGCTATGTAGAATTCCACCCAGTCAGGCAAGACATAGGACTATCAGTTGCGGATCCAACGCAAGAATTCCTCGACTAATAGCAGACTATACTATGCAGACTTGCTGGAAGAGATCCAAGTAGAACCTGTCAGGTCTACTCCATATTATCCACAGAAACCAAAATCTATATCACGTTGACGTCAGCGTTGGTTTGCCGCAAAGTTGTGAGGGAATAATGACCGCATCAGGACATACACGATTGTCCTACACAGGGTAATTATGGGGCAAACTCTACAATAGACTGGATTTCCAAGTTGGGTTAAGACCATCCCTTCTTTCAACGCAGATTGGGCAATTGAAAGTGACGGCCTGCTGCACGTGCGGAATATCAGGCCTATCAGAGAGTCTGCCCTGGAGCAGGGAGTCGCCCTATTGGCTAAGAAATTTAGTACTGGGAACTTGGAATTTGTACCTCCTAATCGCTGTGTTGACGAACAAACGGCCTGCTGAGTCGCAGCAAAGTCCTCCGTCCACCTTATCCGCAGGCTTAAGCCATTCTTTTCCTTTTCAAGGTTGATGATTTGCATCTTTTTGTCTTCTTTTTTTCTATTGCTTCTTGAGATAGATAGAGAGAATGTTAGTCCAAACCACAATCTTTTCTCTCCCTGGCATGCATTTTCTGAGTGGCACTGTAGAGATTCATCTACTATAGTTAGTGACTCCTCCTACGACTATTGTTTCGACGTGCAGGCTTCATGTCAAGATAGGACTAGCAAAAATCAACTCTTTGCCCCCGCCCCTTCTTTCCAGAATTCGCCAACGGTTGGTCCAAAACGAAAAGAAAAAAAGAAAAAAAAAATCTGAAGCAATACTTAGCGATCGGTCGACTTAAAATCTACTGGTTTCCCTTAGTTCGTTTCTCCAGGACTATTATGATCCCTCACGGCCCCTCTCCCCCAGGATGAAGTTCGCCAAGTTTGTTACCCCATGATTCACTATTCCACAGCGTGTATGTAGCGGAGCTGATCATTGGCGATTCATAGGGAATTGGAACAGGAACTAGTTCCTGAGTGGCGTGCTAAATACTTAGATTACAAGGTAAGGAAGGATGCGTCTATTTTCCTCTCTCCTACTAACTTTGTCTTGCGACCAGGCGGGAAAGAAGAAAGTCAAGGCCATTACACGGGCCATTCAAAAATCCAATCGGTCTCCCAGTCATCCTTCCCTCCGTCGTGCGGTACCTGGACAAGGTGATGTCCTTGATACCCCAGTCGGTTCTCATCGTTCCTCATCACTTCGCCAGCCGGAGAAAAGACTGAACACGCTCGACCCGGAGCATAGCCTTCCAATCCCCGTGAGAAGTCCCAGCCCTACATCTAGATCAACCCCCAGTCATCGACATGAGCGTCAACCATTACGAGTACCAGGATCCCGGTTTTCCGCTGTTGTTGGAAGCTACGGGAGCATTCTCGCATCTCCCCCGCAGCAACAATCTGGAACATCTGATGTGGCTTCTCTAGAGCTGCCTGACCCGGCAATCGATCTCAAAGAAGAGGATAGCTTGCCAGAGCGGTATGTCGATCGGCGCAATGCCCCGAAAACACCGTCACCGGTTATCTCCCGCAATGGTAGTAACAGAACCTTCCCTGCGAATGCCACCCGTCGAAGCCCGTCAGTAAAGCAGCCGAGTTCGGGCAGAGCAAACAAAAGAAACACCGTTTCGGGCCCATCTGGCCGGAGGACATCCCAACTTCTCAAACGGGTGTTGTCATACACAGAGTCCCCGGAGAAGTTTGCCCAAGGCGAGCCAGCCTCCGAATTTGATCGTAGACAGGATGAGTTTTTCGAATTTCTAGATACCGAGTTGGCCAAAATCGAGTCATTCTATCAAATGAAGGAGGAAGAAGCTACTCAACGATTAAAAGTCCTTCGAGAGCAGCTGCATACCATGCGAGACCAGCGAATGCAGGAAGTCTTCAGCGCCAATAAATCTCGGAACCAGCATACTGAGCCACGGCCGTCGGATGGCTTTGGTGGATTCGCTGGCCGTCGACTACGAGAGGCCTTTTCAGGTGGTCTGATTGGGAAGAATTCCAAGGCTCTGGCGGAGCTGGATACTCCTTTTTCCTTGCAACCGCAAGATCCGGAAACGATCATGAACCGCAGGGACTTCACGCGTCAGCCAGAAGAGGAGCATTCCAAAAACGAAGTCCCTTATCGCTCGGCAAAGAGGAAGCTCAAATATGCTCTTCAAGAGTTTTATCGGGGAGTCGAGCTCTTGAAATCTTATGCTTATCTCAACCGCACCGCCTTCCGAAAGATCAATAAAAAGTATGACAAAGCTGTGGATGCGCGCCCTTCAATGCGATACATGTCGGATAAAGTCAATAAAGCATGGTTCGTGCAGAGTGAAGTGACCGAGAGCCTCTTGGCTGCGGCGGAAGACCTCTATGCTCGATATTTCGAGCGGGGCAACCGAAAAATCGCAGCCTCTAAACTGCGCCATACTTACAAGAAATCTGGAGATTATTCACCCAATACTTTCCGTTCCGGTCTTCTGTTGATGGCTGGTGTTTTGTTTGCTATCCAAAGTCTCATTTACGCTAGCCAACATCTAAAAGATCCAAACCCCGCGATACAAGTGAACACAAGCTATCTACTCCAGGTTAGCCCTAGATCTACGTTGCTCTGAACCCCCGAAAGACCAACTAACTTGAACAGATATATGGAGGCTATTTCTTAATTGTTTTTCACTTCTTGCTATTCTGTCTGGACTGCATGGTCTGGAACAAGACCAAGATAAATTATGTCTTCATCTTCGAGTACGATACGCGACACGCCTTAGATTGGCGCCAGTTAACAGAAGTATGCAAACCAGCTTTAACAAGTCCTTGATTTGTGCTGACGATAACATAGCTTCCGTGTACTTTTTTGTTCACGCTCGGACTCATTATGTGGCTGAACTTTTTGTCCATTAATGAAATGTATATTTATTGGCCCGTTGTGCTTGTAGGGTTGACAGTGGTTGTGTTGTTTCTCCCAGCGCGTGTCTTATACCACCGCAGCCGCAAGTGGTGGGCATATTCGAATGTGAGCATCTTTCTCTTACTCTAAAGATCCTCATTGCTTACAAGACCAGTGGCGTCTTCTTCTAGCAGGCCTGTATCCTGTCGAGTTTCGGGATTTCTTCCTCGGTGACATGTACTGTTCCCAAACATATGCTATAGGCGTGAGTAGATCAAACCCAAGTCATATCTAGCGACCTGCTAACTTGACAAGAATCTTTCATTATTCTTTTGTCTTTACGCAAAACACTGGAGTGACCCTCCGCAGTGCAACTCATCTCATTCACGACTGTTAGGATTTTTTACTTGTCTGCCATCAATATGGAGAGCTCTGCAATGTGTACGCCGTTATGCAGACACGAAGAATGTTTTCCCACATCTGCTGAATTTCGGGAAATACATGCTTGGAGTACTTTACTACGCTACTCTCAGCATGTATCGTATCGATAAAGTGACACGGTTTCAAGCCCCTTTCATTACCTTTGCGCTTCTAAACGCGGTCTACTGTTCTGTTTGGGACATTGCAATGGATTGGAGCTTAGGTAATGCCTACGCCAAGCATCCTCTGCTTCGTGAAGCCCTTGCGTTTCGGAGGGTTTGGGTCTACTACACAGCTATGGTGCTCGATGTTGTCGTGCGCTTCAACTGGATATTCTACGCCATCTTTGCGCATGATATCCAACATTCTGCTGTCCTCAGCTTCGTGGTTGCATTTTCTGAAATCTGTAGGAGAGGTATGTGGACAATCTTCCGGGTTGAGAACGAGCATTGTACAAATGTGCTTCTTTTCCGCGCATCAAGAGATGTTCCACTGCCATATGAAGTGAGTTCGGCACATGCACATAATGAACAGCCCTTAGAAACTGTGCACGCCCAAGATCAACAAACAGCCCTACCCATCTCGCCTCCAGGCGATGTTGAACAGGCCACTCCGCCAACACCAAGCGGCTCACTCCGCCCAAGGGCCCTCTCACGGGTTGGAACTATGATGGCTGCTGCACACGCCCAAGACTTCCAGCGTAGACGGCGCTTGGACCAAATACCAGGTGCAACCGTGGCTCATGGGCCGTCCGATAGTCCCGACGATTCTAGCGACGATGAAGACCAGGGCATTATCCAACCATATCAAGATGACGATGCGATTGAGGAAGAACTTTCATTCCACGAACCTGAAAGAAATAACAATTAACAAGAGAGAAAAGAATAAGCTCCGTCCCCGACAGTATCTAGTGTGATTCAGTCAAGGGTCACGAATCTCTATCAGATTACGACTGACGAAGCTATGTCCGATTTCGTGCACATAATCATGGATATATGCATATATTTATAGAGACCCGCGTCATAGACCGTTATTTTTTAATGAATTGTGACTTGTTCAGTTTGCTAGTTGGGTGGGAACATACAATTTGTATTTATAGAATAAGTCTCTACAGAGTAGGCAGCGCTATTCAACATTGTGATTCTATTCCATACGCAGGTAATGAGATCTTGCATCCTCACTGACGCCCCTGTAGTACTGTATCTGGATATCTATGTTTACATTTCACCATTCTGCACCCTACCTGCCTACCTACCATATCGCAGTTCTTATATAACTATGGTGAAATCTTGGCTTTGTACTCTGTATTTGGTCATGAAGTTGGAATGCTTCTAGTATGTAAATGATGCTCAATTACACGCACTGATACTTATCTAGACCTACTACCCATTTGATATTCTAGAGATGATGATTATGGAAGGGTACCCTAAGATGGTTATCTAGAGGAATTATGACTCTGCTAGTTTCCATTCAATAATTTCGCCTCACCTCACTTCCACCTCGACTGGCCTATTTTTTACCTCTCATTTAACTCACCTTAGTCTGTCTCCGTGGTCACTGTATCGAAAAACTAGATGAAGAGCACACACCCCATCATAGCTGAAATGCCAGCCATCTGTGCTATTTATTCGGATCTACGTATGACCACATATTGAACCTCATCGGCTCAGTTTCATTGAGCTTAATCTGATCTCTCCTGAAGATTTTTCAACCTTCACCTTGCACTATAAATACTCCTCCTCCTCAGCCATTCCAGCTTCTCACTCCTTCCTGTTTCGATACACATTCCCTCCTCTCAGTCATCCTATATCCTCTCTCATCTCTTTTCACACCTCTGACTTATCTTTTTCTTCCGTCATATCCTCTGCATAGTTTGCCTTCTTACTATAAGAGAAGCGCAATCATGGACCTTCTAAGCGTCCCAAACTGTAGTGGCGTTGATTTAAACCGCCTAGTACTCGCACTTGGGCGAAGAAAACTGGCCTGCGATAACGACATCTTTAATCGAGCTCGGTTAGCCATCAAATCAGAAACAGGTGAGATGCTGTTTGGATAACAATCCCCTATATCTGCAATTTAAGAACCCAAAAAAAAAACACTAATTTTGTAACTAGAAACCCCAAAAGAGAATGTATCCGTTCCTCTCCACAGACAACAGAACTGCTCATCTGTGCTAGATATAGGGAAGCTAGGAGATGACTCTATCCCCTCGCTCCCGCCAATTACAGATCTTGAAGGACTACCCATGGGTCAAGATGTGAGGATAGTCCAAGCTGGTTCTGTTTACGAAGATGCCACTGATAATGACGAGATTGCAAAGTAAGTTTTCTCCCATCTATTTACTAGGAATGCTGGCTTATCTCCCCATTCAGATTTAACACTGTACAAGATTGGTACAGCAAACTTGAAGATCCTAGCCCCGTGGACGTGACCCGTTATAAGCAAGCCAAGATCAAGTATGATACGAGAAAGAATATATCAGAATATCGTAAAACCTTCCAAGCAAAGGAGGTTGAATGTGACGAGGCAAACAATCAAGTATCGGAGAATGAACTTTTCGTCCTCCAAAGCAATGAACAAGAAACCGTCCGAGCGAATGTCGACTCCCCGAGAATACAAAAGAAAGGATCGAGCGCAAAAAGTTCAATTCCTCAAAACAGAATTTCTGCAGAGGAGAAAAGAAAAAGCATGAAAGTTGGCATCGAACTTATCTTGGAAAAGCTAGAGAAGAAAAAAGCTAAAAACCACAGGGGTAGAAAGCGCAAGATTGACACAGATGATGAGGAGCCAAAACCTGGCAGTAGATTGAGACGAAAGAGGTACAAAAAGGGCAAGGCTCCAGAAAAATTCTTGAATTTTCATGCCGATGTTATTGAGGACGTTCATGCTAGCTCTTCGCTTCCTGCTCCTCCCATTGTTATCAAGCGAAACAACAGGCAGGCAGTGGCGGAGCTCATTGCCAGTATTCCATCTGCAGATCAAGAGGAGGCTAAAGATGACGGAAAGCTGATTCTTGAAGCCCCCAGAAAGTTCGTTAAAAGCGTGAGAAGAGATGGAAAAGGTGGATGGTCAATGCCCGGACTCAAGACAAGTATATATCACTACCAGGTAAGGAATGCCTCTACCGGATATTGGAGCGCAAACTGACGTCCTAAAAAGCTTCTAGGAAGTGCTTTTATGGCAAGTCACTTATCAACTTGCACAAAGGCCTATAGGCTAATATAAGTAGCGTGACTGTGAGCATTCTCCTCTACCGCCATTAGGCGGCTTACTATGTGATGTTATGGGGCTGGGGAAAAGTTTTCAACTAATCAGTAAGCCTTACAGTTAGTGATCACCTGACGCCTGGTCCCACCTGATGCCTGATTTCCCCTCACCAACTATTTTTTTGATAATTTTTAATAACTTATATCTTAACTAATATAGGTTTAATTAAAGCTATAATAGAAGTAATTAACTTATTAAAGATTAATAATTTAATTAATTATACTAAGATTATAAAAGAGTTTAGTATTAATTAGATAATATTATTAAGATATTACTATAAAGTATAATACCTTAAAGATTACTAATATAAGTAATAATAAGTTCTTACTAACTAATATAAAAAAGAACTAATAAACTATATTAATAAATTTATTAAGTAAGGCTTCTTTATATTTTATAAAATATTTTAGAATTTTATAAAGAAAATTACTAGTAAAAAGTCTAGAAAATACTAGTCTAGATATTTTATAAAATATTATTAAAATAATCTTATTTTAATTTATATAATAATTATTAATATTATATAAAAATAAGCTAATTTTATATATAAATATATTTTATATTTTAAATTATTAAATTAGAAGATATAATAATATAAGCTATAATTAGAGAATATTTATAATATAAATAAAAAAGGATTTTTTATTAAAATATTAATTAAAAGTCTTAAGATCTTCTTAAAGTAAAAATATATAATTAAAAAAGGGCTTAAATAATACCTATAAGATAGAAATTATAAATAAATAATTTTAATTACTTATATTTATACTAATAAAATCTTTTTCTTATTAAATCTTATTTACTAGGCTTTTACTAGTAATATATAAGATTCCTAGCTTTAAGACTTTAATCTTAAGCTTTATTCTTATTTCTTTACCTCCTCTATAAGTAATTAGACTAATAATAAGCTAGAATATATCTAGTTAATTAATATATTTAACTATAAGATTAAGAATAAGGTATATAGGTAATAAAGACTTCTTATTCTTAATAATTATAAATCTTATTTTATTATAAAGTTTATTAATTACTATAATATTAATAAAATTTTATTAATAATATATTTACTTTATTTAACTTATTTATTATAATTACTTAATATTAAGATCTTTAGTCTTTTCTCTACTATTTATAGTAAGAATCTTAAAAACTTTTTATATAAATTAATAAGCTTTAATTATATTATTAAATAGGACTTCTTTTACCTTTTCTAGCTAGCCTAGAAATAGACTTTATTAATAAAAAATATCTTTTCTTTATAATAAATTATAAGAATATAGCTATTAAATCTAGAAATAATTCTAATTTAATTTAATAAGTAAAATAATTCTAGGCCCTCTTTAAGTAATTTCTTATACTTTATCTTATAAATAAAGAATTAGTAGAAAATTAAAAAATTTTTAAATTAAATTATTATTAATATATATAATAAAAATACTAAAAAATTAAATTTAATAATATATTATTTTTTTATAGAGAATATTATTCTAAAACTATATTATTAAGGCCTTAAATTAGTTCTTTAAAATAAGAAAAAAAAATATTAATATAAGAAATTCTTATAATTTAAGCTTATAATTTTTAAAAATAATAATATAATTTTTTACTTTCTTTAAAAGATTTAATAGACTTATAATCTTTAAATATAGAAGAATAAAGTTATATAACTTACTAAGATATTAAAGAAGTAAGAAAAGATTTATTAATAACTTATTAAAAAAAAGAAATAATACTTATTTAAAAAATAAAAAAGAAATTAAATATTCTAGTAAGAATTATAGTTATTAAAGATAGAATAAAAAAAATAATAAAAGAAAAATACTTATTTAATAAAGAAGGTAGATTACTAGCTTTAAAATAACTTCTAGTAAGTAAAGAAGTCTTTAAAGAAGGTCTTTAAAACTTTATACTAGTAAAAATCTATAAAAATTAGATTAATAATATTTATAGAAGTCCTAGAGGCCCCTTTAATAGTAAATTATTAAGACTATAAGATCTAGCTTTTATAATACTTTTAGACTAATTAAAAACTATATATAAAGTCCTAATAATAATTATATTTATTTACTAAAAAATCACACAATAATAATAATTATATATGGTTGAATTACTTTATATTTAATATTACTAGTAGTAGTGAAATCAGGTGTTAGGTGGGACTGGGTGTCAGGTGATCACCGACTGTAAAGCATTTATGTTGGTACTTGGACAATGTATCTAACCATTTTATAGTCAATATGATGGATACTTTTTCATCGAGACCGGAGGTGTATACCAGAACAACCCTTTTGGTTGTACCTACGCACCTTGTCAAGCATTGGTATGCTCTACATCCCTTTTATACCGGTCCTCGTTCTGACTTCATTAATAGGAAAGATCAATTGCGGGTCCATTGCCATTCTGATCACATAGGCGAAGTTGTTGAGTACCATGCGCAGGCAAGGTTGTCAACACTTGATGATACTAAGAGCCTTCAGAAGTTCCGAATCGTGTAAGTACGGTACTGTAGTCACTAATTGAAGCAACCTCTTTATTTATCTTCAAACAGGATAACAACATACGACGAAGTCCGGCGGTCATATCCAAAATTCAGACCTCCAAAAAATGTGACCGACGAGAACGTGCTTTCTGAACTATGGGAGGCGGAATACAGCCAGAAAATTGGGCCTTTACATCGAATCAAGTTCGAAAGAATTGTTCTCGATGGTGAGAAAGGGTTAATATGCCCAGATGTATATTTATACTAACACCCTTCCCTAGAAGCTCATCTTATCCGGAATCGCGCTTCTAGCATATCTATAGCCATTCGTGGCCTCACTGGTCACTATAAATGGCTACTGACTGGCACCCCAATATTGAAGTGAGATCCGCGTACCATAGGGACAAATTTCCTCATTATGGCCTTGTAATTGCTGACCATGACTTGATAGTTCCATAGACGAATTTTACCCCCTATTCCACTTCCTTGACGTCCCTAGAATCGGGACCTCTCAAGATTTTCTGTCCAAATATTGCAGTGTAAGTAACCACGGGGGGATGCTCTGATATCATGCTGACACTTGATTTTTATCAGACTGATGAAGGTCAAGATCGCCTTAGAAACCTGCTAAGAAGCTTCATGCACCGTCGAACACATTCAAGCCGGTTGTTTTCCCTTCCGATTATATCCCTTCCCGATGTGGAACAGAAGGTAGTCAGAGTGAGGTTTTGCGAAGCTGAAAGGATTCTTTACAACGCAATCATGGAAATATACTTCGACAATATCAATGGTTAGGATGTGGTTTCCTATTACTTTTCTCTGAGAAATTGATATAGAAAGGGCAGATGAAATCACTAACACTGGGCCAGACCAAGCGAAGGTGCGCAACAGCAAGGGGGCTCAGCAGGGATGCTTCTTGACCATGATCCTAAAACTAAGAATGTTCTGCGACCACCCACTTACAGTGCGAACTATTATCCGGGACCTGCTATCTGAACCATTGATGCGGAAACTTACGATTGCCTCTCGCGAAGAAGGCGATGACTCGTCTGGACCTTCCTTTAAACTCGTTCAGTGGATCCGGGGGTTTAAAGATAATTACAACTTCTCGGTTGAGCATCGACCGAGAGATGAACAGGACAATGCCCGAGACATTCAAGTTTTCACTTATAACCCCGAGCTCATTCGAAAGTTTAGACAATTCATGGAGCAATTACACAACAATGGGGATTGGATCGAACGAGCGTATAGAGGTGTCTGTTCCTATTGCAATCTGGAGCCAGACAAGACTGTGGTCACCTCATGCATGCACTTATATTGTGAGGAATGTTTCTATACTCTTCACGAGGAAGCAGAGAAATCCGAATCGGGCAAACCTCAATGCCTCAAGTGTAGAGATTCTATCTTCGAAGCAACTCGCTGTGGTCCTGCTGAAGAAGCGGAGTTGGAGCATCCATCAGTACCTGAAGGGCGGCAAAGTGAAACTTCGTCTTCAAGAAAGAAAAGGAATAACATCAGGGGGAAGAGTAAGAAATACTACGGCCAAATTATAGACTAAAACTGACTGGAAAATCCAGGCAATCCTGAGAATGACAGAGGCAAAGTGGACTGGATGATCGAATGTGGCGCATCTATGCCAAGTGCCAAATTGACCGGCATCAGAAACACCATCAAGGACTGGAAGATGGTGAATTCTGATGCAAAAGTCGTCATCTTTAGCCAATTCACAGATTTTATTCAAATTCTTATTGATATGTGCACAGATAAAAACTGGGGATATTGCTGCGTATGTACTTGTTTAATTACAGTTAGTGATTACCTGACGCCTGGTCCTACCTGACGCCTGATTTCACTACCACCAGCAATATTGAATATGAAGCAATTTAACCTAGCCCTGGTGGTCATGACAGAAAATTATGGTCATGGTCAGTCATGGTCATGACCGGGTGTTTTCAGACGGTCATGACCTGACCGCACGTGATTAGGGTGGGTCCATTAGTAGCCAATAGGGAGCTTCTAAAGTCTTAGTAATAAGATTAGGTAATCAATAACTAACTCATAACTACTATACATACTACTATTCCTAATTAGGACTAGCCTGCGGGCGCTAACCCGATCAGGCAGGCAAAATGACGATCTGACAACCTGGAAACTGTCATGACGGTCATGACCAAAATTTTGACGGTCATGGTCATGACCGTCATGACCAACCCCAGGCCTAATTTAACCACATATAATTATGTTAAATTGAAGGGGTATCTTATGATGTACTTAGTAAGCAAAGGGGGGGGTTAAAACCCTATATTAAGGCCTTAGCCAAGCATATAACCCCCTAATAGATATATATATTAATATATCCAATCACCTGCTTCTATTAAGCTACCCCTAGGATTATTATATATCTAATAATTAAGAATCTTATATTTACTTAAAGTATATAAATCTATACTAATAACTCTTACTAAAACCTACTAATTATTAAAATACTAATAATCCTTACTAAACCTACTAATTAGTAAAATACTAAGTACAATACCTCTAACTACTAATAATAAAGATAATATAGTAAGGCTTATTAAGTAGGAAGACTAGCTAATATAATAATTCTTATTTAAAATATAAGTAAAAGATAATAATCTATAAGAAATAATAAAAAATAGTAAAAGTTATTTATAATAACTTACTAGACTAATTAAAAATAATAAAGAAACTTTACTAGTAAATAGTACTAGAAATTCTATAATATTATTATAAGACTTTAACTCTAAAATAATATTCTATAAAATAAAAATAAATAAGTATAATTATTAAGTTATAGAACTTAAAAAATTAAAAGATTAGATTTAATATATTATTTCCTTAAAAATCTATTACTTTTATTATAAGTTAATAGAAACCTTAGAAAAGTAGTATCTTAAATTAAAAGAGTATATAATAGTTAATTAAAAATAAATTTAAAATATAGTTTATAATATTTATATAAAGGTAATCTAATCTTTAAAAAGTAATATAATTAATTAATTAAATAATTAGGAATTTATTATTTAATAAGTAATTAAAATAAATCTTAAAATTATAATATTATTACTAGACTAGGTAAAAAACTTCCTAAATATAATATATTATCTAGCTCTATCCTAAATTATATTCTATTAATTAGACTATAAGAAGAAAATACTAGCAGGAATATTATTTTTTTATACTATAATAAATAATTTCTATAATATTATTAATATATTCCTATAGTAGTATAATAAGATTAGTAAAAAGATTTTTAGATTAATATTTATTACTAAAAATATAATAAATATAACTAGTAATAAAGAAATATTTTTACTATAGGATAAGGAAATAAAATATAAGTGTCATGGCGTAGCCATGTACCTATCTGGTTAGATTCTACCCTAATTATCTACCTCTACTCCTATATTTAAGCCATGTTGCCCCTAATTCTATTATAGCTCTTTAAGCTATATCCTTATTCTAACCTAATTTCTATCTATTATACTTATATATAGATAGCTTAAATATATATCTTACTATTAACTATACTTATTACTTATCTACCCTCTATAATATTATATAGTTCCTACCCTAGGTATAGTTATTACTAGTATATTAAAATAACCTAAACTACTCCTAATTATAGACTTAATTAAGGAATTTATAAGTTATATTATAAATAATCTTACTACCTAGATTATTTACTTTAAGTCCTATAATAAATATATTAATTCCCTAGAAAAGAAGATTTATGCCCTCTAAAACTAAGCTAATAAAGCTAGTCTGGAGCTAGCTAAGAAGGAAGGAATAGTACTATACTAGAAAGAAAAATTAGAAACTATTTAATAAAAGTTAATTAAGTTTAAGTATATATTTACTATACTATAAGTTATTACTATTTTTATTATACTTATTTCTATTATTATCCCTGCCCTTACTAAATATACCCCTCTTATTAAAGCTATAGTAGCTAATATAATAAAAATATCTATACTTATTTTTACTAGCCTATTTTCTAGTACTTATCTTAGTAAGAAACTCCTTAATCTATAAAAATTTAATAATACTTATTCTAATCTCTACTATTTTATATAATAAATCTATAGTAAAATAAATATTAATTTAAATTATTTTCTAGCTATTAAGGCCTAACTAATCTATATAGTAGGATACCTAACTAGAAAGGCTTATAAACTAATCCTACTTAAAATAAGATTTAATATTTTCTAGTTCCTAGACTATTCTAATCTACTTAATTATCTAGAAATAATATTTAAAGACCCTAATTAAGTTTAAAATACTTAAAATTACCTCTATAATTAGAAATAAAGAAACTTAAATTTTAATACTTACTTTATAAAGTTTTATTATCTTACTCTAGAAAGAAAAATATTTAATAACTCCTTAATACTCTTTCTAATTTAAAATATTTTAATTAAATTTTAAGATATATTACTTTATAACCCTATTCTATTCTAAAATTTTTAAGAATATACTAATTATTTCTAGTTATTAGAAAATTACTATTACTAATACTAGCTATAAGTATCTTATTCTTACCTAATATCTAGTTCCTATTATTCTAGCCTAGTAATACCAAGAAATTTCTCTAGTTCTATTTTATTTAATTACCCTATTATACCCCCTATACCTAGAAAAGATTTAGATATTATAAATTTATTTTATACCTACTATATACTATACTTCCTTAAGGAAAGATAATATAAGTATAAGAAATACTTTTATTATAAAAATAAAATATACTATATAAAGAATTACTCCTTATTTAATTAATATCCTATATAAATCTAAAAATAAATAAATATACTAGTATATCTTTCTAGCCTAATCCTTATTATAGTATTACCTGCTCTTTATATTATAATTTAGAATAATTTCTTTACTACCTTAAAGGAACCTAATTAACTATACTTACCTAATATTCTATCTAACTTAGAAAATAGAGTCTACCTAGCTATAATTATTATCTAGTACTAGAATATATATAAAAGCCCTTACTACTAAATATACTACTCTATCTATCCTATACTATTACTAAACTAACTAATTTCTCTAATCCTTATTACATGCGTGCTAACCTTATAGTATAATAGATATAATTATATTAAAAAAACTTAAAAATACTAATTTATATTATAACTAATTCTAGAGTTAAAAAAATTAGCTTTATAAATTACTAATAAATAAAAATATATAAATTAAAGATTATTCTACTTCTCTATTTAATACTCTTATCTAACTTTTATAGTAAGAAAGTAAAAGAAAGTATAGTAATTTATTATATAAAGATTAATCTATTATTAAATAATTATTATAACTAGAAATTTATCTTTTATATTACTTATCTCTCCTATTATTTAATTATCCTAAGACTGGCCTAGCTTATTATATATAATCTAAAAATATATTTCTTTAATTAAATAACTATATTTAATAGCTAATACTACTATAAATACTATAATATATTTTTTAAGCTTATAAGAGTAAAAGCTCTAATAAATATTTCTTAAAAAGATTAACTTAAGTAATTAAATTAATAAAAAAAATTACTAAAGTTAAAATTCTTTATACTTATAAAAATATATTAAATATCCCTAAGAGTACTAGCTATATATACCTACTATCTAATATAAAAACTATACTAGATCTTATTAGATAAAATTAATAAAGAACTAAAATATAGAAATACTAGTCTTAAATTACTACTTATACTTCTTCTAGAACTACAAGATTTCTAAGATATATTTAATCCCTAAGAAGTAGAGAAGCTACTACTATACTAATTATATAATTATAATATTAAGATTTAAGAAGAAAAATAGCCCTTATTTAGTAAATTATACTTAATATTATAAGTATAATTAATTATTCTAAAGAAATAACTAAAAAAGAATCTAAAAAAAGATTTTATATATTCTAGCTTATTCTTAACTATTTTTCTTATTTTATTTATTAATAAATCTAAAAGTAGCCTTTACCTATATATAGATTACTAAGGATTAAATACTATATTAATTAAGAATTATTATTTATTACCCCTAATTAAAGAAACTTTAAATAACTTATAGGGAATATAATACTTCTTTAAAATTAATCTAGTAACTATTTTTAATAATATCTATATTAAGAAGGGATTAGAGTATCTAACTACTTTTTAAACCTATTTTAGACTATATAAGTCCCTAATTATATTATTTAGCCTAACTAATATCCTAGCTATCTTCTAATATTTTATAAATAATATCCTATAATAATATATAGATATATTCTATAATATATTTTTAAATAATATCCTAATTTATAATTATATAAGAAAAAAATATACTAAATATTTAAGGTAAATATTATAAATTCTAAGAAATAATAACCTATATATAAAAATATCTAAGTATAAATTTTATTAGCTAGAAATTAAGTTCCTAAATATTATTATTAAAAGAGAAAGTACTTATATAGATTTTAAGAAGATTAAGATTATAATAAATTAGAAATTATTTAAAATAGTTACTAATATTAAAAGTTTTATAAAATTTACTAGATTTTACTAATACTTTATTAAAGAATTCTTATAAATTTTTATACTTATTACTATTTTAAAGAAAAAAAGAACCCTATTCTTATAAACTCTAATCTACTAGACTACTTTTAAAATACTAAAAGTAGAATTTATTAAGGAACTAATATTAAGATTCTTTAATTAAAATTAACTAGCTATTTTAGAAATTAATATCTTAGATTTTATATTTACTAGAGTATTATTATAATATAATAATAATAAAATTCTATACCTAGTAAAATTTTACTTAAAAAAAATAACTTTAACTAAATATAATTATAAGATATATAATAAAAAATTACTAGTAATTATTTATTATCTAGAAGAATA